AATTGCATGGACCTGTTTGTCTGAATTGATACGTTCAATTTCTCTATTGTACATGTTCGCAACTATTTTTTTTTTCTCAGAGGGTTTAACTTGTGCTGACGTTGATTCTTTAAGAACTGTTGGCGGCGTTGCGTGGGAAGTGCGGAGTCAACCTACTTGACGCCATTTTTTTTATTCACACTGTGAACATTTTTTCTGAACCCTCTATTTTCAATTAGTCTGATATCAATATTTCATCAGTTCAGTTTGGTTGATACTTTTCGAGCAATAGGTTAGACAAAAATTAATTAGTTTTGATTTAACCGATTCTTGAAAATCTGCAGAGCTTTTCATCTTTGGCACTATAGCAACCTAGTAGAAAAATTTCATCATGATTCGAGTGGTGCTCTTTTAATTGTACATTAGATTTAAGTAGAAATTTAATTTAGCACGCGTTCATACGAGGGCGGATTAACGAATATTTTCTTCCGTTTGCAATTGATTTACTCATAAAAAGCACCGGCCCCAATGGAAAAGTTGAAACATGCGCGAACCTGGTCGAAATACACAGCATGTAAATAATTTCAACACTCTTTCCAAAGGCAGAGTTTTTACTAACTTTTGAGCCACATATTTATGTCGAACACACCAAAAATCGTATCGTATGATCGCTATTAGGTTTGAGATGTTTGATAGATATCATTCAATTTAAACTAGTCTGACGTTACATAACAAGTATGCGAAGTTATAACGTGCTGAGTCACACAAGAGTGACTGATTACAAGTTTGGAGTGTAGGTCACAAACCTAGTCGTAACCTTTCATTCTATTTGTCAGTTTATGCACACGATGTCTGTCGTGACCATATCGAAAAATTGATCATTTCATGAAATTAATCATTATCTATTGGCCAGATCATGATGTGCGTTGACCAATGATAAATCGTTTAACGATATGATTAACTAACCGCGCGGCTACTTCATGAAATGATCAAGCATGTTTGACAAATCGTAGAGAATAATTACATTAATTACAAATAGCGGCGCTAGGACTTCCCTGTTTACATTTCAACACGGCGGTCGTTAATAACAAAGTTGTTTTTCGACATGAAAATTCAAAGAAATAGTTACCAAATGAGGCAGAAAGACTTGAAAAAAAGGGATTCGAATTCTTGAGTACTATGCGGGTCACCCAAATACCGGTCAAAACGACTAAAAGCCGTGGAATTTGAAACGTGTTTCTCATGTTAGTACCTCACTTTTAATTTACATTATCATTAGATTTGTTCCAACCATTTATTTAAAGTAAGAATCGAGTGCCAGCTAAAATAATGTGTTCATCTATTGAACTACTTATTCTACGTATGTAAAGCATCGTCATTTTTATTTCAATTTTAGGTTATACGTCAAATAAAATATACTGAGTGACAAAAAAGGTAAATACCTACGTATGTTTATCCGATTTTAATAATTTTTGGCGTATATGTTCAGTGTCCGTTAACAGTAAAATGATTAAATTTTCAGCTTGATTAATCAACTGACTGGAGAAGCTGGTTCAATAATATGTTGAGGATCCACGATTTCTTATACACTCACTAACACGCCTGGGCATGGTGCTGATGATGACAACCACAAAAATAAAATTCCACTGTCGGATGCAAGATTCGAAAACACCCCTCTTGCTTCAGAAAGTGTTCTAACTTCTAAATCCATTTAAATTTTTACATTAATTTGGGATCTATTTGATACGTTGAAGCAATCGTGAATGTAAACTCGGAGCATATGATTTATTAGTTTTTGTAACAATTAAATTGTCCATTTTCTTCGTCATACTGAATCATCGGAAAAGATACAACTCCCAAGCTATTAGCGTTTGATTACCGATACATTGTTCTAGAAACATTTTCCTAGCGCCTTCTTTTCAATATGTTCATGCAACGGTATCATTATTGATTGTTACGTAACCGAATTTGGAAAACTTCCTGTCATTATTATTCTTTAATGTGTCCCTCCAATCGGCCGTTTTATATTATGAGGTGACGCATTCATAGCGGCGATTCTATATACAGTTTTTACGAGGAACAATCGCTTGGCTAGCGTTCACGCTTACACGATCAAATTGCGAACAGTCACTGACAAATGAAGCCAAGGAGAAAATGCTGATAAGCCTGGAGCCACATCTTACCGAGCGCGAAGATGATATCGTCGGCAACATAGCCAAATTATCTTTCTAAACATAAGATTGTCCGTCTTTGTGGATTGTCCAGGAATCATCGACTTCTATAGCTTGGAAAGTGCTGTTCCGATTGTAATAATTGTGCCAAGGGCGAAAACGTTTCCAGGGTTAGTGAATCGGTCCGGTGGCGGCGGAGTAATCATACTACGCTTGATCAGATTCTATACTGAGAACCACATTTGTCTGACTGGTTGAGTTCAATATGTACGAGACTGTGTATAAGCGCATAAGTTAGAAAGAGATAAGATTACCCATCTAGCATTCATTGGAGTGTTGTCCTGGTTCGAAAATGGTTTTTGTTACATTATCCGACCGCTCGCTGTCGCAAGATGTAACAATTAACTCAGGATGTGTTGATTTTATCACCATTAGTGAAATCAAAGATAATTCTAAAATAAATTGGAACATAACTCTATTCAAGATGAAAACTAAATATTAAATTAAATGTCAGAAAAGACCTCCTTTTTGGGTTTGACAGTAACCTAACCTATTGTAGAAGCCTGTACAAACATTTTCTGGTGTAACATATTGGTAACGCGGCAGATTGCACGATCTTCTGCGTCACTGTTGCTAGGCAATGAGGTGATGACCTCAACTCTATAACCAGCTTCTATCTCTTTCTAACGTGTTAATGCACACTTCTCGCGCTTCAATCTCGTACATATTGAACTCAAGCCATCAGACAAATTTGGTTTTCTCTGTATAAGAGGCATACAGGTATATGACAGATTTTTTCTGTTTGATCTGATCTGAACGATTCTGATTATGCGCAGTTTGTTCTCGTCATTTGAGAACTTTGCAATTCGCTAGGCAGAATCAGAAGGGTACTGGAACAAACTATAGAACCCAAATAAACCTAATTAAAAAACTAAAAATGCATGACTCCTCTTATGACTTGGAAACCTACTAAGAAAGTATCATTCAGATTGTTATGATTTTTTTTCCATATCAAAGCAAGAAGGGGGAGAAATTTGCGAAATGTCATTCTCAATAAAATTGTGAAAACCATGTATAAATTCCTTAGGCAAAGTAGAGCTCACTAAATGTGATTTAGTATCCAATTTCAATCATGGCAATAAGTTTTTTCTTCATCAATCTGTGTTCTTATATGGAAATAGACAGAGAGACTAGCAATTTCAACAAAATATGTATTAATCCCTACATTTTCTTCATGGCTAATGTATATCTACAGCAAAAATATCAGCATACTATGAGGATAGTGTGTGAACAATTGAAAAAATTAAAATTCACCTAATCTATCAGACAATATAAAGGTTGGTGCTTACGATATAATGATGTTTTGTAAAATAATAACTCCAATGGATATAGCCATGCACACTAAAAGCTGCAAGTGATGAAAAATCTCAGCTGAGGTTGAACAGAAAATTACACATCATTTGAATTGAGTTTTGGTGAAAAGAAAGCGTAATAAGCTGAGCAAACAGAAGTGGGTTGAGCATATCTGAGATTGTAAAACATGTCTTATAGTCAACACATTTATTCAGTAAATGTCACAATCAGTATTTACTGTGGTTCATACCATCAGAACTTACTGATGATTCTGTTAGTGTCACTTAATTTCTGAATAACCTGTCCATGTTCAATAAATATTACATATGTAATGATAAACCACAGTAAATACTGATCCATGTGATTTGTGCCTGCATACCATTTTTACACCATTTGCTTCTTGGATTGGGAGCATCCAACCAATGTAAAGCAGTCCAGCAGTGCGGCACTTCATGCTGAATACTGCCATCATAAGCCAGAATGCAGTAGGTGCAAAAAATGTGAAAATGAGATACTGTCATAATATGAAAGGCACATAGAAGAAACATATTTCTATGATAAAATACAGTGTATTTCATGATATCATGATAAATACGGAAAATCTAAAACTTTTCTTAAAATATCTAGCAATTTTTGATCATCTCAAATTAGAAAACTGTTTCTGCACAACAATTAATTAAAACATTGTAAATGACCTGTACTTACTGTATTCTTGCTTTGATACCAGTTACTGTGTTTTAATTTATTACCATAGCAATGGCACTAACAGATACTATAAGACATACACCTAATCACATTGTCAGAAACAAATAACCAATTCAGTTTGATACATGAAGGTGAATTACTTTTTTTTACAATTTCAAGGTTGCAAACCTTTTGAAAATCATTGCTACAACATTGCTACTGATTAATGTTGCAAAATGTCACCAACCTGTCAGTGATCATGTCCAACATCCTGCCACACGAATTCCATTCATTCTGCTATGCTATTTAGACAGAATTCACATGGCCGGATCTCAAACAGAGTCGCCAACAAGTCACTGACCACTGTATGAACAAATGTTGAAACATTGAATGAACCTATTCCACATAAAATTCAGCATAAAAGCACTGTACCACTAGACTGCTTTACATTAGCTACATGTCTAGACTATTTGCAAAAATGTTAATAAGATGTTAATTCCTTATTCACATAATAAGTGTAACAAAACTTAAATGAAAAGCTAGCTCAGCTGACAGGAATAAATTGCAATTTGAAATTCCGTGTGTATCCTGCCTTAGGGATGGAATGATCCAGGTATATTTTTCAAGCCCTTTCCTACTTCAACACAACCTCAAAACATGTCTATTTCCATATGGGTCATGGATGAATTATAACAAAGAGCTTCACCCTAAGAAATTCCTAATTGTCCTGGGTTATTATTGTGTAGGATTTAATCTTGTATTACACAAAAAACTGGTTTCAGGTCTTGTCTATTTCATAATTCAATAGTGCAGAGATATTTCAAAGGGCGAGTGGGGAAAAAAGACGTACAAGAAAAGCTTAAACTAGTGGTCAGCGGTAATCGATCATGTAATTTCGAGATTGTGAAGCTTGAAACCGCTACTCATTCGGTTTTTGAGTATGAATTGTCGTCACTGGTAGCGTACCGGGACATTATCAACATCGTGAATCACCGTAAAGGAATTCGCGGTAGATTTTTACATAAAAATCCGTGTGTACCTTGTCGGCTTAACTAGATCGATACTTTAGCTGGCTGACATTCCAGCCGGGTAGCTTCGGTCGCCTACGCGGCCCCGGCAGGGTTCATTAGGGCTCCTTCCATGCTACCGGGGGCATATTCCGGGAACTGTCACAAATGTCAATACTGGCCCAGCGTCTCCGGTGGACGGCGGAGTCCCCCGCAATCCAAATGCCAAGTACATAACTATACTTACCATCGTATCGCTCCGCCTGCTCAGCAAGCTTCGCTTTGTAAACGTTATCCTCCCTCTCGGACATATTTGGATGATTCTGGATTTCAAGTCAAGTAGTCTGGCACCGCACTGATCACCGGGATAGGTTTGTCTGCACTTTCACGTACTGCCAATATGGCCGCGCCCGCCACACTGAGCGCCGATCGCGATCGAAAAACACTCGGTCGACGCCGGCTACACGGACTGAACACGTCACAAGGAGCGCCAAATTCAAAGCCAGATACTCGTTGCTTCCATAAAGGGAACACGAATTCGTCCGTTTTTCTAGCACTTTTTTGATATATGACAGATAATTTCACTTTTTTGTAAACAGGAAAGTCATTGTTTCCATGACATACTGCGTCCTTAACTCAAGACTTCATCCAAAACGTTATAGACTAGTACTCAAGGTACGATTTAAATTGAGTTTGATTTGAATTTTTGAAATATTGGGCTAAGCGGCATAAAAAACCCTATTACATATTCTAGATTTGTATGTGTGACAACAGTCTATTTGAAATAGTTTAAAATTCGGTTTAAAAAACGAATGGGACTGGCGTTTGGCTTTTGATGCCTTCTCTTCAAACAATAAGATCTGCGAGAGAAGTATTTTCAATCCATTCAATTTTGGCATCAAACGTTTTGCAGCTATATGTAATGAGTAGAACCATAAGACATATACATATTGTAGTTATTGAAAATAAATCTACTGGAGGCGGTGTAATTTCCAAAAGCCTCAAATTCAAAAACTCTTGATAATTCTCCATGCTTGTCCGGATAATAAAAACCACATGTATTGATGGAATTTTTTTTAATGTAAACGTTTCAATCACAAAAGGTGTTTTTATCGGTTAGACAAGTATTGGGAATAGGTTTCAGATGTTACATTAAAAACTCTTGAACGTCAGTAAGAAAAAAATTTGGAGGGCAAAAATTGAAATTAGAACCTGGTACATGATAGAGTTACTACTTTTTTTGTGACAATAAAAGAGAAAAAAAACGTTTGGAGCCAGTCGTTGCTCAGCTTTCCATTTGATAAAGTTTAGTATCTCTGTATTTGATAGAGAGTAGGTTTCCAACAAGTTACAGGGTGAGTTTTTAGTGTAGGCTTGGTCCATAACTCCATTATTATGCAGAGTAGGTATCTAAAAAAGTTGAATACAAAAATTGTAGCCAACAGTATATGATCCTGACTTAGAAAATATGTTTGTCTCTACAGGATGATTCGTAACTACGTGGTGACCCAAACATACCTATTTTTTTATTTGGAATGACCTAGATTTTATTGGTGATTAGGATATATGTCCTTTTAGACAAAGCACTTTAATATAACATACTATGAGGTTTTGTTTTCGAATGGTTGAGATATTGGACAATCTTTAAAAGTCAACTTTGAGAACTTGCACATCCGCAACTGTTGTCATGTGCGTCCGCGGTGGTTTTTCTTAGGGGGGGGCAGATACAACTTTTTCTAAAAGTGTACCTGACCCTAAAACTTTTTGAATAATGGGAAAAGTGAGGAACACAAAAACATTCATTTTTCATTTACCTTGATATCTCATTTACAAAAAGGTTAGCTATAACTCAAAACTCAGTGATTACACCCCATAAACCTTATATCAAAAACAGCATGTGAAAAGCGGAATCAAGAGTGTGAAAATATGCGGGATTTTCCACTTGAAAATTTTGTGAAATTGTTCATTCTGCGGTCTTGACCACCCCATATACACTATCAAAAGAACTGAAAAGGTAAGTGGAGGAAATATGGGATTATGATAATTGTCTAGCGTAAAATTCAGCAGGTACTCTCGCTATAACAGTTGTGGAGGTGCTAGTGTTTCGAAAACATGCCATATCAAATTGTTCTGTTTGAAAGGGCCTATACAAATCCACAATAAAATGTAGGGCTTTCTACTTAAAAAAATGTATGTTACGAAAATCACCCTATAGAAGCATAAACATTTTTCAAGGAGCATATACTCTTGGATATAATTTTTGTACTTAATCTGTGTTTTAACCGAGTTATCGACCGATCCCACAATGGAAAATCGTATATATTTCTCTGTATTTTTCATATCTACGTGAGCAATGACCGATGTCGTACAGCAGTGATCGCCAACCCGTCGATCGCGAGCTACCGGTAGCTCGCAAAGGCAATTCTGGTGGCTCACAACATATTTTAAGAAGGTGTAACAATCATAGGCGCTTCCTTAAATTCTGTAAATTCTCATAATAAACACAAGCAGCGGCAACACTGCACTGAGCAATCTGTTCGAGAACGATCTCGATTACTTTGAACGGAATAAATATGCAAAGCGCGGCGACAGTGCGCTCAGTTTAAGACTGAACTGCACAAAGTCCAGCGGTTGGGTTAGAATTGGCCTGCAATTAAAAACATTATGAGCAGTAGTAAGAAGATGAAGACACACCATTACCATTCGAAATGGGAAGAACTATATTTCTTTACAGAAGTTAAAGGTAAAAATCTACATTCGAATTTTGAAAAATCATTCCCATTTCGTTCTGCAACCAGAACGGAAAAATTTAAACAATTAAAAAGTCAGTTAATTGGACAACAGGCAATGTTTTTAAAAACAATCGACAAAAGTAAGGCTGCAACTGAAGCATCATACCGGGTGTCCCAGGTGATTACACAAAAGAATAAACCTTATGAACACCGGGAAATGATAAAACCGGCGTTTTTAGAAGCTGCAGATTCATTATTTGCCAACTTTAGAAATAAAGACGAGATAGTGTCTAATATAAAATCTATGCAACTTTGTGCTAATACAGTGATGAGACGAGTAGAAGTCATGAGCAATGATATAGTTTTACAGTTAAGAAGCAGCTGGATGAATCCACAGATGTCGTTGACACTTCTCAGATAGATGGTGTTCGTCAGGATGGTTTTTAGTGATTTTACGATTGAAGAAGATCTTTGGAAGTTTATTCAACTAAAAAAACAGACTACTGGGCATAACTTGTTTTCTTCTTATAAAAATATTATTTCTTCTAAGAAAATTCCAATAACGAAAATGGCAGGCTTGACATCCGATGGCGCTCCAGCTATGGTAGGCCTCGTGGGGTTACGTCGTAAAGATGAAAGTTTTCCGCAATTTCTGTTACCATTGCATTATCCATCAGCAAGCATTATGTGGACATTTTCTAAAACTAAACAACGTTATGGAATTGGTAGTAAAAATTGTGAACAAGATTAGAGCTCAAGCGTTACAAAGAAGATTATTTAAAACCTTGGCCGATAAAACTGACTGTCAATACGGGGAACTACTTCTTCACTCTGAAGTCCGATGGTCAAGTAGGGGATGAGTGCTGAAACGTTTTAATGATATCATATCAGTCATAGTTCAATTTTTCAAACAACGTGATGAACCGATTCCGGAACTGGAAAATTAAATCTGGGTTAATTTGCAGCTTCAGGGGAGAGACAAAGAACTAGCAGAAATGATTTTGAGAACAAAACTTAATCGATAGCGATACCAGGTATTTTCCTGTTCTTTCAGAAAATATATCTCGAAGCCCCTTAGAACCATATGACATTAAATATCATGTAGAAATAGTCTCTAATTTGAAGGATAACTTCAAAAATCGTTTCAAGGATTTCAACGGAATTGCAACAGTGGCGCAATTTGTTGTTTTACCCTTCATGGAAATTGATATCCAACAGTTTGCAACTTCCGTTACGCAGAATTTTAGCGTAGACATCGCTGCGACAGAAATGGAAGTGATTGCGTTTCAAAATGATTTAGCTTTAAAATCATTAGTCTCAAATACAAAATGTATCTGGCCTTCAGCAAGTAAAGACAAATATTCAGTTCATGTCGTGTTGCCTTGAAAGTGACAACGGTATTTAGTTCAACCTAATTGTGTAAATCTTCTTTTTCAAATATGAAGTTTATTAAAAACAAATACCGTAATCGACTTACAGATGATCATTTGGATGATTGTATTCGAATGGCGGTATGAAATTATATTCCATACATTAAAAAAAATTGTCAGTGAATCTGAGTGTCAGGCTTCACAATGAACCCGCATTTTTTATCTGGGGATGTTTTTGTTTAAAATAGTGCGTTGCTTTTTTATTTTTAGTGACCTTTATTAAATGTGATATGCTATTTTAGCTGACGAAAAATTTTGTTTATTTTTGCAACACCTACGATTGGTAGGAATGGATGTAGTTATGTAGTACTCGTATGTATAAGTTATTAGTTTAAGTTTATTAGTATGTTTTAGTATTAGTAAAATAAACACATTATATGTCGCATACAACTGTGTATAATTTCATTTAAGTTGACTTACATTGCTTACGACTAGGTAGCTCACTGTTAATTCCGAAATTATCAAAGTATATAGCTCAACATACTGAAAAGGTTGGCGACCACTGTCGTACAGACTACCTATCCATGGATCCGTCCCTGTTTGAGAGTCCAGTCCAGTCGTTGTGGTTTCAATATGACCGCGGGGATTTTGACGCTCGACACAAAAAAACAAGTGTTACCACAGCCGACGTCAACTACTACTAGTTGACGTCGGCTGTGGTGTTACCATAATCAAGTCCAAGCGAATAACCAAAATTTCTGTGTTATGTGCCGCGGTTATAATATGGTTCAAGATGACACACGGGTTGATGACGTTAGTTATACGAATCGCTTGAACGCATTGGTTTTAACAGCGGTTTTGTTGCAAGTTGTTTATTTTAGAAAAGTGCGTATATAATCTCTGATTATTTTTATTATCACTTAATATTCGGTGCTTTTTTGTACGGAAAGTTTAAATAAGAAACCTTTCATAATATTTATGAGAGAAATGTTTTTTTTTTCAGAAAAAAATGTTTAATGATGAAACCATGGTTTTGTAGCTATGATAACTTTCAATTCTCTAATGCCTGCTTTACACTTGGAAAGTTTACTGGCGGAAAGTACTTGCCGCCAGTAAACTTGCCATGTGTAACTCAGAAAAGTACAAGTGTCCGATTGCCGGCAAGTGGCAAGTAAAGTTGAGGAGCCGGCTACTTTACTGGCTGACTTTCCTGTCCAGACGCGTTTGTTTCCCTGTGTAGACAGTCCCTTGACAAGTTTAGAAAGTTAAAATGAAGTGGAACAGTGATCAAATAATAGCATTTTTAAATCTTTATGAAAAATATGAAGTACTGTGGGATACGAAGCAAGGATCATATGAATCAATTAAAGAGGGGAACTGCATTTGACAGTCTATTGAAAGATCTGAAAGAAATGGAAGGATTTGAAAACGTAGATGTGCCCATGATGAAACCTAAATTAAAAACCATAAAAACTGTATACAGGCAAGAATTAAATAAAATTTTAAAGTCCAAAAAAAGTGGATCTGGTACAGATGATGTATATAAGGAATGTCACCATCAGCAGGAAGACAACAAACAACATGGTAAGGGCATATATTTTGTTTTAATGTTTATATATACGTACATATTAGTTAGATATATTATTTATTATGTAATGTAGGGCTCTATCAACACATTGCTTCATAAGCCTATCATTCTATCTTGCCGCTCTATCAACACATTGCTTCATAAGCCTAACATTCTATCTTGCCACGATACAGCGCCTTCTCCATTAAAAAAATCTGTGTATTTCTCACGCAATAGCCTTGCAGATGTGAATAGTTATTTGTCCCTAAATTTGCGACAGATTGCAATGGTTCAACTTCAGAACGCCATAAACCATTTATGATTTCTCCTGTATCAATATCTTCTCTGTCAATCGAATCTCTAAGAACATATACCCTGGAACTTGTAGTTCGGAGCCAGTTATGCAATGCACAATAAGCTTTCACTACCAGATCTACAGTATCTAGTTTTAAGTTAATAACTTTGTGAAATATTCGGAATCTTGCGCTTAAAATACCGAATGCATTTTCCACAACCCTCCTGGCTCGCGACAGACGATAATTAAATATTCTTTGTTTAATAGTTAGCGATCCGGTATAAGGTTTGAGAAGATTATTCCTCAAAGGGAATGCATCATCACCTATTATTAAGGAATCTTGTGGAAAATTTAATGATCCATTTATCATAGCCTTATTCAAATCAGAATTCCTAAATATAGTGCTATCATTTGCTCTACCATCGGCCCCTACTTCTATATATTTAAAGCAATAATCTGCGTCAACTAAAGCAAAAAGAATTATGCTGTAAGTTCCTTTATAATTATAGAATTGGGATCCACTATTCGGTGGGCGCTGCACCTGAACGTGTTTTCCATCTATCGTTCCGCAGCAATGAGGGAAATTCCACTGTACAGAAAATCCTTCTTCAACATGTCTCCATTCTTCTTCAGTTTCAGGAACCCGTAACAACATATGTTTAGATTTAAAATTTTTATTTCTTCATGCTGTATTTATTAACGTTATATCAATAGGTATCGTGTTATGTACACGCATATTATTACTTAATTAATTTTGTTTTCAGAGCGAACAGAATAACAGAAATGAAGTGGACAGTGCAGAAGATGAAAATGATGAAACGCCAAGTGAGTCAAAAGGTATTGAATGTGAAACACAATTCCACGATGATCACCCATTTCAAACACCAAAACGAAAAAAGTGTAGTAAAGATAAGGCTGCTCGTAGTCTTCCCATACAACCTGCAATCGACAATCTAAAGGAGATTGTACAACAAAATGAAGGGAAAGTGGACGATGAATACGACTGTTTTGCTAAACACGTTGCTTCCCAAATGAGACAACTTCATGTACCAAGTTTTATAATTTTGCAGGAAAAAATCCAAAAACTGATTACTACTGAGAGATTAAATCAATTTGCGTCAGTAAGCCAGAATTTTCAGAACAGCGAACCACATCAAACCTTACAAAATCCATACCATGTATCTAACCAGAACCACCACTATTCACAAAACAATTTCTCAGGCTTACGGAACCATCCGAATTTCCAGACTTCATCATCGATGCATAGCCAAAACAACCAGTATCAATGTGAAGAGATTACCTTGCACCAACTGACATCATTGAAGCTGCACTATCTGGTATTGATTATAGTGACATTTAAAACCGGAAAATATGTTTACTCATAGAAAATGTAATAATTTCCAAATAAAACCATAATTATATAAACTATGTTTTCTTACCTTTATGTAGTTGCCAAGCACTTCGTATACAGCCAACAGAACATCTGGTAAAAAAGCAGAAATAGTGCACCTCGGTAGTCTGTATAAGTATTGCAGAGAGGCCAAACTGTCGCCACTAGCCAGGTATCGCAATGTCACCTCCAATTTTATTCGGGGAGAAAGTGGGGCTCTCATAAATGTCTCCGACTAGTGTTAATAATTCATCAAATTTTGAGGGCGATAATCTCATAAAATTCTTATGTTTCTGGATCTTCGGTTGCTATCTCTTTTAGAAGTCGAGCGGAAGCCCCTAGAATATTTCTGCGCTTAATCCAAGCCATTACCCATACTCGTTTCTTTTTTTTTCTTTTCAAGTAAATGATTTGCAATTGCGATAGCAATTACTTTAACAGCACCACGTACAACCGCACTTGGAGCCATTTTGTTTTTCTACTTGTCAACCAGTAAACTAGCAAAAGTGTAGACAAATATCCCACAGCAAGTTTACTGGCGGCAAGTACTTTCCGCCAGTAAACTTTCCAAGTGTAAAGCAGGCAATAGACACTGGCAGTGCCACAAGCTGTCAAATCGCGTATGTTGGATTAATGTGCCCAATAAATAAAACAACAATTGTCAAAAATATTATTGATATATTTATACAGTATTCGAACAAATGTGAATACAAATTAAGGTGATATATATTAAAAATTATACTAAACACAAAACGTACGACGCATGTGTATCTGTTTGATATAAAAAATTAACTAACATTACAGTAAGGACTGGCAGTAACTCATTTTATAGTAGAGAGTGTTTAAATATAATCGAGAAAAAATTCAAAAGCGCGTCTTATAAAACTTAAAATCAAATATTCAGCCTCATTCACACAAAATATATGTACAGAATATAACAAAACATCAGCCCTACACTTTATAAAAATAAAAAATAAAACAATCACAAGATGTCCTTAATTTTTTGTGTAGTAGCAAACATTCCATCTCTAGTGAAAACATCTGAAATTAAAAAATATCTATACATGGTGTTGACATATAAGGAAACATTCGGGGATTATTCTGTCAAATATTTAAAAATAAGTTTTTCCTTTGATACTGATTGATGGAAACGCTCCTGAATAAAAATCCGAAACAGTGTCAAACCAGTCGATTTTAGTTGAACGATTTTTATTGGTTAACTAAATCCATTCAACTCTTTGATGTTTCAACAAATAATGAACCGATAATTGAAAGCAAAATGGCTACTGATAAGGTTGCTCTTCAACATCGTTCTCATTTGAGAAACATCAGGTACAGTATCGACAAATATTTCATTCCAAGGTAACAAAATACGTGGGAAACGTAAAACTTATGTTGCCTCGAAAATACACAAGTTTCAAGAGCAATTTTGAAAGAACGTGCCAAAAAATTAAAAAACTCCTTGATAGTTTTTTCATTTTTGATATCATTCATCACCAGTTCGACATCATTTTTTTTTTCATTCTACAGTAACATGCATGATATTGTACTTCTGTCTTTATGATACTTCAAAACGAATCTAAAAATCGGCGTACAACAGAATATTCTGACCATTTAGGACATTTTTCGTATAGACGAAAGAAAAAATGTCCAATTGACGGTAGTGTAAAACAAAACTGTTTGGTGGCTTATAACTAAACAATAAAGTTGGACGGAACTTTGGTTGAAACATTTTTGTCGCTCTAGACGAAATAAAAACATAAAATAAAAAATGTATTTTTACAAACAAGCTTTTATTTAGCTGTTAATAAAACGGTCTAAAAATTTGAAAATATTTTTTTACGATTGGAAATATTTAAAGGGGCAAAGGAGCAACTTCAATTCAGGTTTTAAAATGAAAGTGTGTTACACCCTTTTTCCATCTTGCTGTTGGAACGTAACACGGTTTTATTTGAAAACCTGAGATAAAGAGCTTAATTATCGTCTAAATGTTTCCAATCTGAAATAAATATTTTTTAATCGTTTTATTAACAGCTTAATAAAACTTCGTCGTATTTGTATTATAGAATTTCCATAAATATAAATCATACAATAAATCGATATTTTACGGTGACCACCATATGGAATCCATAATGTCGTTACGTTGCTTACTGTGTTTTACTCTTATATTCTTACTTTATCTGTATTATAAAATTTAAATCATATAATGATAAATCGATATTTTGCGGCGATAGCCATATGGAATTTACAATGATTTATTTGCTTATCGTGTTTCTCTCATCAAGCCGTTGCATTTGATGGCAATTATAAATCGCTATTTAGCGGCGGTCGCCATATTAGATTTAAAATGATATTCCTTTGCTTAATGTGTTTATTTCATTAAGCCCTTTCATTTGATACCAATATCGTAGGGTGGCTATGAAAAATGTTAACAGCCATTTTGCAGGGTCGCCACATTGGATTTAGAATGACGTCACTTTGCTTATTGTGATTCCCTCATCAAGCCTCTTCATTTGTTATCGATATTGGATTCAAAACGGCGGGAGTTGATCCATTGTCTATTGTCACGCGAACCAAACGTGTATATAAAGTCTCAGCTCGACTGGTTGACCGGACAAAATTCAGTTTCAAGATTTGTTCCACACTAACATGCAATTCAAGCATTGATTAACGTATTCTACCTGAAGATAACAACTAATGTAGTGGAATATGCGCGAGTCCGATAATAAGTATCCCTAAAATCTAGAAAGAAAGCGTTTTGTAGTTGAGTTAGGTTTTACGTCCAAACAATAGATGGCACGCCACCGTTCTTTATTTGACCTTGAATTAAAAATAGAATCATGTTAACAATAAATGGCATCAATGAGATTGACTCTATACTTCCTAAGGCCCCCTTGGAGGTTTCAAAGAAAAGGGATTAGTCAAGTCGCTTCAAAAGGCGGAATCTAATCGTGATTAGGTAGGTTCATTTAGGTACGATAAATCTTCGACCTCTACATATCAAATTATATAAACATATTTGTTTTCATGGCAGGTGTACGGAAAACATGTGTGAATCATTATGTCTAACAGGTGCATAATATTACCGGGATTAACAGCTTTTTAATAATAGAAGGTCTTTCACTGACGCACATCAGTTACCACATACAGCTTGTAAAATTTTCAAAATCTACGACTACCTAAACCTAAAAAATGTAAGTATTGAGTATTGAGCTCAGGATAATATTCAAACTTCAGTTTGCAAGTCTTCTGTTGCTGTTTCACATTTATGTCAGTTTGTCTTTCTGAGTGTGTTATATATATATCAATGCATAATAAGTAGTCAATCTACTTTACGAAATATTCCGAAACCATCATATACTGAGTAACACACATTAAATGTTAGGCGAAATGGGCGGGTACATTTAAGAATCATAAAATTCAGAAAAATATATGTGTAGATATAAAAACAATCAAGTCATAATTTGCAAAAGCATCCTAGAACGCTAAAGCCGTACGTATTCTTAATACCCAAATATTCCTAAAATATATAAATATTCCCCTGTAGCGGTGTATCCGTGTCGACAATAAATTCTTAATATTGAAAGACGTGTGGCGAACAAAACAGGTTTATGCCCTAAGAAATGTTTTAGCATTGTTAAAGAATATAAAAAAAACAAAAAATTGTCTACACCACACAAGAGGCTGCATCACACGAAGCTGTTGGATACAGTTGATAACTTTGAATGAAATGCCATCAGACGCAAAGTCCATCAACTTCTTGAAAGGCAGGAACTTCCCACCATAGACAAAGTATTACAGGAGGTTAATAGTGATGAAGACTTACCTACTTCCAAAAGGACCACATTCTATAGTTTACTCAAAGAACTTCATTTTGAGTGTAGAAAACGGGACAGAAATAGTATTTTGATGGACAGTCAAGAGATTATTTCATGGAGTAGAAATTATTTAAAATCAATAAAGAAATGCCGCGACCAGGGCAGGAAGATTTATTACTTGGATGAAACCTGGATAAATGCAGGACAAACAAAACCTAAAGTATGGGCTGACTAGAATTAAATCTGCAAGACAAGCATTCTTAGATGGACTAACCACTAGCCTAAACTTATAATTAATACTAACCATTCGGACGATGATTCAAGTACTTCCAGCGATTAAAGAATTGTGAAAAGTATGTGCACTTCTTTCTATACAAATAATTATTTATTTTGTTAAATTATTCCAAGACCATTGAGGAAAATACGGACCTGTACAATCTCGCTTTTGAGCATGTTGTGTTTTGTCTGGGCGTACATGGAGTACAAATGGGGTATAGTTACCTATTTATTGCGCTTGCTACAGTCGGCAGTGGCCTCCACGACGATGCAGCGTCGCAGGATCGCATCTTTTGTCATTTAATTTTCCCGTTGTTAACGGGATCAGAAGCTTCTTAAGGGATAGAACGTCTTTGATACTAAATACATATGTAACATTTACAACCCCATACCCCATACAACAACAATTTTTGCAAATCTAAACATAAAATAAAACTGGTAATACATCATTCATAAGAAATGAACCAGCAGTCTGGTTCATCAAACTTACCATGGAAAAAAAGGATGAAACCTCAGTACATACATGGCATCTCACTATCAGTTCTTGTCCTTTTCAAGTATCACCGGTTTGACCTGGAGATCAACATCTTTGAAGTAAGGATGTTCAGCAATCCTCTTTGCTGAGATCCTTTTAGAAGGGTCATAGACTAACATCTCTTTGAGGAGATCCAGACCTTGCTCATCTAAGTTTTTCACTTGACTCGCCAACGAGTATTGAGTCCAACGTGGAAAAATTGCCTTGTATTCGCGCAGATTCGAGACGCCAGGCCATAGTTGCTCAGTTGGAGTCCTCAGGATTCTGCAAATATAACATATGATTTCTATATTCAGTTAACCTTTATTAACTCCACATATATTAAACAACTGTGAACAAAGTTGTAGGCTCATTACAGACCTTGTCATTGATGTTGAATGTCATTTGACTACAAATGGAACCCTTCTTTTTGGTGCTGCTTATCACATAAGCGGTATCCCACAGTGTGCTACTAAGAAAAACAAGGAAGGATTTTTCAATTTTGGTGCCAGAATATTCTACTAGATACTACGGCAGGCGCCGTCAGTAGTTGGTAATTCTGAGTATAGACTTGACACTAAGCTTGCCAAATTGTGAAATCCAAAGGAGACATTACTGTTTACTAACAAGATATACGAGCTAATGCCATTGATTAACATATTCAATCAGAAGATACCCCACTCGGTGGTGCCGTACACAGTGTTTTTTTAATACTGAAACAGCCGTCAGGATACCACGGCTGATATGAGGAGCTTAAGGTTAGTAGAACTGACGAAACGCCTCCTGATGTAGACTGTTCCACAATCTCGATACCTAGGGACAAAGGAGCGGTCGTATCGGCCAGTTCTGGATGTACGAAATTCAACATGGTTAGAATGGGAGGCTGAAGTCAGGCGGGTCTGTCTGGCAGACACAGCGCCCAGCACCCCAAACATGTGAGAAGTACTCGAGGCTAGGTCTTATCTGGGCCTTGTACAGTGTGGGGGTCATGTGGTGAAAAGTACTTCTTAGGCCTAAACCAAAAACCTAGCTTTTTCCCAGCAGCTGCTGCTACTGATGAGATGTCATATCAAGTCCATGGTGATCTGGACTTCCACCAGCTGAAATGAACGGCTCTTTGGTAGAACTCGGCCATCCATCGAAAAAAGATGAGCACTAGGACGGTACGTGTTCGTCAAGGTGCTAGCCTCCTTTTCTCCAGCTCACCGGCTGAGATAGGCTTGTCAGTTTGAATTTCTGCATGTGGATTGAAGTCACCTTACAGGAAAGAAGGACTTTGATATATAAGAGGAACAATGTCGGAGCCAACACCGCTTCCTGGCGAACCCCCACGTTGACGTAGGATGAAGAGGAGAACCCGTCAATTACGATGGATATCTTGCAGCCAGAGAGGAAGTCAGCCACCCATCTACAGAGCTTCCCGTAGAGGCCATATGATGGAAGTCTTCATAAGAGGGCAGCGTGCCTCAGCTGATCAAACGCTTTCGGGATATCAAGAGCAACGACATGAGCCTTACCTAACTTTCGCCGCAGGTTTTGTGATTTCCTTTTCCATCATTGAGAGATTCTCAGAATACAAAGTCTTATGAATAATTACGCGGGAAGTTGAAGGATAACCTTTACATAGACGATTGTCATTACTTCTAAGAGAAACGTGTTATTACAGGCTGTGACGGATAATGTAAGTGAATGTCGCAATACAGCATATATGGTCGGGTGTCTTTTTGAAGAATGATTCTATCAATTGTATTAGTCATTAATCTGCCGATCAACATTTTAGTTCTTACCTAAATATTCTGAAAAGTTGGTCAATTTCAGAATCTCCTTGGAAGAGTGGCTTGCTAGTGGCCATTTCAGCAAATATACACCCCAGTGACCATATATCAACAGGACATGAGTATCTAGCTGAACCTAAAAGTACTTCTGGTGCTCTGTACCACAATGTGACCACTTCATGGGTGTATACTCGCACGGGAACGCCAAATGCGCGGCCCAAACCAAAATCGGCCACCTACAAAAACAAAAAATGGACCAAAATGACTACGCAATCTTCATTACTGAGATGCCTACCAAATAATAAATATAAAATATACAAAACTAAGTTTTATTACAAAAATTTCAATTTTCCAAATATTACTTAAAATAAAAGTAAACAACATTTCTACTAGACAGTATGTCAAGTCAAGTTATGATTTCTTGGGATTCAATCAACACAAACCATTTACTAAAATACGTCGGTTCGTCGACTTTAAACGCCATCTTCAGGTACATGTGTGAAGTTGACTGAATCCTAAGAACTTGAATTGATATCAACGGTCAGGAATCCAAAACTGCATTGTCAAAAGAAGCAATCTACCTTGATGACACCATTAGGTGATATTAAAAGATTCTGTGGTTTCAGATCTCGATGCAGTACTCTTCTGGAATGGCAAAACAGGATTGCTTCATTAATTTGCCACAAGTAGCTCTTGACCAATGCTGGATCCATGCAGGTGTCTAAATTGTCAATGTACTTTTTCAGATCCATAGATAAGAACTCGAATATTAAGTACAGTCTGAAAAAATAAAAATCATTCAAATTCAAGTTTGTTAAAAGCAATGTTAAAAGCTTACCTCTGTTCATCCATCATGACATCTTCTAGTTTAACTATGTTGGAATGGCACAACTCCTTTAGCAGTGATATTTCCCTAATTGCTGTTGTTGGCACTCCTTCATCATCTTTTTCAAGCCTAGAAAATAATAGTTATGGTTTTGATTTCAGCATGTAATGTACATCACTGACATTTTAAAGAATATGTTTTTTTCAGATAAGCAGCTATGTAGCATTTCTCTCTTGGTATTTCTTCATACCCTAACCCCTTTTTGAGGGATCAAGTAAAAATAACTTCATTACATGTTGAAAAATTTCTTGAAATAAAATCCAAATCAACATTGATCATTGCTATGTTTATATGTCCATGAAAAAGGAGTCTCAACCTTTTTTCAAACCAGATGGCTATAATTTGTTTTATATCTATAATTGAAAACAAGTATGTCATTCCTTCTTACAATAGGATAAACTATTTGACAAATGAAGCCAGTATATAACAACTAAGTTGCTATCTGGATAAATCATTCAGCCTTGATAAACCATCTTTTTAATTGAATTGAATGTAATATATTGTGAGCTTCCATTTAGCTGGACAGATTAAATCAAACTTTACAAAACTAAATATCAAATGTCATAGATCATTCTTTTGATTTTCCAGGTATCATAATATACATATATTGGAATATATTTTTTTTTTCTTAATATAAGGCATATAATATAAAAATTAAATAACTGTGAATGTGCATGTGTAATATGCAACGTCCTAATCAAAAGAGATTCACTTTAAAGGAATGTTGAAGAGGCAAAACTGCATTTAAGACATACAGTAATGGACAAAAGTATATAGACAAATTAATATTGTGCTGTATTTCTTTTTTAACTTGTTTTATTAATACAGCAACCTGTACACATAATTCGTTATACATAAATTCATTAGACTCCCTTCAATGAAAAATTAATTGAAAAAAACTGGAACTATGAAGGACAAAAATATATAGACAAAGCAAAACAATTATAGAAAAAAGAAGGAAGGTTCATTGAATTTTAGAAAACCAACCATGTTTGTGTTAATATTTTGTAGCATAACCATTATTATCAATCGCCGCCTGGCATCGTCTCGGCATAGATTGTAGAAGTTTTTCGATATAAGATTCATCAATCTGTCTCCACTTTTGCTCTAAAGCGGCAAAAAGTTCATCCTTGTTTGAATAATTTTCATCTCGTATTGGGGTTTATATCGGGAGAGTGTGAAGGCCATTTGAGAACTGGTATTTTTTCATCCAGAAAGAATTTCTTTGCAAGATTTGAAGTGTGCTTCAGGTCATTATATTGCTGGACGATTGATCTTAAGGGCATATTGTCTTCCATATAGGGTAACATGACATGCTTTAGTATGTCTGTGTATACAAACCTATTCATAATGCCATCTATTCTATGTAAAGGTCCCATCCCAAACCCCGAAGAGCACCCCCAAACCACAACAGACCTGCCTCCATGTTTGACAGTGGGCAAAGTGTACTTGGGGTTCAATCTTTGTCCACTAGGATGACTAACATAATGAACACCATCTGATCCAAACATATTGAACTTGAATTCGTCACTAAAACATACCCTCTTCCAGTCACAGATGCTCCAATCAAGATGCAACTGTGCATATTGTAATCGGTCCTTACGGTTTTTCCTTGAGATTAGCAGCTTCTTACTTGGGCGACTTGGAAATAACTTCAAATCATTTAATCTTCTACTTATAGTTTTCGTAGAAATACTGGCAATTCCTTTTGTCTCGATTTCGGCTTTTATTTGTCTTGGGGTTTTAAACAGATCTTTGGACGAAATTACTCTTATTAATCTAACTGATCTAGCATTTAGTTTTCTAGGCCGACCACTTCTCTTAGAGTCTTCCAAGATACATTTTTGTTTATATTTGTTCCATATTGCCCAAACTGCTTTATGCTTCAGCTTCAAATTTTTGGCAATGTCGACTTGACGTTGACCATCTTTGTATAACTCAATGATCTTAGTTTTCACATCGAAAGAAATTTATGGACCACGCGGCATGGTCTTAAAATCACTCAACTTATTCCACAATACTTGATGAACACAAACTAATCCTCTTCTGACACCAAACTGTACTAAACTAATGTTGAAATAAATTTGTCTACATATTTTTGTCCCTCATAAAAAAGTGCTTATATTCAGACTTGTATTGTGTTCATAATGCCCATCTATTCTATGTAAAGATCCCATCCCAAACCATAACAGACCCGCCTCCATGTTTGACAGTGGGCAAAGTATACTTGGGGTTCAATCTTTGTCCACTAGGACATCTAACGTAATGAACACTATCTGTTCCAAACATATTGAACTTGGATTCGTCACTGAAACATACCCTCTTCCAGTCACAGATGCTCCAGTCAAAATGCAACCGTGCAAATTGTAATCGGTCCTTACGGTTTTTCCTCGAGATTAGCGGCTTCTTGCTCGGGCGACGTGCAAATTACTTCAAATCATTTAATATTCTACTTATAGTTTTAAAAGAAACACTGACAATTCCTTTTGTCTCGATTTCAGCTTTTATTTGTCTTGGGGTTTTAAATGGATCTTTGGACGAAATTACTTTTATTTTTTAACTGATCTAGCATTTAGTTTTCTACGCCGACCACTTCTCTTAGAGGCTTCAAAGATACCTTTTTGTTTATATTTGTTCAATATTGCCCAAACTGCTTTATGGTAGAGGTTCAAATTTTTGCCAATATCGACTTGACGTTGACCATCTTTGTATAACTCAATGATCTTAGTTTTCACTTGGAAAGAAATTTCTGGACCACACCGCATGGTCTTAAAGTCACTCAACTTATTCCACAATACTTGATGAACACAAACTAATCCTCTTCTGAAACGAAACTGTACTAAACTAATGTTGAAAAGAATTTGTCAACGTATTTTTCTCCCTCATAAAAAAGTGCTTATATTCAGACTTGTATTGTGTTCATTGCAGATAATGTAAAAACAAGGAATTTAGTTTTTCTACTAATAACGCATTTGTTTATGGAGCAATGAAGTATGAATTCGTTTTCTAAAGGTATTTAGGAAAATATTCATATTTGTCTATATACTTTTGTCCATTACTGTATATTAGAATCTGCAATTATCAATTTCACAGGAATATCAACTTGGGAAATCATCAAGTATGTTTTATTCACTACTTTAATTATTAATTAACTTTAAAAAATTAATCAAAACGGAAATTAACATTAAAATCTATGATAGCAGGCTTCCTATAATGAATGAGTGTGACAACCTGGGACTCTGGATTGACACAGAACTAAAATACAAAAAGCAAGTAAATTTGTTATCTAGTTTGTCATACTGCATTTTGAAGCAGTTTTATCTGCATAGGCAAATAATGTCTACTACACTAAAGCTGAAACTGTGTGAAACATTAATTATGAGAAAGATCAGTTATTATTATTGTATATGGCCCCGCTCTATCATATAATGAACAAAACAAATTACAGCATATTCAGAATTCGTGCGTCAGATATTCTTGAGGAATATGAAAGTTAGATCATATTTCTTATAAATTTAAGGAACTTGGTATTCTGCAGATTAAAGGAATGCAAAAACTCTACTTATTGACACGCACACATACGTGTTAGCTACCAAACAACCACAATATTTGCATAAAAAGTTAGCATGATGTAGTGACATAAATCAACTGAATACAAGGAATAGAAATATGTTAGTGATACCCTTACATTCTAAGGCTGTTCACAAAAAATCATTTGGCTACAGGGCTATTCAATTATATAATGACTACCTGACACATTCCAAAATTACTCAATATTTAATTTTAAAAAGAGGCTGAAACTAAAACCACACACTGATGTCTGATGATGAACACAACATTCTGGAAATATGGACTATTCTTGTGATTGAATCTATTTTTTTTGTGTTGTTAATTAGTTATTATTGAGAATTATGTGCATATATTTCTATTGGTTGAATGTTTCACCATATTGTTGTTTTTTTTTTATTCTTTCAAAGGTTAGGTTGAAAAATGCTACTCTTAGCTTCACTTCACCTTTTTTGTACTTTTGTACAAAATAAAGCCCATTTATTAATATTATAATTATTTATATGAATTTCATTTAAAAATGCTATCTAAGTTTATCAACTTATAACTTTTCAATAGTGACTGCTTGTATTTTCGAAGACTACCACCTTTATGGTAGGTGAGCTCTATTGTAAGGATGAACAGAGTACTTGGTATACACTGCCTATTTTAGCAAGTATCAGGTTTCACTCAGTATTGAGTTACTTGACCAGGTAGTGGTAGGTTAATTTCTTGGAAAAATTAAATCAATTTTAAGAATGAGGGAACCATTCAAAAAAACAGATACAATCTTAATATCACTATCAGTAGATGAAATAACACAGAGCAAAGCACTCCACCCAGTATTTGGTATTTGAATCCAACCGAGTAGCTGGTACTCAGCCTTTATAAAAGTAGTACTCAGTACATCTCTACTCCATTGAACACAGCCAAAAATTAAAGTTTTCATTGAAAAACTCATATACTTATTCACAATATTAGTAAAACTAATGTCATATTTTGTAAGAAAATGCAAATTCTGCAAAACAAAAGGCACAAATATTGATATTATTAATATTCCTAAATTGAATATTATGAATGAATTATAGTCTAAAATCTATAGACTGATCAATAGATTCCCAAAATTGTGCAAACAAATGTGGAATACCATGTGAAAATCACAATTCTATGAAACGTACCGAATTTTCTTCATAGCCACAAGCTCTCCCGTTTTCTTGTTTTTGCCCTTATAAACGACTCCATAGGTCCCTTCTCCTATCTTTTCTATCTTCGTGAAGTCGCCAACACTCGCCGGTGTTACCATTTTTCTGGTTTATGCAGTTATGTCTGAAAGTTCAACCGTTTTTGCAGTGAAAGACAAACTACAACTAACCTATTTTTTGGCAAACGCTTATCATTAAAACCGGTTCAGTTGACTAATGATCAAGTAGCAAATGCAAAGTAAATAACGGAAATACGACATACATACTCACAAAATATTTATTGGGCTATGCAAATAATTCACACACCTCAACGAACTTTTGAATAAAATGGAGGCAACGAACGGCACAAAAATAAGTAGATTTGAATGAACGTCAAATACACAAGTCAAATATGGATGTGACAGATGTCAGGATATAACTGGGAATAGAACGGAAAAATTATCAGATTTACGATAAATAAATTCTTAGCAAAAGATGCAACAGAGGGCATGAGCGGTACTACCTCCCATCTACTGTTATGTACTGATTTTATTTTCGTATGCTGGCTATGATAAAATATATAAATAGATCTTGAACAGCCAAGAATGACTTCTTTATACTGTTTCTTTTTTCGAAACCAAGCCCAAATAATTAGGCAAGTTTCTAAATAATATATTGTTTACATCTTCCAATGCTTAATATTGACAATAATAATGAAAATTTAAGTTTAATCTTGAAAATGTGGTTTGGCCTAGCAGCTACGTCCAGGAAGTCCTGTCTACTCTCTCAACTCTAACCACAAAACGTATATGTGCCCATGCCCAAGCCTTCCAATTGAGAATAAAGTAATGTTTCCCGAAAGCTGCTAACAGGAATACTTCTCTCCTCTGGTATGTCCTCTTTACGCACGGAACGTACCTTTCTTAAGTCAAGTCAGCAAAACGTCAAGGTCTCAAGGTCAACTTTTAAATATGGCTGATGACAGTTGTGGGTGACAGATTGCAAAAGGGATTCTAAATTAAAATTCAGCATAATTATATTTTAGCTATTTACGAGTTGTAGAAAGCAAAATAGTAGTGACATGTAAATAAAAGTTTGCGCGTTGTTAATGAGCTTATGGTAGTTGTAAATATAAAAATAGTTTGCAATTTAAACAGTGCTGTGATAATATTGTAATGGCTGATGAAGGCTCTGAGCAGGAGCTAAGGAAAAACCTTCATATTATCCAGAATATGATAGATGTTTCAGCTCAGAGATTAGAAGGACTAAGGACCCAATGTGCTACTAGTGCTGAGTTGACTCAGCAAGAGATCAGAACCCTAGAGGTAGCTACATGTTTTCATTATTTGTTGTTAAACATAAAACTGTTGATTGATAAGAACGTTGAAGTTTATTACCTTTTATATGAGCACAACAATGATTTTTTGATGTTGCAATCATCTTAGGAAGACATTTCCACAGTTTCTGGCTTCATATAAATTTGCCTCTTTGTTAGCAACAGTGCTGCATTCACTTTCATATGCATTTATTCAGATTGAAATTTAATAGCTTCTTATACATTTGAAGAACATGCCACCTTTATAGTATGAATAACAGGGGTTACTAGTTACCTTATATTAAGTGACTTTTATGTTTACTTATTTTTTTAACTCAAATATTTTTGAGTATTTTTAACCCTCAAGCATATATAAAATGCAAAAATTGGTTTATGCAGCTGCTTGAAGAATTAACAAGAAACTATATTAATATTTTAGTTGCATAGCAGCATTTTACAAAACATTGTTGATGAATATTTTTTAACAAAGAAGTGACCTACTACTACTATTTAGCTTAATATCAATGTTTTTAAATTACAGCCTCTTTATTAGCTCATTTTTTAATTGGTGTATTATGTATAATTTTTAATTGTTTATTCCTTTATGTATTGTAAAAGAATTATACATGTGAATGTTTATATTTTGTTGACCAAGCATCTTGTTATCCTTTAACTAGATTTTTCATATTTGAGTAAAATTAATCACAAATAAGGTATAACCATTAAAATCCAGGAGAAGGAACAATAATCTAATATATAAATCATGTTATGTCTCCAATCACTGAAGATCATCACAACTAATGTGATTTTTTTAAATCTTATATCACAATCAATTATAAGATCAATATTCTATTACAAACTGGAATGGCTGGCTTAAGCATAATGTTACAATTCTCTATTGGCAAGCAAAAGAAGCAATCAGGAACTTCAAAAGATAAGCAAGCAACTTACAAAAATTTGAAATATCCCCAGGAAGGTTGTTGATGGTCTATAAATTTACTTTTAAAATTCTGATTGAAGAATGTTCTCAGTAATATACCCTCAAAATAGCTTCAATACAAATTTTCTAGAATTTTGGGTAAATTATTATTTTGAGAATATTACCAGGGCCATCTCTAGCCAAATATCTAACAAACACATTGTTAGTTACAGTAAGATTGAGATGTGTTTCTCAGACTTCCATTGTCTGTAAGATTTTTTGATTCACAGTGTTTTAATTCATGAATCAAAAAACCTTAAAGGCAATAGATGTATGAGGAACAACATATCAATAAGGTTACTCTAAAACATGTATAAAATAGATTTGAATTTCAAAAATTATGGTATGAACAACCTCAGTATTTTAGGAAATTGTAAATTGTGAATTCAGTGTTCAGCAGCAGTTGAATCAATAATAATTAGTTGAAAATAAAGTTAAGAATACTGATGCATTACAACTATGTCTACAAACAATATTCTTTTTTAGGGCAAGTTAATAAAGCTCTTCTCAGACCAACTAGTTACAAAACAGAAGTTAAAAAATGGCCATAAGGATGAGCACATTCCATCATTGACCCAGTGGCTTCAAGTTGTTGGACTGAGCAAGAACAGTATCACAGGATTATGTCAGAAGATTGCCTCTGTGGAAGAGCTACAAGAGAAGTCAGAACATGAACTTAAGGCTATTCTTACAGATAAGGGAGCTAGGCAAGAGGAGCTAAATAAACTTTTCAGGGCATTACATAATCTTAAAAGATATACAGGTATGTACCTTTGTTTTCCCTTCAACCTCAACACCTTCACATAAAATCAAAAAAGTCTTTGAAAATGCTTGTGCATATTTTAACAATGACCAGAAAATGCAAGGTGTTGTTCTTTAGAGGATTTCAAAAAGTTCCTATCATTAAACTGTAAATAAAATTTTGTTTACAGATTATTTTACTATCTGGGTGTCACTTAGGGCCGTATCGTCAGTCGTTCCTATAATTGTTGGATGCCTTTATGGCCTCCTTGATTGTCATAGTCTGTTCTATCCTTCAAAAATTTCTAGATTGCACCTGTTCCTTGTGAACGTCAGCGCTCTCCTATTGTGAAGTTATGTTTTCTTTTTGAATTGTAGGAAATTTCAGGCTGATAAGACATCATATAAATTAAAAGCATGAACAGTTTTATGCAAATAGGTATTTGTGACATAACCACTAAATAGAGCACTGACACGGAAAAACATAAAAATATGAAAATCAAGAAGGCCATAAAGGCGGAATACAGTTGTAGGAATGACTGATGATACAAGCCTTAGTAACAGCATGAGAAAATATCCTGTGAAAATACAAATAATGGAATTACTTTAGGAGAACTATATTTATTTATTAGAAACCTTTGAAAATATTGACATTTTATAATAAAATATGAATACAAGATAAAATAGAGATGTAGAACATATTCGCATATTTTGAAAGAAAAGTCATGTAAATCCTATGTATTTCCTATTGTATGGATTAGTTAATAGTATTTGGTTTTTATTCTGGATACCAATTGAACATGACCACACATTTCTTGTCAAACTGTTTGCACTTCTTTATGTACAAGACTTGAGTGATGAGACAGCATCACTTAACACTGCTTGTCAATGAACTCTAATATGGACACCTGTTTATCAAGCATTGTGAGTGATGCTGTTGCGTGATTCAAGTTGCGTGCCTAAATGGCTGCTAAGTCATTGAATACATGTTAATTTTTTTCTGATATTTGAGGGAAGATTCAATATCTTGTGAAATTATGGTCACATTCTAAGGACAAGATGTGAAAAAAAATATTATTTAGTTATTGATAGTTTTGACACGAAATCTTACATTTAAACTTTGGAAGGCTGGTGCTGCTGCATCTCAATTGTCATTGATAGAAAGGAGGAAGCATTTTATTATTATCAGTGGACATCTTATATCTGATAGTGCTAAAGATTAACTTTTCTAACTAAGATATGTCACTGTCTTATACTAAAACTAAAAATGATATCAGTTCTTTGGGAGTTGGAATATCATGATGAAAAGTAAAAACAAACCAAAACAGTTTATTAAAAAATTAATTTTTGAGAGCATATTGAGGTGAACGTTTCTTCTTGAACTGATTTAAAGGATCAAACCTGGACATATTATAAAAGAAAAGCAGGAAAATAAAAGTAACATCCTATTCAAAATAAATTGTGAAAGGTGGGTCTGTTTCCTAAACTTGCACTTAAACTTAGTAACTATGAAATTTGGATACTGGTTACTTTGGCAGATAAAAGGTAGCAAAAGTGTATAAAATAGTACATCAAATTCCTCAATGTATAAAGTCCAGTTTTTGATATTCTCTTCATAATGGTTAGAAATGATGTCATTAATTGTCAAACACTTAGTACAACCACTAAACTTTAATAAATCAACAGTTCAATTTTGCAATAGACCAAACTCAACATCTCACTCGCATCTGCTTGAATATTCAGAGAAATCCAAATACTACTGACGTAATGTGTATGAGAGAGAAGTGTGCATACATATGTTAGAAAGAGGTAGAAGTACCGCGATGCCCAGCAACCCGAGTGACGAGGCTTGCCGCATTGCCCTCTAACATACTTATTGCACGCTTCTCTCGCACACATTTATCTGTAATTGCCTCGTGTTGCACCTATGGCAGATTTGCAATGTAAAGATCATTAAAACTGTCTGGCTACTGGGGTTACATCTTTTGATAGTCCACCAAGCAACATATATAAATTTCAGCTTTTATACTATTACGAAAGTTTAACACTAGTTTATTAATGTTTAGTGGTGCCTGGAAGTGTGTCTGACAATGAATGACGTCATTTTTAATACCATTCTAAAGAGTATATAAAAAACTGGGCTTTGTAGTAACGAAGGTCTGGCCGTCGCGGGCTCTCGGTCTATCAGAGAGCTGTCATGTAGGCCGGCAGGAGTATTGGGTATTTTGAATAGCGGCACGTCGGTTTTTTGACATTAAAACGTGTTGCTTAAACATCTAAGCTGTAAGTTGTATATGTACTATAGCTGGAAGGAAATGGCAGCACAGGTGCATAGTGCATTTGTGTGCTAATAATCTGTGTTGATAATAATTCCCTTAGTTTATTGTCTCAAATATACTTTCTTGTGACGTAAGCTTCATCCTGGAAATTACATATGCAAATTTGCTGAATTTCAAAAATGAGAGAGATAATATAAGATAATCCTTGCTTGTTAAAGTTTATTACAACTGACAGGTAAAAAAATAGGCTACAGATGGGAATATTTAAGAAACGGGAAAGGTTATTGTATTTTACATTATTTTTCATTTCCAGTCATTCAAATTTCATAGAAAGTTAGTTTGTGATATCAAGTATAAAATACAAATCAGCACCTAGATGTGAGACACTGCGAAAATGTTTTGTGTGTGATGCGTGATAATTTTTCTATGATGTGGCTTGATTACACAAAATGCGGCCGCGGTGGTGATTGGTAAATTGCAATGTATAACTTTGAACATACCTATCTTCAGAAATCACAATACAAATAACCCGTCTCGTACAGCTAGCAGATATACTTGACGGGCAGCATATTCAGTAATATTACCATTACCACTGATTTTATAGACATGCAGACCAATACACACAACCACCATACAATCATCCAGATTAGATCTTGCTACTTAACCAATTTTGAATTTTCTTTCTGTCATATCTTCTCGGAGATATAGTTTGCTGGGAAACTGACGAGCGTGTCATGTCGTTGTCATTCCTCCATGACTCTTCTGATAACGCTCACAGTGCTCATAACGTGCAAACGTGGAACGAACTGTTTGCACACTAGGAACTATCTAGTCAGCAAGCTGACATTTTGTCGTTTTTTTACATTATATAGTTTTTTTAAGTAATAACCTTGCCGTTGGGAAACAATAATATAATGCCGTCACCATATTTAAACGATTTTTCGCCGCTAAATATTTCTTGGTTTATTTAGAAGAATATCAACTTAAAAACTAAACTAAGCATACGCCGACATTCCAATATCATATTTAACTATTGCATGATTCCAGATATCTTGAAACGGGGCGACAAAGACGCCGCAACATGTACGGACATGCACCTGTATTGGGATTCCTGGGATCGTCACAATCAACTGAAAAACGCCGTAGGGGAAGTGTCCCCGCGACCGGGCCGATCGCGCGCTGCCCGTGCGTCGGTGCCCTCCGAGGAAAGCCTCCTTAACAACAACTATGGGGGTGGCAAACATCATCGGGGAGGTCCAACAGCGGGTGAAACAGGCATGTCCGCATCCCCGTCCATGTCTAGTATCGGCTCGTTGAATGCTTGCGCTGGTGGTGGCGGGCATTTTGCGGTGGTGCCGCCCCCCCTGACGCCTCCACCGGGGCAGGCGACTTCCGCCAACAAGGGGGGGAAAGGTATGCATGTGCATGCGGATACACTTTCTAACATTACACTAGTAGGATTTAAGAACAATGGTCAGTTATACACTACTCCAAAAAATTAAGGGAGCAAGAAAAAATCCAAATTTTTCGGTAAAAAATGGTCGTATCTTGAAACTTTAGGATTCTAGTTTTCAGGTTTGTTAGCAGAAAACTTTTAGGAGCAACGGTTTTCCTGTAAATCTGACGGATAGTTCAAGAAAAGTTTTCTGCAACATTTTTGCCTTTTTCTTTTTAGTCCAAAGGGTAGAAAAAATGTAAACCGTTGAGCTATCACATGGATCAGACAACCCGTTTATTCAGATTCAATATACTGTTTTTAAAATCTCGATACGATCATTTGGCGCGGAGATATCTGACTTTTAATTAACAACGTTCTTTTTGTCATCAACCATAATCTCGGTAACCAGTGATCGCACGGAGAATGTAAGGGTATTTCTGAAAAGTGGAATAAACCCCCTATGAGATTTGCTTGAAATCTTTGAAGATTGAAGGCTGATGTTTTTAGGTTATTTGTACCTCCGAATAACCATGTACGACACGTCAGATCGGTCCATTGTACGGTTTCACCCTGTAATCTGGTTGAACAGGGAAAAATCGTTTTATTCTTTTGTTGTCACTATTGTCAATTTAAAAAAAAGCAATTAGAAAAATGTTATTCTTTCATTCATGGGATATTAAAAAAAATACTGACCATGGGCGGATCTAGAAAATATTCAGTGTTTCGTCCGACAGAAATGTAAGATCCGACACTGAACTTGCATCATTTTCAAACTTTGACCAATCAGTCTGGAGAAACAGTACAATAGATGCGTTCGTGCAGGGTTAGCCTTCTCATTAGAAGTTCAAAAAATGCGGTCATTTTCCGAAACTAGGCAAAACATTTTTTTTTTAACTTTTTTAAAATATTAAGGAAACAAAAATCATCAAAAATTGCAATAAAATTGCTTACAATTTAGTGGCCGTTGACAAAACGATGCTTTTTCATCCAAAGTCAGATAGATATCTTTGCGCCAAATGATCGTATCGAGATTTTAAAAATAGAATATTGAAGCTGATTAAACGGGCTATCTGATTCATAAGGCCTAACAAAACCTTTTTTAAGCCCGTGGACTAACAAGAGGGCTGTGAGAATTGCATAACAACTGTTGCTCCTAAAATGTTTCGGCTAAAAAATCTGAAAACTAGAATCTTAAAGCTCCATGTTTGAAGTCTAGATACGATCATTTTTCACCGATAAAATAAATAAATGTATAAATAAATAGTAAAAAATCTACTTACATAATACTTCAACGGCCCTTATACAATACTATACAGACACGCAACCTTTTGACTGTCACTGTCAAGTGTTGCTCTGCAAAATTAGAGTAAAATAAGTGTTCATAACTTCAAGTTACACAAAAAAATCAACGATCTGACTATTACTCTTAAATGCACATTCCTCACAGTTCTAATCCAATTATTAACATTGCATTCAGTTACAGAGATTATTGACATTCAGGCTGCCTAGGTCTTAAAGCATACATTATGCTGCGGGAGCACCATAGGAAGTAGAATAGCCAACATTTACTCGGTACTTGACCCTCCATCCACTGCTTTAGCAAAGCACATACCGTTTTGAAAGTATCTCTGAGTCAGTGTTGCCACTTACAATCCCTGTGATTTGCCAGCTGTGTCCTAATTGTGGTGACACATTATATGATGCATAGTATCAAGTTAAATTGCAGCAACTGCGTTCCGAATTTTCAGATATTTTGTCTGATTATTGAGTTTGAGGGAGATGTTTTGTTAGACCCAATTCAGTTCCCAAATCTAAAACTTTAAATCGACCAATTTCTAATACAATATCCCAATACATTATTTAACTTTGCAACAATTTCTCTTATGTTTTCCGCCAATGTGAGCCTACTATCAAAAAATAAGCCCTAAGTCATTGAAGGATTGACATCTTTCTATGTTAGTGTTGTTGATATGATAAGAAAAATGAATGGGGTTGACCTGACGGGAAAAGCTTAAGATTTTACATTTACTTATGTTTATGTCGAGTTTGTTGCTCTCATACCAGTTGCCATTAGGTTTAGTGCTGTGATTTTTTTTCTGGGATGAGCTAAATGGTTAGTTTTAGCAATGGTTATGTCACTTTTTAACAGAACTTATTAGAAATCAACGCAAAAAATCTTAAATTCATTTTTTTGTGAAAAATCTCTTCCATCCTTCAACTTTGGATTGCGGTAAACAAAATTGAGGTTGTATTTCATTATTCATTTTATGGTAAAAACTATTTCAATCCATTTAGAATAAACCCTGAAAATGTCAGCTTGCTACAATGAGTGTATCATGTCACATCCATTGTTGTGATTAGATAAACGTAAGAAACGCAATAGAATCCTTACTACCTACAAGTACAAAAGCTATTGTGATTAGCCGCTCTTTATGGCGATTTACCGACAAATGTGGAAGATAATTTAATTTAACTAGGTTTTAAAGAACATATTCTAAATAGCCTCCATTATACCATCTATACACAAGCGACACCTAATAAAATTGTCTTTGGACGTTGGAATGAATTCGCGTTTATAATGGAGATTTTTTGCGTTGATTTCTAAGTGGCTCTGTTAAAAAGTGACATAACCATTGCTAAAACTAACCCTAATGGTTTAGTTGTAATTGCGATTGAAAGTTCATTGTCCTGTTGTTTTCGAAATTTCACAAAATTGCAAATATCTTCTGAACTATAAAATTTGGGACCACAGATACGAGGGATGTCTTTTAAGTTTTGCATATAGAAACATAGTAGGCCGCGCGGATCGAACGTCAGTACTGAATCTTAACCTCACTCTTTAGTAAACTTAAATTCAAAGTTTCACAACAATACGCACAGTGTTCTCACTACAGAGAATTTTTAAGAGTCCATAGTGCATGACCAATTAATGCAGTTTATAGAAGAAAACAAAATTTTAGTGGAGACGCAAGCAGGCTTTCGAAAAAAATATTCCACAGAAACAGCTTTCCAGTTGGTAACTGAGAATTGGAGAAGAGCCATAGACTCAGAAGAAGTTGTCATAGCAGTATTTTTGGATTTGAAGAGGGCATTTGAAACGATTGATAGATATTTTGTTAGGTAAATTGAAGGCATATGGTATAACAGGAAGTGTTTTAAATTGGTTTAGAAATTATTTGTCTAAAAGGATGCAAGTTACAAAAGTTAATGACACTATTTCATCAAAAATTGAAAATACGTTGGGTGTTCCACAGGGCAGTATCCTGGGACCACTACTTTTTATTTTATACATAAATGTCATAGTCAAAAATGCAAAATTCAGATTTTCGCCGATGACACTATGATTTATATAAGTACTAAAAATATTCAGTCTGGTATCTCTTATATAAATGAAGACTTAAAGCTTGTCTCAAAAGGGTTAGCATCTAACAGACTAAAATTAAATGCAAGTAAAACGAAAGCCTTGTTAATCAGAAAAAAACAATGTACAAATGTTCAACTGAATATTGATGGTGAAGATATTGAATTCGTAGAAAATTTTAAATACCTGGGGGTTTTTGTTGACTCTCGATTAATTTTTGATATTCATTATGAAAAAGTTATAAATAAATTAGTAGTAAAGTGGGATATTTATCGAGTTTCTGGATGTCTGAGTTCATATAGCAGAAAAATTATCTATAATACCGTCATTCGTCCAAATTTCTTGTACTGCTCGACTATTCTATATTTAGCAAATAATTCCATTTTTGAAAGACTGCAAATTTTACAAAATAAGTGCATGAGAATAATACTAAATAAATTTTATCAAATATCTTGTAATGATATTCATTTATAAAGTAAAAAATAATATATTTCCATCAAGTCTAACTAATTTAACATCATCAAATGTCGACCTTCATTTATATAATACCAGAAATAAAGATGACTTCCATTTAATGATCAAAAAGTATAACATATGCTACAAATCTGTATTCCATCAAGGGTTGATTGAATATAATAAATTATACTCGGAGATAAAAGACCAGAAAACTTTGACAAAATTTAAAGTAAAATTGAGAAATCACTTGTTAAATCTACAATTATAGGTTGCCCAGCATTTACATCATACACCATATGGCTTGAATTTACTAGTTCTAGGTTGTTTACAATTGTTCTGTTTATGTAGCCAAATGTGCTAAATAAATCTTTCTACTACTACTACTACCAAGTCTTTAGAAAAATGGAAGTCAACCGAGAACATTTTCGCGCCATAATTTATTACAACTTGCAGAGACAATTATCGCAACAAGAATGCCTTGCTGAGTTACTGTCCGTTTTCGGCAATGAAGCGCCACATCAGTCGACAATTTCCCGTTGGTATGAAGAATTCAAACGTGGACGGGTGAGTCTTAGCGACGATTACAGGGTGGGTGCACCAAAAACGGCAGTCACCCAGGAAAACGTCGATGCTGTGCGCAAACTCATCATTGAAGATAGACATGTGACATATCGCGAGATTGAGGCGACCTTGAAGATAAAAAAAATTTACATGAAGAATTACTAGTAAGAAAATTACTTTCTCGTTGGATACCCCACCTGTTAACTAAAGAGCAGAAAGCAGCCAGGGTTAATTGGTGTCAAAAAACGCTTGACCGTTTCAATTCCGGAAACTCAAAAAATGCGTGCATTGTTAGTAGTGATGAATCGTGGATTTACTGTTATGAGCCAGAAAATAAACGACAGTCAGCTGTTTTGGTGTTCCAAGGTGAAGAAAAGGCAACAAAAGTCATCCGTTCTCGAAGTGTTTCGAAAAAGATGGACTTGACATTTGTGTCAAAAGCGGGTCATATTGCAAAAATTCCTTTTAATAAGCTAAGAACTGTTACTGCGGATTGGTATGCCACCATTTGTTTGCCAAAAGTCATCACCGAGCTTCGAAAAATCAACCCCGAAAGAAGAATCATCCTCCACCAAGACAATGCAAGCTCGCACACAGCCCAAAAAACAAGGCAGTATTTAACGGAAGAACGGAATTATTGGATCACCTCCATATAGTCCCGATCTAAATTCTAACGATTTCTTTACTTTTCCGAAAATTAAAAACAGACTGCGTGGTCAAAGGTTCCAGTCACCAGAAGAAACAGTTGACGCTTTCAAAAATGCCGTTTTGGATCTGCCAGCAAACGAGTGGAATTAGTGCTTCGAAAAACAATAGTCATTTAAAACTACCTACGGTGTTGTTTTATTTCCATATGCAAAACTTAAAATACATCCCTTGTATAGGGGATCATTCGATAGGTTTTGAGGCCCTCTATCACCTGACATCCGTTGATCCACTACTAACTTTACACCCTGTGTATATATATAAGGAACAATAGCAGTCCTAGATTAGATCTCTGAGGCACACCTGATCTAGGCGTAAAGGGATGTGATTTATAACCTCCATATGCTACAACTTGAATTCTATTTGTTAGGTACGAGTGCATCACTGAAACTAAATCATTTGACAAACCCACTGCCTGCAACTTTGATAAAAGGATGAAATGATCAATTGAGTCAAAAGCTGTCCTAAAATCTGTATATAGGACGTCTACCTATCCTTTGGAATCCAATACCTCCAAACCAAATTGTGTAACAGGAGCCAAGTTAGTGACAGTTGACCGATTTGTCATGAATCCATGTTGGGTTGTTACGATAGCGCTTCTAGGAGACATATACAGAGTAGAGAACAGTATAATTTCAAACAATTTGCCAAAATTTCATTAGGATATGGCACGATAATTTTCGACTACGCTGGCGTCGCCAGATTTAAGAATTGGACAAACTTGAAAATGTAGGTCATAATATGCTGCCTCGCTAATTTTTCAATTAACCCCTATTTTATTTTTTCATTTATAACTAATAACTACTTCTTACAGACAACAACTATAATTTATACTGCAAAAATAAATATGCCAATCTTTCTCTAGGTATTTTTGTTATCAAGAGATATTATTGATGTTTATGTATAGAGTGTGGTCAGAGGCGAATCTAGGGGAATATGGAGCTTGCAGCTTGCCTAAAGTCGAAATACTTTTTTCCTTCTAGTTGCAATGACCTTACCTCACATACAATAGTACTTAGAAAAAAACAAGTGGCACTTATTCAATTCTTGAGAGGTGCTTCTTTTGCAACAATCCTAGATTTGCCACTGAATATGATGTAAATGGGAATATGAATGCATGCATCCACATGTTTGGATGTTTTTCCATACACATTTTTTTTTTCTATAGCACTGATTAATGAAGGTGAATACAGAATAAATGGTAATCGCTTACGGCTTAATTAAACGTTTAGGTTAACCTCGTATCAAATTTGTCTCGGTGTTTCACCTCAGAATCAAGATTTAAATGTCAAATTAAAATTTACATATGCCGTAATCGTAACCCTCTACTGTGGAAGTTATGTATATTTTATTTACACCTTTTGCGTGTACATCTTAACTGACACTTGACTCTTGTCGAGTTTAAAAAGATTTACCGTTTTCATACTATTGATTGTTCTGTTTATGTTCAAATACTGAAGGATGTTATGATTTTTGCACTTGTGTTTCTTACTATATGAATGTATGTTATTTGTGTTTGAGAATGGGTGTTTGCTCTTCTACCTTTTATGTCAATGTTTCTTCCGACGTACATTTTCAATTTTAAGTGTTGAAGAATCTTGATGCATGAGGTGTCATTTAAATATATTTCAAATGAAAACATTTTTCAATCTAGATACAGTTCAGAGTGATGTTTCAATTTGTTGATTTACATAACTGCTTATTTTCCACATTTAGGTATGAAGTTTCCTACCACACCACCAGCAAGGCGAAAACACCTGACTGGTAATCAACCAGTTCTACTTCCAGATACTTTTCCGCTTACGAAAAGTAAATCACACGAATCACAGCTTGCCAGTTCCAAAGACGGGGATACAAATCCTTCAAAGTAAGTTCAACTAATTTGAAGCATTCATTTTATTTTAATATACCCTGTCAAATTGCGTGATACAACTCAAAGCTACTTTCGACAAACAACAGAAAAAGCTGCTGTAATCTTTGTTAATTATAAACAGCATGGTTGTGTGAGATTACAAAGCCAATCGTATTAATTCTTTCTTTACCAAATGCTTGTTCAGCTTGACGTCATTGCATTCCATATCGTTGCAGTGGAACTGGTATGGTTGGGAGAAGAGCAAGATTACCTACAGAGCCTGGACCTGAAACGATGGGATACACTAGTCCGACAAGTCCCATCAAGTCACCACCTTACAATAATTCATGTGGAGACAGTGATGACAGTAGTTACAAATGTGAGTTTATCTATAACTAGCTGTTACCCACGACTCTAAACAGAACCTCATCGTTGCCAATTTTTAGAAATTAGAAAACTTTCAAATTCAAATTTTAAACTAACTTGCAAGTATTCTTTAATTCCTTGCCCTGTCACAAAAGTCATTCTTAGCTGATAAGCTACTTTCCTGACAAAATTAATGTTTGTAGGTCAAATAGCTTCCGAGATTTCGTAATTAATGTGTATCTTTTTGCTTTTAATTAACCCCCTTAATCTAGCCCTGTAACAAAATCCATGAACTATAGTTTCCGATATCTCGTGATTAATGTGTTTCTTCCCGCCTTTATGTATATTTACCCTTAGCTCCCTTAATCCGGCACTGTTGTGAGATCCGTTCTCAACTGACATATGTCCTGTCCCTAAACTACCTCCCTACCAAATTTTATATTCATAGATCAAATAGTTTTCGAGATGTTGTGATTAATGTGCATCACTTCTTTTTTATACAGGGTAGCCCAACGAAAAGATCACACCCCCATTTGTGACCCCTTCTTGTATATTTTGGGAAAAACGCTCGGACACGTCAATTTTGATTTCTAGGAGGACCCCTTCATGTAAAGCCCTACAACAAAGGGTGATCCAAAAATAAGATATTGCGTTACATTTTGGATTTTTAAATTGTTTAGTAACTTTTGTATAATATAGTTTATACTTATCTTCAACCATTGTGACGCTATTTGAATTTACATTAAAATTCGACTAACTTAACTTGATACTGATACCAGCAAGAACATCTAGTATCAGTCAGTGCCATCGTATTTCATAATGTTCATTTCAAATTGTTGGGTTACCTACATAGGTGTAGTGTAGAATGCTAAACCAATTAGAAGTGTTACATTCTATAATTTCTATGTTTTTTTTTCTCAGCTATAAGCTTGCAAGTGCCAAGATCTCCACGTACACCAGTGACGCCCCGAGTGATGACCCATCAGATCAAACATCGTTTCACAAAGACCCTAAAGTTAATGTCATCATGTGGCTACTGTCAGAAACCGATATATTTTGGCACTGGACTTAAGTGCAAGGAGTGTAAATATACCTGTCACAGGGACTGCGAAGATAAGGTAGCTCCATCTTGCGGGTTGCCACCTGAACTACTTGACGAATTCAAAAAGAAGTTGTCCATGGAAACAGGTAATGTTAACACTCTCTGTGCACATTGTGCTTGTCTGGGCGGAATACGCTTCATGCAAATTTTTGCCGGGTGTTAGGGATGGCACTTGCATAAAGCAAGGGTGTCTAACCTCATCAGTCAAAAATCGTTCAGCAGTTTTAATGCTGTACTATTGTTAGAGGTACACAATGTTAGTTAGTGGGCAGATCGGATCTTAGTAATGATAAAATATAACATCTACTTGATTTCTGTGAACAATGATGATGAAAATAATTGTTTGCTTTGACGTAAACGGTGTTCAATTCTTATAATTATGATATTTAAGTAACAAAACTTATTTTTCAGGGCAAGTGTTCGTGTCTCCGACAGCAGGAAGGGCTAGCAATGCGAAAAATATCATGAACTCACTAACGAGAAGTAGGAATAGAAAAAGTTCACACCCTCAACCTTTAATCAGTACACCGGCCTTTCCAGTGAGTTGTCTTTCAAATAACATGTTTGACGTGTGTATTTATTCAATTTCTTTCAGCCTCCAGATTCAAGCTCAAACACCTCTAGCTGTAATAGTTCCACCCCATCGAGTCCTGCCGTGCAGATCTTAACAACTCCACATTCTAGTCACAAATCCACATTCCATTTTCCAGGTAAGCTACAGGTTATTTGCAGAATATGTTCGAATTTCACATAACAGGTTTTATTTTCTTTTGTTTATGTCTCCATCCCAGTAATCCATTCGTCTTATTTCCTTCGGTTTGTTTGTCTATTGGCGTTTTCCTATCCTGGTAATAGCCTGAATGACAAAATTCACCATTCACGCATAATTTTCCCGTTCGTGTGTAGCACCGGTAGCACACAGGCAGTTGCGTAGATCGATACGATAACTGCGACTTGACTCTAACAATAAAACTGCGTATGATTGACGATTTTGACACTCAGACCACGGCTCATCAGTCCCCGATGCCTTCGTTCTCCATATACGAGGAAAGCAGTATTACATACAGTTGTCAATAATAATACTTAGAGGACGTTTATGTATCGAGATCTTAGATTTGCTTGACAGCATCCCACGATGTTGCAAAAAAATCTAAAGGTGGGAAGACATTGTTATCACGACAGTTAACTGAGGAGCGATAATTCAAACTCAGTGTGTGCTTACGCGAAGAAGGAGATATATATATATATATATACATAGGTACAAGATACAATTACTTGTTAGTTGGGAAATTGGCAAAACTTTTAGGCTAAAGTTGACTCTTTTGACGATAAAATCAAGCTTTCGGCATTCTCTATGGAGCCATCATCAGGATTCTGAAAACACAATTGTGATGCTAGCGAAGAAGACAGATTTAAAATGTCAGACAACTTACTCGTCGGTGAGGTTTCAGCCACAAGGTGTTTCAGAAAGAACGTGGCTGCAACCTCACCGACGAGTAAGTTGTCTGACATTTTAAATCTGTCTTCTTTGCTAGCATCACAATTGTGTTTTCAGAATCCTGATGATGGCTCCATAGAGAATGCCGAAAGCTTGATTTTATCGTCAAAAGAGTCAACCTTATCCTAAAAGCTTTGCCAGTTTCCCAACTAACAAGTAATTGTATTTTGTACCCAACTAGTCGTTGGCTTTGGCAATGACTACTTCTCATATGCTAATTTTAATACATTTGTATAATAATGACTAATGTGTCTCGATAGTGTTGACCGTTGCGGTACCTTCATTCAGCTGTTCTTGATCGATTAATTACTGTTGTCAATAAATATATTTTACATGCATAGCCATTGGACACCCAATATTGTTGGATCAGATCAGATTCACGAAGGTTGTGAGACACACATGCCAAGTACCTTCATTCTGATTATTTTCGCATTTCAGCTTCAATGAGCTTCTCTCAAAGATAACATTTCCAGGATTGCAGCAAATAACTGTTGTATTGGTAGAATTGATAATTCTCTACTAGTCGGCTTATTCAAGTCGTCATTAATAAATTGGGCTGTGTTATCTGTTACTGTGCCTTTTGAGAAGCTATATCGTGCCTTTAAACTGTTGTACATCATAGAAACTGAACGGATTTATAACATCCATCATATATCTTCTTGGCGCAGTCTCAAATGCAGGTGATTTCTCGTTGTTCTTAATAACTTCCATAAACCCTTCATAATTCATTTTGCTCGCAATCACCGTCAACTAGGTGACAACTTTAATAGTACACGAAAATGATTCAACCTGAAATATTCCTATGGGTATCAAGTGACCCTGAAGTAATGTTTGTGAATGTCACTCTTAATCTTTTCCTTCTGTATTCCAGAAGTTAATGACGGTCTGATCGGCGGTGGTGGCAGCGGTTCAACGACACCCCTAATGTCATCTTCCACGTCATCAGACCACCATACGGAGCCTCTAACGCCAGATGCAATTGCGTTATCGTCGGCGTCGTCGTCTTTGTCGACAGCATCTTCTGTGCAACCTCCCCCGCCGCCCGAACAACCGCCCTTGCAGCAACACCCACCGACTATCGTACAGGAGCTAACGGGTTCACAACAGTCGCATGGGGTGGGAACTGACAGTGACAGGTGAGTTGTCCCACCATAGGCCTACACTGTCGCAAACATTGTTATGGAAAAAGTTAATCGGGTAATAATAATCTTCGCGCAATCTCCGCGGCCACAGCTTCAAATTGCAAAAGGAGCCATCTAGAACGACAGCCCCCATTGGTTTGTTTCCAATCGCATATTCACACTTGAAGCAGTTTACCTTAAACTGTGGTTAATGCTACGTCAGTAAATAGCCTCAAACTGTGTTATGATAGGTGGAATAGTGAACTTTATAGCTATGAACTTTTTTTCTTTTATGTATTTTACGCTACTTATCCGTACTCGTTTTCCTATTGATCATGAGCGTATAGTATTATAATCTGCTCATTTCTGTTTTTTAATAATAATAATGATAATAAGTGTTCATAAACAATTGATTTTAAAGAATTTAATGAACAATATACTTCTATTTTCTGTCGATTTGTCAACGAAATTTGCTTCTCTGAAGATGATTCCCTTATGGTCTCATCAAGATTTTATTAGTAAAAGAAAGATTAATTTACCACGTTTGGCTACATATACAGAATAATTTTAAACAGCTTAGAATTAGTAAATTCAAGGCATGTGATGTACATTCTGGGCAAGTTTTATCAAGTGATTCCTCAATTTTATTTTGAATTTTGTCAAAGTATTCTAGTCTTTTATCTCTTTACCTAATTTATTCTATTTCTCTGAATGGAATACATATTTTTAGCATGCATTATACTTTTTGGACATTAAATGGAAGACATCTTTATTTCTGGTATTATGTAAAAAATGGCATTTCAAATGGAAAACCATTATTTCCATACAGAAAATTTACAATTGTATTGGAATTGTCAATTCTACATACGCTACAGCCTATATTATGATGTTAATTTAGTTAGACATTATGGAAATATATTTTTACTTTGTAAATTACTACTTATTACAAGATATTCGATAACATGTTTCACATTGACCCATTTTAATTTGCTCAGCATTATTTGTCTAATTGGAGTATGTTTATCTTTATTTAGTGTTCTTCTTATGCACTTGTTTTGTAAACTTTTTAGTCTTTCAAAAGTGGAATTATTAGTTAAATATAGGTATTTAAATTTTTTTATGAATTCAGTATCTTCACCATGAATATTTAGTTCAACATTTACATTACATTACAATTTTTTTTTAATTAACGTAGCTTTCGATTTATTTACTTGTATTTCATTTGAGTTTGCCATTTTGAAACAAGTTACAAGTCTTTATTTAAATACTTACGAGATACCAGTTGAATATTTTGAGTGCCTGTATAAATCAAAGTGTCATCAGTGAACATTTGAATTTTGCATTTTCTTACTATGGCAGGTTAATCAAAAGCAGTGGTCTCAGGATACTGCCCTGTAGAACACCTAACATCTTTTCAGTTTTTGATAAAATGTTGTTAACTTTTTTAACTTGTCTAAAAACACTTCAAAACACACACACTAACAAAATATCCCTATCAATTGTTTCAAATGCCCTCTTCTAATCCAAAAGTGCTGCTATGATAACTCCTTCTGAGTCTATGGCTCTTCTCCAATTCTCAACAACCAACTGGAAAGCGGTTTCTGAAGAATATTTTCTTGCAAAACCCTGCTTGTGTTTGGAAAGGAAGGATCGATACATTGAAATATGACAAAATGTCCATTGAAGGTCTGGAAATGCTTTGTCTCCATAAGACAGGATGTTTAAACTTATCTGCTCTTGGTAGTTCACCTTAGCATTTTTTTGAAAACACTTTCAGATACCTAAGATAGTAATTCAAGCTGGCACCTTTTTTGACTGAATATAACCAAATGCTTTAAACGTCGCAAAACAAGTCACGTACAATTTTTTGCTAAACATCCGGCATCATGGAATTTGGGAATTTCCGATTCTGTTTTTGTATAATACTATAATATTTATTGGTGTTGTATATGCAATAGCATTTACACACGTCAAAAAGAGAAAAGTATATACATTCAAACTACCCATGAAATATGAGGACGAAGAAACATTAATAACAAATACAAGACACATTAAAACAGATCACGCCTTCTCAAATTTTCAGGAACCAAATGTGCCCTTGAATTTTCCTGACATCCTGTAAACCTTTTTTTTTCTTCTAGAGCAAAACAATTTAGAGATCTTTTTTGAGGAACGAGCCTCTCCGGTATACAATACAACAACGACTAAGCTTTTTACATTTCAGGACTGCATCACAAACATCGGGTACGTCAGGGAGTACAGATTCGGACAGAACGCCAGTGAGAGTCGACAGCCAAGATAGTCAGGTATCAGATACAGAAACTGTGACAGATGGTGGGCTAGGAGCAAGTGCAGCAGGAAATCGATGGCCCAGACAGAGCAGCGTAAGAAAAAAGTTCATAAGACTCCAAACATTACATTTTAGAGAGGACTTGACCACTTAAGGCTCGTTTTTCAGTCGCAACTACTATCTAGGGGTTATAGTTATCTATGAAAAAGCATTTTTCAATATCATGTTTGTAGTGAAACAGTTGTTAACTTTAACCAGAAGGCCATCTATGAGTTAGCTAGAAAGGCTGTAGTTAAGTAGCAATATCTGACGTTTGTTGACACCGACTTTGGCGTTTATTCAAAAATTCATATCAATCTATGGTTAAATATAAATTAAAGCTGAAACTTCTTTATGGATTAAGTGGCGTGAGTGCATATAGCAGAGACAAAGAGGCAAGAATACTAAAAATAAAAAGGACTGTATAAACAGAATGTTCCTCTTTCCAGGAAACTTTGTCGTTTTTTTTGCTCTCTATTATGCTTTTGTTTTTACTGGCCAATTTCCTCATCTTTTGAGGAATTTTCACTCTTTTTTAACGTTCTTTTTCTCTATGCTAAACAGCCTTCTTTACAAATTTTAGCAACAGGAATAGTATTTTTTCTCTGCTGCTGAAAACTTTTGTTTTTGGGTCGTCAATTATTTATAGAAGTGATACTAAAAAGGTGGCAAACACGATATACAACAGATATTTACAAACATAATTGTGTTTTTTGCGTATTTTTTTTAACTATGTGAGGTTGATTAGACATTTTGCAGTTGTCACCATCTTTACCACCATTTCTATAATCCCGTCTATAGGGTCTACTATTAAACATTTGTACAAGTAATGTTTGAAAACCCTCACCTTGCAACGAAGGTTTTATTCAAATTTCGACTATTTTATAAAATTTCATAAAAGGCAGGCTTGCAACATAAATATATGATGACCTTCTGGTAAGTTAACTGAGGCTGTCAAAATACTTGGAAACGCAAAGCAGGCAACTACAGGTTAACAGCCTGGTTATAGTTTACTAACCAGAAAATTAACTTGCGATTGAAAAACCGGGCCTTAGGCTATGTTCAAGTTCAAGTATTTAATAACACACGTTTTAAGGTGGCACGCCATTTTTTTTTTAGATTTTTTTCAACTATCTGTTTCCAGCAGTATTCTCAATCCTTTTCGTCCGATAATTTCATGGTGTGTATAGAGATGACTAAAAGACAATGTTTTCATTTTTTTGTAAAAAATGCAGTTTTTGCATTTTATTGTGCATTTTTTCTTCAATCGGAACTTTTTAACAAATTTAAGTACAGCTCTGAAATTGTGTGTGAATATTCCTCTTTAATAGAAGAATGAAACAAGTGATTACATTGTTCTTATCACTTTTCCTTTTCGAAAAATCTTTGATTTTCTTGAAGCTTCGTCTCGCAGCAAGTTGAGTTTTCAAGACAAGTAAAAATTTTTTAAAGAGAAAAAGTGATAAGAATGAAAGTAATCACTTGTCTCATTCATAGATAATAGTGAAATATTCACATACAATTTCAGAGCTGTACTAATATTTGTTAACAAGTTATGCCCGAAAAAAAATAAACAAAAAAATGCTCAAAAAATGCATTTTAAGACAAAAAAAATCAAAAACGATGTTTTTGTAGTTATTTCTATACACATCATTAAGTAATATGAAAAGGATTCAGAATACTGTGGCAAACAGGTAGTTGAAAATTAAGCTAGTGACAAGTTACATGGTTTCTAGTTCTCATTTTATAGCAATAACTACCGAAATTTAACGTTCATGAGCTAGTGTAATAAAAATGTATATTCATTGACTGTCTGTATGTGCTGACTCAAAGCCATAAAGCCAGTTTCATGTGCTATTAAATAACACTACTGTTTGGGTGACAAAAGATGAAAAAAGTATTTAGTAAATAGAAAACACTTTCGCATTACAGAGCAGTACTAGGCCCTTCTTCTTTAAAGCATTACACATTACATCTTATTTCTATTTTTAACCTCCCACGTAAACAAATAGGGTGTTATGAGTTTAAAGCGTGCGTGTATCTTGCCTGTCTGTGGAATCATAACTTTCCAATGGATGAACCGATTTGAATCGCAAGTCTTATTTGTCTAGACGGTTCTTAGCTATGTTTAATGAAGATTGGTTCCTCTGTTTGAAAGTTACGGGGTATGGGAAGCAGGTAAACATGTCATGAAATGCTTTGATATTTAGATTACTAAATCAATCTTTTAATGTAAATCAGTCAAGTTGTTCAAGAGTTTAAACAGTTATTCGCTATGACTTTCAATAATTTTGCTAATAAGGATCTCATTTTTTGTAGCAAATAACTGATCTTATAGGTTAATGCAATATTATGTGAACACTTTGGCTGTCAGGAAGGAGCGCCATGTTCTGATGAATTATTCAATATCGTTGTTTCTGCGTGACAATTGCTATTTTCTTGTTTAGTTATCGATGCGGGAATGGGATATCCCTTTTGACGAGCTGAAAATAGGAGAGCTAATAGGATCAGGTCGTTTTGGAGCTGTCTACCGAGGACAGTGGCATGGAGACGTTGCTGTTAAAGTATTAGACGTCAACTACCTCAAGGACGAAAAGACATTGGAGCAATTCAAAAATGAGGTATATTTTCATATCCCAGTAATTCGATTTATCAATATTTTATATACACTCCACGGGAAATAGTAGTTTAATCATTAAAATAATTTGATTCTTCGATTTATTTTAGGTATCTACGTTCAGGAAAACTCGTCATGAGAATCTGATATTATTTATGGGTGCTTGTATGAAACCACCTCAACTAGCTATTGTTACAAGCTTAAGTAAAGGAATGACGCTCTACACTCACATACATCTCAGAAAAGACAAGTTTAATATGACAAAGACGAAAAACGTCGCTCAACAAATCTCACAGGTATTGCTCAAGCTTTTTTTAACGTTAAATGTTCAAAAATATGAAAGGCGGAAGTTTCATGTCTGTTCTTATTGTAGGGGATGGGATACTTACACGCCAAAGGCATCGTTCACAAGGATTTGAAGAGCAAGAATATTTTTGTTGAGAATGGCAAAGTAGTAATAACGGATTTTGGATTATTCAGCATAACAAAATTATGCTTCGGAAATCGGTAAGTATTCATGTCTATTCTTAAATATGTGCTGGTATCTTTTCTAATTCTCCCCATGCGCATTTTTGTGTAATTTCAGGAGTATGAACATTGTTCTATGTTTTAGTAAATCTGATAGTTTGGGCATTCCACCTGGATGGCTGTGTTATTTAGCTCCCGAAATAATGCGGAGTTTGCAAGCTCATAATCCCCATGACGTGGAACTACCCTTCAGTAAAGCATCTGACGTCTATGCTTTCGGGTAAATATTTTACCTTCCTTCTAATCAATCCATTTGTTAGATTGAAACGTCAACTGGTCACTAAGGCAAATGTCACATATCAGTATTTACTGTGATTAGTTTGTATTTATCTTGGAATGATAGCAAGGTTGTTAGTAATTATTTATGTGTAAGGTTACATAGAAATCTACTGACACTGACGGAATGATCAGTAAATGCTGATGGTACGGACCACAAGTAAAACTGCTCATACTGCATTCATATAGAAACAGCATAAGTGAATATAACAAACTTTGCTACGCTACAGAACAGAATTCTTGAAGGAATTTATCCTTTACCAAACATCTTGATCTATACAGGTTTTCACAGGTTTTTTTTTCATTTTAGTACTGTTTGGTACGAATTACTGTGTGGTGAATGGCCTTTCAAAGGTCAACCCCCTGAGGCTGTGATATGGCAGGTTGGAAAAGGCATGAAACAACCTTTGGCTAACCTTCAGGCATCCAGAGACGTCAAGGTAAAACCATTAGTTCAAACTTCAAGTTACTCTTCATATATTCATAACGGGCGGTTCATTTAGCTACTTTTCTCAAATTAAAAAATATTCAAAGACAGACGAATACAAAAAATTCTATGACACTTTGATAATCACAAAAATTACGTAACGCGGTTTATTATATCATCCATATTTAGATTCTATATTAGTGAAATGTTTGCAAAAAGTACAAAATTCAGGAAATTAGGTTGTGGATTGATTTTTAACATACAAAAGTATCATCACATTAGCTCTTAAACAACTCAATTCAGTATTTAAGTTTCACATAATTGTTTCGTGCACACAGTTCTAACTACATCCATGGGCACGCATTTGGAGGGGCATGGGCCCACTGGCGTCTGCTTGAGAAAAAAATATACCTAATAGGAATCATTTCTTAAGCAACGAGTACCGTCTGTTTTTTTGTTTTTAAAGCATCCGCAAAAATTACATTGCTAGATCTGAATTGTGGCGATAGATGTGCCCCCCCTCAGCCCAAGAGACATGTACATTTTGATTCTGAACTTCCTACGGAATGCTGTTATCAGTTCAGTACATTACAGCGCAATTTAAATTCTTTCAGGAAAAAACTCACTTAGGAACATGTACAACAGAGAAACCTTTCCCTACGGTATCGGTATTTACTGACGATCTGGCAGCGTTGTCCACATCTGCGCCACACCGCTGCAGCGGGTTTTCGTTCATTCTGTGTATATATTGTGTGCGGTGCAGTGCTGATTAGTCAGCCGGACGGGTACGCCGGGCGGTGAGCTTGGATAACAGGAGTATGCAGATTGAAAACATTTCTCTATCATTCCAAATTTTAAAAACAAATTTGAGGGAAAATCTATGATATGTAAAATAAGACAAATAGGTACACATAATTATCGGGATTGGGAGCGTATAAGTATGCTAATTTGAAAAAGCCCACTCACCTCGTTTCTCTAAATTATGAACTATACACGTCTTTTTAAAACAATTTTAATATCACAAATGCATTTGTATAATACTACTAGTACTTTACTACAATATACACATTATATTTACATATTTTTAATTTATTTTTGTTATGGGTCAAGTGGCAGAATAGATACGAGCTTAACGTCGTCCTAAATAAAGACGATTTATTAATATTATTATTGAGTCACATTTATTATCGAAGAAAAGAAGCATTCTTGAGATTATTTTTTGTGATGATTATTTCTTTCAAATGTTACTATGATCAATGTAGTTGATGAGGTTCGACGACAGCCCGACTATGTGTGAGTGCCTGTCAGCTCGGCCCGACGGACGTACGTACTTTGTTTTAAACGTTATTTTATTTTCTCGAATTGTACGCTATCAGTTGTAAATCGGCCAGGAGGCAGTAACACCGTCTTCCTACCTATTATCCAGAGGGAACTATTTCATGGTTAATTCTGAAATACCAATTTTCGATGACGCGTCAGAGCACTTAGCGTTATATTATACTATCTGCTGCCTATAATTTAACCGCATTGGCGTTCAGATAATTTTGTTTCAGAAGACTGACAATTCGCGGATCGAAAATTGACCGCCTAAACCGTATGACGTCACATCTAGGAGGACTTTTTTCTTTTTTTACATCGAAGCAGCCGCGCAGGCAGAATTTAGGCACCGCGGCTGCTATGAGTTTATATTGTTAATCTGATTTTTAAACCGCCCAAGGTCAGTAGAGCTGGGAAAAGCCTCCTCATGTAGATTGTTACACAATCTCGATACCCTAAGGACAAATGAGCGGTCGTATCGCGTTTCTGGATGTACTATACCATGTTCGACACACATTTGGGTGGGAGGCTGAAGTCAGGGGGGTGTCTGGCAGCCACATCGTGTGGCAGCATCATAGAGCAGAGCTCTGAGGAGTAGAGACCGTTGGCGTAGCGGTAGGAGAGAGCTAGATCGCCGACTGCCCACCGGTGCGAAAGGGTCCCAAGACTGTCCGTTAGAGACGAGTCATCGACCAGTCGAACAGCCCTCCTCTGAACAGCAACAAACATGGATGTTGTATTCGGGGCGGCAGCACCTCAAACATGTGAGCAGTACTCGAGGCTAGGTCTTATATGGGCCTTGTAAACAGTTTTTCCCAGCAACTGCCGCTATGGAAAGACGAGATGTGTTGGTGCTAGATGAAGTCGTCGATGATCTGGACTCAGACCAGCCGAAATGACGGCTCTTTGATAGAACTCTGCCATCCATCGAAAGCAGATGAGCGCTGGGATGCTTCTTGTTCGTCAAGATACTGTGTTTTGGGAGCAATGAAATGTACAAGATTGCTGCGCTATTTCTAAATGCTAAGATTGTACGATTGAAGAATTAGAAATTATCACCACGTAATTAGCCAAATGCAACTCGAAATGCATCGAAAATAGGAATTCCAAAATGGATCACCTAAGCCGCGCTGACGGCCAAAATTAGACAAAAAATAATTTTCAAAATACGAACGTCGTGGATCCCCTTGTTTGATATTTGTTTGTAACCGGACAGTTTTTATGCTTTGGAAAATAGGTACCTCTGAATGAATCGTCCATTGCAGATAAAAACTGCATAAATCCTGAACCTAAAGATTGTGATTGATTTGAAGCAAAAAATAGTAATAAAACGGACCAAAGATGATTAATAGTTGTTTATTTTTAGGATATCCTAATGTTGTGTTGGTCATTTCGGCCAGGTGACAGGCCTGATTTCATCAGGTTACACAACATCATGGACAAGTTACCGAAAAAGCGACTGGAGAGGAGTCCATCACATCCTATACATCTTTCCAGATCTGCCGAGTCTGTATTTTGAACAGTTTTACGTTACTATTGGTTATCTGAAAAGTTCGAATCCCTCTCAACTGCAGAGTTATCACTAGACGGGTACTGTCGATTTTGGTTTGTATGAACATGCGCAGATACATCTAGTGCATTCCTTAGTAGGGTGTCCACTTAAAAATCAGGGGAAAGGGTTCTTCAAGATAAGCCGCGGTAGGACTAATAGAAGAAAAATATGCTTGTTCAAAGTCAAATGCAGACAGTTGATGATTTTTGTCAAATCGCGTTGCTGGGATTTTTTATATCTAGAATGGACACCCTGATTAATGGTGTCCCTAATCACTTTTGGGAGATAATGCAGAATTGTTAAATTTTATAGACCGTGTCTATTTGTTTTCTAAATACACGATCGTTTTTAAGGTACTGATGTTTATAAAATCCACCTTTATTATTATACAAAACCTCTGTACTAAAGATGGTACAGAAAAAGGTGTCAGACTCCAAATTATGGAAGCATGAAGTGGTTAATACATTTATCTTAAATGTATAGTGCATAATTTAAAATACATATTTGATGGCATGGGTAGAAAACTGTATGCATAGCAGCTTTCACTTGGATTTGCGAAGATTCTTTTGTAGTATCTACTTACTCTCTAGTTTTATCAAGTTGTATGAATCACGAATCGGGTAAAAATTCTATTTCCAAAAATGAAGATGTATATGACCACCATGATTCCAGTACAAGACACTGAAACTGTTATGTGATATATTTCTAAAGGCGTACCAGGCAGAAAATATTGTACAATGTAGAGGTTAAAACCCTAGAAATACGCGTTCAGTTCAAATTTGTTTGGACGAACATTCACTCCGTACTTTAATAGATAGACAAAGCTTTAAAACATGTTATCAACTAAACTGTATTATATTGTATCTATTTTTTGTTACCTTCTTTTGCTTTTACAGTGTAAGTAAAAATAGTTGAAGCTATGAAACAAGCCAAATTACACAAAATTTTGATGAAACGCTGGAGTCCTTAAAGGCAATGGAAAATCATCCACATAAAATGTATTTTTTGTATATAACAAATACTAGTCTATGAGGTTGCAACATAGATATCAAGTACTTGAATATTGGGGGAAAATACTACTATCATCACTTTCACTGAAAGAGCGTATTTCTACTCAACAATCCTAATGTTCTCATTGTTAGGTTTACAAATGTTATGTAAATATTTGAAAATTGTAAAAGTGTAAATACTGTAATATTTTCCAAGGGCATGCCCCTTTGTGTGCATATAATGTTTTAAGGATCCACATTCCTTAATGTTTCTTAAACTCTAGTCAATTTACGTTTAAAATTGCTGAGATTCGAAGGTTTGTTCCTGTTGTCTTAAGATAGCGGCCTTTGAATTACATTTTCTGAGGTTCCGTGTATGACAAAGATCATTCTCAATTCCAGTTAGTATTGAAGAGATCAAGAATTGTCTTGTCCAGTGGGAGAGTTCACTTTAAGATTCAAGAAAAAAAAAACAAACTTGATGAAAAGAAAATATTTATTATCAACATATTCCTAAATTCGGCGGGTTTTATTTCTTGAATATCGTTCCGTCCAAATGTTTGCCATCGCTTTCGGACACACTTGTTTATTTCTCGTCGAATTTTGTCTTTAAGCTCCTCCAGGGTTCGTGGATTATTGGAATACGCTTTTGACTTAAGATAATTCCACAAAAAATAATCGCCTGGCGTGAGGTCAGGTGTCCTAGGAAACCAGTGAATGTCTCCAAACTTCGATATAACTTTTTGACGAAAAACTGCTTTCATCGTGTCCATTGATTGTTCAAGATCCGTTCAGCACAAGATTTTCGTAATACGCAATCACTTTCCTTTAAAGCATGGACTGATTGGATTTAATAAGAATGAAAACCCATTTTTTTTTTCATTATGCCATGCAGTGTTGACCTAGAGATTCCCAAAGCTGCGGAATGCTTCCGTACAGAACGCCGAGGATTTGCAATGGCCGAATCACTTACTCGACGCATATTTTCTTCGGTTGATACAGTAGATGTGGGGCCAGGAATGTGTGGACTAAGAGTCTATTTCACTTAACCTCTTAATCCACTTTTTCAATAGGTTCTTACTTGGGGCATCTCTTGGTCGGCAAATGCTTTATCGTGTATGATCACCACTCTTAAAGTAAGACTCGATAGCAAAAGCACGTTGCGCTCCGGTCCAATGTTCCATTGTAACTATTTAACCCGCACGCCGAACGCGTCGATCGAGACCTCCCCACTTCCTCGCGTATACGGTTTCCGCGTAATTCAAATTTGAAATAATGTGAACTTTCCCACTGGAATTGACGATTAAAATATGTCAGATTTGCAAATTAACACGAGGATCTTTGTCATAACGGAACTCAGACAGTCTGCAGTACAGTTACATATAGAAGACTAGGGCAAATAAAAATAAATATGATTTTTTGTTTCATTTCAAGACCATAATATATGTGTGCGCGAAGTTCCTGACAAATCAGTAATAACTTTTATTTCCCAAAATACGTCAATAAATCCCTCTTGATACAACCTGTCAGTTTTATCGGGCATGAAAAGAGCATTTTCATACTTCTTGCCCACGAAGATCAGAGGTAGGAGATTAAACTAGGAGTGGATGTGAAGCCAGAAGTGTCCACGATGAATGTGTAATCATGTAATGTAATCCCCCTTGTTTCTCTGGCCAATCGAAACCACATATGTTGAAAAAAATCTTCATTGTAAACGTTTTGAAAGGCCAAAAAAATATGGGGTATTAACGCCATGAAACCCACAGCACAAGTTTCGGATTTTGTTACATGAATATCGGGTTCTGCATTTGTGGTATCACACTCGTCTAAATCTCTCTGTTGCTGTCATCATGAACCTAAATAACTCCAATTTTGACGATGCAGACGAGTGGCAAGCAGAAATATTGGATAATATATGTCATTTGTGAAAAGATCAAACACTTAATCAACATAAAGATTGTGGCAGGTTATGTTGACATTTTTCGCGTGCATCTGTATACAGTGTACTCCATCTATAATGTACATGGGATATAACATACTTCCGGTTATTACGTACTTATTTCATTGGACCGGCCAAAATAGTCTTGTAATTTTACTGGATATAGCGTACCGATTAAAATTTTAACTCTGGCTACAACGTTCAATATTTTTATCCACTCAGTAGTCATATTCTGGTTATAACGTGCAAACGTACGTGATAAGGTTGGCGTGCGTGGTGAGTGTTTAAACTGAAATCCATTTTTCAACGCATGGGCTGATCCAGTCGCTCACGTACGAGGGTAACTTGGCGAATAGACATATAGCTGCGGCAACATTTATTATACTGTATAATTTAATTTAAAGATAAGAAAATCGGAAACGAAAGGAATTAGTATTAGACAGTCTGCATAATCAATTCAGAAATTTCACAAGAATAACCAAGGCCGACCTTGAATACCTGATAACGTTGGTAACATCAGCGATAATGAAAATTGAAACACAGTTTCGAAAATCTGTATTACCAAGAACACGTTTAGTCATAACCTTGCCTTTTTTTTGGCTACTGGAGACACCTACAGCACCTTGCAGTATCTTTTCAGAGAGTCAAAATCATTTTGCTTTTTTCGAGACGAAATGGTCTCATCAGTTTTAATTTTTTTCTGTACTTCGCAACAGTATATATACATTTTCAATTGATTACTAGTTGTTTCCATACACCATTTTTTTTCGATTTTGAATAATACTCGTCGTGCCTAACGTCTCACAGTACCGATAATTTCTCAAACTCTTCCAAGAGTTTTAGATCTTTAGTATTATTCCATTTCATCATTAACTGGACTAAATACAATCAACTCTTTAATCCTGTGCGCCACGCTGTTTCCATCCACACTGAGCATTTGCGAACCCATTAATTTCTTTGAGCAACGTCTTGAGACTGACAACAGGCATTCACTGTTTGTTGCTCGCGCACATAAAGATACAGAGTGCGTGCTCAGATCTAAACGCACCTATAAAAAGAGTAATTCTCAGCCTCTGTCGGGGATTCACATTAATCGTTACTGGGAAATTTCACCGCTGTCGCGCGTTGGAAGGAATGTCGCCGGCGCGGCACCGGGGATTTCCAGTAATCAATTCAGGGAACTGTTATAGCGCGGAATGAGATGTCAGGTAATTTTATAATGGACGTTGCATTTAACCGTGCGAATGTTTATTATTTATTGTTTTGTTAAAATGACAGATACGCGCAAATCTATAGGTTTTAAAGAAAAGATAAACGTGATTAAACGTAACGAGAGTGGCATCGGCAAATCGGAAATTGCGACAAAGAAAAATATGGCAAAAATAATTTGGAGCAATCATGAAAAAAGCAAGCAAGTGAATATAAATCGCAGAGAATTAATAAAATTAGAAATCTCGTACGTCCAGATGTGGATCAAGCTCTTACACGATGGTTTGAGGTGCGAAGAAGTGGTCCAATTTTAAACGCAAAAACAGATTATTTATCCAAGGGATTACACGGTGGCGATTTTAGGTGCAGCGTTTCAAAGTTCGTCACAACATAAATGTCGGCAAAGTGTCTGGTGAAGCAGGAGATCTTAACAAGCTGAGGTAAACTGGTTATCGGATAAATGGCCAGGCATTGCACAAAATTACAGCTGTGAGGATATTTTTAACGCGGACGAAACCGGACTATTTTACTAGATAACTCCAGACCGTACACTGAAATTTAGAGGAGTAAAGTGTGCGGGAGGCAAACAAAGCTGAGATACACCATTTTGGTTTGCGCAAATATGAAAGGTAGTGAAAAATGTAAATTTCTTGTTATTGGTAAATACGAACAACCAAGGTGCATGAAAAATATTAAAAACTTTTTCTGTCATTTATCAATCGAACAGACGCGCATGGATGAACTTAGACATTTTTATTAATTATTTAAAGGAGTGCAATGAAAAACTAAGACGTCAAAAAAAGAAAAATATTGCTTCTGGTTGACCATTGTGCAACTCATCCCAAGAATGTAGATCTGACAAATATCAGATTAGAATTTTTTTCTCCCAATTGAACTTCGGTCGTACAACCGATGGATCAAGGCATAATAAAATGCCTTAAAACATATTATCGTAGATATTTTATGTATCGCCTAATCAGAGCATTGGATAATGAAAAACTTTCAACATAACAATTTTAGACTCGATAAAATTAATTGCACAATCATGGAATGAAGTTTCAAAAACACTATTGAAAACTGCTTTCAACATGAGGATCTAGTGAAATCGATCGACGTATTTACGCTGACTTGCACCAGATTTCCGATAACCACGCCCTCTCTAGCGACAGTACCGGCTTCATACGAATAGTGTTTTTCCTTAGGCAGTTTAACCTCATATCTCTAGTCTAGAAAACCTGTTGCCGACGTGATGTAACCATTCGCTTAGAATTTCAAGGCTTAGAAAACTGGTTTAAAGGTTTGAATCCGCTTCCAACTTTTTATCTTTATAGCAATACTTTTTCACTTAACAGAATATTCTGCAAGCAGATATGTTTTATGAATGACACTATTAAACCTTTCACATAACTAGGAATATTTTAAAGAGATGTGAATAAATGCGATACCTCAATTTTCATAATTTATTAATCTATGGTTAATACATGTGGAACACTGTTAGCTCATGACACAACTGGAACAGAAAATCTGAATACCTGTAAAGAATCCTTTCCAGAGAAACGAGACTGGTCAAAATGATCCTACTATTTGTCCTTGAACGACCTCCGCAAGTTGACAGTGCCACTTGGAAATATCAATATAGTTGTCAAATCCACTTATGAAAGTGTAGTAAACTCGAAGAGGTACCCATTTCTATCCTCTTTGTGACACCTAACATACCAATAAAGAAAAAAGGATTACATTATTAGGTTCGAATACTTGAGGTTCTTTGAAATTTCATTTGGAAGCTTGCATAACAAATAACAATTGCAAGATCGCTGACGAACTCTTACATTTTTGGCAATAATATCGCTACCAAAGATGTCGATTTCGTACGTTAATAGAACATGCGAGTTCCAGCATTACAGATAAAACTTCTTGTCGGTTGCGAAAAAAGCTGGCAGAAACAACATATGTTCCTATACCAATAACCAGAAACTCATAGTTCTGTTGTTTGAGTAAATAGGAATACAATACTTCCATATTTCAAGCTTCTATGAAGATAGAATCTAGTACTGACTATTTGTCTGCACTTCAGTAAAAATATATATCACCCAATAAGCGAAAAGTTTTGAATGTATCAAGCTGTAACTTACCAAAACTGGGCAACAAAACGTGTTGGGTAGAAATTGATATTTTATCAAATTGAAAATTGTATATACAAAGTAACAAAAAAAGAGGGACTAAACAAAATGATCAGACACAGTAGTAGTAGTGGTGGTGGTGGTGGTGAGGAGGTGAAGACTGACAACTAAGGCCACCATTGAGCCTTTTTGTCAACCCTGTAGTACCAACACTGTACTACTCCACAAGCCATCTATTGATAACTGATAAATAAACCAGCTCCAGTGATATGATGTACCTATATAGCCAACACACAACACAACATCCATGGCTCGGAATTAACTTCCGAGCCGGAGGAGCAAACCTCGGGTAGACCGATTGCTAGCTAGACGCGCTAACCACTCGGCTATCAAGGCCCCCTCTAAATTCATTTATTCATTCATCGAGGCCCCCGAAGAAAACAGTGAAAATGTATAGAATAAAAGTGAACTACTTTTGTCCATCTTTTTTTGTTATGATATTAAGAGTGCTACCCAATGCAGAAATATTTGGGATATGGAAAGGGAAGGTATGAGGGAAGCAGAGAGCAAATGGAAACGTTATTTTTCACACACCAGATATTAACGAACAAACTGCGTGTAGGATGACTGATTACAAAAATTAAGTAGTTTAGCGGCCACACGCCAAATAATGACAGTGTCAAAGAACTATTCTAATTATCTCATTTTTGAAGGAGAACAATTTAATCAATCAAGATGATAATGTTAAATCAATGAATTACTCGTATCATTTTTATGTATTTGTCATCATCCTACACAACGGCAGTTTATTGTAATGAAGCATTTGTTTGGAAAAAATGTATTTACCGACTGATTGTCCTTTTTATCCTTTTCATTAATGAATGTCCTTTTTTCTTATCCTTATCCAAATTGAATGTCCTTTTCCAAATTAATCCAAATCCCAAGTTTCTCGCGATCCTATCCAAGAGCTTATTTTGTCGGACAATTGGAAAATATGAGATCAGTAGCACTGTCAGATACAGCCGACTCAATATGATTTGCGTTAACTTTTTAGTCCCAACCAGACATTCCAAATAAGACTTTCTCTATAAGTGCCAACATGGGTATATCTTCGCAATTCCTAGCTATATTATGCAATAAACGATTATCTCTTGATTACGAGTATTATTAAAAAATACAGATTCCCTCTTATGAGTTACTACTCATAAGTATATGTAGGAATCTACTCGTCAATATGTGCCCCAAAGTTGTTCCAACAGCACTTCAGCATAAAAGATGAACACTTAAATGTTCATTTGTTGGTCTTAAGGTTTTCTATTCTAGTCACAGCACCATGTCATGGCAGATGTGTTCTTATAACATTTCATTATATGCTGAATAGAAGTCTATTGTCTCATAATAAATTGTCTGATCCCATATTTTCAAATATTCCGAAATCCTGTCCAAAGTGCGTAAATCCACTTGATCCAATAAGCGACAATCCAAATGAGTCTCCCTGAGTGATCCTGAATGTAAGTCCCGCGTAATGTATCCTCAAATATCCCTTTAGATTGAGTAATCCGAATCCTTTTCAATTGATAATTCCTCTCTGGCTCCCTGGTATGTTTTTGTTAACAGAATATAAGCCATACTTATGTCCTTTATTTTCCAATAACTGTCCAACGCTGATACACAGGCTCAGCAAAGGTACCATAATCAGAAGAAAAAAGTTACAATTAGTGCTTATGCCTTACCATATTACAAACTAGAAAAAAAAATCGTAGAAAATTACATAAACAAAATGAACCATTTCGAAACTGTCACACCAAAAATCTAACCAACGTAAAATGTGTATGCTGTACAATAAACTTGCTTTAGCAGTATACACGAGGTCTGTAAGTGACAAGACTGGCATCGTAGCGTTTCATCTGGCAACACTGTGGGCGCCGGACTTGGAGGTGAGGCAGGGGAACATGTAATCCGCCTTCAATACAAGTTAGAACTGGCTTGTCCCCACCGATTTTTTTGTGAAAGTTTTTTCTACTGGCCTACGGAGACAGCGTTTTGTCGTGAGCCCATGTTTTTTGGTGGTTTAAGGCATTTTCAGAGGGGTGCGACGTGACTGAAGATGAACCATGAAGTGGTAGGCTTTCATCTTCAAGACCCAATGAAAATACCGGCAGAATTTGGGATCTTGTCCATTCAGATCGTCGGTTGATAGAATGATCAGGGTAGAGTTAAATTCAACTCACTCCACCGTTCATCAGATCAGGAACAACAGCATGCTCCTTGTCACTGAGCAATGTCAATACCAGAGTTTTTACCCAGTAAAAACATTCCTGTGCCTCCTTATTCACCTGACTTGAGTCCTTGACTTTTTTCTCTCCGAAGTTGAAAAATCACCCCAAAAGGGAACTCGCATTTTGGAACAGTCGAAAAAATTCAAACAGCTGTAACCAACCAGCTGAAGGCTATTCCAGTATCCGAGTATCAGCACTGTTATGAGGAGCGGAAGAACGGTCTCCAGTGATGTGTGGCTTCAGAAGGAAGTTATTTTGAGGGTGACAATATAAAATTACTTGAATAGACAAATAACAACAATCAGTCTCATCAATTAACTTACAGACCTCGTAGATTGGTAATATTCTTAAGTAGAGCTTCATGAAAGCAAGATGAAGTGATTCAATCAAAAACGTGCCCTAAGAAAAAAACTTGTTTGTTCAACTTTTGTGACTTACATTGTTCAACGATTTTATCAACATAGTTTTGGTTTATATTTAGAGATTATCTTCATAGAGGCATAGTATAAAATCATACTAGAATATGTTAAAAGGAATGAGTGACAGTTTCAAAGACATGGAGGAATGTACACACAAAAATAATAAACACAAATCTACATAATAAAAGTATCTCAAAAAGAAATTTGCTTCTTCAACGTCAACCTATTGCGGGACGCAGACAATAATTAGAACCACGATTAGTGAATCTTGATTGGAAAAGAAAAAAAGAAAAAATGTTAGGAAAAAATACGTAGACAATAATACGTATACATAAAAAATAAGTTTAACTCACGAATGTTTAACTATTTGCAATGGTTGGTATTAGCAACAGTTTTTCAAGTTAAACAGAAGTAAAAGTTATCTGATTCCTAAAGAATGTATCGTCTGCTTGTTTAATTTATTCGTGAGGTAAACCAGATTTTCCAAAATGTTGCGCTGTCATATGAAAAGATAGACCTGCCTTTATTTGTATACTTGTAGCTTACTGTTGTCATCAAGCATAAATCAAATTAGATATTGACCTTCCAACACAGGTATTTTAACATCATGCAAGAAAAAGTGATTTTCTGATTTATCTATACCCTATTCGTAGTCCATTTATGCCCCGGCACAACAAAGATGCGACGCGGCCATAAAACTACGAACAAGTGCAGGATTCGACAGGATAGGACTCAGGCTGGGCTCAAGCTGTTGGATACAGTTGATAAATTTGATGGGAATGCCAGCAGTCGCAAAATCCATCGATTTTTTGAGAGGCAGTAACTTCCCACCATAAACAAAGTATTACAGGAGGTTAGTAATGACGAAGACTTACCTACTTTCAAAACGACCACATTCTATAGTTTACTCAAAGAACTTTGAGTATAGAAAATGGGGGGTATTTTGATGGACTGCCAAGAGATTATTTTATGGAGAAGAAATTATCTAAAATCAATAAAGGAATTCCGCGACCAGATCAGGAAAAGGGAAATGATTTGTTATCCGTCACATTGGCAGTGAAGATGACGTTGTGCCCACTGCCGTATGAACATTTGAGTCAAATAAAACGACCGACTACCATGAAGAAATGAATGGGAGTTCATTTTAACCATTTTAACGATGGTTTTAAGAAGCGCTCCCACAAGAAAGGCAGAAATTCAGCAATGGCTCCTATCAAAAGACATTAGTTTTAATGAAAATATGCAGAACTTATCCTTCTAGTCAGGCAGCACAAATATAATCTTGATGTTATTGACGAAATTGCTAAAAACCAAAATGAGACCATTTTAAAGCTGCCCCCTTAATAACTGCGAATTAAATCCCATTGAAATGATTCAGGCCAATATAAAAGACTATGAGACTTCAAACAATAGAGCATTCAAAATTTTCTGACGTGAAAAAGTTGAATGTGTAATAATTAACACGTTCACTGCGAACGACGCTGATCCGCGTCCGACCGATGTTTAACGAAAGGCGGCGGGCGCGGATCCGCGCTTCTGGCTGATATAAACTCACAAGACTGTGGTGTTGGCAGTTTGTACCGCACTCGCTTTCTGTTTGGTCACCTACATATTGAACATCTTTTTGGACTATTTTACGCGTAGGATCAAGTTTCGTTTATTTTTACATTGCGCAATGGCGGATGATGTGGAAGCAGGTTGTTCACGTCCAAAACGAGTGAAAACGTATTGTAACCGTAATAAAGGGCTTACAGAAAAAGAACTGTATGATATTCTTGCCAATTCAGGGAGTGAAATCGAGAATCTAAGTGACTCAGACAATTATGTTCCCAGTTCAGATGGAAGTGAGCAGTCTGATGGAAATATGTCTGAAACGAGTGATGATTTTTCCAGCCCACAGAAAAATCTTTAATAGGGTTTCAAGACATGTTTCGTGTTACTGCACGAAAAAAAACGTAATAGAAGAAGAAAATGTATATATGAAATAGTTTTCAATTACACAACGCACATCCAATAGGCTTACGACGCGAATCCGCGCTTCGCTTGTGCAGCGCCTAAAATCGTTTAGCCGCTAACGTGCGCGCGGCGCGAGGCAGGTCGCACCGAACGTGTTAATATCAACCATTCGGACGATGATTCAAGTACTTCCAGCAAATAAAGAACTGTGAAAAGTATTTGCACTTCTTTCTATAAAAATAACCATTTATTTTGTTAGATTATATAAGACCATTGAGGAAAATACGGACCTGTACAATCTCGCTTTTGGGCATGTTGTGTTATGTCTGGGCACAAATGGACTACGAATGGCACCAAAATTGCAGTAAATTTTGAATTTCAATGATATGTAATATGTAGTTGTTAGTAAAAAAATCAAAAGATAATGGAAAGACATATCTATCTAGTTACAGCAGGTTAAAAACAAAAGAAATACGAAGTTTGGTAGAAATATGCCTTTAGCAAGCTCTAATTAAGAGAAGTGAAATAAACCCGTTTAAATCGCTCAATATGTTCTAGACTATTTTTCTCTGTAAATGAATCTCAAATGCTAAGTGAATTGAGAGTAAAACAGAAAAACACAGAAGAAAATCCTTTCTTCCATCAAAAAACCTAGCACTCTCTTATAGAAAATAAATATTACATGTATATGAATACTTACTCATATCTCCATGCAGGCTACATTGAAATTACGACCTGGACCTGCTTCTCGAGTAGCTGCGCTTGACGGGGCTGTAAGTGGGCGAGCCCCGATTGCGCGGCGAGAAGGAGCGGCTTCTTGAACGGCCCCCTGAGCGCCGTTCGCTGCCCCCTTTGTCTTCTTTCACACGAATATATGACACTTCGCCCTGAAAAAAATACACAACTAAAATCCGCGGTTTTCCTGCATGCTATATTAAAGCTATTTACGAATTCATCTATCCTTTCTCCTTAATACGAAATGAAGAGCCTGGAATTCCCCTGCCTCTATGGTCAAGCAGCTTCGCATTTAACACTATTAACAGTACCTTAGAGTAACACAAGGATAGAGTGCGTGTTCCTGCTCATATGCTCGCCAATCATTCTGATCAGTTGTTATCGTTCGTACATTCTGTCATAAACATTTGTCATTGAATTGAGTAGAAAAAAATAACTGTCAACGTTCATCAATGAATACAATGTATTGGCAGATTGGTCTTACATATTTAAATCGGCAGATAGATCTAACAAGATCAAGTTAAAATATAATGCAGAGGGATCAATTCCATATCAGTTTTTTGGACTAATATAATTATTATAACAATAATCTTATACCTGTCATTCTGCAAAGCAGTGAGTGGGGTCCTCCCGCAAAATAGGCGATTGAAAGCAAACGAGAATTGGAGTCTTAAATATCCTTACAGTCAAACTCATATAATAATCAATAAGATTGTTTATATGCCGAAAGAATCGGGTCACGATTTGTCGGTCCCGGGGCACTCGATACTATTCCTAAATCCAACCTCTACTGATAACAGGCAGAAGTTGCTGAGACTTAGGGATGCACCGCGTATTCGGTTTGTACCAACAAATCCAGACTATGTAGAACGAGTCAGTCAAGGATTTGTTTGTCTCCTAAGTCTCATTGTAGCGAGGATGAAAATGTTACTTGACAAAAGGTCAAATTTTTGTCTTATTTTTTAAACGTGTTTGCAAATATTGTGGTGTTAGACGATCTCAAGACGTGGTACAATGAAGAGTATATCGCGTTTTTGCAGAAACAAAAGTTTATTCACATATAATAATTTAGGTTTAGTTCTTTCCAAATCTGTATTGGCCCTGCAGGACATCCAGCAGTTTTATTTTGTTTCTTTTGTAACCTCCTCACAAAGGCAGCTCAATAACAATTCAATAATATTTATGGCTATGACATGGCAGCGTAGTTTTGAGATGTCGCGTAAATATGCTTTCTTCTAATAAGAAGAATAATGGTTCAAAAATGTATAGTCAAAATATGGTTCCAATTTTAAATAATCCTAAAGCTGCTCAATTTATACTAACCTAAGGCACTTCTTCCCAAAAAAAAGTGTCTAAGCTGTGCAACTGTTTCTTTTGTAAATTACTTGAAAACATAAATGAAGGCACAAGTGGATGAAGATGTCATGTGTAACATTTTTTTTTTAAATTTCTTTTTTTTGCATTAAACTAACCTTAAGGAGTGATTCCTTCATTCTGAGATTACAATTAAACTAAACGTTAAAAATTTCAATAAAGCAAAAAGTACCAATAAAAAATGTTTAAAGTCAAATTTCTCCATACAACGATTTTGTTACATGACACCTTTATCCAGTTGTGTCTTCAAATATATTTTCAGATTAAAGGGACCTTTCCAAAAAAATATAACCTGGACAGGGCAAATTGCTCTTCTTGAGTACCCACTACTAGGCTTTTGAGAAATGTTGTACTTGATGCAACCCTACTTAGAAGAAAGTATAAAATGCTGACCACACCATATGACAATACTCATGCATATATCAATAAATAGTATGAAACTAAAATATACCTCATGTGATCTGAATCTGGAATCATCTAACTTTTTGATGGCGTATTTCATATCTTCATATCGCAAAAACTCGACAACTCCAGAGCCATCTTTGAATGCATCAGCAAAGCAAACGTCGCCAGCTTCACGCATGTGGTCTTTCAAATCTTGCCAAGAGCCAGATGGAGGCAAACCTGTATATTAACATAGGGAAAATATAAAATATCTGATTTTTAGGTCAGAGAATGTTTGTTCAAGCGCCGTATCGTCAGTCGTTCCTACAATTGTAGGACGCCTTTATGGCCTCCTTGATTGTCGTAGTCTTTTCTCTTCTTCAAAAATTTTATGATTGTACCTGTTCCTATTGTGAAGTTACGTTTTCCTTTTGAATTGTAGAAAATTTCAGGCTGATAAATCAAGATATAAACCAAAACCATGAACAATTTGATGCAAACAGATATTTGTGACATAACCTCAAAATAGAGCGATGACACGGACAAGTAGAAAGTTACGAAAATCAAGGTGGCTATAAAGGCGTCCTATAATGTAGGAACGACTAACCAATGCAAACAGCTTAATAGTGTGAATATTTTTCAGTTAAAATTATAGTTAACTGCAACATACAGGGTGATTCACAAGTTGTTGTTAAGGGGGGGTCTTCTATGCAACATTTTTTTGAATATCTTCAAAACCGTGAACTGGAATGAACTAAATTTTGATCTGAGGATTGTATTGTCCACATGCAAAAGTCTTGACTTAAAATTTAAGTGCACCAGTGGCGGAGATGCAGGGGATTAGTGGTATCATTTTTTCAAATAAAAATAGTACGCTATTTTTTTAAACGCGCAATTTTTCGAATTTTACCTGCAATTTGCTACAAATAATTAATCAACTTTTTTTCGTAGAGGGTACTGTTTTCGTAAAAATAAAACAAATTAGATCATTCATGAAGAGCCAAGATACAATTAGTTTCAAAATAAAATAGGAGGCCTTGATACCAACTTGACGTTTCTTGGGGGATAGTTTGTCAAAGTTATGTGTTATATGGTTGTTATCGTTACTACTACCATTTTTTTTTTTTTTGTAAAAGTCAAGTTAATGTTTTTTTTTCCATTTTTGAGTGTTGTAAAGTGAAATTTAGCAACGATAAGTACGCCGATATTATTTTTGTATACGGGTTCTGTAATGGAAATGCTTTAGCGGCTTCTCGGGAATATCAACGTAGATTTCCTAACAGACGCCAACCTACCCCAGAGGTTTTTAAGCCTTCATTTCTAAGACTTCGGCACTATGGAATTGCCAAAATTCCCGCAGTTAGAGGCCATGGTTTCCAGCACACTCTTCAATGGAAACTGGAAGTGATTAATTTGGCGTTGGATGATCCTAGTACAAGTAGTAGACGGATTGCAGCACAGTTATCATGTTCCCAAAGTCTTGCGTGGAGAGTTTTACATCCTTACCATCGGCAAAATGTGCAATGTATGCAACACGGCGACAAAGTGCAACATCGACATTTTTGTGAGTGATTACTGCACTTGTTTATAAATCAAAATACAGATTTTATTGATTTGGTTTTGTGGTCAGATGAATCGCTTTTTACGAGGAATGGAACCTTAATTCTCATGATGAACATATTTGGTCCATTCTGTAGGAATCCACTCGTTTCAACACAGATTTTCAGAAATGTCTGCCGCGGCATTTTCAATGGTCAACTGTTTATGCACGTATTGCCACAATGTCTAAATGCAAATTCATATTCATTTTCTAGATAATTACATAGAAAATGTGTTAGATGGTGTTCCGGTAGCATCGGTAGTACGAATGTGGTATCAGCACCACGGTGCCCCACCACCAAATTCAAGCCAGAACAAATTTTGCGGAAATACGTTTTTCTTTATTAAAAAGGTGCCACACTTGTATCCATCAAAATGGTGGTCTTTTTGAACATTTATTTTAACGTTTTGATTTTGTAATTGTTTTTTTTTATTTTTACAAAAACAATGCACTATAGGAAAAAACACAAGAGTAATTATTTGTAGCATTTTGAAGGTAAAATTCGAAAAATTGCGCTGTTTCAAACAGTGGAGCACTATTTTTATTTGGAAAAATAATGCCACTAACCCCCTGTATCTCCTTCACTGGACAAAAAGGTAAATCCACATACCAAATTATAGTTTATTCCAGTTGACGGTTTTTAAGATATTGAAAGGGATGTTTTTTATTTTTAAACTTCAACAACCCATATCTTTTTAATGAAGCCCTTGAGGAAAAAATGTTAAAATGCGGCCCTGTGTATGATGTTTTCTTTTTGGTCACGACTTGTGAATCACCCTGTATATTTGGCAATTATTGCTAATAGCAGCATTGTCCAATTTTGCACCCTTTTGGCGGCGTTTGTGTGGTTGGAGGTTAAATTGACAAAAGTAGACAGGAACAAGTACATTCATGAAAAATACAAGCAGCCTGAATGCAGTAACTGAAAAGAAAGATGAAACTAAGGACACCTCAAATGTCAAAATGCATAAGCCAATTAAGATGTAGACTGTGAAATAGAAATTTCAAGGTTGAAGTTTAACATCCGCCATTTTGATTTTAGGAAATAATAAACTCAAGATACATGTCAGTACCCGAGAGGTAAACAATCGTAAATCCAAAAACTAAAGTTTCGAGTAACGAATGAAACAGGCAAAAATTTCAACACAGCTTCAATAACGGACATATTGCATCTTCAAAACTAAAAATATCAACATCAAATAGGTAGTGCTTAACAAATTAGTATATTTTGGTTAATATTTTAATTTTGAGGTAATATTGCTAGAATATCTTAAAATTGAGTCAAAATGGACTTACGGCTGTTTACCTCTGAGCTACTGATGTATATAGGGCCAAAGATATACAGGGTGGCGCATCGAAAACGAAACAGACACATTTACTGGCAGCCCAGTTTTTTTTTTGAAAAACGCTCAGACCCTTCGATTTTGTTTTCGAGGGGGACACAAGTTTAGCAAAAAATCACGTTAGCACGTGCAGCCCCCTAAGTGGGGTGACACCACCCCCAAAATCTTAAATGGAAAGGGTGATACCTTATTTTAAATGTCTTTCAATTCCCTTTATAATGATATAAAATGAATGTACTTCAGTTCAGTTGTTTTGAGGATTTATTGATTTAAAGCTTAAATAAAACTAATATATCATTAGTGGAGATCAATACATTTGGCAGCAAAGTAATTTAAAAATGAAGAATGAACTGACCTGTTAGGCAAGTAAATGTTGAAAATGGTCACCATGACTCTCCATGCAATAATAAAGATTTTGCTCAAAACGTTGCCGCACATTTTGCAATATTTGAGGAGTAATTTGAAGGCACTCATTCACAATTTTTTGTCGCAGGTCTTCTAATGATGTTGGCCGAGTAGTATAGATTTTGCTTTTTAAATGACCCCCACCTCTTCTACCAATCCATCGATCTGGAAACGTCTGATGTAAATATTGTCGAACACGTAATGCGTAATGTTGTGGGGCATTCTGATTTTCAATTATGGCTGTAATTCCAAATAAATTTTACCGGTCAAATTTCCAGGTAAGAAAAAAGGACCAACTAAATGATCACCAAAAATACCAGCCCAAACATTTAATTTTTGTGGCTGCTGTGTATGAACCTCATGATAAATTCTGGGATTAGAATCGGACCAGTATCGACAGTTATGACGATTTACTACGCCATTTAAGAAAAAGGAACATTCGTCGGAAAAGCAAGTGTTGAATAGAAAATGTTCGTTTATAATTCATTCACTCATATCTTCACAAAATTGTAATCGCCGATCAAAATCGTCTTCATTAAGTTCTTGTACCAGGTGAATTTTACACGGATGAAAACTATGGGCCTTTAGAATCCGTTGGACAGTATGTCGACTAACACCACACACAGTCTCCAATTTGCGGGTACTTAACGTAGGATCTACATCAACTTGCCGTAAAACCCCCACCTCTATTGCTTCGTTCCTTATGGGATTTTCAATGTTGCGTTTTTTATTGGCGACTGACCCAGTTTCCCGAAATTTAGCTACGAGTTCTAGAACATATTTTCGATGCACGTTACTGATCTCATGTCGCTCATTAAATATTTCTGCTGTTCTATTAGCGCACTGATTATTTCGGAAAAATATTTCGATAATATCAACTCTTTCTGCTGTGGAATATACCATGGTTAATTTATGTAATAAAGCGTTACAAGTTATTTTAGCAACTAAGTTTGGTCAAATCAATCGCAAACTTTGTACTAAATTCCTATTTAAAATAAGTACCAGATATTTCCTTATCTTTCTTCAAGAAATAACTTTTTTGCCACAAAAAAATAGCTATTTTCAACAACAAAATAATAAACAAACCATGGGCGTCGTGAAGAAAAGCATTTACTTATTAAGTAAATTCTTTTAGTCAAATTTCTTCTGAAAGCAGTACAAACTAGTCTGATGTACCTATTAAAGTCTACTTTAAGCTTTAAATCAATAAATCTTCAAAACTGCTGAACTGAAGCTCATGTATTTTACATCATTATAAAGGGAATTGAAAGACCTTTAAAATAAGGTATCACTCGACTCCCCTTTCCATTTAAGATTTCAGGGTTGGTGTCACCCCCGCCCAGGGGGCTGCACGTGTTAACGTGATTTTTTGCCAAACTTGTGTCCCCCTCTAAAACAAAATCGACAGGTCTGAGCGTTTTTCAAAAAAAAAAAAACAAACTGAGCCGTCAGTAAATGTGTTTCGTTTTTGATGCGCCACCCTGTATAACATTCTGCCAGAACACTTGAAAAAAAAAGGAAAATATTGAAACATTTAGCACCTGCTGCAAATAATATATTTTTGAGAATGCTGCACAATTTAAAAGGTTTTTTCTGATGGTGTTTTTGTATCATACTATGACTGATTTATTGTTTCAGTATTGGACTTGATTCTTGTTTTTTATAATTCAATAAATTGGATTGTCTTTTCTTTGGTAATCCCTGATGATGAAAGCAGTTTCAGATGGTTTGAGCCATCTAGGTGCATCTTTCTGTCATCAGGGTGTCTTTGATGGAGAGGAACTATATTGTTGTTGCTATTGTTTTTGTTTTTTGTTGTTGATATTTTGTAGTTGATAATAAATAATAAATGAAGCAAAAAATAAATATGAATATATTGATCTGGATAGCTCATTATTAATTAACATCTTTGTCAGTTATAAGAGAGATCCCCTATACCAGGAGAATCAAGACTTAACATAGCTTTGGCTGCAAGCCAACATGGCACTTCTGTTGCATGTGTACCAGCTACTGGCACCTAATTAGGTTTTAGGGCACTATGCAGGAATCTGCAGTCATGCTTTGTAGTCATTGTCTTGATGTTTGGCAGTTCTGGTATATAAGACTATGGTTTATAACAGACATGAACTCCAACCTAACTAGCACCAGCTACGTCTTGCTTTCTAGGTTAACCTCCACTGCAATTATTGACAATTATAGCTAACTGCAATTTGTAACTAACAATTATAACTATTACTTATAACTAAAAAAAATAAAATAAATACTTTGCCATGTACTTTCACGTTTGGTTATAACTTAAGATAGAACCAAGGTGTGTGTGTGTGTGTGTGTGTGTGTGTGTATGTCAGTTTCAGCTTACCTGTTACCAGTACTCTGAACTGTGACCTTCTGGCCGGTGGTCCTCGGCTTCCCCTGCCTCTTTCTCCACCACCACCACCCCCTCTTCCACCACGGAAGCCATGCCCACCCCCTCCCCTTGGGAACTCCACCCTTAATCTGTACCCATCATAATCATAACCATCACGGGCATGAACTGCATCATCAGCATCCCTAAATATGGACAAAAAAAAAATCAATTGACGATTTTTTTGTTCTACAACCATATGAAAAAGTGTACTTCATGGATAGGTTGTTTGGGTCGTAAGTCTCATTTTTTGGCACACACACTCCTGTATGACTTAAAGCAGAAAAGCAGCTTTAGCACCCTGATGATCGATAACTTGGAAACAATCATTTGTTATCAGGCAATTAGAAGTGGCAGAATAGTACAGCCATTCATGATATTAGAAGCACAAATTGTAGATGATCTATAATGGCTCATGATGGAAATTATTCAATGTCAACTTCACACATTTCTTGACCATCTTAAGTACACAAAACCCGGCCACGCGCAATCAACGAGAAAGACGTGGCTCTCAAAGAAAGGAAAAACAATCATAGTTAAGCAAGCCCGGCCACGCAAGTTGAAATATAATATCCTCTACCACCAGGTTTACTCCAATCGTGCCAAAAGAACCTTCCTCAAATCCCACATCATGTAAGAGACTTTCAATAATTCATGTTTTCTTACCTGGGATCTTCGAATTCAACGAAGGCAAATGGTGGACCACGACGATTTTTCAAATCTACAAAGGTTACCTTACCGAATTTATAAAAAAGGTCCTGTATATCTTTAGTGCGGATATCAGGGGGCAAGTTACCAACATATATTCTACAGTCATTACGACCACCAGATGGTCCACCAGACATTCTTTAGCACTGAAAAAACTTATGAATACACACAAATTGGATAAAATTATCCAATAAGTCAATAACTATAAAAAATAAGAATGATTATCGTATCTGGAAATGGCGTCACATAAATGAGAGGGCGCAGGCAGCAGGCACAAAACAGAAAACATATACACCACAAAACATATACACTGAGGCGCAAGCCCAAAACACGGACCGAAGAGCAAGAGATTTCATATTTTTTAACTGACTTATGTCATTATCGGCGGCCATTTTTTGAGGGTGCGCCATAGTTACCATATTAATGTCACGCAACATCACCAACTCTACATATAAATCTGAGATTGCTATGCTTTTATGCATGTATATTTGGTGAGGTATGGGAGACCTCATAACCGCATGTGTTATCAACATTTTGCGCTATCATGACGAATAAATGTTTTTTATGAAATAGTAATGCCAATAACACAAGCTGACTTGATTTGATTTGACTTCTACTCATTAGGGTAGGCCGGAGGCTGTTTGCCCAAAAATTACTGAGGTTCTAATTGGCAGAAAAATGAATCTCTTTAACAAAAAATGCCAAAGATAGATTTCGCGATTATGAAAAAAGCACTCAATGTAAAGGAATAAAGAAAAAATCGTAGTTTTAGATGATCAGATTGTTAAAGAAGTGCTAATCTAGATCTTTTGTGTTTGTACACGGATGCTGGATCATATGTCACCGCATCTCTGATTAAAGGATTTGAATGTGAACTTGCACGTTCGTAACTTTTGCTTGCAATTTCGTTAATGAATTGAGACAAGAAAGGAATGTCATGCAGTATTGTTTGTAGAATTTTGTTTTGTATGACTTGTAATTTTTTCATGAGCATTTTGACAGCAAAATATCAAGCTGCACATGTATAGGTCATGGTTTTGCGTTTTTTTACTTGAAAAGAAGTGTACTTTCCGCTCCCAAAATTTAAACATAACGATACGGGACACCTTGTATATAATAGCAGTCTCTGATTTAAATCTATGACAATATTGCGTGGCATTAATGCACTATATGACAAGCCCTCAAAAAAATGGCGCTTGACAATGACATAAGTCAATCGTGTTGCCCTTGAATAACCTGGATTTCAGCCTTCTTTATGTGTTCTTCTAGTCTTATGTGTTTTGTGCTGTAAATTGTTTTGTTGGTTTTGTGTGATCCATGATACAGTTGACCGACTTTTGTTGCGCTGTTTTTTATATTATTATCAAAAAATCAAGATAGGATTCGGGAAAAAGTCCATCAAAGGAATTCAATGAAAATGGTTAAAATAGACAATCGGGAAAATACTAAACACAGCTTCAAACAGAAATTTTGATCGACTGATAACAATTGGGAATACTGACCAAAATGATCAAATTAACATTATTATTATCAAGTCTGGTAAGTTCATTTAATCATTATATATCAAATAAGTACTTGATTTTTAAAATATTTATAGGAACTAATACTAGCAGACTATTGTGAGTTTGGAACATGTGGAGATAACCAGTATTGTTGTGGAGAGAACAAATGTTGCAACAAAACTGTTGACATATGGTATTACTGGTAAGGAGAACCAAATCACTACCACAACTTATTTGGGTAAACATTGTTGGATCATTTAATTTTAATATTGTGTTTCAGGGCTGGAATACTTTTGATAGTTATAATCATATTACTGTTACTATATTTCTTTAAAAAGAGTAAATGTAATGAACTTCAGCAAGATGAAGAAAGGCTGCTGATATGAAAATCCCTGTTCAAATATAGCTGTCTGTCTCTGAGTGATTCTACAATTGTGATAAATATATTTAGATATGTTTGTATAAAATATTTGGATATAGAAACATTCAAATATAATCAATATTTACTGATTGAGACCATAATTCTGAAAGAGAAAATATACCAACTCCTAAAGTTTGCATTTTAAGCTAAAAGTTTTAATTATTTTATTGCTTCTAGGTGTTGATTTAAAAAATTAATATAGTTCAACTGTATACATATGTATTTATAAAATAAAATTAATGTATTACATATTGCTTATACATTATATGTTCTTGTAAGTCCTGGACTGTTTACCATATGATGCTGAAAAAAAAACAACTTGTAAGGATTCTAAAAAAAATATTGTGAATCTATCAAGTTTTTCTGCCTTTAAGATGAGATTCAGGGCTGCATTTACATCAGATGCACACTACACAATTAATGATTATTTACAGTGCATTGGATAAAAAATTAATCCATTAAGGAATTCCATAGGTTTCTATGAATGTCACATTTTTTTCTGAAACAAACAGAAAGCTATAAAACCGCGTTATTCACGTGAAAGCTAGGTTAACATTAACCCAAAGGTCAATAGTTCATATTCCAAAGTAGTTGCAATATTGACCACATTCATCCTTGAAGTGTCCATCTATCGACATGGTGCTGTAAATATGAACACAGCCCTGCTGATTGAGTTTATCAACATATTTTTTTTATTGCCCTAGTCTGGATATTTGACAGTTCAACAGAATGGCCTTAAAGCAAATTTGAATTTCATCTTTGGATATAAATTAATTTTAATAATTCTTCCAGACAATGCATATATGCAGTACAATTGTAGGAACCCTTTATGGCCTCCTTGATTTTCATAGTTTTCTGTCCCACTCTATTTTGAGGTTATGTTACAAATATCTATTTGCATCAAATTGTTCATGGTTTGGATTTATATCAGCCTGAAATTACCTACAAAAGAAAACAGTCTCAAAATAGGGGGGTGACACAGTAGAAATAGCCCTGCCTTTCTAAAGGAGAGAAAAGACTATGAAAATCAAGGAGGCCATGAAGGCATCCTACAATATTGACGGAACGACTGACGATATGGCCTCCTTGATTTTCGTTTTTTCTCTCCTCCAGAAAGGCTGGGGTATTTCTATATTTCTGCTGTTCTGTGTCAGTGCCAGCACTCTCCTTTTTGAATTGTAGAATCTTTCAAGCTGATAAAACAGATAATACAAATCAAAAGCATGAACAATTTGATGCAAATAGATATTTGTGACGTAACCTCATAATAGAGCACTGACATGGATCAGTAGAACACATGAAAATCAAGGAGGCCATAAAGATGTTCTACATATTGCAGTAACAACCCTTAATAACCACTCTAGTTTTAGTGTTTTCAGACTTTTCATATCCAAGGTCTACTCAAGTTCATTTAAAGCACATTAGGGGGCATTCACACAGCAGAGTGATAATGTAATAGGGATGTCATAGGAAACTACTTCAATAGCTAAATTCTGGTGTAATACTGATTTTCTTGCATAGTAAACAATTAAATATACATACTTTGCGATTGTTATTTCTGGCATACCGGGATCTGCGCCTTTTTGGAATCCTAAAAGACACGTGAATTTTTATTCAAATGAGTATAAACAATGATAAACCATGTTACCTAAATATAACACTGTTGGTATGAATCCATAATGAAATACTGTCTTGGCTGCTTCTATTACCAACGCCAATCGTTGTTTCGAGCTTTCTGATAGAACCATTTTTTATTTTCTCTAATTTTCTGGCACACTAGGATCTATTCAATAGTCCTGAAAATTGAAAAAACAGAAAACATATACTGACAAACTACAGAACTTTGACAGAGAAGTACAGAACATAAATATAACCTGAGATAAACAAGAATTTTGCAGTGGAAAGCGTGGAACAGGGATGAATGACCCACAAGAATAAACCCTATTTGACGAGTATCCATCACGTTTTGACGTCTACCGAGGTGAACAGCTAATCAGCTAGTGACTAGGGGCAATTTGTATTAAACCGCTCCCACACGATGTGGCGAATGCCTTACAACGTTGGACACATGGCCATTCGCCACATCGTGTTCGAGAGCCTTGACGGATTGCATTTGTTCAACGTTCGCCACATGGCACGTTCGGGCTCTTGTCGGTAAATTTGACCCGCTTCAAGGGACGTTACAACGTTGGAAGCATGGTTCGTTACGCTCCCACACGAGATGTCATGTGTTTGATGGTTTTAGGTTAGAACCAGTAGAGCGGCCACAAACATTATTGATTTGTTTGCTGTGATTGTAGTGAAGTAGTGGTATGTGGGAAGTATTATGATTTGAATACCTACCTATTCATAATAATGTATGTTCCGTAACTAACTTTTGAGGAGAATGGATTAAATTTGTATACATACAAAGCGTAGACTGCCATAAGAACACTTTTTTCATATTGCTGATATTTTGTTTCGCAGGTAAGTTATGGCTGGCCTAAGGATATGTATTTTAGTAAATTATAAATTATCAAGTGCTTACAGTTGTTGCGATGCAAGACTAGTTGAGAAATATATTGACTTACATTTCATAACTAACGAAAAGGATTAAAGAAATGATAACTCTAAAAGTACTATCACGATTTTGATGAAATTTTGACCCGAGGTTGCTTCTATGAAAATGAAAAAGCTCTGCAGTTTTTCAAAATCGGTACAGTAGCGGTGGAGCTATCGTCTAAAAACAAACAAAAAACGGTCAAACTTTTTCGAACCAGGACACTCCCCAACAACCGCTAGATGGGTACTGAGTACTGACCAAAATCGCTCATCTATGATCATGGAGGTGGAAACCTTGCCTTGGAATGTACGAGATGCAGTGTTGCCAAGCGGACCAATGATGAAATCTTGCAGGCGATCCTGACCTTTCATTTCGACAGAAAATGGAGCGCCGGTATGACCGATCCGGAATCGATCCTAAACATATTCGACACAATTCAAAAATGTGTACCCTCAAAATAAAACCATTACTTGGGCGTAGGGAATGAGCCCACGCATATTTTCAACATGTATCTTAATTCAAGGAGCTGGTGGCAAAATGCCGCGTCAGCGTTTCTATCTCTTTCTAACATATATATAACTATAATGAGCATTGAGAGAATGTGTATGTGTGTCTATACACTCTTCTCTCTCGTACACATTGAACTCAAGCCATCAGACAAATTTGGTTCTCAGAGTATGCAAATGATGCACGTAATTGCAGCTATGAATCTCAAGTAACTGTATTTGAGACAAGAATCCAATGGAATTATCATCAACACATAATTATTAGCACACAAATTCTCACTATGCTGTTATTTCCAGTAATGCCATCTCTGAAGCAGATTTTACATCACATCGTAGCCAAGCATTGATAACTGAACCCTCATGACGTTTAGGCTACACGTACAACTACAAAACGAGTTTACAAAAGTGTCCTCAGCTAGTGCTAAGTTAACGTCTTGTCGAAAAACCTACATAATGTTAAAAAAGCAGTATAATGTAAAAATAATCGATATAACGTCACTTTTCAAGATATGTAATACCCGTGACGGCCATGGGTATTACATAACATGAAAAGTGACATTATGCTCTTTTCTTTATGAGATTATGTAAGTTTTCTTTCAAGATGACAACATGGAACTAGCGGTCGTTCACTTGTAACAGGCGCGGAATGAACAATGAACTAATTGCTTACTAGTAGCTGCCTAGTCAACAAGTTGACATTTTATCGGTTTTTTGATATTAGGGAGTTTTCGCATGACACTTAACGTGCTGTGGTATTTTCTAAGCACGTTATTTTGACAGATACGCATGCTCAGTTGTGGGTGTCATGATAGCGGGCACTAATTACGTTATTACCGCCTAGCGTAATTTGAGAACACTTAGCGTGAGGCGGTATATGATCGTTTCGTCTATACCCGGAACCAATAGGGCGATGATCGTTATGATTTGAGGTTAGGTGCCGTTAATGGGTGATGTTTCTTAATTTGAAAAAAAATCGGTTGGCCTGTGGTTTTCATTGTTATTCATAAAGTTTGTATTATGTGTACTGCGAAAGAAGTCAAGCGAACGGGGAACTTGTCTGTTGAGAATGCTGTGCAAAATCTCAGTCTCCCAACTCCTCGTTGTTCACTGCCCCTAAAGCGACCAAATCAAGAAGTTCTTGTACATTCATTTCGTCAAAGACACCTTTACAGCCAAAGTATTGAGGTTGTAGCGTTGTAGGGCACAGCTTTAACGTCACAAATTTAGGGTTATGTCCACGTTATTTCTCATGCTGTTGCGAAAAGTATCCACAACCGCTTAACATAACGTATACGTAATGTGCTTTACCGGATAGCGTTTGCGCCTACGTCGTTTCTCTAAGCGTTATGCGAAAATCCTATTATATAAGTTCTTTACGTAATAACCACATATTACATAACGTGTGTCGTGTGAATAACTGCAGATACCAGACGCATGCGCAATAATTTTAACTGGCTTCACAGTCACACACACACCCTCCTACCCTGTGCGGTCCCTCCACCACCCCTGTTCCAGGCAACCTCAAACCCTTGAGGAGTGGGGGGAAGAGCAATGTGCTCCTCCCCCCACTGGCTTCGATCACTGCGTCCTCATATATAGGCCCCATGGGCCACTGGCGCAGCCCTGGTAAAAAAAGTTGTCTGTGCCCGAGCCACGTCATTGGGTAAAGAGAGAGTAAAGGAGGCTATGGTCGAGCTTATGCTCACGTTCCATGGTTGACAATATTGACACTTAGACGGAGGGGATATTCCGTGTATATATTTTGTGGTTGACATAAGCTTACGTTTTGTACATATCTGCAAGACTGATTCTGTGAATTTAAAAACAAACGTCAGGGAATTCGGAGCTCCAAACTGTGGATTTTTTCTAGATTTGTTCATTGTAATCATTTCAGTTCCTCTAATTGGTAATGATTTTGAGAAGTCTGAACAACAAAATGTTCAAAAAAAGTCTAGTTCCTCAATTGGCAATCGAGGCATTACGAGAAGCAGACCAAGCATTTAAAGAGAGAGGAATTTGTAAGTAGGAATAAAATATAATCTGAATAAGTGCCGTGCATTTTTCTTTAGTAGCATTTTTTGTCTGAGCAGGCTTAAAAGGGTAATAAACACTTCATTTGCAGTGGAAGAACATGTCCTGGAGAAACTATATTCATTTTTTGGCGTTACCCTTTTATTAGCCACTGAGCTATTGGACAAGTGTAAATTGATTCGCTACACCTTGCAACAAGATACAAGAAGCGTTTACAAAATCATTGCCCCAAAAGAACAATGCACAATCTATGATAATATCAACTTTTGTCACTGTGATACATTTAAAAACGATGTGTTAGAAAAAGGGGAATCATTCACTTGTAAGCATGTCTTGGCTGTTAAACTAGGTAAAATTACAGATGTGGCTACTAAAGAAGTGGTTAGTGGATCACAGATGGTTGAGTTTTTGAATGAACAGTTTACTCATATTGATTAAAATTGGACTATAAAATTTTATCATTTTCATATTGTAAGATAATTTTTGTTTGCTCATATTTGAAATATTGTATACATACTTATATTCATAGATTTCTGAGGTCTGTAAAAGTATTATTTCTGGGTTAGTTTGGTTCTGTGTTGACTGAAAAAATATTTTATATAATTATAATATAATTATATCTGTCTATGATATTTAGTTTTATGAATTATTTGATTCAAGAATATTATTGCCCGCTTCCTAATACTCTCAAGTTTCTTAATTTGAACTAAATTTTTGTATCCATTCACAAATTTTTTTTCAAGGTAACTACATTTTTCAAATATCATATTTACCATGTGGTTTGTTCTAGTGCCATGTTTCTAGTCTGTAGATTTAAACAATTATATAATTTCTTTACCTACCTACCTACAATAGATGGTGTCATTATTTGAAAACCTTCACTATACTACCATTCTAATGCTGTTGATTTTTAGATTTATATATTAACATATTAGTGTTGTTATTATTAAAATTATAAGATTTGTATTTTTGCATTGGAATAACATTAAATAGAGGTTACCAGTTCCCAAAATTGTCTTTGATTTTATTTAATTTTTTTATTTCAAGATGCTCATGAGATCACATGTGTGGTGCTGCTCCTTTTGTCCTACCTTGCTACTTGCTACAGAATTATATAGCTGGATAAGTAGACTGTAATATTTTAGCTTGTTTTACCTGCTAACTACTGGACTGTTTGGTAAAAAAGTTTATAGTTGATAACAATGTTTTATTGACATTCATATACACATTCAACAACAGGGTTTTCTATACATCTAGAAAGAAAGGAATGTGGGTTTTTCCTTTGGAGAATTTTTACACATAATATCCACCATCAGATATCAAAGACTGATGTTCTCAATATACATAGTTTTGTGATGCATAGTACCAGCATTTGTTTGAAAATACCAATATGCAATGCCTAAAAGGATACTAAACAGCATTAAGGGTTTCCACAACAGTTAAAATACAATGTTGGAAAAATAAGGGCATGGCTGCACAATACATTTCACAATTGAATATTTTTCTGATTTTAGGCATAAATGACATGTTTTCATTGTTAGCTCTTGAGATGGTGTTTACTTATTTTCAGCATGTTTTGTGTTCTGGAACTGGAAACAATTAGTTGTCCATTTTGCTTCCTATGCCACTGAAAAAATCTCACGGAAAACCAAGGTACGCATTTTCGTCAGTTTGTCGATCTCTCCGCAATCCTTGGCCCGGCTGGTAAAGTACTGCTCAGAATTGGATGACATTTTAACATAAGGTTGTTACTACGCCAAGGACAAAAAGGCTCAGCAGCCTTTAGAAAATCGGTCCAGTGGCGATGAAAAAATGCTAAAAACGAAAAAAGAATTGTCGCTCATACTTCGTTTTTTGACGTTTCAGAGGATCCTGATCATTTTTTAAAATCCCTTTAGGGGGGGGTGGGGAAAGGTATATCTGAATTTTTTCATATTAATACACTTCCAACCTTGGTAATAGAAACTTATGAGACATATTTCACACACCACATATTTCCCCCTACATTTGCCTTTAAATTGATAGAGAAATGCTTTTGACACTCGTCCCTGCGTCTGCTCTGTGGCTTCACCGGCCGACGTGCCGGTCTTCGTTAGGCTTAGTTCAGATGACGCGCGTACGGCTGACGCTCGCTTCAAAAATACATAGAATTAATACTAGCTGTTCACATGGACGCATGCATGGAAAATCATACGCGCGTACAACGCCAGTATACGCGAATCTCAATACGCGCGTCGGTCTGCGCCGACGCGCGTAGCGAAATACTAGACGTTTCCATTGCCTGTTCAGTTGGCGCGCGTCTTTCAAAAAAAGTAATTCCTTACGTATGGTAGTTAGTGAAATGAAGTAGAACAATTCAACACCGATCTTTTCATTAGTGAAATCGAAATGAGGCCAGCGATTTGGGACATGCATTTCACGTTATACTCAATAAGACGGCAATCTGCCACAATATCATCCTGAATGACGGACAGTAAGTTGTCAAACGATTTTATTGACATCCTAAAGTAGTTGAAAAATTTAGGTTCATGCTTTCGAAGGCTAGGATACAGTATAAGGTATAAGCTTGTAGAAAGCCTAACTCTTTAAATTTGGGTGCACCCAGTATGTCCTTTCCCTCTACGTCGTTTACTTCTATATGAAAACCAAATACAAACAGCTTCTTCCACATCCATTCTCGTTGATTAAACACAATAAACTGACACTCGATCACCCAGTCTCACTCTATATAAAAGTGGTGCGAAGTCGTACGCGTGCCATCTGAACACTGACACAACAAACGTGCGCAACGTCGAAGCGCGTCATCTGAACTAAGCATAAGTGTCCTCGCATGACTGGCGCTGTACGCTGTTTCGCACTGACGCATCGTGCGCTCAGAAAGCAACGTTGCCAGATGGATGGTACAACGCCTAAACAGGGAACGAATCTCTATGTATTAATTGTATGGACCTCTGTTTGACTGACTTGATCCGTTTAATTTCTGTTATACATGTTCGTCTTAGAGAGGTCTAAGTTAAACTGATTTAGTCGGTCCAATCACAGACAGTCAACCAGAGATCAGCTGTTTCGTACTTTTTTTTTGGCGACTCATCAGCATGGTCTAGGCTTGATCTCTGAGACAACAAATGAAAGCATAGCAACTATATTTTATCCAGGATATAATACGGTGCTGACTTATTTCGATAGGGTCTAACTTGTGCTGAACATAATCCTTTATGAACTGATGACGGCATTACGTGGGAAGTGCGGTTAACCTCGTTGACGTCATTTTTCGTTAAACTTCAAGGACTGTTATCAGTACTGCTACATAACAAAACTATGTCTTTACAGTGTGATTCAAAAAAGTGTGACAATACCTCTAAAGCAAAAAGTACATCTAAAAATAAGATAAATTGCCCAAAAGTCATCGGTTCTAAAATATTCCATTGACAAGATGCAGATATGTCATTGATGAGATTCATTAAGGCATAGGATCTCCACTGTCAGCAACCTTCTCAAGCGTGAATAGTGCCTGTTGGGGGCCAGAACTATTATCAAGCAGTAGTATTAGTAGTAATAGTCATTTATTTACTCCATTATATAAGAACATTAACAACATAGAGTGGGTAAATAAATGTTTCAATCCATAGAAGGATAATGCCTGTACATGGATATCAGTCGTATGTTGGAATGCATTTCAAAATCAAATCAAAAAAGTTTGAAGTTTAAGAAATTTAAGAGAAAACTTATATCAAAGAGGTAGGTATATGTGGAGGAGATAATTTTAAGGGATATTTGATAGGAATTTAATAATATGTTGTCTTCATATTGCGCGTATCCATTGTGATAATTTCTTTTTAAAATCATGTATATCTCGAAATTGGTTTAAGTCTTTGGGTATGTGTTCATATAATTTTGGAGCAAAATAGAGAAAATATCGCTACCATTATTGTTTTATGAGGCTTAGGGACAGTTTTTGCTCGTGATTTATATCGTGTATCATGGGAATGTGTGATTTTATCGTGCTCACTGACAACTTTGTTATAATGGCTGATAGTATGTAAAAAATAAAGTTGCTTGAGGTGAAATAATTTTGTTTCATTATATAAATGTTATCTATACTAATTTCACGAAGGCCTTTGACAGCCTTGATCTTAACATATTGATTGGAAAATCAAAAGCATTGGGGATGTTGGATTGGATAAAAAGTTATCTTACTGAAAGGAAACAAGTGGTTAAAGTTAAAATTAAAAAAGTATTCTGAGATAACTGTCTGGTATCCCTCAAGGGGGTCATTATGTCCCCACCAAAGACGTCATATTGTAGATATGATACACCTGTAGTGATAGAAACAAACCAATACACTATCTACTACGACAGATCAATTATAACTGATTGGAGTGTTTCTGGCAATAGACCGGACATAGTACTGAGGGATAAATTCTTCTTTTGTAGGGGTCAAGATATCCCCGTTTCTACTCCACTGGCATAGTTGGAACTCATGTATTGGTTATGCTGTAAGTACCACGTGTACTTACTTAAAATCGTCACTTTTATCCACTCCAGAAATACAAAGGACTCCTCATGTTATTTTTGAACCTACTTTCTCACATAGATATAATGCCAGTTTTTTTTAACCACCTTGTATCTGAATTTTTAATTTATCGAATGGACTAGATTTGGCAGTTTCGAAAGCCTTTCATGCTGTTTTTGAAGCTACTTTCTGACCTAGAAATATTGCCACTGTTTTTTGTATTCAGTTTTTTAAGATTTTGGACATATTGAATGGACCATGTAAATTACCTCATCATACGAAACTGTATTGATTTTCGACAGCTCTGCTGGCAGCCTCAGCTTGAATCTGTTCTAAGGACGTATCCTGCGTACGAACGCTGCCATTGTATGTTTGCACCTGAAAAAATCACACCGTTGGCCGAAGGTTCTCTAGCCTTTCTAACCAACATCAAGGCATTAGGACGCACCCATACACTGCGGTAATTTGAACAACTGATGATATACAGAGTGTTACTGGCATGACATTATTTCTAGACGAAAATTTCATATAACTGTACTCGTGTACCGTGAAGGAAGAGAGCAGCGTAATACATCGAACGTTACTGAAAGCGCGACATCTCCGTTAATACGGTGAGATACTTAAGGTCCGACTTCATTTTAAAGGGTCGCCGCGCCTACAGTTACGTGCGACGTGTTTTGCTGTTCTCTTCCTTTTCGGTTTCAGGGTATACGGTGCCTATAATCATCCTTGCCGAGATACAGGGTGTGGAAATTTTAATTTTGTAATCGGAAAAAATATATATTTCCGGAGTGGACTGACTTGCAGTATTGACAAAAATTTTCGTACCTGCGACTACACCAATGGCACAGACATCGTGAAATTGTCACCTATATAGAAAAAATACTACGGCATTGACTTTGTTTAAACGATAGCATTTTTAAATAGGGGATTCGATTCTACACGAATCGCCTTCCATGAGAAATTTTCGTCAGTCTACTCCTATCTTAAATTCGCATACAAGACTTCAACCCATTCTATTCTGAAGTTAGGATAGTAATCATATCTCGCCATAGCTTATTTGAACATTTTCCTGTTGTGTCCTTATTTAGTCTTGCTAGTGACGTAAGAGTCTACAACACCCTGTGTCTCGGTAATTGACCATTTTAAAACCTATGTTTAGAGGAGTTTTTTGTTATTTTTGGATTACTTTTTACCAAAGAAATATTGACACGTTTCTCTGAAACACCCTGTATAGAATCAGGAACAATTTTCAAAAGGCAACCCTTTTTACTCTGACAACTAAGTGCGAAAATTAGTATCAATAAGATTGATTCTTGAGTATTTGTAACACTGTTTTGTTTCATGTTGCATTTCAACACTTAGATCCTTAATACCATGTCTCGGCTATTGAAATTTACGTAGGAAATAATGTCAGCCTAAACCACATGAATTTTAGAAACTGTCAGTTTTGAAAAATCTTTGACAAACTACTACTTTCAATGATAGGCAATTAAAAAAGATTTTCACAAATCAATCATATTTTAAAAATGTTTTTTCCTTAGTATTGGCGAAAAATTGTTACGCGAATGTCACACAACACAATCAGTATTTTCTGCGATATTTCAGTATTTAACATGGAATGTGATATTTATTGGCCGTGTAGCCAGGACGTCAATAATCTATTATTGATGTATAATTGTACATAGAAATCCACTGACACTGACGCAATGACCGTTAAATACTGCTGGTGCGGACCACAGTAAACACTGATCGTGTGACATCCTCATCAGAATCCCGACTAACATGACCGTACAGAAATTCAGAAATGGCATGCAAGACGCCCAAATAGATATGTAGAAATTTACTTGATTCACTTCTAAAATACAACTCCATGCTTTTTGATGCAATGACTGTAAGGTGTATAAAAATAAAACAATTATTAAAAATGTACGATTATATTTACATCTTTGTATTTAAATATATAATTCTAATTAACAAGAATTCCAGAGTATTTTAAAGATAAAGTGTGAACAAATCTAAAGAATCCCAAATCATATAAACTGGGCCATGAAGCATTAAAAATCCCTATTTTAGAAATGAACTCCAATAAAATAAAAAGGTAATCTTCCAAAAATAGAATCAAAATTCTTTTTCAAAGCAATGCGATTTTTGATTCACCTGCTATCACAATTTACATTAAAACTAATAAAAAACGGTACTAATATGTTTTGTTGTATAGAAATGCTATCAACTGGGTATGAAAATATCGATCATAAAAATGTTTGGAATACAGGGTATTTCATAGTCGCAGAGAATTAAAATTGTAGAAGTAACTGTGATGTCATAGTTTGTAACAAATATCTCAATTTGAGCAGCTATGATATCTGCAAATAGACAAATAACGACACCTTTAAAAATGATGCTTTTAACAACAATGAATTCCAAGTTCAAGTACATGTTTCACCTGCACAATTTCCTCTAAAAGTACCAGACTTCTCCCATGAACAACTCTAAAAATGTAATGATAAAGAATACCTCGGCATCAATATATTAAAAATGATTGAAGATTACAAAATTGTACATTACATTCATAGTTTGGAAAGTGAGCCGTTATTGAGCGAGCATTTCTATAATCTGAGGGACCTTGCTGGGGATATAGTATGCAAGATGAATAATGGTATCCTCAAATGTGGTGTGTATATAGAATTTTTTCCTGCTAACACTGTATATCACAAAATATTCGATTTTACATCACAATCCATGACGTTTCCAACCTATATTACTAATACTTTCAAATATCTATTGTCAAACTGGGATTACTGAATGTAACATACAGCCAGCAGGGCCGGTCCATTTTGAAAGGGTGTAAGGTGCAATACCTAGTTTTCCTTTCTTTTAACATTGAAGGACGTTTTCTAATAAAGGGTGTCAACAAGAGCGTCGTATTTGATTTTTTTCTTGTACAAATGGTATGGTGACTACTTGACGATAGCAATGATGTCCAGACCACGCGATTAGACGTCATGCAACAGTATTCAAACGAGCAACGTTTAATTATTGTGAAATCACTACAAAAATGGAGACAATTACGCGGAGACAGTTTGCAAATTAAGTACAATTTTCGGTCGCAATAATGCGCCAAATGAGTCGACAGTTCGCCGTTTAATTACAGAATTTGAGACAAAATTCACGTCGCTGAATCTGAAGACCGTTCGTCGCCGTCCTGGTCGGTCCCTCAAAAATATAGTCGCAGTGCGGGAAAGTGTGGCCGAGAATCCAGGCACTTCCATTCGGCATCGTGGCCCAGAATTGAACCTCACCACACTCACTCTGAATCTGTGCTTGTATGCGTACAAGGTTCAACTGACGCAAGAACTAAAGCCAACGGACCATGCGCAACGCCGTGAATTTGTTGATTGGGCGCTGGAGCACCACCAAATTGATGTGGATTTCTCGAAGAAAATCATTTTCTCTGATGAGGCACATTTTCAATAAGCAGAACTGCCGAATTTGGGGTTCTGAAAACGCTCGTGTAATAATAATTGAACCATGCATCCGCCGCGAGTTACCGTTTGGTAGGCAATGTGGAGTGGCGAAGTGATTGGACCGTATTTCTTCGAAAATGCAACTGGAACTGCGGTAACTGTTAATGGAGTGCGGTATCGCGAAATGTTAACAGAGTTTCTGTGGCCCCAGTTGGATCGAATTGATGCGGAGGATATGTTGTTTCAACAAGACGGTGCGAGCTACCACACAGCACGCGAAACAATGGTGTTACTGCGGACCAAGTTTCCAAACCGTGTCATCTCTCGGTTTGGCGATCAAAATTGGCCACCAACATCGTGCGATCTAACGCCAATGGACTTCTTCCACTGGGGCTATGTGAAGGAAAAGGTAGAGTTGAACGCTTTAAACAACAGATACGGCGCGTTATCGACGAAATAGAGCCACAGTTGTGCCAGAGGTTTCGTGGTGGCCATTTACCGGATGTCCTATTTCATGTTTAATCGCAACTGTTCCTCTTCATGTTGAAACACGCTCAATTCCAAAAGAAATTGCGTTTTTCTTGAAAATCAAATCCGCCGCTCTTATTGAGACACCCTTTATTATGCCGATTAATGAGGTATTCACGAAAAATACCTATAGAGGAGCTATTGTCAACATTACTCGTTCTTAATAGTTTCTAAATATAATGTTCAGTTGTCAAAATGACCTAATGCAGTTGAAAAATTACAGTTTTAAATGCCATTCATTATTTACCTCGGTGCATGTTCATTATCACCATTCAACTAAACAGTAGATATATTTCTCACTGAAGGAATGCGATCAATAATTGTGATTTCTCAGGTTAACTAATAATTATTAGTAAGAAAAAGCATATATGTTTGAAAGCTAGGTAATAATGACGAGTATGAGATATCACACTTGACCTAATTTGAGGACCCTGTATAATGATAAATCTTATTATAATATCTCATTATAAGACTACGAAATTCCCAGCAGTGTTGGATCTTTTTCCACCAACAAATTTGGGTTCTTAGAAAAGCTAACCCCGCCAAAAATATCTTCCAAGAAATAGATCGTTTGAAAAATATACGTACAGAATGTACAGTAGGTATTTTTTTACATTTAAGACTGTTATCTGGAAGTGGTACTTCGAAATGATGGTTGAAAATAATGCATAATAATATGTATAACTACATATTCCAATAAATAGCGCTTAAAATCATACTAAAAATAATATAAAAATAAATTATTAAATAAAACTATATACTAGAAAAAATTGCACTGGATCATATTTGTACAGAATATCCCTTGCTTGATATGGAAGTCAAAAAACAATCCGAAATTAGAAATGATAGAAGTCTTATCAAAATGATTCACAATATATGTAATACTTTTCAACGTTAGGTAGCAATGATGTAATAGATAGACGCCTTTTGAAAGTCCTTTTAAGACATATAATTGGGTATCGTTCTACAGATAATCTTAGCGAATTGATATGTAGTACATCAATTTTTCCAAATTAATTTATATAGTAAACAAATCCAGGCCAGACAAATTTCAGCTTCTATTATTGCAAATAACCTCAGCCATGTGAATATGTATATTTTGATAAAGATCCTCTATAAAAACTTTGAAATCAAGCATGATACTGAAGCTTTCTAGTGACACAAACCAGAAGCTGAACACTACGAAATGAAGCACATTGCTAGATTCATACATGCTTCATGCTGCATTATTTGTTATATTAAACGTCTTAAATTATTTGTCGTATGTAAAGCTGCAGTGTAACACCTGATTTCAGACACTTGAAGCTTTTGAATTGGAACATGCTGTATACGAGAGAGTATTATTGGTATGTAGTAAATTCGTACTATTGTAATCGTTTAAATTATTTTCACAATTAACTATTTCTGCAGAGTTGCTATCAATTTGAATCACAAAAGAAAATTAACCTTTTCCTACAAAGTTGATTAAATTAATTCCGACATCCAGTAATACTCTGAGCATTATACAAAATATATAAATAAATAGTTTCCCTCAAAAACATATAAAGCTGGAAACAAACACATTTACAAGGAAAAAATAAATTATTTACAACAACAGATAAATAAAAAATATCACTATAAGATGAAAAAGGCATTTTAACTTCAAATTCATTTTCGAAAATGTTTCTTTTTATGGAAGACTAAGATCCTGACATAATTGTGGAAAATAAGTATCACAGATTAGATGAGAAAATTTTAGGTAATTATTATCAGTAACGCGATTCCATTTTATAAGTGTAACTACCATCCCCTCTAGTTTAAAAACATATAAAGTCGCTGGCTGGTTCAAGGTTTTTCAAAACTACAATTACATACTTATAATTTGAAGGAACGTCATTAAAGTGCCTTTTTCTATGAATAATAAAGAATAAAAATGAGCAATGAAACATATCTCCATGTAGACAAATGTTTTGGCAGACAGAGGTATGCAGCAAAAATCCAAGTAAATATTTAGTTTTGGTAAGATTAAAGGTACTTCTGCTTTGATAAAGTAAATTAAACAGTCTAGTCATTCATTTGCATCCAATGGTTAAGCGATAAAAGTATATCACTTGCAATTTTAAGTTTAATACTACTTTTCGGATGTGAAATGAATCTGTCTTGACTGTCAATGTGTATTCGGAACAAAGTTGCTTAGCATGTAAGCCAAACAAACAAAACCAAGCAACTTGAAAGAAAGAAAAAAGACAAAGTTAAGTTACGAGTACGTCGTTAGATATGAAAACATTGAGCACAAATAGCATTCAGAGCAGCGGCCTACCGCAACTTCTCTTTGATTAGCTACGTAAATAAGATGGCAGTATAAGAACAGAAGAAAATCGTAGACTTCTCAGAAATACAGACTCATCCATTCACGAACATTAAATCATTCCAGATAATGCTACTTTCTTTTTTACTTAATATGTCACTTGACTTACGGCTATTTCGTCAGAATAGGAAGGTTCGAAATTTTTCGTATTTCTCTTATTTTAATTAAAATCGAGGGATTTTGTTATTAAAAAACGGTCAAAGAAATTTGGGTGCAAAATATCAATATTTACGTCGACGGAATCAAGGATCGACGTGAGGCTAGAAAACGTACCTGTACGCGAGACTAGACCGCGTGACGTCAGTAGCCAGACACGTGCTGTCGCCCTCATAGAATACATGTATCTTATATTGTCTTCGGAGTGAAGAGTATACGAATACGAATTTATATAAACTGGGACCGACGTTTGTGTACTAGCACAATGCTCCAAGGTTATCAGAAAGCTGATTCGCGAAATTTATTTGTTTAGCTCCAATGGGATGGGTGGTATTTTTTTGTATTTCTCCGCAAAAATTGATCCTGCTTTGCTTTAGTCTATTGAAATCTAATAATATTAAGACATAATAATGCCTGCTGGTGACAATAATTTTGAAGGCTATTTATTTCTGCTTTTTTCTTCCTAGGTAAAATATTATGGAATTTAAATTATCATACATACCTTTTTACCTTGTTACGCCTATTAAGAGCCCCGAAATTGATTCTTTTTGCATGCATAATGAGGCTGTATTACACTATACTGAAGTAAAGTATGGTACCTAATATGTTTTAAATAAGAGAGGGATGTAGAGAGAATCTTATTTTTTAGCGTCTATTGGAGAATACTTAAATTAGGGGGGGGGGGCAGTCACATTATAGAATTTTATAGCTACTAAAATAACAAAGTTTAGAGCTGGTTCTAAACGTTGACTAATATTGCGCTTAGAATGACTACGATCTCGGCAGTAAGCTGGTCAGCTTCGCTGTCACTACTTTCAGTACTGCTTCCACTGGCTTCATACGAATCAGATTCGGATGTTTCTGTTATTGCGGGACTTTCAGGATTTGCCCGTTCACTTTCCACTTGCAAACGTTTTTTTGGCCGCTCTGAAATCTGTTTAGCAAGCGCGGGAATTCTTATTGGCGATACAGCAACATCCATTACTTTCCGTTTTTGCGAGATTTGAACTGACTTGCTTCTAAAATGAACCTGTTTGGTTTGACATGCCTTGTCACATACCTGTGACTGAAATTCTACTGTTAAAGGTTCAGGCAGTTCATCACGCTCCTCCTCAATAACTTCCACGCCTTCAGGCTCGGACTTTTAGGTTAAGGGTCCCGCCCGGCGTGCCGCCGCTGGCTGCAAATATTTGATTTTCTGCCTTGCTCTTTTTTCGTTGAACACTCGTTTCGTAGAGCTTAATTATCTACCCAGTTAACATGCAAATTTATGAGGTGCAATATTAGGATTCATCCGAGCTCGAACGGTACTCATCTTGCATTGTAGATAGTTTTCCATATCTTTTTCCAGGTCAAAGTTATCTTCGCAGCAGTACATGGTCGACGTGGAAGAATCTGATTTTACATCCCGTCGATCTGCGTCAAATAACTTTTAACGTTGTGCGGCAGTTTTTGGAGCACTCAGAATTTTTTTTGTGGTGTTGTACTTAACGTACTTGCCCATTTTGGCACAAAACACCACTTTCTGTTGGACATTTAACACTGTCAAAGTTCACAGAATTTAACAAAAATCTATCGTACCAGCTCTAACTACTCCAAACCGATTACTGGGGCGTTGTTGTGAGAATGGTAAATGCAGCGGGCGAGCTAGCGAGGTGTGTCTAGCTACTGACGACACGCGGTCTAGTCTCGCGCACACGTACGTGTTCCAGCCTCGCGTCGATCCTTGATTTTGAAATGCTTTTAGTCGACGTAAATATCAATATTTTTTCAATTTGTTTATCGCTTTTTAATAACAAAATCTCTCGATTTGAGTAAAAATCAAAAAATGGCAAACCTTCCTATTGATGCCAATCTCATCAAGGAATCTAAGATTGGTTCCTTTTTTGCATAATCATATTCAAAAAGACCCTTTTTATCGTAGCCTTACGAGTATGTTTCCAGGCTTAAAGTTGAGTAAGCAACGCTGCCATCAGTTCATGAAGGATTTTGTTTGGCGGAAGTTAGCCCCTGTAGGCTATCTAAAATCATGTATAACGAAAGAAAGTGAGTCAAGTCAATCAAACAGACCCATGTAGAATTAGTCCGTACTCCATAGTCCCCAACCATTTCATAGGGTATTGAAATACTTGAAACACTAAGTTTTGTTCAAAAAATTAAAATAAAAAACTATCTGAGTTTAAAACGTCCAGAGGATTCAGAACACGAAATCATAACCCTGATTAGACATATAATTGTACGAGTAGTTCGCATATGGATCCAAGCGACATATTGGACTTGACACAATTATTGCATAACATTCACATAACTGTTGCATGCCATTCAGAATCTACATCCTGCAGAAGTCTACGAGAGGGATACGAATACCATCTAAAACAACTGTAACTAGGAAGGAATACGTCTATCTCACTTGTCTGACTTCCGGTACCGGCGGCACCCTTCTGTCGTGGCCGTTGGTGAGCGCGCCAGCGCCAGCGATAGCTGGTGTGCCGTGAGGACTGGTGGCAGTGGCAACCGCGGTGCTAGGACTGCCTAGCGCTGTAGCGGTGCTGGTGGCTGGGGCTGAAGGTTGGTGAGTCGGTTGTGATGGGATTGTACCCGCGGGTGCTGAGGGACTGCGACCCATCGAGCCCTGAAAGCATGTTACAGAATAACGAAAAATAAAAGTTTCAACGACTTGGTCGTGATTAACGTATTATACCTGAAGATGATATTGTCTGGCGGCCCAAAATATAGAGAAAATGAGATACCGTTAGCGTTATCTATGAGAAATTGTGATAGCTGTTTCTGTATTTACTATACAGGGTGATTCACAAGCCGTGACCAAAAATGAAACGTCATACATAGGACTGCATTTTAAGAGGGGTCTTCTATGTAACATTTTTTCTTCGCTGGCTTCATTAAAAAGATACGGGGTGTCGAAGTTTAAAAATAAAAAACACTTTTTTTCAATATCTTCAAATCCGTCAACTGGAAGGAACCAAAATTTGGTATATGGATTTACCTACTTTACTTGAAGTTAAAGTGCACCAGTGGCGGAGATACAGGGGATTAATGGCATTATTTTTCCAAATACAAATAATACGCCACTGTTTTTTTTTCTTCGAAACGCGCAATTTTTCGAACTTTACGTTCAATTTGCCACAAATAATTACTCTTGTGTTTTTTCCTAGAGTGCACTGTTTTCGTGAAAATAAAAATAAAACATTACTCATTCATGAAGAGCCGAAATACAATTAGTTTCAAAATAAAATAGGGAGCCTTGATACCATCTTGACGTTTCTTGGGAGACAGTTTGTCAAAGTTATGTGTTTTACAGTTGTTATCGTTACTGCTACCATTTTTTTTTTTTTGTAAAAGTCTTTCTATTCGTCATTGTCTGTCAGAGCGGTCCGTAGGACCTTTGGTTGAAGTCTTGTAAGTCAGTAGGTCTGTCAGGTCTGGTTGCCCAGATACCAAACAAAGTCAGGGAGAAAGAAGGGAAGAAGAAAGGAAGGAAGGAGGGAGAGCAAAGAAAAAAGAAGTGCGCCAATTTGAGGGGTGCCTTGGCATTGCTAAGTAGTATTCGGCAATTTTAAAATGATCCTAAAATTAGCTTTGAGATTGTTGTTGAAGAAAAAATATAATTTTGGTTGGACCTGAAGTCGCACGATTTAATTTTGTTCACAGTGGGAGTCGCGGCCTTGTGTGCTTGCGAACTTGCTCGACTGTGTAGTCTACTGACTCGCGCAACAAAGTGTTGTTATGCGATTCTGCTTGACTGTAATGTAGCTGCGCTTGTTGTTTGATGTAGTCCCTTAGGTAAGGGATGTCAAGGTATCTGTGAAGGGTCTCGTTGGAAACATACCATGGGGCGTTAGTGATTGTACGCAAGGTTCTGTTCTGCAAAACCTGCAGGCTACGCAAATGCGTTTTGGCGAGAAAACACCAAGCCGCACTTGCGTATTTAATCGCTGGTCTAATAACCATCTTAGTTGATCAAACTTAATTTGTTCTACATAGCATAGGGTAGAGTTGCCGAAACGAGATTTGGAATTTAGTTTTTAACGCTTCAGTGTGCTTCTGCCAGGTCATCCTTTTGTCAAGAGTGACACCGAGATACTTAGCAGACCTTTCCCATGGTACCCGAGCTCTATTCACTGAAACCTCAGACGGGGCGCCGCTACGCTTTTTAGTACAATATATTGCCTGCGTTTTCTAATGATTAATTTTGATCAGCCACCGATTCGCCCATTCCACTGCACTTTGCAGCCTCTCGTGAACTAGATCCCCAGAGCACGTCTGGTCCACCTGGGCAGTGTCATCAGCATAGAGATAGATTTCACAGTTGCTGGGGCAAGGGACGTCATGAATCGAAAGTGAATAAAGGACTGGTCCAAGAACCCTGAGGGACACCGGCTTTGATGGGCCGTGTTGTCGACAGAACGTTATTAATTTTGATCCGTAATTTCCTACCCTCGACGAAGGATTTCAAAAGTTTTAGGAGCCAGAAGGAGAAGCCCTTATGGATCAATTTGTAGAGAAGGCCCTTGTGCAACACCTTGTCAGATGCCTTTGAGACATCCAGAAGCAAGATGCCACTACTTTCGTTACGGGTGAACCCCCTGGTTACTCGTTCAACAAGTCTTATGGCCTGTAGCACATTGTGGTCTGCCGAGAAATTTTCAAGGTGACGTAGTAGTACCTTTTCAGCGAGCTTAGAAGGAGCCGACAGTAGACTAATGGGGCGGTAATCCTGGGGGAATATCGAACGCACCTTCTTTGGGATCATTATGACATCAGCGGTCTTCCACGCCGTTGGGAGGTGCTGTGTCCTTAGCATGGCATTGATTATTGCCACGAGATAAGTTAAGGACTTCCGCGAAAGTAGCTGTAGCGCCTTATTAGTGATTCGATCCTCTCCAGGTGCTTTACGCACCTTGAGGTCAGGAGATTCCCCTGATGTGCCATGCAGCTTTTCAGTTGAGGAATCTTCTGAAGATTCCTCTGAGAAAAAATCACTAAGGGAGGCACTACTGCCACTGACGCCGTTGGCCCTAAAATATCTCCTGACGGATCTTACGATATGTTGCTCCTCGTCGAGGTCATTATCAAGGTCATAGTTGGGAGAGAACAAAGGTTCCTACGCGTTCACTTGTAAGACTTCGGCAATATGGAATTGCCAAACTTCCGGAGTTAGAGGCCATGGTATCCGGGAGATTGTTCAAGAGGAGCTGGAAGTGATTGATTTGACGTTGGATGATCCTAGGACAAGTACTAGGCGGAATGCAGCCCAGTTACCATGCTCACAAAGTCTTGCGTGTAGAATTTTGAATCCGGAAGTTTTACATCGTTACCATCGGCAAAATGTGAAGTGTCTGCAAGCCGGCGACGAAGTGCAACGGCGAAATTTTTATGAGTAGTTACTGCAAATGCATAATCAAAATGCAGATTTTAACGATTTGGTTTCGTGGTCAGATGAATCGCCTTTTACGAGGAGTGGAACCTTTAATTCTCATAATGAACATATTTGGTCGTTAGAAAATCCCGGTTCTGTAAGAATCCACTCGTTTCCACACAGATTTTCTTTGAATGTCTGGTGCGGCATTTTGAATGGCCAACTGTTTATGAACGTATTGCCACAACGTACATTGGCTTGCGAGGACGCCTGATTTGAACTCCCTGGATTTCTTTTTGTGGGGACTTTTAAACAACTAGTGTATGCTGAAAAAATTAATACTGTTGATCAGTTACAAGAAAGAATGATGCGTTTCATCAAATTCAAGCCACAACAAATTTTGCGGAAATACGTTTTTCTTTATTAAAAAGATGCCGCACTTGTATCCGTCAGAATGGTGGTTTTTTGAACATGTACTGAAATAAAGCTTTGATTATCCAATTTGTCTTTTTTTTATTTTTACGAAACCAATGCACTCTAGGAAAAAACACAAGAGTAATTATTTGTAGCAAATTGAAGGTAAAATCCGAAAAATTGCGCGTTTCAAAAAAACAGTGGCGTACTATTTTTATTTGGAAAAATGATGCCACGAATCCCTTGTATCTCCGCCACTGTGATGCACGATAATTTTACGACTTTTAAATCCACATATCAAATTTTAGTTCATTCCAGTTAACGGTTTTGAAGATATTAAAAAAAATATTTTCTTATTTTTAAACTTCATCTTTTTAATGAAGCCATTGAGGAAAAAATGTCACATAGAAGACCCCCCTTAAAATGCGGTCCTGTGTATGAAGTTTCATTTTTGGTCACGACTTGTAAATCACTCTATATACACTTGGAGATTAGTGTATCATGGATGGCGTTGTAGCTAAGTGTACCTATGAGTGTCACGGGTATTTCAAATTCGACCTCGCCATTCGGATTTCGGAAACTGTAAGAGATTCGCAGAGGCTTAAATGGGAGCAAAGTGTCGTGTTCAGGTATCTAACAAAATGCCGCTTAGAAAGTTTCGAAATTCCAAGTACTTCCGGAGAGAGACAGAAAAAAACGAACTTTTCCAAAATCGTCTTAATTCCTTCTCGACTTTATTTGTGATGGAATTTAAAAATAAATTGCACATTAACATTGCCACTTTTCCTCCTCTACAAGATGATATAATTAGAATTACAAGGTGACTCTTCGCCTCTTGTCCTCCAGCATCAATTTGAATTTTTATTATGGACGCCAAATGAATAGAGTTTTTAATTCTGATTCCAAACTTTAGTTATTTAAAAAGGCAGAATTTCTTAGGTAGGGCTTGAAATTATCCGATACTCATTTGTTTTGCATACCAGGTTTATCCACTTATTCTCCTCTACAAGATGGCGTATTCAAATTTTCAATTCGAGGTTTCTTCTTTTGACTTCCATCATTAATTTTGTTTTTTTCATATGGACGTTAAACTGAAATCTTGTACGTTTAAATGGACTTTTTTAAATTCAGTGATGTATTTCTTTAGTTGGCCATGCATTTGCTGTTGGACGAAAATTATAAGGAAATAAAATGGTATAGTAAAACCTGCACACAAACTGAACATTTTATTGATGGTAATAATAATCATTAATAAGAAGCAGAAGTGAATCATAGCAAATGTTTATAATGTGCCTGATTGTTCTCTGTGCTCGCGGTTCGAATTATTTCCTTTTCAGTCTTCCAAACTGTGTTACTATAGTCGAAATCACGAAAGATGACGGTTGCGTCATCATTTTAGTCTGTAGTAAAGACAAATGACAGCGATTTGTCTATATTTTTAATGAAGTTTCATATGTATTAGACAGATACAAACATAATTGTATTGTCTAAACAAACTGTATTGCTAATTTGCATGTATCGGACAAAGATAAATGATGGTTTCATGTTCAATGATCGATCATATTTGAAAGATGGATAATTAGGTTATGTTAAAGCAGGTTAGGTTGTTTTCGAATAATACTTTGGTCTTTGGTGTTCCTGTCTAAGGGTGTATTCTACTCATAACTGTTTTTTTCAAAACAAAAACTTCCCACTAAAATTATTATTAAAACCATGAGATAAAATGAAAACGAAAATAGTCAGTAAAATTACCTAACTTCGCAAAATCATAATATAAATTCATTGTCATAATATATGTTCCTGACATCGTGATTTTATCATCGACATACGTCCATTGATTACTTCAGTACAATTTATGGTATGACGTAAGAGTGATCTTTCTTGATTTTGACTGTATGTTGTCTTTGAGGTCTGGTCTGGTATACGAAAATGACTATCTGATAATTTCAAGGCCTACCTAGGAACATCCGTTTTTCAGGTATAACCAAGGTTTGGCAATGTCAATGTATGATACAGTAGCAGACAAAAGTTTGGAAACAAATATTAACATTATTATGAACTATTTCATATACCTAAATCAAAGTTGTGAAGGAACATATTATATAAATATCAAAGTCTACCTTTGGCTCCCGTACTAATACAAGGTTTATCTTATCAATATTCAAATTATCTGAAAATAAAAACAGGCGTTTTTTTTAATACCATAGTTTTTGTAACGACAAAAGTATGGAAACATTTCAGTTTTTTTGTATTTATTCGTTCTGTGCGGTAAATATTAACATCAGTGAGAATGGTAAAAGTAAAGTCCGAAAAAAAAAAAAAAAGATTATGTTTTGGATCGCTACATTAAACGTTTGTCCCATGAAAGATCCTCGAATGCCAGCCACACAGATTTTCAAAAGAATCGTAGAAGAGGGTGCCCAGAATCTTTCTGTCAGAACAGTGCAGAGACGCTTGGTGGATTTTGGGCTTTTTGGTAGGCGTCCAGTACAAAAGCCTCTCATTAAAAAAGAAATCGTACTGCCCGGCTTGAATTTGCTAAAACTCATCTAACTTGGACAGAACAACAATGGAATACAGTTTTATGGGGCTATGAAAGCACATTTAACTTGTTTCGATCTGACTGTACGGCATAATGATGTGAAACGTCCAATACGAAAAAGATTCAACAAAAAGTTGAGCACGGTGGAGGCAATACCATGGTTTGTGGCTGTTTTTATAGTTCTGGAACGGGTCCAATTGTTGAAATTGTTGGGAAAATGGATCAAAAACTTTTCAAAGATATTCTTAGTGAATACATGCTCCCTTTTGCTGAAGAAAAAATGCCTTTACGATGGACATTCCAGCAAGATAAGATAATGACCGCAAACATACCTCAAAATTCGTAAAGGACTGGTTAAGACTAAATAAAAGCGTGTTAAAAAATGTTAATGTTCTTACATGACCTTCGCAATCCCCGGACCTAAACCCCATTGAACATATCCGGGAGCATGTTAAAAGACAACTGACAAGAAAAACGTTTAAAAATAGGAACGATTTATTTGATATGTAAAAAATATTTGGCAAAATATCGCAACAAACGTCCGTAAAAAATGGGTGTCTTCTATGAGCAGCAGATGTCAGGCGGTGTTGAATGTTAATGGCTATGCTACCAAATATTAGCTAAACGGTATTTTTAAAATCTTTTTGTATAGTTATTGTATTTAATTTTGTAAAAAAATATGTTTCCATATTTTTGTCTTCTCATTTTCGGACATAAAATAATATGAAGGTAGTTTAATGCTAGTCTGTAGTACCACAGCAAACACAAATTGTCATTTGTACCCTCAAGACTGTAAGCAAACTATATGAGAATAAAAAAACAATATAAATAAATATCTATATGTTATGTAATTGTTTAGTTTTTTAGAAGAATGTAATCGTAGCAATCATGCTAAATAAATCTTAAACAAACAAACAAATAATAAAGAATAAAAAATTAGCATACTTTTTAAAAATTACTAATAGATGTTTCCAAACCAATATGGCGTCCATAAGAAAAAAATTATGTTGATGCTGGAGGACATGAATCGTCATATTGAAATTCTAATTATGCCGTCTTATAGAGGAAGAAAAAGTGGCAATGTTAATGAGTGTTTTATTTTAAAATTCCACTAGAAATGAAGCCGGACAAAAATAACGATTTTTGGAAAACTTGTTTTTTTCTGTCTCTCCAGAAGTACCTTGAATTTCAAAAATTTCAAAGCGGCATTTGTTAGTTACCTTATTTATTACATATTATATATTACCAACTTTGCTACCAATTAAGCGACTTCGTATCTTACCGTTTCCGAGATCCAAATGGTGAGGGTCGAATTCGAAACACCCAGTTTCAAACTATATTTAATGAATAAACAGCCGTGATAAATGCTCATAATGACGCTACGGTATCTCATTTTCTGCGTTAGGTTTCTCCCAGTTCTTCTAACCTTAGGCAGTTCAAAAATTGGATTACTGAGGTGTCTTTGAGTTCCTTCTAACAGCCGCGAAGCCCTGGCATTTAGGTTACCGCCTAGTATAAAAAATTGACGTCAGAAGACCTGCTTGCAGCTTCATCTTAAGTGATCAGCTCCGATATATCTCTCTTTTTGCTTTCAACAATATAAAATATGTATCTTCAAAGAGGAAAAGTGTCTATAAGAACATATTCTCATGGCCCACGATCCTGGTAAATAGGTATTATAATTTATGATGGCAAAACAAAATTCATACTTCCCATACACGCAGAGCAGTGCTGTTTTATGTCATTTTTGGTTTGAGGTAACTCATATCAGCTTCTTCAAAAACGTATTTTTAGAATACTGTTTTTGGAGAAGTGGGATACCAATCACCAGCTTATAACTTAAATCGTTATTATGAACATGACCTTACCGTGTGTTGTTGACGCGCATTTGGATTGAGAATGTAATCAGTGAGCGTAACGTCAGAATTTCCACCGCTTTCTAATGGAATAGGTTGCGACCGGAAGTGCTCCAACATCTCGTAGATCGACTGGAACCAAAAGTGTTGGACGCGACATTGACCTTGGTCGTTTATGGTCATGCGTAAGTGCTTAGCCCGACCCTGAAATTGAAAAAGTATTCAAATTAGTTCTAACAACAGAAAATTACCTTCAATGAATTTGCTGTATGTGAATATGCACTTCTGCTGAAAACATTATTTACCTGAAAATTGAAAGTCAGCACAAATTCTCCTGTCCTGGTTTCACTCTGTCTGACAAGAAACCTTCCATGACCGGCTGCTCCATCATGCAATACTTGCTGAGCAGCTTCAGATCGCCCTAAGGTCCCATGGAACCACAGCTCTTTACGTAAGGTCTGGCCTATATCAGTCTCCATTGCTATAAATGCACAAAGAATTAACATTGATTGTACTCAATGGGTTATAAAGAATCTCTAAAATTGTAAGTTTTTTGTCAAGAGCACTGTTTTGGTCAAAGGTGGTTAGAGCAAATCCCAGTCTTCCCGCGGTTTTTCTACATTAAATTTCATTGATTGATAGCTCACTATCTGAATATAGCTTTTCATTAATGAGAGCAGATAATAAAATCTTTTGGCCATGTTTACGCCGTGGTTAGCTTACAACAAAATTATGCTTTTCTGTATAATAAAATAATGTTTTCTAGCCTTGGTAGCCTTCAGCAGTAAGAAGTGCAACACTCACGGGAGCAGGTCCATACAGTGGACAGTGAGTTGAATTAGATTAAAACTCAATTGGGCTGACCAGAGTCACGAAATTTACAGTTTGCAAACTTTTAAACCTGAGCCGGCAGGCTTTTTTTGACTCAGAATAAATACAACATACTTGTAGAGGAGAACATGAGGTTTATGCCACAGAAATTAGAGCAGTTTTAGAAACTGTATTTAAGGATATTACTATGAAGTCTATACATTTTTTGTCTGAGTTTGACCTATGGACTTTTATAATATAGTATTGCCTAGGTAATCCTGTTTATACATTTAATACCAACTAATAGACTTTGTGCCTGTGCTCCACTTCAGCATGGTTCACATTTTAAATGTAGCTTTAGTTCGTTTACTTTTTTTTTGTTGTTAAAGATTTATTTAGCATTAATGCTACAATGTCAATTTTGTATAATGATTTGGTTACATATTTTTCTTCAATCCATTTTCTGTGATTTTACATTCTTGTCTATTAAAATTAAAGCAGCGCTATATTTTGTTCAAACCAATGACGATAAATAGAAATAGACATAACAAAAGTCCCATTTAAGACAATGGGATGTTGTTATGGTATTTTACGCTATTGCCATCGTTTACAGGTGGAAAGTCGGGCAAACGCTTGTTGTCGTAGATTGTAAATATATATATGTTTTAAATACTGGGCGCGTCATCTTGTATGTCAGTGCCTGTATGAACACAGTCTCAGTTATACTACAAGCTGTCCAGTGGGAAAGTTGACATTTAAAATTTGTATTAAGCGGCAACCACATAAGCGAGGAAGAGAGGAGAGGTCTTGATCGACGCGTTTGGTGTGCGGGTTAAATAGTCACAATGGAACGTTGGACCGGAGCGTAACGTGCTTTTGCTATCGAGGATTATTCGACGACCAAGAGATGCCCCAAGTAAGAACCTATTGAAAAAGTGGATTAAGATGTTTCTTAGTCAACCCATTCCTGGCCCCATACCTACTGTATCAGCTGAAAAAAATGTGCGTCGAGTAAGTGATTAGGGCATTGCAAATCCTCGGCGTTCTGTATGGAAGCATTCCGCTGCTTTGGGAATCTCTAGGTCAACACTGCATGACATAATGAAGAAAAAAATGGATTTTCATGCTTATAAAATCCGATCAGTCCATGCTTTAAAGGAAAGTGATTACGTATTACGGAAATCTTGTGCTGAACGGATGTTGAATCTTTTTCCTTCGCAGCGAAGACTCGAGAACGTTGTTTTCAGTGACGAGGCCCATTTTCACTTAGGCGGTGTGAACAAGCAAAATTGCAGATATTGGGCACCAACGAACCCAAAAGAGAAACATCAACAACAGCTACATAGTCCAAAGGTGACTGTTTAGTGCGCCATATCCTCTAGCGGTATTATTGGGCCGTATTTCTTTGAAGATGAAAACGGTCATGCATTGACAGTTACTTCCGAGCAATACAAGGACATGATTGACACTTTTTTTCTTCCTATTGTAAGAATAGAACGTCGATTCAACAGAAACACATGGTCTCAACAGGATGGGGCCACGCCCCACACTTCCAGAGAATCGATGGAGGTGAAAGCACTGTTTCCTCAAAAAGTTATATTTAAGTTTGGAGACATTCACTGGCCTCCTAGGTCTCCCGACCTCACGCCTTGCGATCATTGTTTGTGGGGTTATCTAAAGTCAAAAGTGTATTCCAATAATCCACGTACACTGGAGGAGCTTAAAGACAACATTCGACGAGAAATAAACATCATGTACACATGTAAGAGTTTCAGAATTTTGGGCGCGCGATTAGAAGAGTGTATCCGAAGGGATGGCAAACATTGAGACGGAGTGATATTTAAGAAATAAAAACCGCCAAATTTAAGAATATGTTGATAGTAATGAATATTTTCTTTTCATTAAGTTTGTATTTTTTTTCTTAAATCAAAAAGTGAACTTTCCCACTGGACACCCTGTATAGATGCGCCTAGAAGGTATGTGGCATCAGCAGCAAACATGAAACCTCCTATGTGTTTCGATAAAGTCCATCAGTTCCCAAAATATGATGATGTGAGTGCAGTAGTATATACATTATGATATATCACTGAATGAAATGTCATTCTTTGCTCGGCAGTAGCCAAGCAGTGTTGGAAAATAGATGTACAATCATAAATGAACGGCATTGTCTATCCTATATATACAGGGTGACTTTGAAGTTGAGTCATTAATTTTCAGATAATGATTGTAGAAGGAAGATAAACCAAAATATGTGTGTAAAAATAAAAAAATAAATAAAAAAAAATGTTACCTTGTTTAATAAAGTATCGTCCCGACAAGTATTTCAGTGCGGACCTGTATTTGATCGTGCGGTCTTGGAGCAGCATGCCCTGACCTGTGAGGTCTTAAGTCACCTGATTCACGAGCCCTTTGTACTACATTAACAAAGGCACGAGGGGTTGGTTGCACTCGACTGGGAAACCGATTCGCGTAAATCCGTGATGCATCCGGGAGCATTTTGTAAAGACTGCTCCCCCGTAAATAAGAATCATGTCCACAAGTTCAGCATTTTCGTAAACATGTGCCATTTTTGATTTCGTTTGAGCCACGCAATAAACACTACCATTCACTAACGCGTTATCGACTGACGAAAAACATCGTGATAAACGTTTCAAATTCTTTCGCTTTTTTGTTTCCGATGCGATGAACCGGTCAGGCGGATTATATCCGTTGTCGCCAAACACGAACATATAATTATTGAGACAGGGCGGTACTCAAACTTCCAAAGGGCTATAACTTTGTTACTTTAATTTTACCAGAAAAATGTTAAAGGAAAAAAGCATTTCTTTTCAGATCTACTCACTGTTAAAATAAATGACTCAACTTCGAATATACAAATATGAGCACTAGATTCTATTTGCTTGTTACTGATTGCCCAGACATTTATGGCTTGCTGGATAATGGGAATGACCGCATTTGAACATTGTGCACTGCTGTTTTGTTTTGAAAGGGTGTTTAATCTAATGCAGCAATAAGACATAACATTGTAGCATTTTAGTATAGATGATGTATGATTCTATGGTTAGCTATCCACAGTGTATATGGCATTTAACTTACAATTGAATCCCTCTCCTGCATTAGGGCAAATTTCAAAATTGGAACTGGAAGACAGTCTATCACCTCCTCGAGGCACTATATGCCTAGGAGGCAAATCTGGAGCATCAACATGGTCATGCCCGCACACTTCTGATCCAAGAGATCCTGGGCCTCCCGACCTCATGCAATACCTGAATATAGATGACATTCATGTTTACTTCATTTCTATTCCTAGATTCTTTTTATTGCTGAGATTGATGAAACCTCTTACCTAATAGTTGCTAACCATGACCTCATATCATCAGTGTCATGTGCTTCGATAACAAACTCCATGTTGTTACTAGCTTTCAGGACGAATGTGTTTTCATGATCAGGCATTTCCAAAGCTGTTGTTTCTCTGGCTTCTGTGATTAGTGCACAGAATACTCCACAACGAGGCTATAAAAGAATACAGAACTTGTATAAGCATGGGCACCCATCGGAGGGCAAGGGGGGCATACAAGATACCCAATCCTTGAAGATATTATTTCTGCTACTTGGATCAAATATTAGTTAACATAGTAAACCTATGATTCAAATTCATCAACCAAATGAACATTATGGCACCAAAAGAATGAAAAATTTAATATGAATTAATATAAGAATATTTTATTTAATGCAGTAAATAGGACACATAAACCATGTTTCAGGTGTTAAAAAAATAATATACATTGAAATTCTGAAAAAATAATATACATTGAAATTCTGAAAAAATAATATACATTGAAATTCTGAAAAAATAATATACATTGAAATTCTGAAAAATACAACAGTTGAGACAAGGAAACCATTAGTAAGTAGGTATGGTTTTTACAGCACTACAATAAGCACAGATATGTCAATCCTCATCACTTTGATAGAATAATACCAATCAATATTCACATTTTAAGTTATGCTCAAGAAGATCTACCTTTGGATTTTTTGGAGGTGAATAGAATTCAAGCATGTAGCCTCCAGTAGCTTTGACCAATTGAAGTCTGCATTTCTCCCATTTTGGTGGTCCTCCAGGTTGGTCCAAGCTTTCTGGGGTGGAATAGTTGACTATTCCCTCTTTTCTACATTCTACAACTATTTTGGCCAACTTTGTTTTGCTATGGGCCAAGTCAACATCTTCTGAATGCTGCTTGTGGAATAGGTCTTTGCTTTTGCGCAACATTTTGAAACTCAGTCTGCAACACAGTTTGATATAAAGTCTTTGACAAAATAGAGTATAAATAATTATAATAATGATATTAATAATAATAACCTTCTAAAAAATGGTTTGTGATGCATTTTTGGCGATCCTTCCTCATCTATAACATCATCTTCATTCTTGGACCCAACACCATTCGAAATCTTGGTGTGCTGTAATCTCCTCTTATTGAAATCCATCTCAAATTGTTCAGTAAATGATTCAATGAACTTCTTCAAGAAATCCTTATGGGTGACTGTAGCTCTGGCGCTATCATAAAAAATCTAATATTAGTCAATGTTTTCAGAAAAGGTAACAACAAATACAGCCTTAAAAGATACAGCAAAAAGCAGAATGCATCAATATAAAACTTTCACTTTCATACATCCATCTCCCTCACACATTACATAATATGCAACTTGTCTCTGTGTTTGTCTGTGTATCGTTTCAGAAATATGGTACATTGTCAATTTGTTTGTTTCCTTCATAAGACATTACAACGTAATGATCAAAAATCTTTATTCAATGCTTGATTTTAATTTTATACTCATCATTGGCATAAAAGAACAACACATAACTGTAAGTGTTGAATAAATTCTTAAATAATCAGTAATACTTGCTGCTGAGTGACTGTTAGATATAGAAAATCACATACTGTAAATAATACAGCATAATAAAAAAGCATGGAGAGAAAATCATGAAAAAAATGTTCTACAATTGTTAGCTATGAGATGAAATCAGCTATTAACTACTGGTTATGAGTGGCAATTAGCTATACTTTTCAAATAGAAGTTACAATTAGCTATAATTGTTGGATAAATAATATCCAGATTATAGCTAATTACAGTTTGTACCTAACAATTATAGGTAATTGCCATTTATAACTGATATTTATAATTAAAGAAATTATAGGCCAATTTTCACTGTAACCTATGTCTGTAGCTAATTGCAATGTGTAATTGATAAATGTAGTCAAGTGTCACTTAAAACTATAAGATATATTTTTTTCATGATGTTATTTTAGATTGGTTTGACAATATTTAAAAACATTACATAATGTTATTGTTTACTCTATTCAATTAGTAATTGCTTATTGAAGGGCAATAAAGATTTTTGATGAATAAACATCTCCCATAATAGCATTAGACTTCATGTTTGTAGGCATAAATACTGATAAAACTTCAATCAACATTCAGAGTGGAGGCAACACAGTTTCATAAAAATCTTGCATATTTATATCCTTGAGTGACTCCTCTAGTAAGCATTATCAGCATGTATTACATGTCTGTAGAAGATGAGCCTGTCATGAGACACATTCGTTTTAGTACAAGCGGCTGTCTTTTTGTTAATGCAACATATAGGTGCTAAAAGGTGCTTCATTGAGATCTGACCTTTCTCCAAGATTGATGCTGATAAACTGCATACAGCTTCTGGAGAAGTCCTGGGCGGCGACCTGAGCGTGCCTCTCACAGAATTCCACCCATGCTGCCGTTTCTGCGACTGCAGGATCGCGGTCAGGGGCGCCCGCCATTTCGCGCTACGTTCTAATACTTTCCCTTGACGTCCGTTATAAGTGATTTGCTTGTTTATTATTACATTCTTCGATGTCGCATAAGTGATAACGGGGAAATTATATCGTATTGTTGTTTTGGTTTAGGATTTTTTGCTCTTGACGCCCGTTTGACGTCTGACGTGAACTGTCGTTGACAAATGACGTAAAATGACAACTTGTCAAAATACTTATAGCATACAACAAAAAAATGGGAGAGAGATCAGAGATAGACAACCCAGGAGCGTTCCGTGTGCGTCCTGTTGATCAACAAAATGATTTAGGAACTGCTAACTTCACATGGTCAGCTATCTCTTTGTCGAGTCGATATTCCAGAATCGGCCGGCAACTTTCTGCCAACCCAGCGCAGTATATCCTTTTGCTTACATATGGTTCAAAATTGCGTCATTACGCTAGTCATTAAAACCGCCAATCCGTTTTTGGTCTTCTATGAATATTTCCGTTAATTGAATTTAGCGCCCCCTAGCCGTAAGAAGTTGAAAAGCATATTCAAAACGACTTGACGGCTGACCTTGTTGATAAACTGTTATTTGGAATGAAACGGTTTTTTGTGGTTTGAGAGTTTTTTTGAAGTCAAACTTTGGAAAAATACAAATTTTCGATCAACCTCCCGATCCTTGACGTGCCTTATATGTAAACAACGATAGTGTTATTGTATTTTGCTATTATACGTGATAAAAAAGATATTTTGCAATGGACGCCTTTACAGAGGTAAGCTATCAGAACAATTGTTATGTTTGATGTTATTTAAAACGGTTTTTAGAATATATTAGCGAGGGCTAGAGAGCGCCAGAAGTTATTGGAAAATTATCCTTCATCAGATAAGCTTGAGAAAACGCCCCTAAAAGACTCAAACTTGAATATGGCTTGTAGTCAGTCGCAAGCAAATCTGACTGACATAAAGACTCCACAGAGGATTCACAAAGAATCCGTATCAGATTCATGCATTAATGTTGATAAAGATCTTGAAATAGTTCTTAAAGAAAACAAGTCTGAAAGTGCTTTGTCTCGGTTCCAGAGACAAAATTCAAAAACTCGAATCTCTTCAGAAATAGCAGGTAATATACTGATTTTGTTATCATTTAAAAACTCTTTTTGTAACTAGGCTTTGATTGTTACAAAATCACAGAAGGATAAAGAAATTGAATATAGAGGCATAAAATGAGTTTAGTGGCTATATTTGTTACTGGATATATTGATAATTTATATCTTTTTAATATATTAAATGGGTCTGCGAGTATGTTTTAGGTTCCCCAAATGCAAAGTCTAATACTTTGAATATACAGAGAGATAATTTTAATATGGAAATAAAGGTTACTTCTTCAGATGATGTGCGAGTTGAGGTAGAAATAGCAGGAGATGATTTTGTAAGTAATAAAGGCACAGGCAGTAATGGATCTGAAAATGTTTTAAGAGATGAATCAAAGAATAAGTTAAAGAGACTTGGAAAACTTTATGCAGGTAATTTAATAGTTTCAGAGATGAGGACCTTCAAAATATTACTTTGAGATGTATTTTAAAAATCATTGTCTATTCTAAAATACCAGTTCTATTTTCTTTCCCAGTAACAACTTTTAAAAGCATTCTACTTACATTTCGAATTTTGAACATTTAAGGAGGGGATGAAGTGGATATTTCTTCACCAATCCATAGGACAGAAGCTAAATTCTATGCATGTGAGGAAAATGAAGGTCAGCCCTCATCAGAAACAGCCTCAAAGGGTTTGAGAAAATTGGCACATCTTGCTCAAACTATCAATCAGTGGGAAGATGATGTGAGACCAGTAAGCTACATTACTTACTTTTCAAAAACATATTTGTAGTGTTAATTATGTTTTATTCAACACATCTTTGAAAAGCAATTTGTCTTTTAATTGATAGTATCACCTCAATAGCTATATAGTTTGTAGACTTTACAGGAAAAAACCTTCCAAATCCAAAATAGGATCCATGAAACATTAAAATGTGACTCTCTTGATGTATTGTTGACCAGAACCTGTAAATTCTCCACTTTTTTTTATTTGATACCTTGTGTCATTCTCAGAAATTTTTTATTGGATTCTGATTTACAAGTTTCTAAAAACCAATTTCATTTTAGATTACTGTGTTTAAATTTAAAATTTATATTCAACATGTATGGTATACAATTTCAGTAGCACTCCCTTTAAAGGTCATTTTTAATTGCTTTATATAGTATAGTTAAAAAAAATAGTTTTTGTTTTAAGCTAATTCTAAATAAAGAGCCTCAAAGTTAGTTAAAATCTGTAATAAGTATTTTTGAGTTACATGTGTTCATTGTCTCATGACAATTCTATGAAAAACCAACTTTGAGATTCTTTGGTGTACCACAAGAATGGTATAAAGTGAAACACACTTGACAATGATCTGAAAAGTAGTGTAGATTAAAAAGAAATCAGAGGCTCAAATCAAATGATGAAAGTAGATGATTGAGTATAATCATTCCATGAACATGTATTATTTGTTTTGCATAGTCTTTCAAATTGAACATTTTTAATTTTTATTATCTGTGGTCTATGAACATAACAGAATTGAATATTAGCTAAGGAAGTATCTGCAGTTCGCCTGGAAAATATTCTGATTAGTTTTTATGCATAACCTTATTCTGACTGATTTTAATGAATCTGCATGTTATCACTCAGAGTCAAAAGTTACAGTAACAATTTTTTTTGCGCTGGGCAAGGTTTTTTAGTTTTGTCTTGGATCATTTTGTTCTTATTAACCCCTCTCTAAAGTTGATAATTTTTGAGATATAAGTGATGATTTGAAGAACTTGACTATTCAACGATATTCAACCACGAATCACAATATGAGAAAAGGTTTGCAATATCAATATCCCAAAACTGCTGTGGGATTTTGTTATTAATGTTTGATGGATATTTAACCCTGGGGACCCACTATTAAAATGTGACAAGTCTCCTTCATAAGGGTTACATGCACCCCAGTTTAACATAATACCTTTAAACAAATTTTTATTGTAGAAAGACATTGTTTTTTTATTTAGAACGACAGTGTGTGAAAAATTACGTAGTCTATTACAAATGACGTATGATATAATTTTCCCTGAAAAAAATGCAATCATGAACATTTTGTTTGCAATTTTCGTTTTAATAAGCATCATTCAAATGGTTTTAGTGTTTAGTATCGAATAAGAAGGTTTAGATAATATGTGGAATGAGTTGAAAATTTGAAGGACCATTTTTGCAAAATCAGCTTGATTTCATGAATGTAATGAAAGTTAATCAAGTTGGTTTTACATAAATTAAAAAAATATATATTTTCATTATCTGTTACACACTGTATTTAATGCTGATCTTGGCAACCTGGCAATTTACAAATATATTTTGTTTTTCTGTACTGGTTTTGAGTATAAAAAGTGTATCGCACTTGTTTGTGTAGTGTGTGATCTATGACATGATTTCCAGTCAAAATGCCAGGGGTTTGGGGAACCCCTGTATGGTTAAGAACTTTGGTAACATTGACATTTTGTTTTCTATATTGTTATGTTTCAAATATCAAGTCCCTTATATCTTGTACCCTTTCAACTTTAGATAAAAGTTCATAAGGACCTTTCTTTCGAAAACTATCAACTCTATATAGAGTAGTTAGTAGTAGATCAACGGAAGTCAGGTGGTAGAGGGCCTCAAAGCATATCGAATGAACCCCTATATGTGTCGTCCGAAATTTGATAGTTCCGGAGGTATTAGCAATTTTGTAAAATTTCTGAAAAAACAGGATAATCAACTTTCAATCGCAATTACAACTAAACCATTAGGTTTATGGCTGTGATTTTTTTTTGAGGTGAGCTAAATGATTAGTTTTAGCAATGGTTATGTGACTTTTTAACAGAGCTAATTAGAAATCAACGCAAAAAATCTTGAATTCATTTTTTTGTGGAAAATCTCTTCCATCCCTCAACTTTGGAGGGCGGTAAAAAAAATTGAGGTTGAATTTCATTATCCATTTTATTGTAAAAACTATTTCAATCCATGTAGAATAAACCCCTTGAAATTTCAGCTTGCTACGATAAGTGCCTCACCTTGAAAAATCTGTATGTTTGACGCAGGTGGGTATCTATACATGTAAACAAGAAATTCTATTTTACGAGCTACATTCCAAACGACTTGATGGCATTTGACATATGAGGTACTATTAGATTCGTCCTAGCAGTGCGAGATTTATTGTCTGTTTTAACATTTCGTAAAATCAAAATGGCGGAATTTTTTACGCAAATAGCCAAATGAGCTTAATGAGCTTGGGCACTCAACTCGGCATTCCAGGTGGGGGAGCGTACAATCTTCGTTCCGACCGAAATTACTAAGTCAGGCAATGGTCCAGCGCGGAATTTGTATCTATCGTTTGGCATCTGAGTAGAATCATGTCGTATTCTCCGCCAGATTATGCAGAAATGCATTACTATTATGGTGCTGCCATAGGAAATGCTCGAGCAGCTGCTTGCATGTATCGGGAGTATGTGGTTAGAAGAGGTGGACCACAACCGACTACCGCGTTTTTCTACGCGTCCATAATGCGTATATTGAGGGTACTCGTCGTCGGCTAGGAGCGCCGAGGATACGCTCAGAAGAAATAGAAGATATATTAGAAGCAGCCGAGAGAGGTTCCTCTATAAGCACCAGAGCCATTGCCCGATGCAGAAACATATCCCATACTTCAGTGCACACAATACTACGCTCGGAGAACATGCATCCTTATTACCATGTACAAAAAGTACAAGAGTTGCATCCAAGCGACTATGCACAATGGGTTTTATAAGGGGATAATCTATACATCTGAATACACAAATGTCAACCAACTGCCCCAGAAAATTGATGAAGCAAAAATAAAAATTATGGAAACCCAAATTCATTTCAAAGACTAAAATACAATTTTATTAGAAAGTGTCGCTTGCATATAGAAAATAATGGAGGCCATTTCGTACATGTTCTTTAAAAGCTAATCAAATTATCTTCCACATTTGTCGGTAAATCGCCATAAAGAGCGGCTAAACACAATAGGTTCTGTACTTGTAGGTGGTAAGGATTGTATTGCGTCATACGTTTATCGTTGTCGCAAGCTGAAATTTTCAGGGTTTATTCTACACGGATTGAAAAAGTTTTTACAATAAAATGAATAATGAAATACAACCTCAATTTTTTTTACCGCCCTCCAAAGTTGAGGGATGGAAGAGATTTTTCACAAAAAAATGAATTCAAGATATTTTGCGTTGATTTCTAATAAGCTCTCTTAAAAAGTCACCATTGATTGCTAAAACTAATCATTTAGCTCATCTCAAAAAAAAATCACAGTCATAAACCTAATGGTTTAGTTGTAATTGCGATTGAAAGTTCATTATCCCATTTTTTCGAAATTTCACAAAATTGCGAATATCTCCCGAACTACAAAATTTCGGACCACACATATAGGGGTTCATTCGATAGGTTTTGAGGCCCTCTAACACCTGACTTCCGTTGATCCACTACCCTGTATAAATATCGTCCAGAGCGAAAAACGCAATTTTTTAAATAAACAATTTTGGGCCTGGTAACATGCAGATTCGGTAAAAGGGGTCATTTTTAAATAAGATAATGCAAAAAATCAATCAAAATATTTTGGCAGCGGATGTGGTGATACTTCCTGGACTATACGAATTGGTCAGTGCAAAAACCATTTTTTTAGCAACATTTTTTTTATACTGAGAACGATACATTAAAGGTAGACGCGTATTCTGGGTACAAATCTCGTTAGTTACTATATTTCTTCTCCTACAAATAACACCACGTAATACACTTTCAGTGCAAAGACATCGTATTGCCAGGACTTACGTGGTTTCTGCACGCACTAATCCACGGCGGGTATTTGAATGGGTCAGTTAAAAGACAGTGCTTGTATCCCTGTATTATTTTATTTTCATATTTATGTGCTATATGCAGCAAATATTTATTTTAAGTTGACTAATGATAAAAATAATACTTCAGACCTTACTTGTCTCAAAGTCACTTGTCCAAGGGTTTTCTTATTTCCTACCAAAACTATTGACTCAATTCTCCTCATAGATATGACTGAGAAAGTTCTTTAAATATAAAATAATAATTAAATTAAATGGATGTTCATATAGGTAGTACAAAGATGCAATTTTTGTTAACAAACCCATTTTGATGCCAGGCAATCACGTAAGCATGTGGATTCTTCTACAACCGATTGCCGATTATTGAAGAATGTTGAACGAATAAGTCTTCCATATTTTGTCACGATGGTCGATCTATGATTTAGATGTACAACAACAGCAAATTCGACTTTCCTTGGGTTTCCCCTATGTAAATACTAGAATATGTAAAACTAGAACGTGGCATGTTAATAAGCCAATATTTTAGTATAATTTTCAATAATAAGCTATGAAAAATAAAATTATTTAACAATGTTACACAATAGTTTTTCAGGCTTTCTCCATTATTATTAATGTGCTGTGAAGGTTATTCGAAATTTCAATCTTATAGAACGAACTCAAATAGTACATTAAACCCAAAAGTATCTTAAAACTCGTTTATTTGTCAATGGATATTTATATGTCTCATGAAAAATTCAAATTATGGGACTTACGTTATTTTTGCTTGCCCTGACTGATTCATATGGGAAATACCAATTTGAAGATAAACATATCTTAAGGGACCATAAAATGGCATAAGAGACAAGTAAGTTTATTATTGATATCTATTTCCAGCTTCGGGGTGACAACTGTTCCACTGCAACCACTCCCAAAAAGGCGAAAGCGCCTGCACCCCCTCTACCAAGTGGTACAACCAATTCTCCACAAAAAACTACACCTCCGAGGCACAACAAACCAAAGGCTCCACAGCCTCCTGTCATTCATAAAGAAACTTTGGAATCTTATAAGGCACCACAAAGTCCTAAGAATGCATCAGCTCAATGGATTTCTAACAGCACTACTGAAAAATCACTTCTAAAGGGTCATGAAGAAAGCCCTGTTAGGAAACTTTTTGGAAGAGAGAGAAGTGATAAGGATAAGGGATCAGAAAGTGATGAGGCTAAAACATTAGCTACTCCACGAACATTGGCTGAAAGTCCAAAAAAGACTCAAGCTGGGAGTCAAAAAATCGTTAGCAGCCTCAAGAAGGATGATAATAAAGGTGTGGTTAAATCCACCCCCAAACAATTAAAGTGGGATGAAGAGGTTCTCAGTCGATTGGTGAGTTATTTTATTAGTATTTGGTTGCGTTTTTCACACATCTAAACTGTCACTGCACTGATTTCAGCTTCATAACTCCTTATCTTTTATTTAACAATTAAACCCAGATTAATTAGTCTAGTTCAGGATTTGGTAGAAAACTACTCCAATGGCATTTTTAGATTGTGTATGCAACTTGCTGTTAAAGTACTAAAAAAAAGCATGCATCTAGTTCTGATTTCTGTTTGTTTCCTTTTAACCTGTGGTTTCTGAGTGCTAGTCCATCTATGTAATTTAACAAAGTTTAACTTTTAAATGAAGTATCATCAGTGTTTACTAACAAACAATACATATGTTATTTTGTGACAGTGATTATAACTAGTCCATTATAACATCAAACTTTATTGTGAAGATGTTCAGGAAGACAGACAGTTATGATGATTCAATAGCAAAGGTTCCATATCCAAGATATGGAGGGACAATCAATTTTTATTCTGAAAATTCAACTCAAAATTATTTATGCGTTAGCACCACATATTCTTGCATGCTGGTATTATCTGTAAGTGAACATTTGCAATGGATCTGTAGTTTTCTTCAATACTAAATAATAATTATATCTTTAAAATGTGTTTAGCAGTATTGTTTTACATTCCAGTGTTATTCAAGATTATTTGTGTGCCACTTTTGGTTAGTTTTCTGTTTTTGTTTTCAATGGTGGTTAGATATTAGATATAGTTAGGTAAAACTTCAGATTGTAAAATTTGAAAAAAGCACTTCCCCGCGTCTTTTTTTTCATGATTTTTACTATTATTTTGCTTTTTTAGGTAGAGTAGTAGAAAAAACAGCAGTTCAGAAAAGACCACATGTTGTATTGGAACATGTTTTGATGCATCCAATACAAATTGTGATAATACTACAAAGATTGAAAAGAACTCGACTAAGTTTTGGCATAATTCATTCAATAACATTGTATCTCATTGTAGCAAATTGTTGACAAAGACATACAATTAACCAACTTAATTGAAAACAAATGCCTATAGTTTTTAATTTGAATTACTTGGGTTGTTCAATAAGTATGCAATATTAGCATCTCTGTTTAACTGTTTATTTGTTAACCACACAGTTATAATCAAACTTGTCACAAATTATTCATGATATAACAATAATTAATATGTTGGCCACTGCAGGAATCACAAGGTTTCACTAGGACCACGTCGAGTAGTCGGTTAGTATACAAGTATGATTCACAGGAAAAAGAATCTCAACAGAATCGAATGGGTACCAAAATGGAAATGACATCTGAAGCTCAACAGCCTGTGGCCAGTAAAGTTAAACTACTGGCCAATGCGTTGAACGAAAAAGTAGCAATGGAAGAAGAAGAGAAACCAACAAGACCTAAGTTTGTATCAAACACTGTTTTGGAGAAAAAAGAGACTCGTGTTGAGACAGCAATGAAGAAAGATCCGGCACTGTTGTCTGTCTCCGAAAGGAAAGCCCTGTTTGAGAAGAATCAAGGACACGCGTTGGTACCAAAAGCAGCATTTGGAATGGCGCATGCTTGCAAAGTGGAAAGTGTTATGAAAGCGTGCTCAACCAAAATCATGAATGATGGGGCGGGTGTTAAGACAACACAGGTGAGGAATCAATACATACAAATGCATCCATTTGTCTTAGAAAAGAAGCATTCAGTCCTTCTTTAGTATACGTCTTTTAATCAACATAATATAGTGTTCAAAAGTATGTAATAATGTCCGAACAGTCTGAAAAACAAAAAAAAATATTATCACTGATAATATTGTTTCTTGTCTAGATCAACAACAATAAATTATCATGGGTTCGGTATTGTATTACTTAACCATAGCACAGTTCAGTAGGAGTTGCCAAGGTATTGAACATTTTTACTACAGGATTTAATTAACACGACTTTTTCCCACTTTGAGAATCTGTTTATATGATGTTTATTTTTCACATTTTTGGAATTGATTTTTACTTTGGTATGCTAAATGATTATTTGGACGTAGATATATTGGTAACATTTTAAGGAAAACCCTCTTCACATTATCCCAAGCTGTAGTAGAAATTTATGAAGGTGTTCTGAGCCATCATCCGTAAGTGCTTCGAACGACAGTCAAGCAGTCCCATCGGCATAGACTACTTTGTAATTAGATATCGCTTATTTGTTAAAAATATTGCCGGAGTCTGGTTTGACATATATAGTTGATGAGTTCTGATTATACTGTTTATAAAATAATAGTATAATATTTGTCACTGTGTGCCAACGAGCAGTGAATGATAAACGGTCGAAAAGGCGACATTGTGTTGAGGCATTGTGAAGAGGGTCTCGGAGTGTATTTTAATCCCCAATCTATCGTTATCAGCCTCCAATGTCGCCTACCCCAAAAGCATCGCAAACCACTCGGCAGATTGAAACGGTTAAGCCGCTCATACACAGTTCGGCAAAGCCAACTCCCCCACCTCTTCCACCAGCATCTAAAGCCACGCCCACGCCCACCGGAGGGCTGGCTAGCAAAATGGCAGCCCTATTGGAAAACAAAACTACGATATCGCAGGAACAGATTGAGAATAGCATGAAGGCACAGAGGCAGAAGGAGATGGATCTGCTGTTGAACAGGTTCCACAGGAGCAAAGAGGTAATTTTTGAAAATAAAACATGTTTTTGAAGTTTATGATCGAACAATGCAATAATCAATTTTTATTTCATGTTTTAAAGCATGAAAAAAATATTTACCGGTATAGTCAATAATGTTTTTTAAACTAGGATTTGGAAATCTCAATCAAAGTTGTGAATGGAATTGCAACTGTCTTCTACCAAACTAAATCATGACATCTCGTGAGAGTGGTTGGTTTGTTATTTGTATGCATCAGGGCCATTTTAGAGCATACTGGATTGCATTGACTTATAATAACCACAGTCATGACTTGTAGATATCGACTGTTTCATCAGGTTTTGTTTGCGTATTATATATGGTCCTTATAATTTTTAATTTTGTATATGTACATAGGTTTCAGAAAATACTTCCAAAGAAGCGCCAGTAATTCAAGAAATGGCGTCCGATGAATCTGATGATGAAGTAGATGCGACAGAACAAACAGCAATGCTGAAAGATCGACCTCCACAAGTTATAGGTGCTAGTAGCAAACAGCAACAGAGGAGATCTGGGGAGAAGAGGAAACCTTACAGTGAGTTTGTTTTCTAAAAGGCTATGTTTATTGCCATTAGAGCATAAAATACATTGAAGTCATTATGCTATTAATTCATGAAAACGACGCAGAAGAATGACTGATTAGAAAGTGAAAGTGGTTCCACTATCTTTTGGAGAACTGTATTATTTAACTTCGATAGAAGAGTTGTCCCCGGGACGTTCTCAGGAAAAAAGGTGCGCAAGTCTCGCAATCATCCATCAGTCTCAGCTCTCAAAATATAATCAAGTTTGTGATCAAGTGTCTAAAAGCGGATTAACACGCCAACACAGAGGCCAAAGGCTGTCATAACGGTAATAGAACACTTTCTTCAGGTTATTCTACTCTCTTGTTTTCAAGAATGGATCCCCCCTAGGGAAACTAGGATTATCTACAGTTTTCTTTAGTACTGGTGAAATGTCTTGGTAGTTGAAATTTATTGACGACTTTTTCATCGATTTATTAGGTAAGGGGGATAGTCCTAAGGTAGCCGCAGTCCTGGAAGATGTAAAACGCATTAAAGTGTCCCCTGCCAAGGAAGGTCGTCTCTATCCTAGTCTCTCAGACATTGAAGCTGCCACCGAGACAGAAACTGATCAAACCAGGACTCCAACTCCAAATGAACTTGGTAATCAACAAGATAGCAGGTGCGATAAACTTACTAATTGGGTTTTATTTTTCTTTTGCTTAGCATGATTGATGTTGTTTATGGGTTATGCTTGTTTTGGGGATCATCCAGCCAGCTTACATATCTCAAGATGGCCAAAATCATCGTCGAAGCCGGTTTCTGTTCATTTGCGATCAGCGCCGATCGATTGACATGGGAACTATGGAGACGAACTCAAATTTTCCAATCGACACTTATTAAGCTGTACTTATAAGATTACAACACAGCTGAAACATATTATCAGCGCTAAGCCTGATTCCATTACCATTCCTTTAGTGTTAACCAGTTGGCGCTAGGTGAGCAGAAACCAGCTTCAACCATCATCGTAAATTATTTTTAAGTAGTAATCTAGCACGCAGATGCAGCATGTAGATTTTTTTCTCCAAAATCGTCACTTTCAACTGACCTTTTCTATATAGATTCAAAACTTAGCCTTATCTAAGATACTACTTGAGTTTTTGTTACTTGCTGAATCAATGTGTTCTATTTTATTGTTGATGGATGTATGCTGGCTTGTAGCTTTTTTGTGTTTAATCATTTAAGGATCTCATTACTTGTTAAGTAGTGTTCAAGAAAAATTGGTGAAACTAATCAAATACTCACTAGTAAAACATTGCAATTATGAAATAGTAATGCGATCTGTAAGTCATTATAGTATAATACTATTTCAATATTTAGCACAAAAGGTTTGTGACTACTAAAACAAAAGCACTAATTTATGGTTGATAGTTAAGTAATTTTTAAATCAGATAACAAACATTATTTATTTTTAAGTCAGAAATTAAATATGTACTTTGTCATGGTTGTGATATAGTTTAGTGGAATAAAAATGTTTTTAATATCATTTTAATTTCATTTCATACACCTCATTAACATTAAATTAACTCATTAGATTACTAACAATCATCATTAGGTCCCTGATTTAAAAAACTTCTTTGACATAATAACTAAATTTCACTCTGTATCTGCTGGGTTTTCATTAAAATAAGAAAAGACACCCGAAAAATAATGTAATGGTTCATCAATATTTTTCACAACTTATTTTTGATAGCATTTTTTGATTTAGTGTGGTTTTTCACTTATCTGACCTTTGAATATATAAAACTGAAAGTATGGAAAGCTTCACTGATAAAGCTCTAATTTTTTCGACTGTAGCTTCGAGGATAATTACGATTCCGATGATCCAAATACAAGCTTTGGTCGTGATATTTTGGAAGCTGTCTGCAAAAACCAAACTACACCAGCTAAAAGGGTAAGTATCAAAATGCATTAATTCATAATAGTAGAATATCAGAAAATTGTATGACAAAACTCTTTCAAATGTCACTAAATTGAAGTTCAATGGAACATTTTCACCACGCTCTTTTATATATAGTATGTGCTTGAAGTCTCATTGATACACATGCTTTTCTACATTACAGCCAGTATTCGATGAAAGCACAGCAAGTGATATTTCTAGTATTCTCGACGATATAGATACTACTAACAGTCAGAGTGAAGAAGATAATTGCTCTGGACCTAGTCCACCTAAACAAGTTCGACAATACTCTCCAGAGGTGAGCGACACGGATATCGACATATTGAACCAGATGCCCAATCTAATTAAACGGCGTGCCTGCTCCAAAATAAGCATATGTACCGTGACGCTATTAACTACTTATGCTTACAACTATGTACCTGTCCACCACTATTTTTAGGCGCCAGCGTTGCCACCTCTTGGACCGAGGCTCCATTGTCTGGCCGATAAATCGATCCACGTATACTTAATATAGTTTTTAATGACCACAGTGGAAGTACAATGACATTGTACCACAGTCGTGGTCGAAGCGTTGTTATTAAAATGTATATGTGTGGTTTGATTTAGCGTCCTAACAATGGAGTCCTATAAACATGAAAACCACAGGATCAGTTTTAGATGTTACATGAACCTCTCGAACTATTTCCTCAGGTTATGGGATTTTCTTTTATCTTGTCTAGAAATTCTGTGAATACGAATTCTTGGGAATAATTATGGGTGAGGTTGAGGGGTGACATTCCTTATAAAGCTGGCGTCATGTATTAAAATAAGCATTTTTTTTTTAAAGAAAATGGAGTAATGTAACATCTGAAACTTGTCCTGTAGTTTTCATGTTGATATTCCCGCATGGTTGTTTGGTCAATCAAACCACGTGTTTGGTTCTCGGGTTGGACCGCGTTGTGAATTTTGAACTTATCGTTTCGGCTCTCAGTTTGGAGCCATTATTAAGAGGGACATGATTCTAGTTGACTGCGAGGTCTCAATCTGCCTAGTCTTGGGCTAGAACTTTCAGTTACGACTAAGGTCTTAAATCTGTCTACTCCTCAGAGACAACTGACGTTGGAATGGTTGACGTTGACGCGTTGCCCTAAGCAACACGACAGGTGGTGGAGGGGGATGGGTGACACTGACGTGTCGTCATCAAAAGTGTTGGTAGGCGAAACGGTGAGGACAATGACGTCGTGAAGTTTCCAGGTGGTCGGTCACCTCAGGCTATCATCACGTTTGAGGCGTTTTTCGATTTCAATGGCCTCGCGGGTTATTATTCCTGAGACGGGGAATAGGCAGATTGGGGCCTTGCACTCTACTAGAACCATACCACTCTTGATAATAGCTCCACAAATGGAACCAAAACGATGAACTCATCATTCCCAACGCGGTTCAACCGGACAACCATGTCATTTCCAGAATTCAAACCGCGGGAGCCTATCCGAACAATTCTTCGTCGTTTGTTTTTTCTTTTCATTTTCACATTCCTGCACAGAACGTTGCTACAATATTCTAAAATGGTATAACATGCTGCGCTTGCGCAGGCCCTGGCCTATGCTGGTTTTGCGTGGTGCCATTTTAAAATCCGGAATAGTAACTATCATAGTAACACTCTGTATAGGAATGTGAAAATGGAAAGAAAAACAAACGAAGTGTCAACCTGGCAGACAAATCAAATATATAGTAAAAAAAGTGTCAATTGTACACCGTTAGGACCAAAACGTATTCAATAAACAAGAATTTTGAACACGTAGTTTGATTGACCAGATTATCGAAAGTGGAGTGTTTCTATTACTCCTGAGCAATGACTGTGGTTCTACTTTACAACATTAGATTGAGCATCTTGGAGAATACGTTAATCAATGTTATGAAACAATACGAACTATTCGTTTTACATGTCTCACGATATGTTATCCCTCTCACTCAAAAAAGTCACTTGCTCAAGATCCGCAAACTAAACAGAATGATCAAATAACAGTTAATTTGAGCTTTTTAATTTCTAGAAAACCGTTGCGCAACCTTCGAACTCTTTTAACTACAAAAACTTTTCTCCGAACGTCAAGACATCACCAAATAAATTCGCCTCACCAGTGAAGATTATGGCTACCCCTCAGAAACCGACCAACAATCTACCGGAGTACATTGTTGAAGGAGATAATGTCATGCCATTGATTCATTCTGTCAGTTTTTACAGAAAACAACAAAACCAGGTGAGGATAAGTAAAGTAATAACTAATAAATAATTATAATACACTCGCGTTATTTGATGATATAGTAAATCTTCGTTGGAACGAAAACGCTACTGAAATATGTCAATGCATTTTTTCCTTTCTGATTCTCTTAGACGAATGTTTCTTCTGCAGTTACGATTTATGACCCAAAGTTACAGATTATGGTAACTAGAGACCAAAAACTACGTGATTGCTTTATTTGATTCAGAAAATGCTTTAAAATCGAGTAGGCTGCAATAGTTTGGAAAATCACCAAGGCAAAAGGCTTAGATGCTTGTCAGAGCAACTCGCTGATGCACATTGGTTTATGAAGACTGATGAGAAACTAGTAGTATTTTCAACCAATGTTATAAATATGTGAACTCGATTTGATCATGTCAATATGAACATTTTTTTTTTCAGGTTAGCACGCCTCCGGTTCGTCAAATCATAAGGCAACCAGTTATAGAAGAAGTGGAGCCGAAAAAAGGAGACGATTCAGAAGCTGTAAGGAGAAAAACAGCAGAATTGCAGGAAGAAGTAAACAAGCAACAAAACATAATATCACAAACCAGTCAAGCGTTGAATCTATGCATGTCAACTCCTGAGTTTTCTGGATCTACTGAGCAAGTTGAAGCAGAGAAAGTTCTACTAGTTGCAAGTAAGTTGCGAGATACATGAAAAACCATAATGGATATGTAGGTGTTATCAGCTTCCACCAGGAAACTTTTTCTCATGTTCTGTATTTGTTTTATAGCTCACAGAAGGCAAGCAGCGCTCCACGAACTGCAGAGATTGCGAGTTGAAAAAACTATCAGGCCTCAACTATCCTACAATTTGCCTATAGAGAAAGGAACATTGAGTATTTCCAATATTGTTCTGCCCTTGAAGGCCAAGTATGTCAAGGCTCTTGCAGCTGGTAAGGAAATCTATATCTTTATTATTTAAATTATATTCGCCATGAATATTTTTAATTTTTAGCTGGGGGCAAAGGCCATCATGTGGTGTGTCTGGTGAAGTGTGGAGATCAAGTGGTACCCACCAAGCTTGTCTCTACATGCGTACAAAACGCCAAAAATCCAGACACTGAACTATCCATACCTGGTGTTGTAGTGCTTAATGATATTTACAGTGACTTTACTGTTACTTTTGAGGTGTATTGCCTTCAGGCACAAGAAGAGTTTCTTCCGCATGAAGTCAAGTACCACATTCAAAAGAAGTCAGGCGGTAAGATTGCATGATTCTTAAAAACTTCGTTAAAGAGTTGATAATCTAAACTTGACGTAAGGGTGCCTTATCAGGATTAATTATGAGCTGTATCAAAAGTTTTAAGATATAATGTTTACTGTGTAGGAAGTAAAACAATTTCGAATTTTTGTAGGTAAGTTGGTGACACCAAAAAAAGGAAAACAGGATTCAAGGATGGTAATGCCTGTCAAAGAGTCTCCTGCAGGGCCTCAAGCTGTCAGAACATCTTCATTTGCTATGATGGGTTACATGGTATTTTCAGTGCAGGCTATTAATAAGAAAGTTTGGACTTTGAATAATGTAAGTTGATTTATTTATGCAGGGTATCCCAGAAGACAACGTCGAGCCAGAAACGGGGGATAGGCCAAGTCATAATAGTTATCAGAAAAATATGAAAAAAATCTGGTCCTGTCCTTTTCAAAATATAGGCTTTAAAAAAATCTGAAAAGTCTATACCCTGTGAATTTTTTTCTTCGATGGAGTGACAGTGTCATTCTACATACTGACAGCAAGATAGATAGTAAAGTCACTTTTATTAATTCGTGAATGCATTTATTAAATTCACAATAAATGTTCCATGAGCAGCAATGCAATTTTGACATCTTGAAAATGATCGGATTATCAGACAGACGTATCCGTTATTAACAAATTCAGCTGCTTCAGTAATTTTGTCCCGTAGCTTAGACAAATTTTCGATTGGCTTTTTCTTTCACCGCTCCCTAGTAGAAAAAAAGCAAAAAAATCGAGTAGATTCAGTTGAACGGGCTGGCCACGAAATTGCACCAGGCCACCCTATCCATCTGCTCGGGTATTCCGCATCTCTTACTAAACGGGCATAGTGAACCAGGCAGCCGTCTTGCTGGTACCACATGTCTATGTCTTGGTAAATGATTTTGTAAAAAGTTTTAAACTTCGCCATTCATGAACTCTGGCATTTCAAATGGTACAATGATTCTCCCATTTTAAAACGATACTGTGATCTATCTTGTCTCATCAAATGTAGATTTTCTGCATGGCACTCGTGTAAGTTGTGTAGATTTATCTAAAGGTGTTATCGAAAAAACGCGGATCTTCTCGATGTCTCTGTAACAACACTCCCGTGCTTGCTTCTATTTGACGTAATAAAGAAATCGGGTCTCCTTAGACTGCTCGTGTTCGTAGTACGACGTCCTCGTAAGGAAAGGAGCATGTGCTTGATTTGGGAATCGTCCCTCTGAGAGTAAAAGGTGCACATTCACAAAAACTCGGAGATCGGGATGACGATCAATCACTAGCATTGCATCTACATTCCCCATAAATGAGGTGCTTGTTATCGTATTCCTGTATGGTGTACACATACATCGTGGCACTACACAATCATGGCGTTACTATCTGTCTTGCTGTCACTACGTATAATGACACTGTCTGTCAGTTCGCCCAAGAAAAAAATGAAAATTTGTAGTAATGGGAACATAAGATCATTACAGGTTTTTCCGATTTTTTTAAAATTAATTTGAAAAGTACACTAGATTTTTTATAATTCTTTGATAACTATTATTATTTGGCCTATCCCCCGTTTTCGGCTTGACTTCTGGGACAACCCTGTATATCATCAAGTTTATGGAAGTTAAAAAAAAATCCGGAAAGATCTGATGTCGATTTCTTACAATTTCAGACACCCCCAATGAGTCCTTTGGAAGGTACAGTCGAAATGAGGATTAGCTGTGAAATGGAAGTTTCTGTCGAGCATCGTGGTTTTCTGACGATGTTCGATGACGTTTCTGGTTTTGGAGCTTGGCATAGGCGATGGTCTTTGCTCAAAGGACATTTGCTTAGTTATTGGAAGTACCCAGATGACGAGAAAAAGATGGTAAGAATTTTGATCCTAAAAAATGTATGCATACAGAGTCAGGGTGAGGTGGAGGTAAAATTTGTCACGAACCTGTGGCCGAATAACCAGTCGCAACATGTGTACTAGCCACGAAATTCAGAATACACATGGACATGCTTGACAAATATTTCAAAATTTTTCCATAATTTACTAAATGAAATAATATGGAAAAACATTACTACGACGGAAATCACGGATTTATGTACTTCCGAGCCAAATATTCAAGATTTGTACGATCAGTTATCTGTTTCTCGAAATTTGTTTTAAATGGACACTGATATAATATGCCCACATAAATACTACGGGTTCAGGAACTTGTTGGTAGGTTTAATATTTAATCTAAAGTTCATAATAATGTGAATCAATACAACACCTTGAATGTATAAACATTTAAGATATTTTTAAGATTCGTGACGCAAACAACCCTAAGAAAGTTTTGTTTATTATCTTGCCAAAAGACTGTATATCAATTTACTATTTCACTTATCCCTTGAGCGAATAATTATACAAAGTTGACTTTGTAGCATTAATGCTAAATGAATCTTCAACAAACAAACAAACTTCTTTCAGCCTCCAATCGACACAATTGACCTGAAAAACTGCATTACAAAGGAGGTAGGACCAGTTAGCCGAGATGTATGCGCCAGGATGCATACATTTTTAATCGAAAGGGAAAGAGCTATCTCTCCGAATGACAAAGACAGTCTAGTGATCATATGCAAAGGTGATAAAACTATCATCAGGCATCTGCTATCTGCAGACACCAAGGAGGAAAGAATTGAATGGTGTCAAAAGATCAATGCTGCTTTGATAGCTACGAGGATGTGGGGAAACAGAAAATGAGAAGAAACAGTAATAATTGTGCCATCTTGCAATGGAAACTGACAGTTTGCATCTTCTGTTAAAGGCAGAGTCGATTCCTTCAATAAAAATCAGAGTTTGTGTACAGTATGTATTCGTCTTTAATATGGGGTGTTCTCTACTTAAATGGACATTCTGATATGGTAGGTAGTATGCAACAACACCCGTTCCATATTTTAAAGTAAAACAGTTATAACTTCGGTATTTACAGATATTAATATTTGAACACCATTCATTGGCTTTATTTTGTGTGTACTCAGCAATATTCAGCTTAAAAGGTATTGATTTTGATGAAAAACAAAAGTCACGAAATCGAGTCCGGTCCTGGACTTTTTAACCGTTATCTTGCAAAATTTCAACAAAAACAATTCAGTAGAGCCTCTTATATGTGATATTAAAGATATGACGTGTGTAGATAAATCACCCTTTATATCCGTAAAAACTAAATTTAGCCCTTTTTTCAGGTATGAAAAGATCTCGGTCTATAATACCTACCATTTCTCTATGTCCATTCAAGTACGAAACACCTTGTATATCTTGTTCACAAATTGAACCAAAATTTATTTTGCTTGATGCATGACATTAAATGTCAGCTTAATGAATTTACAGAAGCTTTAAGCACTGCAAAAAGACACTAAAATGGAAGTGTCAGATTTCTATTGCATATATCTGTATTATAACTTATTCATATTTCTAGTATGTCAAATTTTATGCAAGTTTTATATTATAATTAACCCTATATTATATTTTTATATAATTATATTTTTTAGTTTTAAGATGGTTTTACTAAAACATATTACATATGAATGGTTTTGTTTGTAAATCACGTCACCACACTCTAGCAATTGCTGACACCAACTTGTGAAAACGCCTCCGATGGCACATGCCACTCACAGTCTACGGTAAATATTACAGCAAAAGTGGCTGCTGAAACTAGAGTTCAGAGTCCAGAGCCCCTCTGCATCCTATCCGTCAGAGTGATGACGACAATGCCAACAATGCGACTGGTTACTGTCAGTTAAGGAAGCATCTTTATAAATGAGGCTAAGCGACACATGCAGGGGGTGCGAACACAAATGTTTAAATTTTGGTTTGCGACTGTCTAGCTGTCCTATCGACTCCACGATCCATTCTGAGGGAATGTTTGCATTCTCTGGCTAATTTATATTAGCTTTATTTCTCTTATGGGAGACTTTCCAAGGTCGTCTTACCACTTTTTGTCAATAGTTTGGGGTGGCTAATGGTTCAGCCCTGAGGAGGACGTACAAAAGTGCTGTCACCTTGCCTTTCCTCCTATACAGAAGACATAAACCGCTGACACTACGTTTATTCTCTTGCTGCGCGATTGGCAACGCCAACTAGTAATCACAATAATATCGGGTTCAAATATTTATGCTTGTATCGGCAATATAAAAGTAAGGGAATATTAAATAAATTATGAAATTAGAGACATACCGGCCACCATGATGAGCCTGCTCGGTTGACCATTCTGGGGATCAAAAGTTATGGATCCCAGTAAAGTCTGCCTCAGTAGCTCAGAGCCTCACAGAACATGCTCTACCATGCAGCGCTCACACATTCCTAAGGCTGGCTCAGCGTTCGAATAATCATTGCCCTTTATCCTAGCTTGTTCCGGTACCCACACTTGCGATACCGGTTGCCTCGCTGCTAGACTATCCAGGGCCTGCCTTCATTGCAATACAAGGCTCGAAGAAATCTTGCAGGCACTTAGTGCATTCATCGCAGCCTCTGGCTGAGGGAGAAGATTGTTATTCTTCTTCTAGGCCCTTCCCCGCCAGAATGCGGAATACGCAAGCCCGAATTGCATAGAGTTCCACTTGGAAAATAGTGGTGTATCCGCCGAGAGGCATAGATCACCTAGTCCTAGGCCCAAAGACTCCGGCGCCAGGGCCCTCTTCAGTGACCGAGCCCCAGACGCCTTTCGGAGACCTCCCGGAGTCCCACTCCGCCTTCGTTCGATGAGATACGTGAAACTTGCGGTTAAAGAGATATTTAGGGGTGGCGGTGAACTAAAATGTACATAGTATGAATAATGTAATATAATAAAAATAGCTAAGTTTTTATATATTTGATCAAAAAATAGCGTCAAGAGTTTATTGTTTGTACTTTGACATAGACTGTTGTGCGGTATTATAGATATTTTTTAAACCAAAGCAGCTGCATAGGCAGAAGTCTAAATACAAGGGCACTGCAGCTGCTGTAAGAAACTTTGTAAAACTGCCTAAGGTTAATAGAACTGGGAAAAGCTCCTCAGGTAGATTGTTCCACAATCTCGATACCCTAGTGACGAAGGAGGCGGTCGTATCGGCACGTTCTGGATGTACGAAGCTGGACAACATCGCGCGGCACCATGGAAGAGAACTCTGAGGATGAAAACGCGTTGACATAGCGATAGAAGAGTCTTTCCGTTAGACAAGAGCCATAGATCAATCCGACAGCTCCCAGAATAGCATCAAGTTTGGGTGATGTAGTCGGAGAGGCAGCACCCAAAACATGTGAGCAGTACTCTAGGCTAGGTCTTATCTGGGCCTGATACAGAGTGATGTGGAGAAAATTACTTCTGAACAAACAGCCGAGGTCTTTCCCAACAGCTGCCGCTTATTGACGAGACAGTCTTCTTGTTAGTGATGGTACAGAACTGTGTTTTGGAAACATTAAACTGTACAAGAGTTACGCCCCAAGCGATGATACCTTCCGGATTTCTCGTCAGAGAGGAGGAAGTCGTCGCTAGTCTTCTTGCATGCCCGCATATAGTGGTGTCATCGGCAAAGCTAGATGGGATTGATCGTGCAGGAGAGGAGGTCGTTGATATGTAGTATAAGTTTAGACAGGGATTAGTCAAGCTAGCCTGTTTGGGGAAACAAATTATTAAAATTACCCCTGCCCTGTTTCAGGGGCATAATTTCGGAGCTTAATGAAGGGGAATTGGGATCGGGTTGATGAAGCAACGTTACATAAATTTGATCTCTATATTTACTGTAAAAAAACAATATGTAGGAAACCATTTCCATGAAAAATTACATCTAATGCATGTCCCATAGGTCTGTAATCCGGGTTTAAAAATTATATAGGATGCTACAATATCCTATCATTTTCACAATAATTTTCGTTGTAAATTTCGCTTAATTCCTTAAGTTTAGAAGCTAGCAATTCAAAAACTGATCATGTTCTTGTATTCAAATTTCATACACTTCAAATATGCGATTGATAGCAAATATCATACAGAATAACACCTCAAAATCTGTACCTCAGAGCGGACAGGGGTTGATTCCATTTTTTCATGAATTTGGATTGATGACTCAAGTACCACAGTTTTTTTTCAGTGGTTACTTTAATCAAGTCCTAGCAAACGCTATAACGAAATTGTTAAAGTCATAATACTAGTACGACCTTCAACAGTTTAAATAACCTTAAGCCTTTGTATCCATAGAATCATAGTTAAGCCTCAAAAGATGCTTGCTGTATGTGCAGTGGCACCATCCTGCTGGAATCATATTGTTTTGGTGTCGTATTCATTTTCTTCCAGTTGTGTTCAGCAAATGTAACATGTAATACATCAGATACAGCGTGTACTTTTTTCAGATCATATAAAAAAATCAAGTTGACGATGGTTTCTCAGAAACGAAACGTCGGATAGAAAATTTAAAAACACCACTAAGGCTCCACATAATGATGTAGAGCCTTAAAACTGATAATGTTCTATTGGTTTTTTGATATTCCTTAAATAAATTTAGAAAAACACGATTTAGTTAATTGTTTTCCCAAATACCTTAGTGAGCCATGAAATTTTTACGTTTCTCAACGGCATGTAAATACACCCCAAAGAACGTAGTTTTTTCTAATTTAACCTAAGGCGTATCTCCCACAGGTATTGAGATCCCCATCCATAGGATCCTTATCTTGGGCACCCTGTATATATCTAAATAAAACAACTAGGTTTAGATGCACTATTATTCACGATTATACCAATACAATGTTTGTTTCTAATTAAACCCAGTTATGTTGATAATGTTTCACAGACCTTTTATAGCACTCATTTATTCCTATATCATCTATAAAATAAAACAATTACTGCAATTTTCTGAGTGCTCGAAAACATATTTCACCTGTCCAGCTTCAAATGACCGCGCTGATAAAGCTGTTTTTAGGATACAACTCCTGTTCGCGTTCAGGTACAAAATATAAATAATTATCTTTTATGCAGAAATAACCTTGATCTAGAAAAAGATCATAATAACAGTTGAGGTTTGACAAAGAAAAGTTGATGGGTTCATTTATGGAATTATAGCGCTTATTGTCAGTTAACGTTATTTGGTTGAAATAGCCGCCAACATCAAACATTGTCGTGTTCTGAATACGTCCACTGTTATTAATTAGCAAACAAACCTACGGGAAACAGTTAAGCATTTCCAAACCAAACGAATCAAGACAAAATAAAGGACGCGGGAAAAATGACAAATATGTATGTACATAATCAACGGATATTTCAGCTACGTGTAAATCATTGTCCGGCATAATTATTATTTTTCTTGAGCAATACTAGCTAATCTTAATAATTAAAATATCCCAGCACGCACTTCCAGAGTGCGTTTCTCAAGAATCATATATTTATATTTGTTTTTGCTTAAAACTAAATATGGGCTATCATCGTAACGAGAGTCATCTTCGGTTATAACTTGGTTTGGGAAGTGATCTCGTCATTTTTCTTCAGGAAATTCTCCACGTATTCCTTGATTTCCTTTTCATCTGAAAAAAAAAATGTCTCTCAGAACCCAGCCCAGAGAAATAATATCTTTTCTTATAACTAAACGTAGATCATGCCAAAAAAATGTAAAAAGTGGGTATGAAAAGGTGCAACAATGGCATAGGCGGTTCCGCTACAAAACGTAAACGCTTTCAACCATGAAATCATGTTATGATTTGCATCAAATTGTTCATGCTTTTGATTTATATCGTCTTACACTAATTGTACGAACGACTGACGATACGGCCCTTAGCGACAATATTCTTGCATTTTTTGAGATATTTCATAATATAAAGGTCTTTGCCCACTATTCCGCCACGTTCACAGTGGCGTACGATGTGTTTTGCTAATCTCTTTCGTTTCGGTAGCAGACTATAGGATCGTACACAGCCCGACATGTAATAGCGAGGTAGAATTATCTGAAACAGAAGCATATAAATATGCAACCGCCAAAAAAAGGTACCCACCAACCCTTACCCCCCCCTCACCATTTTCTACTCCTCAAATACATTTCAAAATTGACTAGTAATTTCGTCAAAAAACTAAGTTTAAGCTATTTTTTTCGCTTCTGGCTAGAAGTTGCACCGCCACTGATAGATTTCAATCTGTGTCGAAATTTGATAAAAACACGAGGTCATTTTCAAAATAGAGGGGCCAAAAATTAGCGAAAAGACCGACGAAAATGAGTGATATGGTTTTCCGATTTTTGAATAGTCCACCCAAAAAACATACATCATTTTTAATTTTTCTTTTGCGATTAGAATAGTTCTAGACTAATTGACGTGGGAATAAAGCCTTTTATTCTCTTCCAAAAGTTAATTGGTCCTCCATTCAAAGTTCCATATGTGACTGAGAGAAATCCTAGCCCAAACGCGTTTCTAGTATTTTGGAAAGAAAAGTAACACATACAGCTTTCAAATTGAACAGCTTCTTTATGATGCAACATCATTTCAAAATTATAAATTTTCTTAAATAAATGAATATGGGTACATTGGAAGCTTTTCTCTGCCCATCTCATTAACATGAATGGAAATGCTCCACCGCTATTTTGATGGCAATTGATTATTGAAGTGCGCGAGGCGAGGGAGTGCTTGTAAACATATACATCGAATACCGATCCTTCAATTTATGGAACACTATGAACCTGAACATCCAGGGGAGGGCAAATTGCATTGTGAAAACACACATCAATATCAATAACTGACCTTTATCTGCAAGCGCGTGAGAGATGGTCCTCGCCATGGTCTTAAACGTATCCCTGGACTCAAACCTCCTCTCCGCATACGCCGGGGACAACAGTTCTACCACCAGCCCTCCGACTTCAGTCTTCTTCAGCTTATGCTTCTTGCCTACAACAGCGCTTTGGCTGACGCTGCCTTTTCCGCTGCTCTCTCCATTTTGTTTCTCGAGGCTGCCGAGTTTCGGAGGCGCCTGCCTCAGGTCCTCGCTCCTTGATGGTTCGTTTTTCTGTAGGAACTGTGGCACCTCCAGCTCCTCAGGAGCCGTTGAATCGTCGGTTGGTTCTGACATCTGGTCATCCATGATTGCTTGTTCAGGGTCATACTCTTCTACCACCTAAAATTCATTATATAAAGGTTTTCCCTACGGACGGCTGGATGTTGAAATGAAATAAAACAATTTATGGGTGGGATATTAACGAAATTTCTGTTCTGATAGGTCCTCGGGCGATAATGCATCCATAAAAATGTATTTGGTGTTGACGGCGGCAATGATCTGTACTTTTTCGAACACGACATTAATATAACATATCCCAGAAGTCGATGTCAAGCCGGAACCAAGTCATAATAGTTATCAGAAAAATTATAAAAAAATCCAAGTCGTATACTTTTCAAATTATAGGCTATGAAAAAAATCTACACCCTGTGATCATCTTTTACTTTCCATTAATACAATTTTTTTTCTTCCTCGGAGTGACGGACAGTGTCCTTCTACGTAGTGACAGCAAGACGGATAGTAACGCCACTTTTTTATTTAGTGAATGTATTTATTAAATTCACAAAATAAATGTTCAAACTGCCTTCCTTCAGTAGCAATGAAAGCTTGACATCTTAAAAATGATCGGGTTATCAGACGGGCGAGTCTTCCGTTATTAACAAAATCAGCTGCTTCCGTTATTCTGTCCTGTAGCTCAGCTAAATTTTCGATTGGCTTTGAGTAAACCTCTTCTTTCACCGCTACCCAGTAAAAAGCTCGAGTGGGTTCAAGTGAGGTGAACAAAATTCCGCATCAAGATATTCTCTAACTGAACACGTCTTCCAATAAATTTGATGAATGATTTTTGAAAAGTCTAAATAAATTTTGCTATTCAAAAACTCTGGCAGTTCAATGATTCTCCCACTTAGAATCCCCGTCCGCATGTTTAAAACGATACTATGATCTATCTTGACTCATCAAATGTGGATTTTCTGCATGCCACTCTTGTAACCTGTGTAGATACATGTACCATCTCTTTTGAATGTTTCTCATCAATCCACAAAATTTTCTCTAAAAACCGCGGATCTTCCCGGTGTCTCTGTAACATTGACAAAAATAAACTCTTGGAAGCTAAACCCGGTATTGTGCAGATTGTGCTCGCTGAATGTGTTACGGGAGGAGCTCGTTCTTTCACAAGATTCGGTGGGTTGTACTTTTGGGCTCTCCATGCTTGCTTATACTGGGTGCGCCATCTATTACTTGTTTTGCCTATAAGTTTATGTGTTACCATGTGAGTCAAAAGTCATGTGGTATGCATAAATGAACAGTTAAAGGTATGCCATTTATAGTCATGGATTAGTTTACAACAACGCATTTTGGTTATCCAAACTTATTACGAAAACGGTCGAAATATAAAAATTACTTTTCGCAAACTTCGCACTAGTTTTGGCTGACATGGACGCCCTACAGAGCCTGGAATTCGTTGGATTGTTAATCGTTTTGAGGAAACTGGTTCAGTTGAAGGTCGTAGACCATACCAACATGCTCGTCCAGCTTGTACTCGTGAAAACATAGCCGCAGTATATATTAATCGCCTTATTGCACACGAAATTTCAAGACCGCATAATTTCACGAAATTCAGATGTCAGTTGGCCCCCGAGATCGTGCGATTTAACACCTCTTGACTATTTTCTTTGGGGATTTTTGAAAGGAAAAGTGTATCCGAATGGTCCCCGGACAATTCAAGACGTAAAGCGCAATATTCGGACTGAAATTGCGGCCATAGACTCGATTATTCTGGGAAAAGTCATTGAGAATTTTGATGTTCGGATGTTGGCCTGTAAACGAAGCCGCGGTGGTCACATGAAATGTTATTTTTCATACATAAATGGCATAAACTAACCTTCATTTATCAATAAAAAAATTCGATTTCACCTCGTAAAAAGCGTGTTGATTTTTCAAATAGAAAAAAAAGTAATAGATGACGCACCCTGTATTTGACATACCGAAGTATTCGGGTCTTCTTTGACTGCTTGTGAATAATTATTATGACTTGGAATATCCCTCGTTTCCGGCGTGACGTCTACCTCTGGGACACCCTGTATAACAACATATTTATCAAGGGTTACGAACACTAGCATTCAGCAGCTAAAAGTTGATGCTGTCTGAAGTATATTATGATGATTGTCCATGCATTTAGTCATGACATTCAGCAGCTGAGATAAAGCGTCATCTAGCTAGTCCTAAGATTAAGCTGCTGAATGGTAGTGAACACAGCCGTTAATAACGAACTTCTTCCATCTCAAACCAAAAAAGAATGGACGTGGAGAAACGGTTACAGTGGGAAGACGCTTTTACTACAGTAAACGCGATTGCACGAGTTCACTGAGGGTATGGTTATATTTTGCAGTGGTGATATGTGATGGTCACCAAGATCGTGCAACTTAACCCCAGTCGACTTTGTGCGGTGTTCTGAAATCTCAGTTCTTTGCCAAAAGCCGCAGACCACTGATGCGCCCAAGACAGCATCATTCAAACTCAGACAGATCTAAGCGACAGTCATAGAAAATTACACCCCATTTCACAAGTATCCATCACGCTTTGAGGTCTACTGAGGTGTACAGCTGATCAGCAAGCGACATTTTTGTGTTAGTCTACAACGTTGGCAATAATGGATCGGGTATAAATCTAGTAAAACTTGTTTGTGGCGTTTTGTTTTTGTATGCAAATGAACTTTTTCAAATAAAATAGCTGTTAGCAAGTACAAAATATAAATATGTAGCTTACAAAAACCAAAACAAAATTCGGCGTTGACGGATCAGTCAGAATTATGTGTCCTTTGCTGATATGGGAATTTTGAGATATTACTAGATAATCAGTTGTCATTCTACCGTGATGGATTCTCATGAAATAGGGTATAGATCTCTTGGGTATGTGCCACTGTGTCAACTCACAGCACAAATTTTCTGATGTCATAATCTACAGATAGACCTTTCAATTAAAAAAGATTTTCATTAATAGCACATACACAAATTTTATTTCAATATCAACTTGTGCTTCTTAAAAAACTTTTTATTAGATGAAAATCAACAGAGTGATAGTACTCAGTAAATTTAATATTGTTTTGAGCACATAAGACAACCATTAATGTTTCACACTTTCAAATGTATAATGGGTGATTCAAGTTCAATCCTCATTATTATGGCCTTGGAAATGATAAAAGATACAAGGTCAGTATGTTAACTTAAGTAAGAAGAACTTGATGAATGGTAAGAGATGAAATGTTCAGCTTGTAGAGAAGGAAATGTATTATTTTATAATCCTATCCCAAATAAGATCACAAAAAAAATAACGATTTTTGGTTGAATTCGGTTTTACCATCACCTCCAGATCACTTCAAATTTTTCCATATGCCATGTATCTTGTCTCTTACTATTTCCAAATGGTAAGATTCGAATTTGAAACAAACTAGCATTCTTCTATTATTCTGAGTAACCTCCACTGACCATATGATGTAAGTATTATAACAAGCACCAATTACCTGATCCCTCTCCATTTGATCCTGTTGGTTCTTAGACTCCTCTTCAAGTTTTTTCTTTTTATCTAAATTCCACTCATCACTCTTCCGCCTCCTCTTTCCATCTCTGTCTCTCTCCCTATCACGCCTCTCCCTCTCCTCTTTATGCCGACTACTATGATGATGGTGGTGATGGTGTGACCTCCCACCAAAGGTCTCATGCGTTGGGTCCTCTTCCCTTGAACTCAGTCTATACTCCATCGTACTGCTGTCAAATAGATCCTCTCTGTCCCATCTATCTTTATGTCTATTGTAACGTGTCCTGTCGCCAGAGCTGTCATCCTCTTTTGAGTTGTTTTTGTGTTCTGCTGTGTCTGATCTGTAAAGCATGCATTTTAAAAGTACAGGTCACAACACAATCAGAATATGAAAACATGCTAAAAAGTATTTAAAGATATTTATTTTGTAGAACCAAAAGAAATGCTGCTACATTATGACGAATGAAGCAGTACGTAGTTGTACACACAACAAAAAGATTAACTTCAAAATACTTCAGAGGCTCAAAGATATATCTGATCTTTATTTCTCCCCTAAATACACAAAAATGCAACAAATCCCAGTAAATAAACTCTTTTCACAATGCAAAAATTTTATAATGGATGAAAATTTGGATTTAGGTTATTGATGTATTGAATTAAAATACTTTGATTTCTGACTTTTTTGCTATGATCCTGTAAATATTATGTATAGGAAAAAGTTGTTAAGACAGTTTTATAGCTAAATAAATAAGTTTCAAAAGTTGTCCATATGTAGCCATATCTTAAAGAGAAGTAAATATAAAACCTCATGGCAAGTACTAAAATGTTTTTCTTTGCACATATTATTTGAATAATATTCATTTCATGGGTAAGTTCATAAAATGACAATATTTATATAAACAGCAGAAAAAATTTTCTGTTGTGCTTAGGCTACCCAAACGATATTTCTAGCTAGAAAACAATGTCTAATTCTAAACAAGACACATAAGGGAAATTTAATAATTGATAATTAAAAACTATATCAATAAAGAACTTGATGACTAACCAAATTACTGAAAATTATTCTGTGTAGTGTGAAAATCACCCTACAAACTTTCTATCAAAAAATATTTAATACACATTAATACACATGGTGAAAAATTGTTTATTGCTGGTTATTAATTTTTTTAGGACAATAAAAAAAATTGATGTCAGAGCTAAATCAGGTGAAGCAATTTAATTCAATATAAACAATGTTTGTTTATCAGTGGACTTCAGAAATTGGCAACAGCTGTACTAATTTCAATCTCAATTAAGATGTGTTGAATTGAAAATTATGTTACCTATTCCTATCTTCTTTATGCCTACTGTGGTGTCTGTCATGACATCTGCCACCAGAAGTTTCTCCATCTTTATGGTTATTTTTATGATCTGATGAACTTTCAGAGTCCTTATCAGACCTGTATTTATCATCTCTGTGTTTTCTGTGATGCCTATCATGTGACCTACTTGTAGCTGAGTCTGAACCATTTTTATGTTCCATAACATCATCAGTATCACTTGCTGGCTTATCTCTATCATTATAATTTTTGGGGTACTTTTCTCCATTTGGACTTGTTCGACTTTCTAAGGCATCTTCAGCACCTGTTTTCTTTTTATACTCACTGGAAGCTTCATAATCATCATCACTCTTTATGTTATCAGTATCTTCAGTCGGAATATCTGGTGTATATCTATCATCATCATCCTTATGTTTGTGATTAGAGTTGTTTGTAGTCTCTTTTACCTCTTTCTGAAATTGTTTTGATAAAATATGAATGATTATTTTATGAGTCATTTTATGGTGATGATTAATATGAAGTATGCAAGTTTTAGGTGTACCACTTACCTTTCCTTCATCGGCACTATTTTCAAGAGTCTCCTCATCCGAATCATCTCCGAACAGGCTTTTGAGATCTTTCTTTCCTGACGTGTTAGCCATTGTCAGAGTACTTGCTTCTAAATATGCTTCACCAGTTTTCTTAAAAAAATGACTAATCCTTTTCTGACTTGTTTTGTAATCTACCTTTTGTTCATCATAAAATACCTTAGCAGTCTTAAAGCTCGGTAATTCAACCTTCACAGATTCTGTTTTAACTTCACTTTTACTGCCTAAGTGTATTTCACAGCCTTGTAGATCTTTCTATCAAACCAAAAATCTAATAAGTGGTATAAATGATCTCATAATGGCAATTACTCAAAGAAAATTGAATAATTCTGTTAGTAGTTATATTTATATTTATTACAGTGGATTATTGAAATTTACTCAACTAATATGTCCTCCATTTAAGATCACTATAATGCAATGGTTTTAAGTAGTATGTTCTTAGTTATATTTCTTGTATAGGTAAATTTTTGTTTAGACTATTAAGTGGCCAGATGCTATGTCTTGAGCTCCTAAACAAAATCTTCAACGTTTTATCACTTAATTTGAGAGTGAAATATTTGTTCATGTTACCTCATATAAGATCTATTTACTTGCCTGTTAAGAGGATACTGAATCTTATAAATCTAAGGATATTGAAATATTATTAGAGTATTAGCTTGATTTTTTATTTGTTGTTAGCTAAATTTATAATTATTTGTGTTTGTTATTGGTTTGGTATTATTATATTTAAATTGTAATGGGGTTGATCCCATATGAATAAAATTGTCTTATGATGAAGTGCCAAATGTTTTGTGCCTAGTACTAACAGTCTATTTACATTGAAGTTATATCTTCAGGAATTGATATGTTTTATATCAAAGTTAAAAAAAACAAGTTGTCATACTGACAATGATAGGCATAAATGTAGAAGACATATATTAATGACAAAATGTGCAAGGTGAACACAGAAAAAAAAACATATATGCGAGAGGTTGCACAAAGGTAGGTGAATAGTGGCAGATTGCATATGTATGGTTAAGAGAGATGGATGTATCAACGTAATTCCTGTAGTTTTACTATGACCCACCAAAAACTGTTAAATGGACCTATAGTTACATTCTAGATGAACGTTAATTTCTTATTATCTATTTTGTTTGTGGGCAATTAAACTGTTACTGCTATAATAATTATAGCATTTCATACCTCAGGTTCTGTCTTAACCTTAATTTCTTCAACTGCATTGCTTTTCTGATCAATACTCAGCCCTGTCCGACCTTTTTGCTCATCATAAACATCTCTAGCAGTTCTAAATGATGTCTCGTTTTCAATTTCTTCCTGCTTTTTACTTTCTAGCTTCTTCAACTGCTGTTCTTTAGTGATGTTCCTGAATAAGTCACTCAAACTTTCGTTTCTTGATGGTTTTGGTTCGAAAAGCAGCAGTTTTTCATGCACTATCCCATCAGCGGTAAATTTTTTCACGTTTGATATCTGAAAAGCGGAGAAATATGGTAAAAAGCTGGATACTATTAATAACTGGGTTAATGCCTAACCTAAATTCAACATTACCCATCGTATTGAATACGGACCTTTGAAGATGCTTGGGGAAAATTTCACGCAGCAAACAACATTTCTGCAAATCATATAGGAATTTTTACCCCAATTTGCTATGTTTTTGATAAAAAAAGTAAGAGAAAATACGAGCCAAAACAAATGACATTAAAATGTCATAATTGACAGTTGACAACTGGCATAGAGAACATGCATAAATGGGAGGTAATAAGTAGAATTCCATATGAAAGATGAATGCGCAGCGCCGTGGTGGAGTACCTTCGTACTACTTACTTCATTCAAGACCTAGCTCGAGCTTAACGAAAGTTCAAAAGAAATGTTGCATTCGACTGATTTACTGATGAGTCCCTCAAGATTATGATTAGGGCTCATACTGAAAGCTCAGAACGATTTTGATCGAGAAGACGCAGAAATGATCGATTGAATATAAAGAAAAGATGGCCAGTCAGTCAGTCAGTGGCAGAGATAAGTCAGTGGTCAGCCAGTCGACATAGTTTTGTTATAAATTAGTTGCAAGTGTTATGAATTAGTATAAAAGTAATAAATTAACGCCGTCTGTCACGATATGAAATTTTGTGCTGAATTTAGTAAGTACATTGAATTTTGTACAAAATTAAGGATAGTGGCAGACCGCATTCAGCACATGATTTTATTTGAACAAATTGAGTGTGAAATTTTGTAGAAACTGTTGTATATATAATATCATGCTAAAAGTACTCAGACACCCACTGTGCATTTGGAGCAGTACAATGGCTGCTAGAAGCGCCACGTGACAAGGAATTACATGTTTCATGTTAAGAGACAACCTGGGCTGGATAAAATCAGTATGACTTTAGAAACAATTATTAGTCTTATAAGCAAAGCTTAGATAACAATGTCCTAGGCGGTGTTGCTGTGTTTGTGTGAACCAATAATGCGGGTCCCACACGATGCTTCCAACGTTGTTGTTTACGACGTTCGACACCCCACAATTAGGAAGTTTCCTATAGTCGAAAATACTGCCTGTGTTTAAGGAAGTTATGGCATTTTCTGTGTTGGCTGCTGTAGCCGATCGGCCTCGCGCGTCGAGGTTCGGTAGTGACGTCACATGACGAAACGTCACGCGTCGTAGTGAAGCGGTCGGACGACACGACGGTATATCGCATACATCCTTAGCGCTCAAGGTGACAAGACGTAATGTATTGTTTGAATCTTGGCGTAGACTGTTGTATGGTAGTGCCTATATAATAATTAAAATAGAAAAAGGTTTTTTACGAGCCGATTTTTTGGCACACAGAAAAAATGTTTATCTGGAGCTGATATGCTAGTATTTGTACACCTAGGTGCAATAAAATATTTGCAGGTTCAAGATTTGACTCACTTTTTACTCATTTTTAATAAAAGGGGGAAGCGTGTGTGGCGCGGTGGGCGTATCTCCTTGCAGTGGTGATGGGCTGATAAGCTTCCATCATGTGACGTCATCACTCACTCGCACGGCCCACCACACCATTCTCCAAATAATAAACTTCTGACTAGCGTAACATTGTTATTTTTTACGATATTCAAAAAAAAATTTCAGTGCTGTACTTCATTTTACTTAGACTTTTGAAACATAGGAAACTTCCTCATTGGCAAGTCTGTCTCCTACAAGATGGCATGAACTTTTTAGTCTCGGACGTTAGACGCATGGCGGCGCCAACGGCTATTATCGGTGTCAGTGTCGCGCTTGAACCTTTACAACTGAAGGAAAAATTATACAAAATGAACGATGAAACAATTTTTCCGAGCGCCGAAAAATAATTTCATATCTGTCTTCAGCGACCAAAACATAAGTCCGTCAGAAAAGTCGAAAAATGAAGTTTGACCGTTTTTTGTTTGTTTTTCGAAGATAACTCCGCCGCCACTGTACCCATTTTCTAAAACTGTAGAGCTTTTTCGTCATTTTCATAGTATGTAGTAACCTAGGATCAAAATTTCATCAACGTCCTGATAGCACCTTCAGAGTTATCATTTATTTAATCGTTTTCGTTAGTTATGCAATGAAAGTCAATATTTTTCTCAACTAGTCTTGCAATGCAACAGGACATTATAATGAAACAACTGTAAGCACTTGATAATTTATAACTAAAAGGCATATCCTTAGGCCAGCCCTAAGTCACCTGCGAAACGTACAAAATATTAGCAATACGAAAAAAGTGTTCTTATGGCAGCCTATACTTTGTATGGTTACTAATTTAATTCATTCTCCGCAAAAGTTAGTTACGGAACATATGTTCATTATTATGAATAGGTAGGTATTCAAATCAAAATACTTCCCAAATACCACTAATTAACCACAATCATATCAAACAGGAAAATAATGTTTTTCGCCTCTACTGGTTCTAACCTAAAACCATCAAACACATGACATCTCCTGTGGGAGCGTAACGAACCATACTTCCAACGTTGTACCGTAACAAATTTACCGACAACAGCCCGAACGTACGATGTGGCGAACGTTGGACACATGCAATCCGTCAGCGCTCTCCCACACGATGTGGCGAATGGCCATGTGTCCAACGTTGTAAGGCATTCGCCACATAGTGTGGGACCGATTTAATAAAAAAGAAGCATGTTTATCCAAAACGAAGCGATTATTTATTTATGAAAAGGCTTCAGAATGAATTTGTAATGTTGGTAAACTATCATACAATAAACGGAAAAATATTTACGTTTGTTTGATTTACTAAAGTAGAAGAAATTAAAGAAACCAGATAACAACAGTAACATTTCTTTAAAATGATGCTATTTTGGCATCAAAGAATTTGTCCCCATATTTTGTTTTGAGACCACATGAACATTTACTGAAACTTTTAAGAAACGTTATTATTCCTTTTTATATAAATCATCATAGGAGGGCCCGGTCCTTGGAATATGATGACCCTTTCGCAAATTTGAACATCAGTGTCTGTTTCTTCGGGGGTTTCTATTTCATTTTTTTGGTCAGCGGTCCAAATTCCAACCGTATCCGACAATTTTTTCTTTTATTTTGTTTCCCTGTTGAATTATTTTATTGTGGCATATTTCAAAATCAACTCGTATGAATATTTATTAGCTTAAAGCATTGGGTGTTTGGATTTTTTGAAGAAATCGGAGTAATTTGTTCCGCAAATCCGCTGTTCAACAGTCCTAGGCGGTATTGCTGCTTACCATGCTGGCGGCGACAGATATGCGTTCAATCGTAAAAATTATAATATTACAAAATGATCTTGAGTAGTTTGTGAAAACCAATAATGAAAAAGTAGCAATATTGATGTTTGATTATTATTTATAAAATCTATTCATAAAAACAATTCATAATAAACCTTTACTATATCCCTCCAAATCACTGTTTATAAAGGGTGATCCAACCAAAACGCACGATGTTAATTGCGAGTCACAGCTTAACGTCAAGTTTTTTGCCCAACTTTATTTGACATTTCTTTGTTCAGTGTTAGACAAATTTAACCATGGAGAGGTACATAATTAAGCAGCGCGTTAACACTTTTGAAACGTGTTAAGAAAATGGGCGTTCAAATCAAAATGCATATCGTGCACATCGTGATTTTTTGGTCAGCATAATCGACCAAATTGGGCAAATGAGAATCCACGACTGATTATTGAAAAGCCGATGTATCCACAAAAAGTGACTGTTTGGTGCGGTTTATATGCGCTGGCGGTGCCACTTCTTCGAAAATGAGGTCGGCCAAGCAGTTACCGTGACTAGAGTTGGCTATCGCGAGATTATAACGGACTTTTTGTGGCCAGCAATTGAGGATGTGGAGCTGTCCGGTATGCGGTTCCAACAGGACGGTACCACTTGCCACACAGTCAACGAAACAATGGCTCTTTTGCGCGAAAAATTCAATGGCCGTGTCATCTCACGTCGTGGCGATGTCAACTGGCCGCCACGATCATGTGATTTGACACCGTTGGACTTTTTTCTTTGGGGATATTTAAAAGAAAAAGTGAACGTCAATAAGCCAAAAACAATTCAAGAGCTAAAGTCTAATTCGGCACATTTACGACATTGAAAATATGGACCATCGGATAGAGGTATGCCACCGAAGCCGTGGCGAGCATTAAGATCGTGCGTTGTGGTTGGACCACCCTTTAGAACCAAACCTTTTAAATATAAAAAAATTATATTGGTATAATGTTATACTAGAATTCCATAAAAACAAACATTCGATCATTTATAAAAATTATGAATATGATACTAGTAATAAAAATAAACAAATAATTATTGCAACACCAAAAAAAGAAATAATGTTGAAATCTTCTATATACTTCGGTCCAAAATGATATCATAATTTACCAAAATATATTAAAAGAACCTAACATTATTATTAAAAATAAATGTATACGAGTGGCTTTTGAAAACTGATATAAACATGATGTAATTTATAAAAAACTAACACATATCTTTTATTTATTGTTAGTCTACAATCCAAAATTAATGTATATATTATACTTATATTATATAGATATTTTTTTTTGTGTTAGCATGATATCCACATACAAGGATATTTTCCTTCTAGGGTATACCTGTATGCATTTGTTCACAATGTGAAATTGATGTGAATAAATTGTTACTATTATTTTATTAATGTAAAAACAACAAAATATATGCTCAAAACTTGTTACACACACTAGATCAAGAGACTGGAAATTACAATAAAATCCATATCTATAAAATGCTTTATTTTCTTCCTAAAATGGCTTATATAATACATCTATGGTAAAAATGCCTGATCAATTAAAAAGCATAAAATTATTTCATCTCATTTATCATGTTACACTTTATTGAGGTAACATAGGGTGTATATATTGGAAACTGGAAAAGGTAATTATCAGATCTCTATATTTACCGAACTATTGTAAGCATGAATACAAAATCGTTAAAACGTAATTTAATACTTTCGATTCATAATTATGGTTTTATATTAAATGGCATTCAAATTGGTGCAAAAGTGGCAACATTGTTAACTATGACACTATGATAGCAAAATCCAATCCAACTGGCGCTACCTATTGTAAACCAGTTATTCTGCCCAGGTTTCGCCTTTGGATAATGGGCGGCGCCACTGATGCGCCATTTGGATTTAGTAAACAAAAACCCGTTTTAATCATTGGGTGTTCGATAGCACCACCCGTTCCATTATTCGGATTTGTGGAACAAATTATACCAATTTCTTCAAAAAATCTAAACAACAAATGCTATAAACTAATAAATATTCAAACGAGTTGATTTTGAAAAAGGTCAGAATAAAGTAATTCAAAAGAGAAACAAAAACAAATTGTCGGGTACGGATGGGATTTGAACCGCTGACGAAAAAAATTCAATAGAAACGCGTGATTAAGGGTACGTACGTCTCGCGACGCAAAGCTACATAAGCTGATGCTCAAATTTGCGAAAATGTCATCATATTCCAAGGACCGGAGTCTTAAAATGAAATGTGAGGGCCAACTCTATGGTACCGTTATAGCATCATTTTAAAGAAATGTTACTGCTGTAAAATGTGAAGCCGTAAAGAGATGTTTCCATCTGGTTCCTTCATTTTTTTATATATAAATATATCAAACAAAAGTAAATGATTTTCCGTTTATTGTATTTAATGAATTTATTCTGAAGCTTCTTCGTAAATAAATAATCATCAACCTTCGTCGCTTCGTTTTTACGATTGCAAAGCATATCTACAGCAGCTAGCATGATAAGCGGCAACACCGCCTAGGACTACTCATTACGGAACGCTGAAACCACTTTCATCGTTGTACTGGGGGAATTTACATTCGACATTATCCGCCGAATTGGAGGCCGTATTTGACACTGACAGGAGAGTTTGATGGCTGATTATTATCTAAGTTGTGCTATAAGCATGTGGATCCATCACTATACTAGAATACCAAAATTGATGACAGTAGCGAAACTCATCGTACGCCACTGCTATTACGCGGAGGCCTTCGAAAATGTGGCGCTTCTTTGTGAAATGTCGGTAAACGTCGCTGTAATGAAAAGGTACAGCGTCAAAGCAGTGGCGCACGATGACTTCTGCTGCTGTCATCAATTCTGGTATTTGACTATAGAAGTGATCCATTTTCGATACCAAATTCTTTAACGGTTTCGTTTACTTTGTTTTTTCATGAGATAGGCAGCTACAAGGGAGGTCGTTGCTGCTCAAGTCGTATAATATATGCTAATTACTAGATCGCTCCATTTTCCACAAGTTTATATTTGTTCAAAGTAATAAAGAAATAAAGTAGCAATCCGAAAAGTGAGTGACAAATGGCCGTACGAAGTTGACAGATATAGTTTTTTTAACGACTGCGCATGATTTCGTATGAAAGTTATTAGACGGTATTAAGACTTTGAACAGTAAAACCGGTGTTTTCATTACAGTATTCCTCCCGCTGCTATACTGAGTAAATAAAAAAAAGGTAAACACCTACGTATGTTTATTAGAATTCAAGAATTTTTACATATCGATCTATCTTGCCATGAACAACAAGTGATAAAATAGCCAGGTTTTTCTGTTAAGTTTTTGTGGTGGCTGCGAGTATTGTTTGGTGATAAAGAAGCATTCAGTTTTCGTACATTTACGGTGTCAGTTATATGTTAAATTTCATGTAGCTTATTGAGAAGCCTTTTTGTGATTGCTCTAAATGCTTAAAGTGCGACCAATTCGCCAGGTGTCCAACTAAGTGACTTTGAGAGGGGTCACGTGAAGCCGGTCTATCGATAAGAGAAGTTTCTAGGAGGACCAACAGATCCTTACGCAGTAATACTGCGACTGGCCCTTAAGTTCTGCAGAGCTGCAGAACTAAAAAAAACTTTTGTCTTAACAGACAAAATCAGTAGTAATTTTATCATTACTTATTTTCCATGTTATCACACAAATAGAAACAATACCAGCCACGCTGCCCCCGCAAGACACGGCGTCGAGTCTGTTTTGTATTGAGAAAGCATTATAATCGACCAATTGTGTACTTGTCATTTTCGTCGCAACCGCAGCGTAACATTATTCATGGGCCACTTGAAAAGGGTCTGTGCACTACTTCGACACAAGCCGCACGCGCTTGCTTTTGTCTCTCTCTACAAAATCAAATGCGCGCTTTAAGCATAAGTATGTGCTGCACGTTATACAGATCCGTACAGATCTAATGCGAAGTACGATATCTGATTGGTCGGTCGGTGCTCGGTATAAAATTTTGCGGAGCATTTGAACTGGCGCTACGGGGCCGCGACGAAATCGAGAGCTCCCAAAGCCCGGGAAGATTTCGTGGACTGATTAATTTTTCTGCTGAGCTTGATACAACCTTAAGCGAATACATAAAAAATGCTTCAATATTTAAAGGAGCTTCGAAAGAAATACAAAACGATCTACTGGATTGTATTCTTGAAGTTTGTCATGAAGAAATAATAAAACAGATTATCAGAGCCTCGTATTTGGCGATAATAGCAGATGAAACAACGGACATTTCGGGGAAAACCCAACTGGTAACAAGTTTCAGATACGTATTTAACGGCGAACCAGTAGAACGTTTTTGGAATTATATGAATCTCGAAAAATGTGACGCTGGTACTCTCACAAGTCATATTTTGAGGTCGTAGATCCATTAATAGAAAATTTCCCTAACAAACTGATTTCTCAAAGCTATGATGGAGCCGCGGTAAGGAGCGGACATAATGCTGGAGTACAGGCAAAAATTAAACAAAGGTATCCATTTGCTCACTATGTGCATTGCTATGCGCATCAGTTAAACCTGATTATGTCCCAAGCTGCTTCCGTAAATGCCCAAGTTCGAGTGTTCTTTGGGGATTTGAAAGATATTCCAGGATTTTTTAATAATTCTCTTCAACGCGTAGAGATACTGAACAGAATTGTGGGGAAAAATTCCCCAAGGAGCAACAACTCGTTGGAATTTTAATATTCGAACAACAAATGTAGTGTTTGAGAACAGAGAATCACTCATTGAATGTATGGAAGAAATAGAAGAAAATTTCACTAATGAAACCGTTCACAAGGCAGCTTGCTGTATTCGCCGTATGTTAAGCGATTCTGTTTTCGTGTTTTGGTTGACATTTTTTCATCATGTCATGCCTCACGACGACATCTTGTTCAACCAGTTGCAGAAGAGAAAAACCGAGCCAGCGCAAGTTAAAACGGCTATCGATAATTTTGAAAAATGTATTGTCGATATGTGAGAATTAAAATTGACGACATAATAAATGAAGCCAAAACTATTTGCACTGAACCCCAAGGCAACAAAAGGAGACGACGTAATATATAATAGCAGTCACGATCACCGAGTTGCCGCATTAGAAGTATGCGACAATATAGTGAATTCTGCAAATGACAGATTTCAATTCAAAGATTATTTGGTAGCCGCATCCCTTTTTCCCCGAACACTTTGGAGAATACTGTGGTAAGTTTCCTGATGACAAGTTGGAAACTACCTGCTTGGCTTATCTCGAATTAGAAAAAAGTCGTTTAAAGACAGAGTTGTCTGTTATTTATGCACGGAATGAATGCCGAGATTTACATGGAACTCTGTCTTTTTTGAAATTTTTTATACAAAATAGTTTGGAGGAAACACTAAAAGAAACAAAAAAGCTATTAGAAATTATTGTGCAAGAGTGAGAAAGCGACGTGATGAAAGACGTGACCCACAATTTGAAAGACAGCGTCATTTTCACCGACACCGTGGGAGTTATGTTATGGGGTGCTATGAACACATTATTGAAAAAGCTTCTGACTGCCGTCAGTTGACGAATCAAGCTGAAAATTTAATCATTTTACTAGTAAGGGACACTGAACATATATGCCAAAAAATATTAAAATGGATTAAACATACGTAGGTGTTTACCTTTTTTTGTCACTCAGTATATATGGTATGAATATATTTGTTATATTTATTTTAGTTTTAAGTTAGTCCTTAAGAATGATGTTCTTCACGTAATAAAATATGTTTATCTTTCATAATATCCTCTACTGGGATACCACAGTTACGACACTGGGTTTTTATATTGTGTGCCTCCGAATTCATTTAATTATTCTCATTCGATTCTTGAACTTACCATCCTCGCTACTGAGCTCTTGTACATAATATGAGTGGTATTGGCAGAAAATATCTCATACTCAATATCCACGGCGCAATCTTCGATATCCTGCCTATCGAAGGTCTGTTCCTCTTGGCATTTCGTGTAGTTTTCGTGAAGCACCTCAGTGAGTTTTGTCACATATTGTTCTCTGGTCGCTAAAAGCAGTCCTTTTACTTTGCTCGAACTGGACGCGGCTGCTCTCACACGAGCATGTTGGGCAATCAGAGAGTCGATGGTTTTGTGGGAAACCTCCTGAAAATATGCATAGCAATTCGAAAATGTTCGCCAAAGAGAAATGCATTCCTCCAAAATGTTCAAATGCTCCAAGATTCATCCAATTCGTGAAATCCTAACTGAATCAACGATATGAAAATTCTAAATGATCGTTTAAATCTTTTATCAATTTCTGAATAAATGAATAATTTTTGTTTACTACGAGTAATTGCACAGCCTATTTATTTACTGAAATTATTGTTGATGATTGTTCTTATTTACTCCATTATTTTGACAGTTTGAAAGTCCCATTTGACTTGATAAATTGGAGTATTTGGAAATGAGTGGAAGCGAATACAAATAATAATGATTAATCTTTATTTCAAAATAACAGTGCATTATTATTGTTATTACACACTGTTAGGTGAAATATACGTCTCAGCGTCATCGAAACAGAAAAAACAAAAAGGCAAACATAAAGGGTGTCTCAATAAGAGCGCCGGATTTGATTTTCAAGAAAAACACAATTTATTTTCGAATTAAGCGAGTATTTATATTTCAACATGAAAAGGAATAGTTGCGATTAAACATGAAATAGGACATCAGGTAAATGGCCACGATGAAGCCTCTGGCACACGGTCAGTGTTTTCTTAAAATTCTGGTTAACGTTTTCGCACAACTGTGGCTCTATTTCGCCGATAACGCGCCGTATCTGTTCTTTAAGGAGCTCAACTCTTGTTCGTATACACCTTTTCCTTCACATAGCCCCAGTGGAAGAAGTCCATTGGCGTTCTGTACAAATATGATCCAGTGCAATTTTTTCTAGTATATAGTTTTATTTAATAATTTATTTTTAGTATGATTTTAAGCGCTATCTATTGGAATATGTAGTTATACATATTATTCTGCATTATTTTCAACCATCATTTCCAAGTACCACTTCCAGATAACAGTGTTAAATGTAAAAGAATACCTACTCTACATTTTGTACGTATATTTTTCAAACGATTTATTTCTTGGAAGACATTTTTGGCGGGGTAGCTTTTCTAAGAAAGCAAATTCGTAGGTGGAAAAATATCCAACACTGCTGGTAATTTCGTAGTCTTATAATGAGATATTATAATAAGATTTATCTTTATACAGGGTTCTCAAAAAATTGGGTTAAGTGTGATATCTTATACTCTCATTATGACCTAGCTTTCAAACATATATGCTTTTTCTTACTAATAATTATTAGTTAACCTGAGAAATCACAACTATTGATCGCATTCCTCCAGTGAGAAATATATCTACTCTTTAGTTAAATGGTGATAATGAACATGCACCAAGCTAAATAATGAATGGCATTTAAAACTGTAATCTTTCAGCTGCATTAGGTCATTTTAACAACTGAACATTATATTTGGACACTATTAAGAACTAAGTAATGTTGAGTATCGCTCATCTATACGTATTTTTCGTGAATACCTCATTAATCGGCATAATAAAGGGTGTCTCAATTTGAGCGGCGGATTTGATTTTCAAGAAAAACGCAATTTCTTTTGGAATTAAACGAGTATTTGTATTTCATCATGAAAAGGAATAGTTGCCTTTTAAACATGAAATAGGACATCCTGTAAATGGTCACCACGAAACCACTGGCACACGGTCAGTCTTTTCTTAAAATGCTGGATAACGTTTTCGCACAACTGTGGCTCTATTTCGTCGATAACGCGCCGTATCTATTCTTTAAGCCGTTCAACTTTTTGTGTTCGCATACACCTTTTCCTTCACATAGCTCCAAAGGAAGAAATCCATTCGCGTTAGATCGCACGATCTCGGTGGCCAATTTTGATCGCCAAACCGAGAGATCTGGAAACTTGGTCCGCAGTTATTCCATTGTTTTGCGTACTGTGTGGCAGGTCCCACCGTCTTGTTGGAAAAACATATCTTCCACATCAATTCGATCCAACTGGGGCCACAAAAACTCGGTTAACATTTCGTGATACCGCACACCATTAATAATTACCGCAGTTCCACCTGCATTTTCGAAGAAATACGGTCCAATCACTCCGCCACTCCACAATGCGCGCCAAACGGATGCATTGGTTGTTCGATTATTGTATGAGGGTTTTAAGAACCCCAAATTCGGCAGTTCTGCTTATTGACGTACCCGTTCAATTGAAAATATGCCTCATCAGTGGAAATGGTTTTCTTCGAGAAATCCGCATCAATTTGGTGGTGCTCCAGCGCCCAATCAACGAATTCACGGCACTGCGCATTTTCCGTTGGCTTGAATTCTTGCGTCAGTTGAACTGTGTGCACATGATAGCACAGATCTTTTGACAAAATTCGTTGCAGAGTGGGTCTGGTAAGGTTCAATTCTTGGGCACGATGCCGAATGGAAGTGCCTGGATTCTCGGCCACACTTTCCCGCACTGCGACTGTATTTTCGAGGGACCGACCAGAACGGCGACGGACAGTGGTCTTCACATTCAGCAACGTGAATTTTGTCACAGATTTTGTAATTAAACAGCGAACTGTCGACTCATTATTGCGACCGAAAATTGTACGTAAAAAATCTATACATACATCAATAGACATGGTTATGACTTATTGCTATTGCTTATATACTTCTTCATCAACGTATAATGTAACGTCTATCATTTCATGACATTTGTCAAAAACCATAGTCTTTTGAATTGCAATGCTTCCCTCTTCTACTACCTACTAGTGTGGAGGGTTACAGACTGAAAATACACTTACTTTTTGATTCTTTCTTAATTCAAACTGCTTCCGTATGAATTCATTTGAGGCTTTCCTAGCTGCTTGTTCTCTTTCAAAACCATTGTCTTCGTCATCGTCACTATCTTGGTTTTTATACTCATTTTCGTCCCTAAAAATTGTAATAACGATTACTTTAGTTTTTTTTAATATACGAAGCTGTAACAACTGATATCAATTTATACAGATATAAAGAAACATAGTTGTAGTGATTGGGCCATTGCTTATTAATGGAAATTTGAATGCAGACATTTTATTGGATATGTTGGAAAATACCATAAATCCGCTTATCACTGAAATCATTGAAAACCAAATCGAAGAGGATGGAAACCCTATACTTGATGATGCTGACGACGAGTTTCCAGATTAATGGATAGGGCGAAGCGGGCCTATGGAGTGGCCTGCTAGATCTCCTAATTTGACGCCATCAGACTTTGTTCTATGGGGCCATTTGATACCTAATGCGTTTACGCGTTTACTCCCCAATCTGAAAGTTTGGATGAACTTCGTCAACGCATCATCGGAAGCTGCCATGATATCCCACAACATGTTTTTGACAATGTCCGTAAGGAATTTGAACATCGCCTATATCATTGTTTAGCCAATAACGGGCAATATTTTGAAGACTTATTGAAATAAAAAGTGATATTTTCGTGTGTTTTTGTTTTCTATCTGAACAAATTAAGATAAATAAAGATTTTTCTAATTTTCTTGAAAACGAATCGACCGATTTTAAAAAATCTAACGTCAAAATAAAGCAATTCGGAAGACCTTTCAAACAAGCTATTACTCGAAAATCTAACGTCAAAATAAAGGACTTCGAAAGACCTTTTAAACAAGCTATTACTCAATACTCCTTGCCATTTAAAATTAGTAAGGGAATGACCCTGGGGGGCCGAGGGTGAAAGGGGATGAAGTAGTTTTTGGTTGAAAAGTTGTCCCCCTTGACAAATCTTTTGACGAGCCTCGACGTGTTTTCTTTCATCAGTGGTTTTCGATAAATCCGTGGTGGGAAGTTTTCAAATGAACACCCTTTATATGTACATCAAAGAGGGATTTTAAATACATCTGGTTTCATTAGCTAGACAAACATGGGAGATTATTGTAGTTTTATATTTCATACATTGTGAAATCTACTTACATTTTGGCTCCTCTTCTTCCACCACCATACATATCTTGATAATCCATGTCAGAATAAGACGTTGCTTTCGAGTTATACTGAATGCTTTTTGTAAGAAACAATTCGGCTGCCTCGTTTACTTTCTTCTTGTTTTCACAAAAATCACAGTTCTTTTTACATTTGGGAGGAGGTTCCCCAAAATAATTTGAAAATAACTTGTGCCTACATTCACTGAAACAGTTAAAATTTGGTATTGCATAAAAAGTCGCAAGTAGCTAATAATTAAGTTTCGAAAGTTGTTTGAGATCAGTGCTGTATAAAAAGGTAAGCACTTTACCTCGGGTTTTCACAGTATTCTATGATCAACTTTAGTCCTTTCATTGCTACTTCTGCCCTCTTTTTCTTCCCTTCTTTACTACCCGCCTTCCCCAAATCTTGAGTAACATGGAATTCGATTGCCTTGCTATCAGATCTACTGTAGTAAACTCTACACTTGGATGGTTTGCCGTCTCTGCCAGCTCTTCCAGTTTCTTGATAGAAAGATGCAGGATCTTTAGGGCTACCCCAGTGAACTACAAACCTAAAATGGCAATGAAATGATACACTTGTATTTCGTTGATGGCACTTTTTAGGTGAGTAGTTCTTGTAATTATGAAAGAGCAAAAAATATGTTGGTCATTTGTATCCAGTCAGTACCTAACACTAGCCTTATCGACACCCATTCCAAAGCTAATTGTAGCTACAATTACTTGTACATCACCATTTTGCCATTTTTCCTGAAAATCCTGCCTTTCGTGATTTTTCAACCCTGCGTGATAACACAAAGCCTTAACTCCTAATTTATTCAGTCTTTCCATGAGCATTTCAGTTTGCTCCCTTGTCCTATGAAAAATATAATGATCAGATAATAATTCATATTAATCTGAAATAAATTTTTATTGTTTGAAAACTGTACTTTCTTATTTGCCACTAACATGAAAATTATTTCTGGGGAAACCGCTAGGCAAGCATGTTTATTTTAAGCTATACAAATTATGTTCGTTTTTCAAATTTTAAATACCTGCAGTATATAATGCCACAAGATTTATTCTTTTTCAGCAGATCTGTCTCGTTTTTAACATTTAGACATTCGTTTATAAAATCCCTTAAGTGTCTGAATGGATCTTCTAAAAGGTTCGGATAAAAAACATCATAGTATAAGTTGCTTCTGAAGCAGGAAGTTTTAAAAAGTTTACGATCTTCTGCTAGCTTCAGGCTACTGATTATATCGTTTGTTACCTGAAAAAAATTTACGTAAAACTTCCTGGTTTGAATGGTAGCAATATCCCGAGGTCGCGACAGATAGCGTTACCTATAGAATCAAAAGTTCTAAGTTTTTGAGATGTCAATGTCCACAACAAAGCCATGCGTATAGTGGAGAACATTAGTTCGTGGTTTGAATTGAAAAACATAAATTAGAAACATTGTGCTAATGAGATTTCTAACAGTCGCAGATCAATGTTAAAATGGCATCAAATAAGTCATGCTTAAGATATATAGCAATGATATTCTTTTTTAATTTGAAAGCTGCATGAAGAGCAATTTATACGGCATGATTCATGGATCAACTGCCTGAAACGGCTTTGCATAGTGGCGCGGATTGAAAAAGGTCAATGTATAGACAAAAAGATGGTTTGGTTTAGATTTTATGCAAAAGGCATCAATTGATGATTATGATTACAGATCAATGTAACCAATTATTTCAGCATTATCTTCATCAGGCAGGCTGCGATGAAGGCAATAAGTGCCTGCAAGATTACTTCGAGCCTTGCATTGCTATGTAGGGAGGCTCTGGATAATCTAGCAGCGAGGCATCCGGTATCGTTAGTGTGGGCAACGGAGAAGGACATTGCTAAACAAGCATGGGAGCTCATCTAAGGGCTCAGCGCTCAGGTGGATGCTTTTGCTCATCTTTGGATAGAGCCAACCTAAGGTTGTTGGTGAGACTGCTGTCTGGCCGTAACACGATAAGGTGTCACCTGCATGTGATGGGGGTGGCTGAGGATCCCTTGTGTCAGCGGTGCGAGGTAGAGGAAGAGTTCTCGGCGCAAGTTCTGTATCGCTGTGCGGCTGTGAGTCGAGACAGACTTTACTGAGGTGAAACACTTTGAATCCACAGAATGTTGAGGAACTGGGACTCGGAGCTATACTTAACTTTGCTACAAGAGTGGAGCTTGAGGCTTAGGGGATGTAGTGGTGCATAAGGGCCCATTATGAGGCCTACGCCCGGCGCTTCGAGCCATATAGCGAACGAACGATGTACTTACATGATCTCAATAATTGAGGGTATGGTTATCTCTTTCAGAAGTAACGAGAATTTTGAAATCGCAGTTCTTTGTCAATGAGCTGCAATTCACTGATGGTGTCAAAGTTAACATAACCCCGGCAATTGCTCAAATTTAGTCGAATCTATATGAAAGAGTCATTAATAAATGAACCTCTCAAATCCTTACCACTAAGAGAATGTAGTTGACCTATGTCATGTTCCATGCAAATTGCTTTCCAAATGTACAAGTTATATTTTAATACTGTCTCGTCCTTACTTTAAAAACAAGCTGATCATACAAAAAATCAAATAGCTACCTCTACATTTGCGGTTGCTGTTAATGCTATACATGGAACTTTCACTCCAATTCTGAGTTCCCCTAGTCTCAAATAGTGAGGTCTGAAATCATGGCCCCACTCACTGACACAGTGAGCTTCATCAACAACCAAAAATGCAATTTTGTCAAAGTTATAGAGATTTGTATACAATGCCTGGAATAATAATTAAATGGTTATATTTCTTCAAAATGTATACTCTACCATGCATACAAAGTGCCCTAGAATATGTATATGTGTAATTTCTCAGCATAAATAAGACATAAAAACATAATGTGATCAAGTTCTATTAAAAAAATACCATATGAGCATTGTCTTTGAAGATAAAGAGTGTTGATGGAAAATGTTTTTTTTTTTAATAATGATACTATTTATATATCATTCGCCCTACCCCTAGGTACAAAAGATCAACATTTTTTTTCCAATAAGATTGTACTTATGGCTGTGTCATGAGGCGAAAATCACCTTACTGGTCTTGAATTGTGGAAGTGTGCGCCCTTAAACGTATCCTGCCCTCTGGGCGTATCACAAGGGCGAATGCCTCAGAAGACGAACATCTTTATAAAGATGAATATATAATGAATAATGAATATATATTACGTGCCAATTAACAAAACATTTGTTTTTACACTTGTCATAAAAATTACTGATGACGTATACAATACATATAAAAGTATAATTGGTAAAAATAAAATGAAATATAATATAAAGGTGTAGTAGGCCAGATCACACACATAGGGGGGTCGCGATAAACTCATTCAAGGAATAAAAAGGATGTTTAACTAATTCTTGCCAAAGTGTATTTTTAAAATGTTTTAAAGTAAGATTCTTAGTAGTGTTTTTTAGCTTGTTATATACCCTAACATCAAGTGAGTTTTTATCTGAGATCTTTAGCCTGTGAGCGCTAGGTTGAAGTAGATTGGAATGCCTGGTGTTATATCCATGAACATCCGAGTGCATTGAGAATTTATGCTTGTTCTTATGAATCTCAACAAGGCTCTGATAGATGTACATTGAATAAATTGTAAGCATATTCAAGTTTATAAAGAGTGGCCTACAGTGGTCACGATAACCAGCTCCCGCAAGAATTCTAATTGCTTTTTTTTGTAATATAAACACTCTATTTATATGGGTAGAATTTCCCCAGATTAATAAGCCATATTGAATGTGAGAGACGATGAGGGAGTAATAAACACTAACAAGGCATTCATTACTAAGGCAAGTTTTTAGTCTGCGTAGTAAGAATATGTTTGTGGCTAATTTGCTACATAGGGTTTCAATGTGCTTTGTCCATTTTAGTGAGCTATCAATTGTTATGCCAAGCAATTTTACACATTTGTTTTCTGCAAGAGAAGAGTTACTAGTTACTACTAGCCTGTTAGTTTTGTCTGAGTTTAGGCATAAGCTATTCTGTTTAAACCAGTTGTTTGCCTTATCTTCAAGCTGTTTAGATAAGCTTTGTAATATATGAAGGTTTTTGTGACTCTTTATAAGGGTGGTGTCATCTGCGTACAATACACAAATATCTGGTAATAAGTAGTAATAAAGATCATTAATGTAAAGGGAAAAAAGTATTGGTCCAAGTATGGATCCCTGAGGGACACCATAATTTACACCTTTAATTTCTGAATGTTTATTATTACTACTAACGAGCTGAGATCTTCCAGTCAGATATGATCTAAAAAAGCACAGAGACACCCCACGAAAACCATAATAATGCTCCATTTTACACAGCAGCTTCTCATGATCCACACAGTCAAAGGCCTTGCTAAGGTCACAAAGGGTAATTTGTACACTTCTTCCCCCTTCAAGGCCCTGGACTATGTGGTCAATAAGTTCCGCTAGTGCATTTATGGTTGACAGACCTGGCTGAAAACCAAATTGCTTTGGATTAATGATGTTATTTATTTTTAAAAATTTTAAAAGGCGGTGCTTTAAAATTATTTCTAAAATTTTGCCAAAGATAGGAATTATGGAAATGGGTCTAAAATTGTTTACATCAGATTGGTCACCTTTTTTAAAAACTGGTACTACCTTACTAATCTTAAAAACATCAGGGAATATTCCCTGAGAAAGACAGGAGTTATATAGATGAGCAAGTGGTGTAGCAAGAGTATTTGCACAGTGTTTTATTACTTTACTGTTTAGGTCATAAATATCAAGAGATTGCTTATTTTTTAATTCACCAATAGCATTCAAAACATCTAGATATGTAACAGGCTCCAAAAAAAAGGTTTTATTACACTTATTAAAATTTATGGTATTTAGCTCATTAATATTAAGATTAGGTAGGCTTTTTATTATATTTTTGGCTGCGGATACAAAAAAGTCGTTAAACATGTCTGATGTGATATCAGTTAATGACATTGGTTTGGATTTATTTCTTTCAAAATTTACTAGCCTCCAACAGTCCCTACTTTTATTTTCCGATGAATGAATAAAATTATTATATGCACTATATTTAGCATGTCTAATTTTTTGTCTGTATTGTCTCTGAAAGGTTTTAAAGGCATTTTTTGACTGTTCGTCTTTTTGATGCTCCGATATTGTTTTTAGAACCTGAAGAGAGGACCTAGCAGTCTTAAGTTCACTATTAAACCATTTTACTGGCTGTCTCTGAAAATGTTGCTTTTGCTTTTGTAATGGAAAATATAAATCTTTAAGTTCATTTATTGATTCTACGAGAAAAGAAGAGAGACTAATCACATCATGATTGACATAATATTTTGTCCAATCTATGTTGGATAACGAGAGATTTAAATGATTTAGGCTAGCGTTTGTGATTTTCCTAGTATGAACAATATTTTCTTTTTTAATAGAATTTAAATGTACAAGCATACTTTGGGCATAGTGGTCTGAGAGACAGGGATCTCTTACAGAAACTGTATATTCAGACTCGTCTAAATTTGTCAAAATATTATCTATGCAAGTTGTACTTGTGTTGGTCACTCTCGTATAATCTATGAATCCTGTCACCACCACTGCGCCCTAGACAGATTCCCAAATCCGCCGCCCTTTTCAATAATTAGTTAACGCTTTCTCGTCCTTGGCATAGTAGCAACCTTGTGTGGAAATTTCTTCAAGCTCCAAGCGGTACTGTGCAAGTTATAGATGGACCAATGATGAGCAGGCTCATTTTCGAAATTTCTTGAGATTACAATAATTCCTCGCCCAGTGGTGTAGGAAGTAAAAACTCGATCTTAATTGCAATATTTTTTGCTGATAGTTAAATTGTTTAAATAAACTATAGTGATTTCAATATTGCTTGTAATATTTTATTAACTGCAGTGAACCTCAAATGGAAGTGTTTTTTAAATTATATATCTAAGTTTGATAGGAACAGAATATCCCTGAAGAATTACCATCAAAAATGTTTTTTTATATAGACAAATTAATATTGTGCTGTAGTTCTTTTCTGACTTGTTTTATGAATACACCAACCTGTATACATAATTCGTTATAGCATAATACTCACTTATACATAAATAAATTCATTAGACTCCCTTCAATAAAAAATTAATTGAAAAAACTCGAACTATGAAGGACAAAAATATGACACAGCAAAACAGTTATAGAAAAAAGAAGCAAAGTTCACTGAATTATAGAAAACCAACCATGTCTGTGTTAATATTTTGTAGCATAACTATTATTATCAATCACCGCCTGGCATCGTCTCGGCATAGATTGTAGAAGTTTCTTGATATAAGATTCATCAATCTGTCTCCACTTTTGCTCTAAAGCGGCAAAAACTTCATCCTTGTTTGAATAATTTTTATCTCGTATTTGCTTATCTAAGTATTCCCATAGATTTTCAATGGGGTTTATATCGGGAGACTGTGAAGGCCATTTGAGAACTGGTATTTTTTCATCCAGAAAGAATTTCTTTGCAAGATTTGAAGTGTGCTTCATTATCTTGCAACCGTGCAAATTGTAATCGGTCCTTACGGTTTTTCCTCGAGATTAGCGGCTTCTTACTCGGGCGACGTGCAAATAACTTCAAATCATTTAATCTTCTACTTATAGTTTTCGTAGAAACACTGGCAATTCCTTTTGTCTTGACTTCGTCTTTTATTAGTCTTGGGGTTTTAAACGGATCTTTGGACGAAATTACTTTTATTAATCTAACTGATCTAGCATTAAGTTTTCTAGGCCGACCACTTCTCTTACAGGCTTCCAAGATACATTTTTGTTTATATTTCTTCAATATTGCCCAAACTGCTTTACGCTTCAGCTTCAAATTTTTGGCAATGTCGACTTAACGTTGACCATCATTGTATAACTCAATGATCTTAGTTTTCAAATCGAACGAAATTTCTGGACCACATGGCATGGTCTTAAAATCACTCAACTTATTCCACAATACTTGATGAACACAAACTAATCCTCTTCTGACACCAAACTGTACTAAACTAATGTTGAAATAAATTTGTCTACATATTTTTGTCCCTCATAAAAAAGAGCTTATATTCAGACTTGCATTGTGTTCATTGCAGATAATGTAAAAACAAGGAATTTAGTTTTTCTACTAATAACACATTTGTTTATGGAGCAATGAAGTAGGAATTCATTTCTAAAGGTTTTTAGGTAAATATTCATATTTGTCTATATACTTTCGTCCATTACTGTATGTCAACTAGTGGTGAGGACATAATGTCACCACTAGTCGCCATATCAGGGAGATGCTATATAGTTTAATAGATCAGTTTGGCTATGAATGTTAACAACATTGCAATAGAATTCTCATGATGGAGCTCTCTTAGAATGAAATCAAAACTTTCTAACATCTGTTGCTTAGTGAAAAAAAATGAATGACATGAAAACCCATAAAATTAGACAAAATAATATCAAGCTGATCCTTACAGTCCTAACATTGATCTATTTCAGCTTATTAGTACTCCCTGGGCACTCTATATGGTTCATAAACTGAAGTTAACTTGCCTTAAAGGTTTGTGTAGCAGCCTGTTCAGGAGTAACATATAATATTTTTGTATTAGGTGAGGTTGATTTCAAGTCTGCAATTAATGCTTCTCTTTGTGATACAGTTATTTTTGAATTCAAGGATGCTGCTCTAATTTTCAAAGCTAATAAATGGTCAATTTGATCCTATAAAATAAGATATAAAGCATTAATTTACAACAAGGTGCTGTTATAAGTTTAATGACATGTGTATGTATTTATCATCTATTCTGTCCATAGGATTAAACAGATGATCCAGTTCCTTGACAGATTCTTTTTTTTTGCTTAAAATGTGATTTTGGTTTACTAGCAATTTATTCTCAATAAGCTGCATTCAGTGACTCTCCTGCTATGACTTTAGTGCAGAAGCAATCAAGGCATTGCATAAAAACAAGATGCCTCTTAAACCATGAGAATACAATACCTTAATCAAAGCTAATAAAGGCGAAAAAACTATTGTAATCATTTTTTCATGTAACATAGCCGGTAACTGGTAGCAAAGCGATTTTCCAGAACCTGTAGGCATTGAAATGAGGACGTCATGCTTCCCTAAAAAGTGAATTAAAGAAATTACAAATATCTTTTTATTAGCAAAATGGAATGTAAACATACTTTGGCATACTTCAACCACAGCTTGTTTTTGAAGTTCTGATTTGAATTTGTCGAAGCGAAAATATTTCTTTAAGCCTTCATATATTTTAGATTCCTCCATTATTCCGGAGATGATTTCAAAATCAAAAGTTGTTTAGAAATGTTCATAACCTACAAATTTGATTTTGACACAGAACATTAACACACAGAATCAATAGAGTAATTTATGTGCCAGATAGTGCACAAACTTCATAGAATTGTATGTACGCCTGAACTTCACTATCGGCGATGATCATTGATCGTGTATCGTTCATAATAGGCACGATCATCGTGCAAGCATCAACATGAGCGTTCGTAGTAGTTTGTCCTCCTTTGATACGTGTTCGAAAAACGGACAACTCACGGGTCGAAGGCGATCATAGACGATGATCGGCAAGTACAGCCTAGGATGCCCTCTACACGATCGTGCTGGCGCGTAATCGTTTATAATCGTTGATTTTGAAGCGGAGCCATATAACGCACAAACGTGAGATTCTTCCAAGACCGTAATGGAATATTTGATAAATTGACAAAAATTGAATACTTTTATGAAAAAATAGCACCGAAAGACAAAAATAATCTTGTATATTTTGAAACATTTACGAGCTAAACAATTTTTTTAGGGCAAAAAGTTTTACTTTCTCGCTGTTAAAAGCCCAACGGCAGATGCGGTGTTTTTTCAAATAAAAAAGTTTTCCTGGGCAGTGAGTTAATGATTTGAATGTGTTTCCTTAAAATACGGTAATCAACCATATAGTCTCAATCTTTTAGTTAGTTGCACGCACGCGAAAGTACCGACTGCTCAAATAGGTAATTATTGTGTTTCTTGAATGTATGTCTCCTATAAAGCTTCGTAGAAGGCGTTTGATTTATATATTTATAGTCACCGTTCTTGGCGGTTACGTCATAAACGCCATATGAAACAAGTAAACAGATCGAGTCTCCGTACCATGGGCGGATTTCCTAGCTGAGGGAAACCGATTCAAAATTGTTTACTAACCGTAATTCTCAAAAATCTTTTAATCTAGTACATAAACATGGGTAGAGTATGAAACGCCATTTGATATATATGTTGAAATAAAAAATACGGAATTTACAATATAATAAAAAATAACACATCTATTGGCAGACTTGATGGAACATTTAACAACGGATGTGGATATGTGACAAGCTTATGAGATCATCTTCAATAATAAAAATGCTCAATTCTCCCTGAAGTGATGCTCTTATCCAGCTATTAAATCTATATCGACTTAATAAACATCAAGCTTGAAACTTACATATATATATATATATATATATATATATATCAATATATTTAACAATCTACATTAAGGTGCACACAAAGAAAATTAAGAATTATACATTCTCAAAATCGTTTCAATTAAAGTATGAATTATTGGATTTCTTCATCAGAATCATCTGAACTTTCTCCCAAGTTAATGATTATATTAGTCTCCTCCCTATTAAACACTTTATGCTTGTCCCAGTCGTTTTTAATCAAGTCCTCGGCATGTTTCACACACTTGGCCCAAATTGTAGGAGTCACCTTCGCTAGACCGTCGTCTCAAACTTTCAAAACTTCCTTGTCACCATAGCCAATTTCCTCAATATGACGATCATAGTACTGTTTGGCTATTCCCCAGACTGACTCAATAGGGTTGTATTGACCATAATGGTAAGGGAGGAGCCGCAAAACTTGATGTCCTTGTTCATGTAATATTTCGTCTATATCTTGGAGCCGATGTTTATTAAGGCGACATAGATTTAAAAGCTCGAGTTTAAAAGCGTCATCATCAAAATGTATATTTTGTCGTGTAGCCATTGCTTCAATTGCATTTTACTCCAACTGGAATAGGTCATTTTTTCTGTTAAGGCACTATGATAAGAGGCATTATCCATGATCACTAAAGGTGGCTCTTGTAACGCCGGTATCAGCTTCTCACATAACCATGTTTCCATAGTATTGTCGTAGTCACCACTTTTTGATTTTGTAGCAAATAACAATACAGTTTCTCTCAACAAACTGGTTTTTTGTCCCAGCATGGAGAACAACATACCGCTTGCTGGTACCCTGGTGGCCGCTTTTCAAATTCTTTACGTTTTTATCTTGCCGAACTCGTTTAAACGACCCTATGGCAAGAATCCACGTTTCGTCTGAGAAAACGCATTGGAGAGGGCTTGTACTATTCAGTTTTTATTCATATAATGTCTCATAAAATAGATACGTTTGGAAACAATGTCTGATTTTTCACCCAAGAGTCGGCGGTTATCTTCTGACTTGTAGGAAAAACCGCAAGCTTTCAATAAAGGTCGTGATGTGTTGTCCTTTACTTCTCATATCTCATATCATATCGTTTTGACGACGTAACTCACATCATCGGTCTTGAATTTTTTGATTTTGTGAGTTTCCCAGGTGTTACTATGGGCAAACTTTTCTTATTTTCTGATTTTATTCGCTGAACACCGCACATACTAATCTTCAGCGCATCTGCTACTTTCTCCAGTACGCATGAAGTGGGTAACTGGGGACCGCTGTTTTCATTCGGCCTTCGCTATTTATCGTATTTCCTGGCATTGTACAATTTTATATTGAAGATTGATACCAGGGAAACTCAAATTGCACGCCGATGTCAAGTAAGTTGTCACTCTGTCAAATATGAGTGAAGGGCACTCATATGTATCGACAAAGTTTTCGAGGCGGAGACACACAACTAAAAAACGTACGTGTTTGAGCTTATCGAACAAACGTTCACACACAGGGGTATGTTGCATGTGTATGTATGAGGGAGATGGAGATATATGAAGAGATACTGGTAGTCTTACTTTGACCCGCCAAGAACGGTGACTACAACTATACCATGAGCAATGCGTACGTACATGATTGAATCTAATTTTAGATAATGGTGTGGCTCATATGTTTTACAAACTTCGAGGTTCCCAATACCTTGCAAACAATGGGATACATTTTGCTTCTTATTGTGTTCTTTGGGACCTCTTAAGAAAAACACAACTCATCATTAATTTATTGAGAAATTAATGGTTAGAAACGACCACTTGTCACGACCTTTGGATGTTGCTACCAAATGTTAGCATTTTATGAATGTGCATTTCCGAAAGTGATACATAGATGTGCAGCATTCATTGCTCGAAAAGTAAGTTTTCTATAAGGACACAGGATAAAAACGTCGTTGAAAGACAGTTGAAAGAAAGACAAATTTATTATAATACAAGATCACAAAACAAATATATAACTTATTAGAGTGAAAAAATCTAGCTATGCACAAGACAAAACTATGTATATCTATTTGCAGATAAAATCTAATAAAAGTAAAAATATATCTTGTATAAAATAAAAGATCTATATAACAATATAAACTGGAATGTGTGTATGCAGAATATTATATTCATTTCACTAGAATGTGTAAAATACATACTTGCTAATATAGCTCTATTTCCTAGTTTACTTTATTAGGAATGAAATTTCATATGAATGCATTCAACAATCTGGTTATTACTTTTCAATAACAACACCCTTCAGCTCTGTATTCCTCAAATTGTTTTGTAGAACTGAGATCATATAAGACAACGAAAAATAAAGAACCACCAAATATCCATCTTCCAATAGAGTTTACTTATTTTACATCAGTGTTTTTTTGGGATCCAAAAATGTCCAATATATTTTAATGCCGAAAAGTAATATCTAGATCAGCCATCCACTTAAATATTTATAAAGGGAAAATCCACATTTCTAATACGGACATAGTAAATTAGAACCTCCCATCTAACAAAAATTCTATAATGGATGATCATTTGGATTTGGGATATTGAATATTGTTATTCAGCCCAACGAAAAGTTCCAGACCCTGCAGTAGGTATGCTGGGACTGAATTTTTTTAAATTTTTGGATTTTTTCATTCCTTAGTGATTTGGATACAAAAGATATGTTTTATTTGCAGTATTTTGCAAGTTTCAATGATAAAACTTGGAGTTATTCAATTTTTAGTAAAAAGAACCTACAAATGTTATATTATTTTTAAAAGGGCATTAAATAGGCTAGTTTTTGAGATCATTCTCCGGTTCAGTCTGGTACATTAGTCAAACTAGTAAAGGTTTTCACTTTAAAATAAAATGTATTAATTTTTTTTGCATACCGCGTGCTAAACTCATGTTAGAAGTTCTTAATAGCCATAACAGGCAAAAAAGAGAAAAAAAAAAACGGATTTTTTGAAAAAACCTAAAAGTGGAAATATACTGAAAACTAGAAAACTTTTTCCAAGGACATGTTAATTTTATCTGATTGATCTGAAGTCAATCTACCTCCCGTGACACTCTGGCGTGTTATTTCTGGGACACTCTGTATCCAGAAAAAAGTTTTCAAAACCATTATTTAGCTTGTTGTATAAACTAAAAAATGTTGCTTTTGCGACGTTTTCATATGTAGCTACATGCATTTATGAGATCAAGCCAATTTTCTTAGAGCAGTAACTAGGTAAGTGCTCGAATGCCGAATTTTCGAGCCATCATTATTTTTTGAACCATTTACCAAACCGCATAATTAATAAGAATTGCAAAAGCTGAATTTAAACGTGAGTGTATTAAAAATTCATCTTGAGAGAAAATTATTTTTTGGGGTCAAGTGATATTTTAGATAATAAATCTTATTCAATAAAAACCCTTTCACATTTTCATTTTCCATTTGTTGTAGAATAATTATACTGAGAAGCAAAAGTTTCTACTTTTAGAAAAGAAAATATACCACTATCAAGTTCGACTTTCTTTTGGTCATTATTTTCAAGTTAATTTTCTGCACCTTATCTACGAATATCTTGAAGTAAATGTAAAACAATAATGTTAACAGCATGACGAGCTGAAAGTATACTTTTTGAAGATGCTGAACAGTTTTTCTATACACGTTGTATCATTGAATAATAATTATATTCGATCGAAAATATTTTGTAAAGGAAGTTAAAATGAAAAAATCAAATAGTTTAAAAAAAAATCAGTCCCTGCCTACCGCCTAGGATCCAGAAGTTTTCGTTATGCTAAAGAATGACCAATCCAAATTTTGATCCTTCATAGGATTTTTGTAAGGTTTTGGGAAAATTTTGTTTTACGTTACACAACTTACTTGAAGACGAAAACTATACATACACATTCTGGAAAGGAATAAATTACTATAAAACTGAAATAAAAATAACTGAAAGTTTTTAATGAAAGTAAATGATTTTGAATTATCTTCAAGGAATCAGTATTTAGAATTGCTTGGAGTTGCCAACCTTAGTTTGAAGAAACAAGATAATAGAGAAAGATTTACAGAATGTGGATAATTCCTATATACACTGACGTCGTAATGTGTACGAGAGAGAAGCGCGAGAAGCGTGCAATACGTGTGTTAGAAAAAGACAAAAACACCTCGTTGCCTATCAACCCGAGTACAAGGTCACGCAAGATATCGGCGCACTTTCTTACATATCGCACGCGTACCGCGCTTCTCTCTCGTACACATTACGTCAGCAAAATTTGAACCCCACCGTATGTGTATAATGGTGGAAAACAGAGAAAAGTGAACTTGCAAGGTATGGATAATTGCAGCAAATAATGTATCTTATATTTTTCTCGCCTGCTTTTGTTGGACGGACACACAATTGTCTTAAGTACCTTTTATAAATTGAATTAAAATTATATATTTTGTCACTAGGAGTAGTTGTGATGTTTCTAGACTAGATCATTTACATGCTAACATGCAGAATATGGTTATACGCTACAGCTACTATACCATATAGCAATTACAATAAAATTACAAAGATCATACTCAGGAGGGAATGTAGCGTTATCCTTATTAAATATCAAAACAGAACAACTAAATGATGGAACACACTATTTTCAAGTAAGGTGGGGCTAGCTGCTAACAGTTTGGTTCAAGCTAAAATTAATCAAATTTCAATCTACGTGAACTTCATCAAGTACTATTAGAATTCGGTAGATTTAAGATAGGTTACAATATATATTTTTTCAACCTACATTGAAATCTCTTTATTCCATATTTTGTTTATTGTAAGAAATAGGGCAAGATAATTAATATAATATATCTGCAAAATTGGAATTGTCTGTATATAGTTTTAATAATGTTTGTAACTTAGGTATATACAAAATATAGTGTAAAAGTTATTCTTCTTGAAATATTTTACACTTGTATGTTTTTTATCAATATATGATATGTCTATATATTAACTCAAGGCAATTTGAACTAACTTTTTACTTATAACTAATGCGTGTCTTACATCTATCTAAAAAGACAAGTTCAATTAAATTGCACTTATATTTAAAACTTTATCAAGAATGTATTTTTTGATCCTTAAAGAACACAAAAATAGTTTCTTCTAAAAATTAATTTTTCGTATTTCTATAAAAAAAATTACACTAATATGCAAATGACTGGGATTGTTATAGAGATTATGTCCAATTTTGATATCTAAAATTACGACGTTTGAACTTCATAAAAACTGTTACTATAGTAATAGATCTAGAACAACACTAGGAAGCCACTATTGATTATTGTTATCATTTAAATTATATAGACACTTCAAATTCGAGCATTTGCCGATAAAAAGAGAATAAATACTATGAACTAAAAATATCTAAATACATAAACAATATAAATCTGAAACAATGAGTACAACAAAAAAAAAACAGTAAAACATACAAAAACATTTTCGAGTATTCACAAAAACTAAATCTATGTCATTTATGTTCTGGTTAAATGTAAAAGGTTAAAAAATAATATATCAATTTTCACACAATGAGTACGTACTACATATATAAAGAAGAAATTCATTCATCACAGCGCCTATAAAAGTAAAAATTGTATTCGATATACTCCAAACCCAGTTGACCAGGAGACAAGTTGCAGGTGTTCTGAAATAAATATAAGCTCTGAATCGGTAGTTCTTGACAGAAACACACGATAAGCAGCACGACTTAAGCACGATAATCTAATAACAATGCGGAAATCATCTGGGTCTTCTGGGTGAACTACACAGACAATACAGGACAGCTGATACTGATAGAGATTATAAATCGTTTAAAAAAATGTACAAATTGGCTATAAAAGACGCCTAGATAGCTGCGAACAATAGAGCTATATTCTCAGCAAAAAATTCAATAAAGACCAGTCCCTAGGGTTTTAACACCAGATACCTAGTGATTCTACCAATCCATTAGACAACCTCAAAAACATCACTCCACCGGTTCTCTCACACTATCAGAAATATCATTTATTGAAATGAGGGATGCGATCAACAGCCTAAAAAAATAAAACTAGTCTGGACATGTTTGGATTTGATGTAAACATTTTTAAATCAATAAAAAATCTTATAATTATTCCCCATGCCAAGCTGGCTAATCTGTGCTTCAGGGAAGGCGTCTTTCCAGCAATACTTAAAAAAAAGCTATGGCTTTACCAGCATTGAAAAGTGTTGACAAGAATGATATCTAGAATTATAGACCTATTTCTGTTTCCAATAATTGCTAAAATAGTTGAGAAATGAATTGCTTTAAGTATTGTGTGTCTTTTTGGAATAAAACGGTTGTCTTGCAAGCTCTCAATCTGAATTTCGTAAAAATAAGAACACAGTTTTGGCTATACTAGATTTTATGAATAGAATACTGAACTCTTTCGAGTCATTAAAATATAAAGCAGCTACTTTTTGTGATCTCAGTAAAGCTTCTGATTTTTAGTCAAGCGGATTTGCACAGCAACCCTCTGTTGCGTAAGTCAGTAGACTACACAGATGACCAAGTTCGCAAGCACACAAAACCGTGGCTCGCACTGTGAACAAAATTAAATCGTGCAATTCTAGGCTCAACCAACATTACAATTTTTCCACACATACAAATTCCAAAATTAATTTTTATACCAATTTAAAATAACTGAATACTACTTAACAATGTCAAGGCACCCCTCCAACAGACGCACTTCCTTCTCTTTGCTCTTCCCCCTTCCTTCCTTATTCCCTTCTTTCTCCCTGACTTTGGTATCTGGGCAACCACACCTGACAGATCTACTGACCTACAATACTTTAACCAAGAGCAAAGGTCCCACGGACCGCTTGTCGGACAATGACGAATAGAAAGGAGCTTTTGATTGTATGGACCACAAGCTCCTAATCCACAAACTTGAATACTATAATTTTACCGATATTGCTATTTTCGTCTTTAGTTCATATTTGGAAAATAGAGCCCAGGTAGCCAGGGTAAGTGAACTGGTGTCTCAGAAAAGGGAACTGTTCATCGGAGTTCCACAGGGCTCAGTACTGGGTCCTATACTATTCCTGTTGTACATTAATTCTCTCCCTAACTACAGGCTCTCTGGATGGAGCAATATTGGGAATGGAAGCCATACAGTCGCATATTAAGGCATGGTTCGATGAGCGTGAACTTTTGCTAAATCAAAACCCAGCAACCGATGGTGTTCTTACTAAGAAAGCTATCAGATGTGAATATGAATACACCATCTGCAAAATTACTGGGGGTGCACGTCGACCCACAACTTAAATGGGATGTCCATATAAACCAAGTGGCGAAAAACTTGGGTCTGGACTATAAGCGTTACGACTCCTAGCGGAATGCGTGAGAACATCTGTGAGGAGAACAGCTTATTATGCATTACTATCATATCATACACTTTACTGATTTGGGGATGCGCGGCGCAGTCACATCGTGTCTTTGGACTTCAAAGATAGGCCATAAGGATAATTAATGGACCGGATTTTAGGGCTAGTTGTAGGCAGGCTTTTAGCGCCTAGGGATATTAATACTGCCCTTCCAATAAATAAGGAAGAAATATATAAAGAACAACCTTACTATGTTCAGAATGCACAGTGAGGTTCACGAACACCATGACAAGTTCAAGAGTAATCTAATGCCAGAAGTACTTCCGGCTAACAAGGTGTCAGAAATTTCCAGAGTACCAGGGCATAAAATTTGTTAATCATCTGCTAAAAAGCATCAGAGACATGCCTGTTAACAAACTTAAAGAAAATGTGAAAATCATCTGAGTGTCTGGTGCTTTCTACAATACGGATGGATTTCTACGGCATATTTTTTTAAAACTTCTATTTTGTTGTTTGATGTCTTAGACTCTACTGCTTTTGATTTGAAGTCAGATTTAACTTTTATGTCTTTGACCTGTGCAATTACATATGTATATTGGCACCAATAAATTTGAATTTGATAATAATTTATTCGTGTTTGTATATAAAAGTGCTTACTTAATCATACACCGACTTCAAAGCGCTACTCGAGCGACCAGTGACACCGACATTACTACATGCATACGAAAGCCAAAAGTTCGCCAATTTTGGCCTGAAAAACTAGGTTAAAATAGCCGTAAAATAAACTAGTTTTGAATATACCCTCACATAGTAACCCAAATCAAAGTTGTTTAAACAATTTTTTTAAATAGATTACATTTTTTGTCCGTACTATTTTTTTCAGGTTTTTTAATCCTTCCGAAAAAAAATTCTTCCATGAAATTTTCTCTAAAGCTGGCCATTTTCTAGTTTTTAACAAGTTCATGTCTCAAAAGCCCTAACTCTAAAATACTCCGAAAAGTATTTTAAGATTATTTTAAAGTGGTTTTTAACCTTTTCTGTTAAGTCAAAATTGGCGAACTTTTGGTTTTTTCAGACTGTACACCCAGAAATGTCAAAGCCTGTCATGTTCTCATGAGTATACCAAAAATTCTACTATACCGCTTTTGCTCGACCTTTTCTGCTCACCTCATTTTGACCCAAAGAGGCCCTATATGTCATCACCTTGGACTGAAAATCGATCATGTCTACTTCGAAAATTATACTTTTGATGCCCAACAGCTGGCTTGGACTGTTTTCGTTAACTTTGTGCCTCATTTTCAATTTGTCTTCGAAGTATGGCGAAGGGCCCATATAAGCGCACTCGTTCATCTTTCTGTCATTGTAGCAGTGCTCTATTTCTTTTATATTGGGCTGATTTGACCTAGGAACAAAGAATTATTAAAGACATTGGTCAAATTTCGTGGTTTCTGGTATAACTTACCTAAATATCAAATTAACGAAGTCGTCAGGCATATATTTGGATATAGGAACGGAATATGATATATTGTACTGAGAGTTGTGCTCTGGATTTCTGTACTCGTAACTCAATGGAGTGCTAAAGTTTCTACCTTCGATAATTATTGTGAATAGTTGGTCATCTAAAAAAAACAACAGAGTGAATTTGAATGCCATGAGCTATGCAGTATTTTTCCAAAAGGCCGCGCTGGGATTGCCGTCGTAGTACAAGATTTTAGACCTACGTTATTTTATACAATTTTGGCTATAAGACTAATGTAATATACTTGTATGACTGCAAAATGAATGTACTTGCTAGCTTGAAAGCGGGCAGTTTGTAAGAAAAAAATGCAGCAAATCGATCTCTAATATCAGATATATCTTCCATAAAAAATAAACATCGTGATAGAAGGAAACTAACCTGATATATCAAATAAATTAGCCTCATCTGTGAAGGTGTCCCTCTTTTGTCGTATCTGCTTCTCGATATCATTTGAATGGAATGGTTTTGATATTTTATTTTTCTCAACATTGATCAAGGGCAATGTCTTATTTCTGTTTAGATTAGGCGGCTTCTTTTCTGAGAAATGTGATGGTACTAGCTCCTGAGGAGGTCGTTGCAGACAACAATAAATCTATAAAGAAAAAACATCAAAACTATGAAAATTGAGACATTAGAAAAATGTGAAATGCTATCGAAATCTTTGCTTATTAAAATATTTTTTTAGGCTGACTGGTGATGGCGGCTAAAACTTCCTTCGTTTCAATGGGATATTTTTGCAAAGTTGCACATACAACTATATTGTTTGTAAAATCCAAGACGACTTTCTCCTTATTCAAATGAATCTTCAAAAAGTCGTTACAATATCCAGGGTACACGTAAAAAATACTCGTTGTCTTTAGTTCATCTTGTCGACCAAAAATAAGAAAAACATCAACGTTCCCTTTCCAAACACGATCAAAGTGTATAAAATAAGTCATGGACGTAGCCAGCAGTACCGCCTGGGGGAGGGGTATCAAAGGAAAAGTGCCGCAGATTGTAAACTGAAGAGCAAAAAAACACGTCTCCAGGACCTCTTATTTGGAAAAATGTGTCACTACCACCGGGGCGGGAGGGGGGATTAGCGCACACTATTGGTTGGTTTTTGAAATCACAATTTAGGTATATAAAAAAAACTTAATTTTTCAAATTATGATTTTCTCTGATCTTTGCTGTGACATCTTTAGTCGATTACCGCTTTACTTCAACCTGCTTTTTAACAAAAACCTAAAATAATTAATGAATAAGGATGAAATAATTAAAATGATTTACAGTTCGCATTTTGCGGCTAGCATAATTAGATAAACAGGAAAATACCGGGAGCGCCATCTTTTATGTCGGTATGTAAACATGAAATAACTTTGAAAACGAACAAATGATTTCTATGTATCGGGTATTTTTATTAAATATGGTCCTTTACAATTTATTGGGACTAGTTTTTGAACACAACATCTATCAAGTGGACACCTTTATTGGCCAAAACAAAATGTGCCCGTTTTGCTGCGTTTTCCATTACTTTTTCGAGCATCTCTGGTGGTATAGAGGCGATTGCGGTACGAATGTTTGCCTTGAGTTCTTCAGTGGTCTGGGGCTTGCTGGCGTACACTTGACTTTTCAAATAACTATACAAGAAGAAGTCCGGTGGGGTCAAATCTGGAGACCTGGGTGGTCAGTCAATGTCACCTCTTTTTCACATCAGACGTCCAGGGAATTTTCGTTGCAGAAACTTGATTGTTTCATTTGTAGTGTGGCATGGCGCACCGTCTTGTTGAAACCAGTAACCATCAAGACCTTTTTCCTCGCTTTTCACCCATTTGTGGGCAGACATAATGAGCCAACATCCACCGATATCGATTTCCATCGACTATTTCGTTTTCGTTGAAGAAAAATGGCCCAATGATGGTTTTGGCGCAAACGCCGGCCCAAACAGTCACTTTCCGGTCATGCAACGGCATTTCGTGGATCTCACGTGGGTTTTTCGTCCCCAAATGTGGCAATTTTGCTTATTAACGCCGTCAGAGAGCGTGAAATGGGCATCGTCGGTCATCACAATTTGCTTCCAAAAATCAGGTTCAGCATCAACCATGCGAGCGATTGTTTGGGCGTATTCCAAGCGACGTGGAAGGTCAGTTGGCAATATTTTTTGTGTTAACTGCATCTTATAAGGAAACAAATGCAAATCATCCTTCAAAATGCGCCGCAACGTGGTTCCACTGATGCCAAAATGCTGAGCGCGTTGACGATACGACACTTTTGGGTTCTGGGCAACTCTATCTCTGACCGCTTCAACTAATTCATTGGAACGTCTTGGTCGTTGATGAACGGTATGTTGACGATCTCCCACTGCCCCATACTCAAGAAAATTCGAAACCAAACGACGGATAGTGTTGTTAGACGGTGCCTGTTTGCCACGATATTTTCGACGATATGCAAGTTGCGTTAACACAACTGAACGACGATTTTCAATGTACATTGTGACTATTTCGGTGCGTTGTTTCGGTGTAAAGCGATTCATGACTAAAATTGTAGTAAATTGACGTTTCAGAAACACATATAACCAAATCACTCGGTTGGTAAATATCAAAGTGATTCGATGTTTCAATACCGACATAAAAGATGGCGCACCCGTAGTTTTTTTGTCATTTAATACCCCTATTGGGTACGCCAGGAGGTTAAATGGAGAAGGGAGTATGTTGCATGTGGGCCTCTTCTTTCTCCTTTGCACCTCAATTATTGTATGTTTTAGGAATAAACAGCGACATCTTCAAAATTCATGTAAATCTATTGTGTACCCAACTAATTTGAGCCCAGAATAACTCCTTTATTCAAAATACCAAATATTTTTAGGCTATTATATTAGGCCACTGTTCGTAGTTTCTAATGCATTAATTTCATCAATCCAAATTCCAGCCTGCTCGTTCAAAAAATAAGTGGAGGGGGAACCTTTTTGAATGTATATTATTATACATTTACCTTACAAAGGTTTGTGCTTTCTAAATCCTGTTCAACAGTCAAGCATTCATGCGGTCTTCCTATGATAAACGAAGGTCTCTTGATCATACTTTGACCTATAGTCGCCTTTCTCACCTCTGAAAAAAAAAACAAAAAAATTGATAAAAAAGCAAACCAATGGTTCCGTTGGCTTAAAATGAGTCTAATCTGATACAACGTACAAAAGAAACTTTAATTTTAGCACATACCATCTTCCTTATAATGATTAGTTGTATGGCGTGGAGCGCTGGTGGATGTCCATGAATTGTGAATCTTTGTGGACTTGGTGGGTCCTTTGGTCACATGACTCCTTGGAGGCGTGTCTAGATTTGGAGGCAAGTACTGAGACCGACGGGCTGCCTCCATCAGGTACAACGTCGTTATGGCAGCCAGACTGACAAACATGATTAGATCGTTATTTATATGTTCATGGTAAGTGGCCAAGATATATGATATATATGAAATCGACGTCAAGCCGGAAACAAAGGATAGGCCAATTCATAATAGTTTTCAGAAAAATATAAACAAAAATCTAAGTCGTGTACTTTTCAAATCATAGGCTTTAAAAAATCGGAAAAATCTACACCCTGTGATGATCTTTTAGTTCCCATTACTACAAATTTCATTTTTTTCTTAGACGATGTGACAGAGTGTCATTCTACGTAGTGACAGCAAGTCAGATAGTAATGCCACTTTTACTAATTCGTGAATGTATTTATTAAATTCACAATAAATGTTCAATGTATTATGTGACTTGGTCTATCCCTTGATTGCGGCTTGACAGCGACTCTTGGGACGCCCTGTATACTGCCGTACTTTGTAAAAGGCATTAAAGTTCATTTACTGCTTTTTTTAAATTTTGACAATTCATTTCTTTTATAATTACAATTACAGAATATATCATTGATCACGTCATTTAACAAAAATAGTTATACAGGGTGTCCCGCGAGGTAAGGAACAAAATTTTTCTATGTGTTTCTCAGGTCAATTCGAGTGTAAAAAGTCCTAAGTACTTATCGAGATAATGATTTTATTTTTAGGGTGCTAATGGTGGAAAAAGCACAATATTGTTGGAAAATTACTTTTATTTAACACACAACTACTAGGTACAATAAAAATAACTATTCACAATAGTTGTTCAAAGTGCCCACCTTCACACTGTAAACATAGTCTAGCGCGTTTAATAATGTGACTGGTGGCTTTCCCAATAACAAAACGATTACTTCTTAAGTCGTCAGCGACATCAGTAAATTTACGGACCAGTTCAGCAATGGTATGCGATTTCTCTGCATACACTAAATACTTCATATATCCCCACAAGTAATACTCCAAGGGATTTAAATCGGGCGAGCGGGGTGGCCAAGAAACTGCGCCCCCTCGACCAATCCAACGCCCAGGAAAAGTGTTATTTAAATCCTCAGTCACATTTCTACCACTGTGGGGCGGCTGTAACCACATCTGTTGTCTTCTCTGCAGCGGAATATCCTCTAACAACACAGGCAGTCCTTCTCATAGGAATTAAAGATAAACTTCAGATGTCAACCGACCGTCAAACACAAAAGGGCCAACTAAGTGATCCTCTAGCAAACCGCACCAGACATTAACAGAAAAACGGGGTTGGAAATTCCGTTCGATAATTGCGTGGGGATTTTCAAGCTACCAAGAATGGGAATTCCTGAAATTATTGACGCCATCTCAAGTAAAGGCAGATTCTTCGGTGAACAAAATCTTTTTAACAAGATTACGATTTGCGAGGAGCCAGTTACAAAACTGCGTACGAGGGTCCGGATCAGTGAGCAGCAGAGCTTGGACAGGTTGCAGATGAAATGGGTACAAACCAATGTTATGCATTGTTCTCCACACAGTAATTCGGCTAACATCAGTGCGACGTGATATTCTGCGGACGCTGGTTGATGGTGACCGTTCAACACTATCCAGTATTAAGACATGGGCAGGTTCTGATGGACGTGTTACAGTAGCATATGGAACCGATCCCGTTGCTTTCACATGTGCCAAAACTCTTCCAAATACCCTTCTGTCAGGTATTCTTCGATTTGGATACCGGCGGCGGTATACGTTCACTGATGCTCTGCCATTTCCGTTGCAATGCATGACAGAATTTTTCCATAGTTCAATGAAACTGACACAACTACTCCGTCAACAAACAAACAAACACCAGCGTATTAATCGCACAGTACAACGTGAATGTGGACTTTAATTATTGTAAACAGTTGTTGTCATGCAAACAGTATTACATTTATTGTTAAATAAAAGCAATTTTCCAACAATATTGTGGTTTTCGCCTACTAAAAATAAAAAAATCATATCTCGATAAGGAAGCATTTGCGGACCCATGTTCATACGACTTTTTCGAATCGAATTGACCTGAGGAGCATGCAGAAAAATTGTGTCCCTTACCTCGCGGGACACCCTGTATTTTCAGTTTGTGAAATATTTCATATTAATTCCTAAGCATAAGATCGGTAAATCAATTTATCAAAGTAAAAAAGCAGTAGTCTTCAAACTATCTGCTTTTATTCCCTGTATGATACAAGTACTGGCTTTTTACCCTTTATAACCAACCCATTAATACTATTTATTTATAAAAAATCCAGAATTTTGATTTCAATATTCTCAGACTTCGATTTTTACACTTCACTGCTTTTCACTTATGTACGGCAGCATAACTGATTTGATTCTCCAATATCTTTAAAATAAAATTAAATAGATCCATTTCCACCTTAAGGTCATAATACAACTTCGACACTCTGTGATTTAACCGAAAACCAAAAAGCAGTAGCTCTCATACTTCTTGACTTTACTACAGTGTTTGACACAATTAATCATTCACTTCTTGTGACTAAATTAAGTTATTATGGATTTTCTGAAAAACTCTTTCGTTTATCCAAACCTACCTTGTAAATCGGTTTCAAAAAGTCGTCTAAATCAACAGTAATCTACCGCACAAAAAATTTGTTCTGGTGTACCACAGGGATCTGTTTTATTACCCCTATTATTTCTATTATCTATCTGAGAGTTAGAAACAGAGGTAAAATCATGTAGCATACAACTTTATGCCAACAATTTTCTATTCAGGAGGAAGAGTAATGAGCTGGGAACAGCGAATAATAACATTTAACTAAACTGATAAGTTTAATAGTAGTCATAATCTACGATTGAACGCTTTAAAGACAAATATGTTAATACACGCAAATAAAACAAAAAAGAATGCTTCAAAAAATGACTAACATAAATTCAAAAGGTAATAAAATAGTTCCTGTGGAACATTCTAAGAACCTAAGTATTATAATGGATGATGACTTAAAATTTGTTGAACACATAAGCAATTGTGTCTTGAGTCTTTTTTCTTTATACTCCAACTACCACGAAGGCCTAAGGCCTAAACACCCATTGGGTACCGTGGGGCTATCGGGGGATACAGGGGAAAGGGAGAACGCCACACGGACTCTGGCGTGGGAACACGTGTGCATGCAACATGCACACATTCTGGCTCCGCCTGCGAGATCCGCCGGGTGGTACCTCCGCGTTAGACAGTCAGAGACCGTCTACCATCTACGGAGAATCGTAACATCCATAGCCAAGAGAAAAATTTCTCCTGGGACGGGATTCGAACCCGCACAGCGCACGGCGACTGATCAGGAGACCGAAGAGTCTACTACTGCGGCCACCGCTGCTGCCTAGTAGAAGTAGAGAAATAGTAACAATTATAAAACTTCAGAAACGGTACTCAAAACATTATAAATACATATTGCATACATATATTTACAATTCGATCAAATTATATAATTCCTTAGACCATTGTTTAAAAGAAATTAATTCATTACACAAATTCAAGAAAAAAATAAGAAATTCTACTTGATCGGCAGAGCTGTTGTAATCAATAAGTATTAAATGACCTTATGTTTTTTTTGCCTTTACATTAAGTATGCTATATATACTGTATACAGGTATTAGTTTTCAAAAAATTTTCAGTTTTTATACTTATCTTGTATTGTTATGGGGTTTAGAAGGTAGAGTAAATATAGTATCTAAATCTCACGTCCTGTAATATTATTACAACTAAAAAAACATTAATTATTATTATTAATGTTACATTGAACAATAGAATTTATTATACATCAAAAAAGGTAATACATAAATGCCCGACCCTGCAAGCCTGAGTCTTATGTATTGCATTTTCCATCATTTTCTGGTGGGCTTTGGGATGAATATTTGGAAAGTTTTTCGAATGTTGCTTTTTAACTGCTACATAATGTTTGCTCTATTTTCTAGAAATCCATATATAAAGAAAGTCTGGGGATATTGAGAGCCAGGTGACATCACATAATGGAGGAGATCATAGACCCTGCATTCTTCACAAAACCCAGGCCATAAATTTTGAAAATAGTCATTTTGATTTCTCCATAAGATCATGTCATCTGGCTTCCAGCATCAGCAGATTGAACGGCCTCAGACTTCTTTCTGTGGATATTCCTAAAAAAAGTTGTATGTGAACAAAGAAAACGATTTATTTGATTTCATTTTAAATATACTAGAGAAACAATGTCAGCTATTTTCATCACCAACATGGATTAGACGATGAAGAAAAAAACTTCATCTTACACTGATTTTCACCGACAACGCGACAGTACTTACCAAAAAGCCATGATGAGCACCAGAACAACAATAACTATCTGTATAAACTTGTTTGAGCACAATTCATCATCGTTCTGACAGGAGTGATGGTGATGCTTGGAGCACTTATGCGAGTAAGATAATTTTGAACTGTTCACTGTACTGGTAGACTTAAGACTATCCCCCCTTTTTAACTTATTCAGTCGCCTATTTATCCTTTCTAATTGGTCGATTCTGTTTTCCAAGTTGTCAGTCACTTTACACAGTTCCTTAACGGCACCTATGTTTTCCATGAATATTCTTTCCTGGTGAAAAAATCGTATTTCAGCACATACATCCATGTCCGCTTCTCTAACAAATTTGAAAATCTATGAAACTCTCATTATTTTGGGAGTTTTTTTAATAGAATTGATTTTAAATTGTCGGACAGAACAAAGTTCTAGTGATAATCTTTTAGAAAATAGAATTGAAAGAACAGAATGGCGTTACGTTGTTACTGCAGCATCTCACCTTATTCACAACTAGAAAGTTGTCAATGGAAGTCCCATTCTGAAGAACAATATCACCAGCAGGTTTAACAGCCTCTGGTAGAACTTGGGCCACTTCTTGAGCTATGACGCCTGTGTCCAAGCAAGTGTTATCTCTATTGAGTTGAGCAGCTAATTCGGGTTCATATTCATATCTGAAAAAAATTAAATTAACATTCAAAAACTGCTTAAAACATTTTCTTGTATTATAACAAAAGAACACATTTGATTAAATTACCTTGAAAATAGAAAAAAGGAAAAATCAGAATCGCTTAATACAATTGGAAATTACTTTGTCTCAAAGGAACACACAGTAAACATATTGTATTTAACTCTGGATACGAGCGGAACACCCTCTTACATCGACCAGAAGATTCGACAGGTGTCCAGAAACATTGACGCTTGAACAACCAGAGTTACGCGGCTGTGCGCGAGCGATTGTGGCCTTATCTAGTGGCATCATGATCACATCCATTAAGGTTCGCGACTAGGCCTGGAAGACGCTGGAGTATTTCTCAATTTTTCGATAGGGAAGTAAATATAGGCGCAGATAGCGGAAGAGGACAGTCAACCGACAGCGTCGGATGTGTCAACAATTCATAGTCCAGTCGACATAGTTATAAATGTCATACATTAGTTGCAAGCGTTGTTATAAATTAGTGTAGCAGTAGTAAATTAGACTTTAAGCAGTAAAAACCGCATTTTCGTTACAATATAATATTCCTAACAAGCATGAAACAACGTTGTATGCGGTTGGTCAGACACGGAAAGCAAACAGATCCTATTTAGAATCAGCCAATGAATAAAAGTTGCTTACCTGACCACTCTCAATCTTTGTACGTTCTTTAACTGCTCAGCAGTGTTGCACTCTACAATGTTTTTCTTTGCTCTAATATCACTAGGTTGTATGATGTGTCCTGTTATTTTGATGTTACCATGCACCACTAAAGACTCGTCGGGTCTATCTGTGTTTATCCCCACTCTTCCAGAGTGAACGACCGAATCCTTTAAAGAAATTTTATTAACTACAGTTAGTTTTGTGCATGTGTAAAAAGGCGTGGCTTTTATCAGAAACAATGCACCATTTGAGATTTTCATGAAAAAAATGTTTCAGATAGCAAAAATGAGCATGTCCGAACACGCAAGTCTCATTCCTTTAGAGCTCTAGTGTAAAGCTGTTTGCCAACAATGTTTGATACGTCACAAGATCAAGTAACCTCATTAAATTAGACTACAAGATACACCGGGGCGTATGCTACCAAATGACCAGGATCCTCTGAAATATCAAAAAACGAAGTTTGAGCGTTTTCTTTTTCAGTGTTTCTCCGCCGCCACTGGACCGATTTTCATAAGCTTTTTCGTCCTTGGCACAGTAGTAACCTTGTGTAAAGATTTCAGCCAACTTTCCAAGTTATAGAGGGGCCAAGGATTAACGGACAGAAAGACCGGCTGATTGACGGAAATGAGTGACCTGTTTTTTCGTGACACACTCGTACATGTCATATAAGATCTAAAAAAACATAATATCTCATTTTCGGAAGTTTTCGCGATTACAATACCTCTTCTCCAGTGGGCGTGGGAAGTAAAAGATGTTACAAACGTTGTTGGAATATTAATTGAGTTGGGTTTTCAAATATACGAAGTGACTTATAAAATGCAACACCCAGAAGTATTTATTGAATTTTGATAAAAACTTGTAAACATATTTGCTATCATGCAAGTGTAGACTGATAAAATGTTTCGAGCCGTAATTTATTTGTAAAGGGTTTTTTTGTCATATCAAGATCCGAACAATATGAACATGTTAGGTGGTGAAATATTCCATCGAACGGCATATTCATCGCAATGTGAGTGTTACGGTATGGTGTGCCACTGATTACGGCAGCAGGTAACGATTAGTGTACAATCGAGGTAGAATGACGGCCCAAGAAGACACCAATCACCTAATCCAATCAATGCCAATTCAAGGTGGAGATATCTCAGCTATTTTGCGAAATTTCGAGTTACCAGTAGACCTAAAACTAGTAAAAGTATGCTCAAAATTATAGCACTCCTAGTCGGTGTTGCAGTTACTATGTCATTTAGTATAACAACATTGAATAAAATTATATACATATATTAGAAATTTTCTGAATTTTTTTCTGGAAGCGTACCTGCGTTTGACCTTTTTGCCAACATAACTCGACATCACTCTCAAATTGTCCAGGATTTGAGGCCTACAATAAACATAATCGTTAAAACCATCACCACATACGACATAAAATGTTTAAAACTTAATTATCTCACCCTGACTATTATTTTTTGGCTGGCGTGGCTGATAATAGGAAAATTCCCACTAGTGGTATGTGCGTGGAGACCAACCACAAGCTAAAAGAGAATCACGTGAAAAAAATCGTTCAAATTGCAAACTTGAAGCTTTCATTAGTTACCTGAAAATATCTTTGTTCGGGATTTGGTTTTCCCTTTTTCCTCATATTGTTTGATGTGGTTTCACTGAAGTGTAGCCTGCCAACTGTCACTTTCGTTACCTGTGAATTTACCAATTCAACCCTGAAAAGAATTGAAGTTATAGTAATTTTGCCTACATTTAACTTGGAATCATTTAATCTAAATTGCGCATTATTTAATTTACTCACTGAACAGGATGGAATGGTTTTTTACTCCTGTCGCTCTGACTCTGTTCCACCCTTATTGTTTGAGTTGGACAGTCATGCTTCACTCCATAGAAATGCAGATGAAAACTTGAGATTTTTTGCAGACCATCTGCTGTCTTTACAAATTGAGCATCTCCTAACAGTTGCACTTGACAAGTTATCTGGAAAAAGAATTTAGTTTTAGAAAATATAATCATGAAAACTAAATTAAAACGTTCATGATTGTGCACATTGGTTCATCACTGAATATACTCGGTGTCCCAGTTTAATGGCCTTGAATGCAATGTTCGAACGTAGAATTTGCTCCTATTTTCAATTCCGATGTGAAAAGGAGAGGTTCCTTGTTACATATTTACTTGACCTTCACTGTCAAGATCATGTTCAAAGTCACCATCACTTTGCCCCGTCGAAACCGTACAACTTTTGTTAGAAACTTTTTTCTGGAATGCGCTGTTTTCGAAGTTTTGCCTGGTGAGGAGATTAAAATGAGACACAGTGTATAAAAGAAAATTATCATTGTAAAGTGCTTCGTTATTTGGGTACTACGCAAATATGACGTTTAGCACTTTTTAACTGTTACCTACTCATAGTTATTACCTGGAAGTGGTTCTTCTTTTGACACACAAAAGCGTCATCGGCATTCGAGAAATTAAAACCTTTATCAGCGTCCACCCTGTATAACGGCGGAAGTCTAAAACGACAAATTATTATAACTTGCTAATACTTCACACCAGAAAACTTACATTTCTGTTAAATTCTGATCACACAACGTATGCCAGTTACTCTGTTGGAAAGGACTGAATTTGATGCACTGGTACTGGGGTTCAGAAAGACAGGCCTCAGAAGAGGGGTAGTCTTCATCCATTGATGTGTTGTTTCCTTGCTCTGAAGGGCTTAATTGACTTGACGAACAATGGTCTACGAAAATAGAAAAATACCGGTTCTTTTGTCATTTTAAAGAATAAATGAATTTCAAGGGATGAGCAAAGTGAACCATTACAGACTAGACTGAGATAAAAAAATTCTGAGACATCAGCAGAGACTGAATTTCAAATAATGCTTTTGAATCAACTTATTAGACAATTTTTTTCCAACGTCATAAGGTATTAGACCCAGTTCCGTCCAGCTGAGGGTCGCTGATCTGACCTAAATGTTTGGATGTATGTTGATTCCTACCTGGTTCGCTTTTGACCATCAGGGAATCTTGTGACAATTTCCGTTTCTTAGGAATGCTTTGTAAGTTTGTATACACATTTTGGATATTATCTAAGTTCGAATCACATAGTCCGTTATCAATATTGTTCCTCTGAATGCTGTCTATATTGTGGCTGTAGTTAAGGTGAAGGTTCCTGTCATAATGCTGAGGGGAATCCGTTGCCATTAATAATGAACGGTTATTCTCTGAAACCAAACGATTCTGAAATAACTTTCAATTATATCACAATACTGTAGAACATAACTACATTCGTCTTTAAAAACTTATAAAATGAAGAAAACTTGAAACAAAATGATATTTGGTAGACGCTACTGGATCGACGCCATCGAAAAAATGGAAATTTACTCCTTCAGGTCGGTAAAATTTTGACTACCTTTGCAATTTGCCAGGATTACGCACTTTTTTCTACGAATACGAAAGATCGATTCTAAATCACTTGCACCCATTAAACTTTCTGACAAAAATATTTGAGTCCAAACAAAATAAATTTTGTATGTTATAAGGATTTTCAGGGGTTATATTTTTTAAACAAGTTTCTGCCCCAAAAATGTAGTAGATATCGTTTTGTGCATATAAAAAGACCAATACAGTGGACCCCCGATAATCCGGCCCCTGTCTAATCCGGCGCCCCCTGTAATCCGACATGTCTTTGAATATGTATTACATACATACGTATTTGACAATCTTCGCTAATGTAGATCACGTAGGTTTGAACAGGTTACAACTTGTACGTGCCACCGCTATCGTGCTCGTCGCGTAAGCATTGTTTTACTTAGTTTGAATTTGACTACTGGTGATAGCGGTACGGCCTAGCGTGCGTTCATTGTTTACTATTTATTCATTGTGTATTAAGTATAGTACCTAGTAATGTCATCACAAACTCAGAAGCGAAAGCACAAAACATTGACAATCAAAGAAAAATGTGATATTTTAGACAACTTAAATCGCAATGAAACTTTCAGTAGTTTAGCAAGTGAATACGGCGTAGGCCGATCTACAATTTATGACATTAAAAGAAACCACGAGAAGATCAAGAAGTTCGTGTCGACTATTGACTTCGGGCCAGGCAAGAGACAGACACTCAAGAAAGCTGAGCATCCAGAACTGGAAGAAGCTTTGTACATGTGGTTTCTTCAGGAGAGAAATAGGCATGCACCAATTTCAAAACCCATGTTGGCCATGAAAGCTAAGTTTTTTTATAAGGAAATAACAAAAAAAGATGATTTTGTGACCAGCAAAGGATGGCTGAAACGTTTTAAAAGTCGTCATGGCATACGTTTAATGACTATTACAGGAGATAAATTTTCTAACGATGCCACCTGCATAGAGCCCTTTAAATTAAGATTTTTGCAAAAGGTGAACGATTTAAATCTTGACCCGTCATAGGTGTACGATGCAGACGAATCCGGGCTTTTTTAGCGTGTGATGCCTAACAAAACTTTCGTTTCTTGTAACGAAAAATCCGTACCTGGACGAAAAGTAAGTAAAGAGCGTCTAACCATACTACCATGTGCTAACGCTGCGGGCACACACGCGCTTAAGATGATGGTCATTGGGAAATCTAATAAACCACGGGCATTCAAAAACATTGATTTACTTGTACACTATTACGGACCAAAAAGTGCATGGATGACAAAAGACCTTTTCAAAAAGTGGTTTGATGAATGCTTCGTACCTGAAGTTAGAAAATGGTTAAAAGATCATAATTTTCCTCAAAAAGCGTTGTTGGTTCTTGATAACGCTCCCGGTCATCCGTCTGAAGAAGAACTAACAACTGAGGATAAATGCATCACTGTGATGTTTCTTCCGCCAAATTGCACTGCACTGATTCAACCAATGGATCAGAATATTATTCAGATTGTCAAGCAAGACTATAAGAAAAACCTACTTCTGAGAGCCGTATCAAAAGACCAACCAAGAGAAAAAACTTCAAAAGAATTTAATATGATAGACTTGGTTTTTGCTCGTTGTCAGTCGTTTAATGCGTTACCGTCATCAACTATTAAATCGTCTTGGAAAAAGTTATGGAAAGATATAGTCACCACTCCTAGCAACGTTCCACAAATCAGTGTTACTTCGGAAGTTATAGAACAAGTCGCTGCTGAAACACAGATAAGACCGGAAGATTTGGAAATCTGGTGCCGTGGAATGGGTAAAGAGGAAAATGTTTTTCATGAAATGTCAGACGAAGAGATTATAAAAGAGGTTTCTAATTATACAACAAACAATCAGGAAAATAACGACGACGTGATTGCAACTGCTCCACAAGTCACAGCACAAGACGCAATTAACGCCTTTGAGCTAGGTTTACAATGGGCTGAAGAGAATTGTACATCCTACAACGAACTTTTACTTTTGAGAAGACTGAGGGACCAAGCTCTGATCTCGCGTTATAACAACCTTAAACAAAAAAAATTGATGAATATTTCCAAGCTTCATAATTGGATAAATCCATCAATGATATTGATTAATAATTCTTGATTATTTTGGTACATATGTATGTGCATTTATGCTTAATTTTATAATAAAACGTAAGCTCTCTATTGTTATTTAATTTACTAAATTCGTCATACATAAACTATGAATGATTTGTACTTCAAAGTACATACATATACATAACATATATATTCTTACCATTGGATATGTAATTTGTCGGATTACAAGGTACCCTTTTTTTAAAAAATTCCGGACTATAGGGGGTCTTAGGCAGTGCTCTATAATCCGACAAATTCGGTAGTCCGACACTGCCCTGCAGAATGTTTGTCGGATTACCGGAGGTCCACTGTATATATTTGTTTGTTAACGAAGTTTGTCATTTTTTCGATTAATAGCTACGTACTCGAAACTTGTGGTTGGATTTGATAAACAGTAATGTTAATACATGTTTCAGAAGATGCAATTTACTTTTCATAGTTCAGCGAAATTTTGACACAATTGCGAATTGGTATCCAGGATCCGGCACTTCCCGAGAAAAATCTTTGATCCAGAAGCATACACACATTTTTTGATAGGGTAGTTGTGGGTTCTAAAGACTGTCAAAGGCTGTTTACACCTTTTTTAAATAAGTTTCAGCCCCAAAAATATATCAAATATGCTTTTAGCATTAAAAGGCGAGTATATTTTTTTTTACGAAGTTTTTTTTTTTTCATGTAATGGTTATGTCGTTAAATTTTGTAACAGATTTGCTAAACAGTAATATTAGTACCTGTTCCATCAGGAGATGTAGTTAGTATGATTCTGTCGGCAGTTAGGTTGGCACCAGATCCCAATAAATGTTCGGCATTGGTGATTTGGTCACTTTGATGGTCGGTTACCACAATATGTGAGCCAAGAATCAGGCCGTCTGTGACCGAACTAGGACCTGAAATAAGTTTACCATGATTTTTTGCACTTATATATTAGTCTACAAATCAATATGAATACAGGGTGTCCTCAAAGTTGGAACTTAACAGAGCGTATGGGTCAAGCAACGATATGAAAATTTTCCTAGTAACACTCAAACCAAAGCCTTAAGACAACCGAGGTATTAAGTTACGAAAGAATCTGATGGACCAGCCCTACCTTGTATCCTACGTTTAAAAGTACGATGTTTTGTGGCACACGCGGTGTGTAGGTTAACCTATTTATTCATAAATCGTCTTTGAAAAACCGATATTGGCACATTCCTACAACAGTAACGTGGTTATCAATTTAATGTTACTTTACAGTGAGTGTTTTCAAGATCCTATTGATAGTTCGCGAGTATTTTCAGAAAGTCGTCCTTGATGTTTCGTTCAGAGCTGCATGGGTTTGTTTATATCTTGCTAAAGCCGTCTGGGTGGACAATTCAGACGACATAGACAGCCTCAAATGTTGCAAATTTAGGAAGAAACTAAAGAAACTCGTGTTTTTGAATCGAACCGTGACAACTTCAAACAGCATTTACAAACAAAACATGTTACAGGACAGAACTTGATGTTCGTCAATAAATAGTGAGTTTTTTCTTCAATTTCTTTTTGACCTTTTCAGTGCTGTTTTACCGCAAACTAGCTTTGTTATTTCAAACGAAGATGTTTGTGGAAAGTCCCAACTTTCAAGTCACCCTGTATGCATCCCTTTTGTACATTCTCCAAGTGTTGGACTTGAATTAAAAAAAATAGCTATTCCATTGTAACATGTGAACCTACAATTTGTATTAATCAACCTTGCAAAACAAGGCTTTCGTGTTATTCAGATAGACAGAATGAATCTGAAATAACCACGTATTATTACAACAATTATCGAATTTTTGTTTCCCCTGTAACTAAGCTGACCATATACGCTAAGGTACGATGGTCTGCATAGTGGGAGGCTGACATCTAGCATACTTTAATGCGTATTGCGAGCTTAAAGTTTATATAATAACTCAGAATCTTAACCGAAAGTGTAATATATTTTTATAATTTGATGATCACTATTACCTGTTCCGGTCAGCAATGGGCTCATAATTTCTGGCTTGTAGATACTGGTATAGAGTGCAGATTGCTGTTGTGTAGGATCTTGTGAAGGAGGAGGTTGCCCTCCTCCTCCTGTAGGGTCCCCTGGACAGCCATCTTGAGGGCTGTAAGGGTGTTCAGAACTGCTGTCTGGCGGGGAGTCAGGTAGAGCATGGTGACTGCAAACAGACAACAGACAATGATCAAAGGCTAACCCTAAGAGTAATCACGAGTTTTACCATAGAAGGTCCTACTACAGAGTACCTACTTTTGTACGGATCTGCTACAGAAAATTCGCAATAATTTTAAGCCAAATATTAAGTATTTCCTCTTTTGATATATTCAAGTAGTGCGAAAGCAAATATTAAATCTGAAGTAACGTATCTACAATAAGGAAATTTTGTTCTTTTGCCTGCCTCTTATTAGACAACAAAAGACAGGAACTCTCAGAAGCCTAACTGAGCCATATTTGTACGTCCTTCAATAGCAATAACCTCCAAATCTTGTATTAGAGAGTCAGTTTCTACTAGTATGCTCTCCCCATTTCATCATCTGAGAAAATAAGGGGGCAAAATCATCGAGAAATCATCATCTGTTATCCATCTGCATGAGCGTTTACTTAGGAGAGCAAGTTCCCATAGCTGATGATAATATCAAGACCAATAATGTGAGTCTCTTGTAGACCTCGGATCTCTGTATCCATACTGTCTGTCGCTCGAAATACATCAGAATCTAACTATTCATGTATCAATTACTTTATTCATTACTGACAGAGGAGCTATATGACTGTTGTTTGGATCGATATTTGATCTATTTAAATGGCTCAACATGGACAAACCTTCAGTGCTCCGCTGTTGTAGTACAACTGAAAGGGGTGAGAGAGGAGAGGAAAAAACTCTGAAGCACACCTGTTCAACATCACACTAGAAATCATGTCGAAACCCGAATCTTCGACGGTGTCAAGCAATTGAAGATTCTGAGAGATTATCGGTATGGTTTCCGCAAAAACAAGTCAACACAGGATGTCATACTTGAAGGTATTGGAATTTCTCGATAACAAAAATAAAGTTGCTACATTGTTTTTTGTTTTAGGCAGGGCCCATGATACCCTCTCACATTTCGTCTTACTGGATAAACTATACAGTTTGCATTCGTATTTGTCCAACAGATCTCAAAAAGTTATAATTAAGAACAATGGTTTGAAAATATCTCCACCCAAATCGTATATGGCGTTCCTTAAGGAAGTATTTGGGTCTTACTGCGTTTCTTGTAACAGGCTGAGATAGTCGTTCACTTAGAACAAATGCTTGTAGATTCTGTGATATAATTGAAAATGTTTACGACGCCAATGGTCTGGACTTTAACAAACAATAAAACTGAATTACATCTGTACAGTAGACTTCAGCCTACTTATTAAGAGTTGTGGCAGTAGTGTTGAACAAAACACATTTTGAATACCTGGATGTTTATTTTGATGGAACTCTCACATGTTTCCAAGCAAGTACTGTCATTGCTCCAAAATTAACGACTCAGTGGTATAAAGTATGGCAGTTAAAATTATATGTCGATATGGAGGTTTTGTTAATATACTATTATGCCTCCGTGTACTCTACACTCAACTACTGCATTATACAGGGTGTAAGCGTTATGATAGTCATTATTTAAATGGGTGATAGAGGGGGTCAAAGGAAGCAAAAAGTCTCATATAACATGGAGGTCAAGCCGGCATTTTTTTTAGAAAAAAGCGACTTTAAAGTAAAATAAAATCTGACAACGCCGCAATGCCAGACGCAAATTACGACGGAACGCAGTGTAAATAAAGATCGAGTTTGTTATTTTTGGCTCTTAGGTATTATTTCATTATTTGATAATGTGCTCGTAAAATGCAACCACTTAAAAAAAAAGGACTTAGCACTAACTGTCTCAGCGCTTCACCTAGCGTATGAAAGTTTATTGAACGTATTAAAAAATCCACTTATAAATAGGGAACACAATTTTGATACATACATTGTCTTTCTTTTTAAAACCCACACTACACTTTTTTGTATTTAAAGGTGTTCAAAATGTCGTCCTCCACTTTCCACACAAGCTTCATTACGACGAACCCAGTTTCTTCTTACTCTAGGTCCTCGAAGTTGTCCATTTATTATTTCAGCCGCATTAAAATTTTTTACGCGAAGTTGTGCTTCAGTTGTTATTGGAACAGCCCCATAAACCATCCGTTTAAGTTCTCCCCAATACCAGAAATCCATCGGATCTTGCTGGTCATTTTCGACCGATCCAGCGATTTGGATAATGTTTATTCAAATACTGAATGACGCCTCTAAAAATGTGTGGTGGTGCTCCGTCATGAAGAAACCACAAATTCTGTCTCCGTTGTAATGACATGTTGTCTAAGGTCTGTTCCAAAAGTTCTGGTAGGTTAATGGCTAGAAAGCTAAGGTATCTTTCTCCTGACAACTTTGGGGGTAACTCGAAAGGGCCAATTACCTGATCGTCAAGAATACCCGCCCAAATATTTATTTTAAAACCTTGTTGGAAATGACCTCCACGAATGGTATGAGGATTTTCTTGGGCCCACGTGTGAGTATTATGGAAATTTAATATCCCGTTTCGCGTAAAAGTACATTCGTCAGTCTCTAGAATGTTTTCATAAAAATCCGGATTTCCAATGTTTTTGTGCAAAAACCACTGACAGAATGTTAGTCGGCGAGGATAGTCTTCTGGTAACAAGGCACTCGTTGTACGTCGTAAGGATAAAGCAAATTTTCCCTTAGGATTCTATGGACTATGGTATGCGATAGTCCTACGCGGCGGCCTAATTCCCGAGTGCTGATATCTGCATTGATCTCCACGATATTTAAAATTTGTTCCTCCTGCTCTACAGTAACCTGTCTTTCACGAGTGCGGATATTAGTGGGCTGAAGACTTCCTGTATTTCGAAGTCTTTGGTACACTTGCACAAATGTCCTTCTGTTTGGGTGTACCCGTTGGCGAAATCTGTCGCGATACATTTGAGCTGCAAGATTTGAATTCTGACGATCTTCACCGTAAACTAACAACGACGTACGCGAACAAAAACAAAACACGCCCGATGCCCGATAACTAATCACTGTTACCGTTTGCGATTGATTGCCGGTTCGATAAGAGTGATGACGACGCGCTGTTGTCATGTGTGTTTTAAATATTTAATCTAATGAAACATACTTACTGTTCATGCAAGTTCTAAAATATACTTTATTATTTGAACTCAAAAGCCATACAAATTCAAACCCTTTGGCACGTGCGCATACAAGACAAACATGCGCACAACAAGAAGAAGATTTCATGAAGTCAATCTCGTAAAGATCGGAAAAGGCAACGGTCGTCTTAAAAACCTCGACAAAAGAATAATAGTTAAACCGGGTAAAACATATTCGCTAAGACAAGTGTGGTGAAGCTAAGAAGAAGCTGTGAAGAGAGAGGAGCTCCTCCAGACCAGGCGACAGGAACACCCAGGTACGTGCCAATCCTACATTGTCTTTGTATGGCTCGGGTGTCGATTTCCTTATTGCCTTAATTATATCTTAACGCGCATACAGTCCAGCGTCTCTCCACAATTTAGAATCATCTTTGCAATAACACTTACTGACTACAAATTTTGGCTTAACTTAGAAAAAACTTAATGCCATTTATTTGTTAATTACCCAATTTAAAAACGTCTTAGAATAGATTATAAAAATGAGTAAGATTGTGGTGATTGTGGTCGGTATAAAGCACTTAAAGTTGTAAACTATAAAGCCATTTAGACAAAAGACTTTTGACCATGGGTCATATGAACTTTTTGACTTGTTTTGACCGGGGGGTATCCCCAATTTCAATAATGACTAGCATAACGTTTACACCCTGTATTAGTAATAATAACAGGACTTTATTTACACAGTGTAGCACAGGTAAAAAGGCGAAGTGTCAGCATAGCTGTTTCTCAACTTAACCCAGGTAAAAAACATAAAGGTTAAACATTTGCATAAGTACACGTCATAGTCTACGAAAAAACATACAAAAAGAAAAAATATATAAATGATAGTAGTCTAATGATATTTTATAAATTTGAATGAGAAATGCTTCAAAGAAAAAAACAAGTAAATAAACATTACAAAGCATGATAAACCATGCCATAAACCTAATTCATAGCCAGGGACTAAGTAGTGAAGACATCAACTAGTTGTTCAGCAAGAACTTCAATCTTTTTATAAAGTTGATAAGTGACAGGTCTTTAAGGTCATTTTGCAAGGAGTTGTACAACTTAGCGGCACTATAGGAAAAGCTTCTGGGATAACTATACCAAAGCCAATAAAATATTCTTAATTCAAACAAGAATCTTGAGAACGATACTTGGCAAAGATGTATTCAAGCCATGCAATGTTCGAATATTACAATATCATGACAGTTTTTTCTCTATATATTTTTAATTGTAATGTATATATGAGAAAAACATTGAGAATTTTGTTCAGAGATGTACTGACATCACTATGTAAATTTGCGTTCGAACCTCAATTTGAAACTTTCACCACATAGGCTAAGGCAAAGGCCTAACGTCATACTCGTTAAAGTGTACAATAAACCGCCTGACCATGTAAAATGAATAAATACGGTGGCGGTATTTATAAAAGTTGTAAAAAAGATAATTTCAGAAAACCCTTTTTACTCAGCAGAGGAATACTTCAAATCATGATATTTAAATGTGCTTCGTCTATTACAGTTTGTATCTCTTGTGTAATGTTATCTTGTTTGTTTTATACATTTTATATCTATTTTTTGACTATACTCGTATGCCTATACTACCTTGTAGTCCAATGGAAATAAACATTATTTATTTGTTTATTGTTATGTCTGAAGGTTACTTCACTAAGGACGTGGAGGAAACTTTAGTATTACGGGGGGGGGGGGGGGGGGCTAAGTGCAAATAATGGAGAAAATAAAAAACAATGAATATTGCTCACCTATTATTGTTCCTCTTATTTTCGACAATGACGTTGAGCAATTTTCCAGTGGTGGAGGTGGCTACAGCAGAGTTGAGCGATTCGCTGAAGTAGGTGCTGTTTCCTTGGGAGCCGTCATTGTTGATGAAGTCCTCCAATTGGGAGAAGTCCAACGCTTCGTTGTCTATGCCACCTACAAAGTCCGCACCACGACCTGCAAGAAATAGTTTGGTGGTCAGAATATGTTTATATAACCATCTAAGGAAGGGCGCCGATGGAACTTCATCGAATTTTGCTAAATATTGATATGCTTTACGGAAAACAAAAGTCATCCTGATGACATTCGCAGAGCGACGAATCTTGTTCATGAAGTAAGAAATGATCTTCATGAATTCCGCAATGAGCAATGGAACGACTTTCTGGCGGGCATGCTTGACTCAAGTACTCCTCTCTGGAAAGTGGCGAAGTCGCTCAGAAACGGAAAGCGAGAACAACTCCCGCACATCCACGGTCCTGGGGGCATAGTCTTCAGGACAGAGGACAAGGTCGAGGTTTTCGCTGGTGCTATGGAACGACAGTTCTCTCCCAACTATGATCTAGATAATGATCTCGACGAGGAGCAACAATTTGTAAGATCCATCAGGAGATATTTTAGGGCCAACGGCGTCAGTGATCCCGGTGCCGCCATTAGTGATTCTTCCTCAGAAGATTCTTTTTCAGAAGATTCATCAGCTGAAGAGTTGCACAGCACACCAGCGGCTTCTCCCGAGATACCGCCTTGCACACCAGCAGAGCTTCAAGGTCATATTAAAGACCTCAAGGTGCGTAAAGCGCCTGGGGAGGATCAAATCACTAATAAGGTGCTGAAGCTGCTTTCACGGAAGTCCTTGACCCAGTACTTTACATCGGCGTGGAAGACTGCGGAAGTTATAATGATTCCAAATAAGGTGGGTTCGATATTTCTTTAGGACTATCGTCCCATCAGCCTACTGTCTGCTCCGTCTAAGCTCGCTGAAAAGGTGATTCTACGTCACCTTGAGAATTTCTTGTCAGATCACCATGTGATTCCTGACGAGTAATTCGGTTTTCGGTCTGAACATAGTACGGAGCTACAGGCGGTTAGGCTGGTGGAACGTGTAAACAGATGATTCACCCTTAACGAAAGTACTGGCATCTTCCTTTTATCTCAAAAGCATTTGACAAGGTGTGGCACGCGGGCCTCTTGAATAAACTAATACAAAAGGGCTTCCCTTTTTGGCTTCTAAAACTACTAAAATCCTTCCTTGAAGGTAGGAAATTTCGGATCAAAATTAATAATTTCTTGTCGACAGTACGGCCCATCCGAGCCGGCGTCCTTCAGGGTTCGGTTCTAGGGCCAATCCTTTAATCACTTTTCACGCAAAAATAACAGTTGAAAATTTTAAAATGGCGGATGGACGCCATGTTTTAACATTTTTTAAATAGAATGGGGGGGGGTCACGTATTTCAAAGATCCTTATAAAGTTATATTCCTAGAATATAAAATCGTTATCTTGGAGAATAGCGCACTTGCAGAGTATCAAAGTTGAGCGTTTCTGTACATTAAATCGCTTATAACTCAACAACCAATCATCAAAACTCTATAGTATGTTATGCAATACAGGGCATTCGGTTTGAAAATGTAATGTTTTATATTTTATCACATATTCGGAGAGACTCTTCCAAAAGGAGAATAATATAACATACTATAGCGTTTTGAAGATTGGTTGTTATAAGAAACTCAATGGTAAAAAACTCTCAGCTTTGATAGCCTGTTATATCGTCATTTCAAAAGTTAGTGATGTTATATTCTAGGATTTTAAAGTTCTCAGGAAGATTCAAAATAAGTGTCAGACAACCCCTGATTGAATTGGAAAAAAATGTACCAAAATCCATCATCCGTCTTCCAACAAGCCCTTTTTATTCTTACTGTTCGCGAGTACGAAGCCGAACGACACTCCCCAATGACCGCTAGATGGGTACTGACCAAAATCACTCATCTCTGATCATGGAAGTGGACACCTTGCTTTGGAATGTACAAGATGAGGTGTTGCCAAGCGAACCAATGATACAATGTTGCAGAACCTTTGATTTCGACCTCAAACGAAGCACCGTTAGGACCTATCCGGAATCGATCCTAAACAGATTCGACACAATTCACAAATATGTAAGCTCAAAATAAAACCATTATTTGGGCGTAGAGAATAAACAAACGCATATTTTCAACATACATGTTGATTCAAGGAACTGGTGTAACATATTGGCGACGTGGCAAATTGCCGCGTCAGCGTTGCTAGGCAACGCGGTGATCAGCTTCGCTATCCATCCGGCTCAAGCCGTCAGACAAATTTTGTAATATATATATATATATATATATATATATATATGAATTTGGTAGGTTCAGTGGTTCTGTAATACTAGTGTCGTACAAGTATGTAGCTTCAGTATGCGAAATATCTAGGTGTATGTACATAACACCTGGAGCGACTAATTTTGAACATTTTGGGGAAGATTCTGATTTGAGTTTTGAATTCTCCTGGTTGATGCTCGCTGTCCTTAAAATACTTTATTGTAAGAAATAAATAGTTTCCATTCCAATAGGCGCGTTACAACACGACGCCGATGTAGCATTTTGAATGCATCCATTGATTTGGCGCTAGGTACCTAAATCAACAACGTGCGGCTTTTTTGTTTTTATTCATTCTCAAATTGTTTCAGGCTTTAGGGAGGGAGTACGTAATACACCCTGCTAGGTCCAATCTTCTGTCGACGGGGCTAAAATCAACGGGAAGATACCTACTTCATAATCGTTTTCATGATATTTGCGGATCAGTGAAAATCAAATTCATATTTTCTCTGACATTCTAATGTATTAATGTATCCCTATAACGCACGGTAATTTGAACCTCAATTAGGTGATTGAATATAACGAAGTTTAATAAAAGACATCTCCTTAATCGTCTGCGTCGATTAGAGTTATTAAAACAATATGGCTACCTGTTAACTCCATAATGGGACAGCGTGTGTCTGGTTGTCATGACAACTACTTAACAATGTCTCAGATTTATTGAACAAACAACATTTCATGACTTCATGAACAGCACGGCGAGTAGAACATTTGAGCAAATTATAGTAATACAGAGTGCGTAGTAGACGTATGTGGATCAACTAGTTCGCTTTGAAACAAAAGAGTATAATGATAAAAATGATCTTTAGGAGAGGGTGTGAATGGAGAAATTACACAGTATCCTTATTAACTAGTAACTGGAGAAGTGAAATTTTTTTAACGTATACAGGGTGTCCCAGAAATTACACGCCAGAGTGACACATGGGGTTGATTGGCTTCAGATCAATGAGATGAAATCAACATGACCTTAGTAAAAGTTTTCTAGTTTTCGAGAGTTTTAAGTTTTTTCAAAAAATCCCTACTTTTTGCTCCTTTTCTGCCTGTTATGGCTATAAAAAGCGTCTAACTTATAATTTTTATTTAAACGGCTATCATTAATAGTTGGTTGAGACAACCGAGTAATTATTTCATTGAAAAATAGCACGGTATGCTGAAAAAAAACCAAATTATTACATTTCATGCGAAACCCTAAACTAAAGTATTGCTAATTACTGTCAAAAAAATGTATCAGACTTAATCAGCAAATGGCCTCGAAAATTAGCTATTGAATGTTCTTTCCAAAATAGTATAACATTTGTAGGTTCTTTTTACTAAAAACTGAATATGTAATTCCAAGTTTTGTCATTGAAGTCGTAATACATGCGAAAAACAGCAAATAAAAATAATAAATGCAGCTCTCTTTTGTGTCCAAATTACAACTTTGGTGTTGTTGTAATCGCAGTGCGAAGGTAGCACCAGAATGTTGTAAAAACCAATGGAAATAAAAAAATACCACCTAATGTTCTGTTCATTATTTTGATGCGTGCATACAACAATGAATAAAAAAGGATAATGAATAGCTGTTTTAGAGATTTGCTAAAACAAAAAGCGTCCGTAGGACCTTTGCCTTTGTGTCAAGGTACGTCAGCCAATTCTTCAATTCTGTCGGCCATGGTCACCCAGAAACAAGGCATGATTAAATAGAAAGAAGCAGAAGAAAGAAAAACGAAAAAAGAGGGAGACCAAAGAGTAAGAAATACAATTGTTAGAAAAGGCGTCTGAGCATTGCTGAAAATTACTGTAATAATTTTGAATGCCGAAGCTAGCAACTCGGGGCTCGCGGGTTCGAATCTCCACCTCGGATGATGTTATGTGTGTTGTCTATACGTTAGTGTAATATCAACGATAGGCACATCTCATCGGTAGAGCAGGTTTCTTATTTCAGTTAAGAGTAGATGGCTCGTGGTGTAGTACAGTGCTGGTACTACAGGAAGGGCAAAGAGGATCAAATGTATCCTAATTGCCAGGCCTCGTCTCTCCATCACCACTACTACTAATAATAAGAGCGCAAATTTCAAGACTGCAGCTATCAGAATTCGATTATTCCACAAATCGTATTCTTCCAGCAATACGGTAAACACATGCAGGAGGTAATTTGTAGCAATGATAATTTTTTTAGCATACCATAAAACCTCAGCAACTTTTTAAAAGAAAGAACATCAAATGTTCAACTCGATCCTATATTTGACTTCCCGTTTATCTCACATTATAAAAATTTACATATTTCAGCTCCAAAAGTACACGATCCACATTTCAGGTTATATTTTCTATGCCACAAAACATTACAAAACACTCGCGCTTCCACCACATTTAATACAATATAATAAGTCATGTACAGAAACACACGAAGATACACATCCCAGTATTCTCTACAATAAAGATCACAAAAAACAAGGCCAATATTCGCAAATTTCACCTAGCAGTCTTCCCTAAAAACTAAAAAACCGTACAAACCTCAGGGCTGGGATAAGTTAAATCTCCCAAACAAGGCACTTTTCATTTCTGGACTTTTAAAAAAAATTGTAGATAAGATGTTGTTGTTTTAGTTTGCAGTGTTTGGTATAGAAAACCTCTATTTGAACCTTATTTTGTGACAAAATTTCGCCTCATCTCTAACCTCGTGTATGTTTGTCCCCAATTTCGTGATACACACCGTGGATACATAATATGGGATAAGTGCCATTAAATTTTCATAAATAAACAGTTTTGATAATTAACGAAATAATTAATCATATTACGGTATACAAAATATTTTTGTTGGTTTCACCAGGATTACATGTCACATAGGTATTAAAATTATATGAAAGAGATCAACAAACTAAAATGTAAGAACATAACTATCAACCACATACCTAGCTGACGTGATATCAAGTAACAAAAAAACATAAATGTTAACACTCATGCTAGGCTGAATCTGAAATCTCTTAAAACAATAATTTCAAACAAGTCACATTCCGTAACATCTTTAAATCAAGACTATGATATAAAAAGCAAAACTGTACTTTTGTACTGATTGTCAATATTTGTACTTAGAATATTATAAATGTAAATTTGTATGTCATAAATAATGGGTGATTTTTTTGCTAGTATCTTTTTGGTAACACTGTTTTTGACAGATGACGCGTGAATCGTGTCTTGTGTCATTGTCAAACTTGTTCAGTTTGGTCTATAATTTAACCATGAATCGATTTACGAACGAACAACGCTTGCAAATTATTGAATTTTACTATCAAAATTCATGCTCGGTTAAGAGAGTGCATCGAGCACTGCTTCCCATTTATGGGCAATTTGGTCGGCCTACTGAGGGAGCTATTCGGAAGCTTGTGACTAAATTTCGAACCCAGTTTACATTACTGGACATTAAACCACCAACACGCAGACGTAGAGTGAGGACTGAAGAAAATATTGCGGCTGTATCTTCCAGTGTTAGTGATGGCCGTTCGCCGCAATTGGGCCTCTGTTACTCCACTACGTGGAAAATTTTGCGACAGGATTTGGGTGTAAAACCTTATAAGATACAGCTGGTGCAATAATTGAAGCCACACGACCTCCCACAATGTTTCCAATTTGGTGAATGGGCGCTGGCAAAGTTGGAGGAAGATCCACATTTTTATCGAAAAATTGTGTTCAGCGACGAAGCTCATTTCTGGTTGAATGGGTACGTTAACAAGCAAAATTGCCGCATCTGGAGTGAAGAACAGCCAGAAGCATTGCAAGAGCTACCAATGCATCTCGAAAAAATCACTGTTTGGTGTGGATTATGGGCCGGTGGCATCATCGGGCCGTACTTCTTCAAACACGACAATGGCCGGAACGTAACTGTGAATGGCGAGCGCTACCGTGCGACGATAACAAACTTTTTTTGCCCAAAATGGAAGAGCTGAACTTCGCTGACATGTGGTTTCAACAAGACGGTGCCACATGCCACACCGCACACGAAACAATGGCCCTATTGAGAGGCGAGTTCGGTGAACAGTTTATCTCACGTTTGGGGCCCGTCAATTGGCCGCCTGGTTTGTGTGATTTAACGCTGTTGGACTATTTCTTGTGGGGCCATGTTAAGGCTAATGTCTACAGGGATAAACCAGCAACGATTGACGCACTGGAAGCCAATATTGAAGCATTTATTCGTGAGATACCGGCCGATATGTTGGAGAGAGTGTGCCAAAATTGGACGTTGCGCATGGGCCATCTAAAGCGGAGTCGCGGCCAACATTTACATGAAATAATCTTTAAACATTAAATTATATCGACCGTTCTATCGACTCAAATAACGATTTAATCGTTTTTTCAAATTTTTTGTGTTTTTTTAAATCAAATCCTATACCTCTTAAAAAATCACCCGTTATGTATTTGATATAGAAACACATTACATATCTGACAGCCCGGCACATAATACACACCTCTTGTATGAGTGGTACCGTGATTCCTATTATATTAATAACGTCTTCGCATTCATATAAGCTAAAAGGAAAGAAGAATAACGATAATGAATACCGTAATAACCTATATTTGTTTAAAAACTCCCCATTATTGCTCTGAATGAATTGTACCATGATAAAATACCTATAATTATCAAGTATCTTTATCACGAATTTAGCAACACAGCAAACAAAAATCATGTCCCTTATTTCGAGTCATTAGTTTTGTAATATGCTTGTGAATTATGAGAAGTCGTTTTTTGACCATTTGGTATCATGTATTAAATAACTATATCAAAAAAGGATGCAGCAATTCCAGTAAAACAAAAAGGTATACTTTGTACACATTCTCAAATTTAGGGACAACTAAAATTAACAGAACCAAATTTCGTGAGTCGTATTTTTGAATTTTTTTTAATTATATTTGCCTTCACTCGTATCTCAAATTATTTATAATGAAACTATTAACCGGAATATCACATATTTTAGTCAAATTAACTTATCTACCTCTAGTGGGAAGCTTAAGAAATTAAGATCTTACAGCTAAGGACAACAAGTTCGTCTCTCTAGGCATGGAACGGTCGACTGCCAGTTTCGAAGATCGCCCAGTATTCATGTTAATGGATGAACAATTGAATTTTGGCTTTTGAGGCAGCTCAAATGTGGAGAAGAAGATTGAATACATAATTTATTAAGACACATCACAATTTTCTAATTTTGACGCTTCATTAAAAAACTGAGGAAGTTATGGACTATCACGAAAATTTGGACACATACCGTAGTTGAAAGAGCCTTTATTGTCATCTTTAAACAGTCGGAGGTCGATAATATCTCTTTTAAGGAACTGCCAACTAAATCATATCCCCTCATCATTCTTATTGGAGCTTAAGGACTTACGTCAGAAACTATGATTCTTCTGCGAAAATTTGAGGTAACAAGCACAGCAACAATCCGACGGACCTGGCTATCGTGATAAATATAATTGCAATTATCAGAATTCCACTATTCATATTTGCACAAATCATATTGCTTCAGCAGTACGGTAAATAGATCTAGATGGAAATAAGTGACAATGATTTTTTAGCATACTATAATACCTCAGAAAACGTATGTGTCGAAATCTGTCATAATTCCATGGTTGTCCATAACCAAAACAACGTTAAAATGCAAATGATGTTCAACATACCGCGATGTCTGACTTCCCGTCTATCATCCATATTCCAAAATTCCATAATTCAGCTCCAAAGGTACACGATCATGTTCCAAGTTTCATTTTCTACGCCACAAAACGTTTCAATTCACTCGCGCTTGCACTAAAATTACCACGATCAAGTCACCCACAACAACACAGGGAAATACATATCCCCATATTAACCACAACGAAAATCACTAGAAAATCGAACTAACAATCGCAAATTATACAAAGAGCAAACTCACAGTGTCGCCTAAACAGACTGAAAGATGTACAGACCTCAGGGGTGGGAAAGTTGGACAGAACCCCCCTTGGACCTCTTACCCCCACAAGTTGAACGGTTGCCTGGTTACCAATACAGTTTATTGGAGTTTATAATCGAATCGTTAGTCGTGGTAAAATTAGAATATTTTCACTGGAATCCCGACGTTTAGTCATGCTCAGGTGGACTCTCTGTTACATTCAAATGCTTTCGAGCAGTATGCGTGAGGAACGCGCTTCACAAGACATGTGAAACTAACGAAACACTTTCGATTTTTTCGTGTTAATGTTATCGTTTGCATTAATATTACGAGTAATCGGTCATTAACTCACATTCATGTTTTGCAGATTTTTGTTTTTTTCATTAAAGATCTGGTGTCCGAGGATTTTTTATTAGCGAGGGGGTTGTGATTCAACACACTAACAGTTGCCTCTTAGGCGTTTGGTGCTTGGCAATCTATTGGAATGACCTCGTTTTTTTCTTTTAATTTGTTAAAAGCAAGAGCAAGGCGACGTTCGGCAGTTTTGCCTACTCTTTGACCGATGGCACTGCAGCCTCTAGGTCTTATTGTGCCTTGCTCCTCGAATTTTTACAGTACCCAAACCAGCAGTCTAGTGTGCTGGTACAGTTTTCCTACCGGTACTGTTCTAATTTTGGTTTCCCCGAAGAGCGCCTCGCACTCACATAAGACATGATTCTGTTCCGTTTCCACATTGTCTTCAGCTAAGGTCTATTCTTTCAGATGCCTGAATCCAGTCACTAAGCGCCAATTATCCTTGTGTTGGTTTCTTACACAATATTTGACTTGGTTCCTTAGCATGCTTTTTGGCGCCACCAAGGCAGGTTCTGGGCCTGTATAGGGTGTGGATGGTCCTTCCCTTGCGAGCTCGTCCGCCCTTTCATTTCCTCTGTGAATGTCCTAGCACTCACTTCAGAGCTGCTTCCAGTGGTTTTTACAACGTGCAGAGGAACAGCGCCACCGGAAAGCAGCTTAGAGTTACTTTGTTGTGCTCCGCCAGTGTGATCAGTTCTTGTTGGCATTCCCAGATCAGTGCAGATGTCACTCCAAGACTTCTGAACGCCATAAGTGACGCTTGACTGTCAGTATATATGGCGATCCTTTTATTGTTATACGATAGCTCATTATTTACTCTTGCACAGTGCAAGATTGCATACACTTCTGCATGAAATACAGTGGTGTGTCTTCAAGAGGTATATTACATTCGAGAGTTAGAGCTTCTGTTGTATATAAGCCTACAGATCCCTTCAGCATTCGTATACAGCTTCTATCCCAAATATTTTGGTGCTAGTTGGTTCTGGTCCTATGGAGGAGAGTTTAGTTCCTCCTTGATGGTCTTTATCAATGTAAAGGGCTTTCCAATGTGTAGTAGTTGATGTTTATTTGACAAAACAAGCTGTATGTGATTTATTAACGTTCAACTAATCTGCGTATATACGACGTTTCGATAAAAACATCGATTTCTTTTGCTCAGTAATCAGTAAGCAATAATGAAGGACGTGCAGGAACCCATTGAAAGTCCAAGACTTGTCCCCATAAAATATGACAGTCATGGGTCTTCCCAATAAATAATTCTTGTTTTAGGTAAGATGAGGCTTGATTTCCACTCGCATAAAATGTTTACAGTTTTCAATTCTTATGAGCACAAAACCCCTAAAAACGTAATGTAACACCTCAAAATTATCCTATGGTTGTGTCACTGAACTATCTCCATATGTAAGTGGTCGCCCAACGAAATCACAGATGTAGAATCAAAAGTTTTACAAAATCGATAATAACGCCTTTTGATTCCACTTTTGTGGGTCCATTTGGCGTCCAGTACAACTCGCAAACAGATCCAGGAAACTGGACCAAAAACGAAAAATGCAACGCTCAAAAAATCTTTTCAAACTGTAACCGAGCTTCCTGGAATTTTTCAACTACTAATTTTGAAACATAAGCTACGGCCGAAAAAAAAACAGACATTATTAGACATAAAAAACTATCAAGAACTAGTAATTAGCCTTCCCCAAAGAATAATTAGCAGCTTTAAGTTAACAGAATAAAAGTGTTTCACAATATACTTTGAATCTCCGCGATTGGGCTACAGCAACAAAGCTGTCCACCAATAGCGCAGTTCTAAGAATATCTCCGTTATTGATCTTCGCTTCCATTGGTCAGAGCCGGAAGCAGGGGCGAAACGCGTGACAAACCCTAATTACCCTCTATTCCAATTCTACGGTTCGTATTAATATCTTTCAGATCTTTAAAAATGGTTGGCCGACAAATCTTTACAAATGAGAACGCAACAATCTTATTAAATTAATGTTGTTTCCACTTTAAGGAATATTAATATCTAGAACTGAGCTTAATAATTTACTGAAGTAATCTTATTTTGCAGCTGGTTTGAATTTCAAATGTTTATCAATAGTCCAACTACGTAAATACATATATCAAAAACCACTACTTTGACATTTTGCATGTCCTCATGTCAAATCTAAAATTTAAACCATCTAAACTGAGAAAAGAGTATTTTAATTTGTTTAGTTATTGCAGGATTATCCACAAATTCAAAAATGGTGAAAGAATTGTACAGAAAACGATGAAATGTCATAATATAATATTCAACCACATAATTATAATAAAGGGTTAAGATTTTTAAGTTGCATTTGAGCTTTCATGCGAAAACGAACCATTTTGACAAGTAAGTATCTAGTTTTTAAGACAATTAACATAGGTATAGTTTTTTACGGTTTTTGGCCTTAAATTCCTACGAAATATGTAAGCTAACTGTACCATGTGAGGATATTAACTCCCCTAAGGAAAATTACACACAGCACAGCAAGCAGGCTTCCGAAAAAAATATTCCACAGAAACGGCTTTCCAGTTGGTAACTGAGAATTGGAGAAGAGCCATAAACTCAGAAGAAGTTGTCATAGCAGTATTTTTGGATTTGAAGAGGGCATTTGAAATGATTGATAGAGATATTTTGTTAGGTAAATTGAAGGCATATGGTATAACAGGAAGTGTTTTAGACGGTTTAGAAATTATTTGTCTAAAAGGATGCAAGTTACAAAAGTTAATGACACTATTTCATCAAAAATTGAAAATACGTTGGGTGTTCCACAGGGCAGTATCCTGGGACCACTTCTTTTTATTTTATACATAAATGATTTACCTGCCATAGTCAAAAAATGCAAAATTCAGATTTTCGCCGATGACACTATGATTTATATAAGTACTAAAAATATTCAGTCTGGTATCTTTTATATAAATGAAGACTTGAAGCTTGTCTCAAAATGGTTAGCATCTAACAGACTAAAACTAAATGCAAGTAAAACGAAAGCCTTGTTAATCGGAAAAAACAATGTACAAAAATGTTCAACTGAATATTGATGGTGAAGATATTGAATTCGTAGAAAATTTTAAATACCTGGGGGTTTTTGTTGACTCTAGATTAATTTTTGATATTCATTATGAAAAAGTTATAAATAAGATTAGTAGTAAAGTGGGATATTTATCCAGAGTTTCTGTATGTCTGAGTTCATATAGCAGAAAAATTATCTATACCTAATACCATCATTCTTCCAAATTTCTTGTACTGTTCGACTATTCTATATTTAGCAAATAATTCCATTTTTGAAAGACTGCAAATTTTACAAAATAAGTGCATGAGAATAATACTAAATAAAGATAAATATACTCCAATTAGGCAAATGCTTAGCAAATTAAAATGGCTCAATGTAAAAAAAATTATCAAATATCTTGTAATGATATTCATTTATAAAGTAAAAAATAATATATTTCCATCAAGTCTAACAAATTTAACATCATCAAATGACGACCATCATTTACATAATACCAGAAATAAAGATGACTTCCATTTAATGACCAAAAAGTATAACATATGCTACAAATCTGTATTCCATCAAGGGTTGATTGAATATAATAAATTATACTCGGAGATAAAAGAGCAGAAAACTTTGACAAAATTTAAAGTAAAATTGAGAAATCACTTCTTAAATCTACAATTATAGGTTGCCCAGCATTTACATCATACACCATATGGCTTGAATTTACTAGTTCTAAGATGTTTACAAGTATTCTGTTTATGTAGCCAAATGTGTTAAATAAATCTTTCTACTACTACTACAAGCCGATCTCTAAACACAGATGCTACTCACTCTTGCACACACACAAATGAACTGGGTCATTCAGTTTCTGAAAATACTTCTATAAATTTAATAGACTGCCTACATTGTGTAGTAGTATATTTAGGCGAATTGCTATGTTTTACATCGAAGATCATCAAAGATAAACTCAAATTGCTCAGCCATGACAAGCAAGTTCTCATACTGACAGTGACATGGATAAATGGGGAAGACTTATATGTTGACGAGAAAGTTCTTAAGACGGTGAGACAAAACGAAAAATGTATGTCTGTGAGCTTCCACAAAAAAGCGTCGGCGCTTTTATGGTGATTGTATAGGTCTTTTCTAGGTTTTTGGCGAAACACAGTTTGATTGTGTTGGCTTACAGACATACATCTTTTACTTTTGTCTCGCCGCCTTGAGCATTTTCTCGTCAACGGGTACCAGTCTTCCACATTTATGCTTCTCGCTGTTGGTATGACATCTTGCTTGTCATTGGCGTGCGATTTGAGTTTAGCTTGCGATACTCTTCGAACCGAAACAGCAGTGTCTGAAGATACAACTATGTCGACAATCTTTGTTTACTTATTGAGGTAGGTACTTTCAGAAAATGAATTATTTCAACAACGGTCCTCTATCAGCAAGCCAATTCATGTATATGTATGTACAAGAGCGAGTAGCAGCCGATGGCAACGCGGCAAGTCGCAGTTGAGTCCGTGGCCTCGTCTCTCGGCTTGGTAGACAACAACGAGGTGCTTCTATCTCTTTGTAACACACGTATTGCACGCTTCTCGCGCACCTCCTCGTACACATTACGACGTCAGTGGTATATGGATGTAACT